GTTGATGGAAGATTTGCAAGTGAATGAAAGCATTTCTACCCATATTTCAATGTGTTGCAGTTTGATTGTTAATATTTTCAGGTGTTGCTGAAACAGTGGTAAAAGATAATGGAATCAGACCTTCATCAATGGAGCAAATGAGCAAATTAAAAGCAGCTTTCATCAAGCCCCATGGAACAATTACTGCAGCCAATTCTTCCTTCCTGGTAAGTTTACAGTAAATTCTTCCTTTTTGGTAAGTTTACAGCCAATTCTTCCTTCCTGGTAAGTTTACAGCCAATTCTTCCTTCCTGGTAAGTTTACAGCCAATTCTTCCTTTCTGGTAAGTTTACAGCCAATTCTTCCTGTCTGGTAAGTTTACAGCCAATTCTTCCTTTCCAGTAAGTTTACAGCCAATTCTTCCTTTCTGGTAAGTTTACAGGGAACAATCACAGCAGCCAATTTTTCCGTCTAGGTAAGTTTACAGCCAATTCTTCTTTCCCAGTAAATTCACATGACATGTGTCAGGAAAATCTTTTACTGAAATAACTGAATGCAGTCATGCCTATTTTCAGGAATACATCTAGGATATACATGTACATGTGTATGCATAACCAACAATTATTAGTTTCAATGCTCAACATACATGTATTTATATTTAAATAAAAATGAGCACTGAGAACTGTCAGGCAATGTACTTGTAATTTACATGTGTTGGAGAGAACCATCAGTTAAATTCTTGACTGCATTCTAAGTCATTGTTTTCTTTTACATAGACTGATGGAGCCTCAGCATGCTTGATAATGTCAGAAGACAAGGCCTTACAATTGGGATTTAAACCCAAGGCCTACCTTAGAGAGTTTGTTTATGTGTCTCAGGACCCTAAAGATCAGCTCTTGCTGGGGTAAGAAGCCAATTTCCTTTCTTTGTACAATTTAACCAGGATTCTGCCCCAGGAAGAAACTGAACCAGTTTGAGAAATACTTCTCTTTGACCAATAATTATTCAATTTTTGGCTGTTACTGGAAAAAGATATCAGAGCTATGAGAGAAATATATTAATCAGTGATTCTAAAATTATCACGCCAAAGATTAAAGAAACATTGAAGTATAAAAGCCAAGGATTTTATAACTTTTTCTTGACCTCAGAGGTTGCTTCTATTCTGCAACAATCATGAAAATACAGTAAAAAACTGTCTAATACGACACCTGTGCAATTCATATCACTGGGATTTCCGATGTTAAATTTCTTTCCTATTTTACTATTTTCCATGTTTCTGTACACTGTCTTATCCGACACCATGTCTTCTACGACATAAAATTTTGTCTCCCATGCATGTCATATAAGACTGGTTTCACTGTATGTCTTTAATTTTCGGAAACGACATATTTTCTGAAAGACATATCAACTGCTAAGTTCAAATGATACATTTACTTTTCTGACTCTCAAGTACTATAACAATTGGAAAAAATTTAAATGTACTTATTGGTGTGATTTTAACTGAAACATAAATTTCAGGCCAGCTTATGCAACCCCTAAAGTTTTAGAAAAGGCCGGACTGTCCATGTCTGACATTGATGTTTTTGAGTTCCATGAGGCATTTGCTGTGAGTACACATGCACTTGATCTTTGTTCTAATTTTTAATTTTCTTTCTATTTCCTGTGACTTTGTTCCTGGATTAACCCTCGGTATTCTTAGTTCATAGTTTTTTTTTTTACTCTTGACAGGGTCAGATCTTAGCGAATCTGAAGGCCATGGACTCTGATTACTTTGCTAAAAACTACATGAACAGATCTGAAAAGGTGGGTCGAATGATAGAAGAAAAAATTAGTAGTTAAATGCTCTTGCTTTACCTATTGCTTAGAGCTTTAACCTGAATTGATTAATCTTCAGGTGGGAACCCCAGATCTGTCAAAGTTTAACCTTTGGGGAGGCTCCCTCTCAATCGGTCATCCATTTGGTGCCACAGGCGTGAGACTGGTCACAACAGCTGCCAACAGACTTGCTGATGAGGATGGACAGCTGGCTCTTGTGGCAGCATGTGCAGCAGGAGGCATAGTAAGTGCAACTCTTATATACTGGACATAGATGTATGATGGAATTTAGATGACACCAAAAATTTTTGGAATTCTTAATAATAGCTACTGATGCATCTTAGTATAAATTTTTCTTGATGATACAACCCAGTGCATTTCATAAGGATATTATTCAAGACTTAAACATAAAGAGTATCTCCTTTTTTACAGGGACATGGAATGATTGTAGAAAGATATCCACAAAAGTGAAAATCTCTTTGATCAATGCAGATTGTGATATTAACTCTTGAACACTGGACTTCAGTTCTACTGGTGTGTTGCCTAGTGGAAGAACTACCACTATATAGTGCATAATGTTAGCACTCTTTTGTACAGAGTATCATTCTTGTATTTATTTCATTAAACATGATTCCATTCTATTTGATATGTGTAGTTGATAATATTTCTATTTGCAATGCTCATACATGTATTAAGGGAAGATTCATTGGTCTTATTAAAAATCAATACAAACACAAAGGCACTTTCTCATTTGTTTGTAAATATAAATTGTCCTGATTGCCAACCTGAGACATTTATTTTTCATCCATGACAAAACCTTAAATGCATTGTATTTTACAGGACACTGGTCTTATCCAGATGTAATCCGATGTTTTAAATTATAAGAATAATTCCCCCTCTCCTCCCCATGTTTGATTAGGCAAAGAAGTGTTGAATACATGATGTGCATGGCCACAAAACTTCTACCGGTAATAGACAAATATTTTGATGGATGGGAATGCCCATACCATGATTTACGAGGCAAGGCCCATGGGCCACAATGCTCACTGATTAGTCTGGTCCTGCTGTTTTTCATCAGATTTTCCTCAATTCCCTATTGCGGCCCCAGGCCACCCAGGGACCTTGATTTGAACAATTTAGGATCTACACTACTTCAGGAATCTTTTACTTAAGTTTCAGCTTTACTTGCCCTGTTGTTTTTTTTTCCTGTTTCAATGAAAAACTTACATTTCTTATTTAGGCCCCAAACTAACCCTGGGGACCTTGATTTAAAGTTTATAATCAATACAACCTCAGGATGCTAACTGCTTTCAAGTAAGTTTCAACTTTACTGTCCTAGTGTTCTTGAAAAGCTTTTTTAATGACCCAACCCTTTTTTGGTCTTTTATCCATCATCTCCTCTTAGAAAGGGGCTTGGCCTTTCATTTTAATAATCTGAACTCCCCTTCTCCCATGGATGCTTTATACCAACTTTGGTTGAAATTGGCTCAGTGGTTCTTAAGAAGTTGAAAAGATTACAACGGGAAAACAGGTGAGTGATCAGAAAAGCTCACTTGAGCTTTTAGCTCGTGATCTAAAAAGGTGGAAAGGATCAATTACAAATCTAAACTATATATGGTACCATATCAAACTGATTCACATACTCCGCACCAATGCATAATTACCACAAATATTTTAAAAACAACAACATCACTTGCTGATAATTTATTGGTGTAAATACAATAAATAAGAGTTCTGAGCGATGTTCCTGAGACATGGACCACAACTTTGTGGCTGTGTGCGGAACCAGCATGTTTGTCCTTGACATTAAGTCCCTGATGTCGAGTCCTGAATTTCTGTAATATTCAGTCTATATGTTTGTTAATGGAACATTCAGGCAAATAAATGATGGTCAAATATAACCGATGGATATTTATGATCCACATCTACTATGCTTCATACACTGGCAACAAAAATATGTTAAGTTTTAGGATTACTATGGAGATCTTTCATGCATAATTATTACACATTTTAACAATAAATAGTAAAGTACAATAAATGTAAGACATCAATGCAAACAACTTTTGCAATAAAACCTTTAAAGAAGTATCATATGCAAAAAAAAAAAAAAAAAACATTAACCCAATAAACAAATACAACAACTACATTAAAAAAATACCGCTACATGTACCAAGATTTAATCTAACACCCAAAGAGTACATAAATATAGGTTTTAATGCTGTATAACATGATACTGAAGATGAAATGACTCAGTTTAACTTCAGTATAAATAAAACATTTCTATTGAATGTCTTCCATTTTTATCAATTTCATTCCTTAATAGATCCACAAAAGAATATGGTATTTCTATTTATCATGTAAATAGCTTTTTATAGGTGTCAACAGACTTGGTATTCTCGTTCATACTGATGCGGGAAGTACTTATAAAATTAAGTACTTTAAAGTACATGTAAAATGTTACAAACATTTATCATTCATTTGGATGAAAATTTACACACATTCATGTTAATCAAGAAATGTAAAATATAAACCCAAGAAAAAGTGTATAGCACATCACAGTAAAATTAAGTGGAAATGACGATCAACTGAACAGCAAATCTTAAATCCAAACAGTTGTATATACATGTACATGTAGATGTCAAGTCAACAGTTCAATCAATAATAAATAATGCACAAATAATATCCATACAAAAATATAAACAAAAGTCATATTATTCAATTCATGCTTTTAAATGATTTTCACAAAAAATATATTACTTAAATTAAAAATTAAGCTGGCGAAACGACATGCACAATATTCATAATCAAAAGACTGACAAACTATTTCATCTTAATTGTTCATAGAAATTAAAATGTTGAAACATGTATCAGTCAATGTATCAAAATAAATGTAGCACTGGGATAAATTTTTGGGGGTCTTCCCTTATGCTACAATTTTTCTTTTCAATAGCAGGTTTTACTGAGAAGAAGTTTTGTACAAATTATTAAAAGAAGTATCCCATATACTGCATCGGTATATGAAATGCTCAATTCTTACACGATCTGACATACTGAACACTAACCACCATTGGACAATACATGATAAATCTGACCAGAAAGTACAAAATAACAAGCACTTGTCCATGGAATGGGGATCAAACTTTAATCTCTGCCCCTGCTACACTGTGTTTGTTTTCAGATCTGCTCCTATCAGGATGACGTGACACAGTTTTCTGTTATATTTTTTAACTCCTGAAATAAGCAAAGAACAATATTTAAACATTTACTTCATAGAACTGGAATCCACACTAAATAAACCCTATATACCCTAAAATCTTGAAAATAAGACGGATTTAATAATAAGCCGGTTTTGAAAATAAGCCACCTATTTCTTGCATTAAAAATTACTCGAAAATAAGCCAGTTTTGAAAATAAGCCGGTCATGACAATGCCATTTAAGAAAGATGTTAAACGTCCTCGTCTTAAACATTTGACGAGTGAAAACTTTGACGATATTTATTTACTGTGCAAAATAAAAAGTTATCTTTCTTTAATTCATTTAACCTTTACCAATTTCTGCATACGACATAGTACGAACGAGTACGAGTATCGACGACATAGTACGAACTAAGTCTGTAGCTACTAATGAACGTATGTAAAATTACTAATAAAGGGTTGTTTATAAAGTTTTTTTTTTTACCAGTTTTCATGTTACACTGGCTAAAAAAACTTCATTGCAGAACCAGCTAACATGGTGAATTTTTTTCATGAAATTGTCAGAACAATAATTATCTCATCTAGATCTGTACAAGCTAACAATGTGTTATAAGGTGGTAATAATTAAATAAGTAAATGGATAAAAGGAAGTTTTTGTTTGTAAAGCATTTAACTGCCAGGTAATACTGCCCGAGGCAAGAAACCTGCTGATCGGCAGGGCTTGGTAGTAATTACATTTCAATGTACCGTATAATTGAGTTGTTTTAATATGTGTTTGTTTGATTAATTTATCAAGTAATTCAATTGCAAGCAGATATCTTTTACATTACATGTATTTTCACTTTTTTAAAACAAGTTTATATTTCATGTAAATTCATATGCTGTATACAATGAAATTAACTTTTCGAGATCGGCATTCTCAAAATATAAAGTGGACGATCCTAAAGAACGTACACCGGGAAACGCCAATGAATACAAGAGTGCTCTCTTCTCTTACCAGTTTTTTGCATTGATAATAAGCCGCAATTTGAAAATAAGCCGGTCTTGAAAATAAGCCCCCACTTTCTTACCAAAACTCAAAATAAGCCGGTCTTGAAAATAAGCCCCCACTTTCTTACCAAAACTCAAAATAAGCCGCGGCTTATTTTTAAGATTTTAGGGTATACTGACAAGTCAAACTCTCTGACTCCAAACTGAAGACATAAGTGAATATGTGACAGTTACATGGTTAATCACAATAAATTTCAATGATCGGTAGAGTTATTGTAGTGTAGTCTTTTTCTGTACCAAGTTTTGTTCCATTCTTGCCAAATGTAAAAGCAACTTTACAGTTTATTAAGTATAAATTTTCATATTAAGCATGGCTACATTGATCACTAGAATTCAAAATGAAGGTATGCATTTTCATTGTTTTACTGAAATATGAGGAATACTCTAAGACAGGAAGAATTCTGAGAAAAAAAAATCAACATACACCTTAAAAATGAATGAGCTCTTCTGGTGTTTATGTTTTGTTCATTCTGCATAAAATTTCTAACAAAAGGTTACCAGTTAGTTTCATTCCCTTAAAAAAAATTCATCCAACAAACAATAAAAACAGTTCAATATTCCTAGGCCAGATCACTAGAATCCTTACCTGAACTAGATGGACTTTATCGTGATTGTCTCTGTGCCGTACAATACACTGACTGAACACACTGTACAGTTTCTGCAGCCTCTCCACGTTAAACCCCTCAGTACTTGTCACCACTCTCTCTAACAGCTGCTCCAGGGCCTCTCTGTTTATCACCACCTTGGTCGACTTGTCTGGCTCTGTCTCTGGTATCAATACCAGGGGCTCTGACAAACACAAAATGTGTATAACGGTAATACATTTATAAATCTGCTTGTGGTAGAAAACAATGTTTACTCCCAAAACTTTTGTGAACTGGTTATTAATGTAAGACAAAATGTTGCAATATTTTTGACATTTAAATAAAACTCACTAAATTGCTATTTTGTGGTGTCAAAAAGCTGGCAATACTAAATATGTTTCCATAAAAATATAACATTGCTGTTTTTGAAAAAAAGATGGCTACGGATTTTTCTAAAGTATTCTTGATTGTTTATTGCACACGTGCACAAACACATGCTCATAACCTTGTACCTTTTTCTGCAGGAGTTTCTTCATCATTCAGAGAGATCATTTTCTGTTTAGCCAGCTGTTTTGCCTGTTCTACGCTGTCTACAGAATCCCCATTACTGTCCACAGAACTACTGATCCCACTATCTACCTCCATTGCAGAAGATTTAGGAGTGTCTTTGTTTAGGGGAAGCTCCTCTTTAGCCTTTTCAATCTCCTCCTTCTTGTCTGAGACATTAATCACTACTCTGGGAGATAAGGCTTTCACTTGTCGGCACGACGGTGACATCTGAGCATGGACTGTGGGGGATTTGGAACTTTTGGGAGTTTTGCTATTCTCCAGTTCTGTGACGTCCACTTGCAGGGTCTCTGTATGCGGAACTGGACTCTTTTGTACAATGTTCTTCTTCACGAATTTTTTGCTCAGTTGTGATTTGACAGAGGGCAGGGAATATCTTCCAAACCTTTTGAACCTTCTCCTCTTTGTGTAACTCCAAACTTCTTTTCTCTTGGGTTTTTTGGGAGACACAGTGAATGATCTCTGAGTGAACAGAGCTGTTTTTATTTTCTGTTTTGGAGACGTTAGACTTCTGATTTCCATGGACTCCTCTTTTGATGACCCCTCCTCCATCCTCTCTTCCCCCTCCTGTTCTTGGTTTTTGACGGGGGACCGTTTCCTCTTTTCCTCGGTCCACTGCCGCTCTATCTGATCTAGATCCTGATGATTTTCAATGTCTAGACCTCTAACACGACGACTAAACCTTTCCTGATTTGTCACCATAGATTTGGTCATATAAAAGGCAGGAACATCACCGGTTTCAGCATCTCCTTTAATCAACAAAATAAACATGCATTTGCATTATAATATGAGCTTTTTTTAAAAGACATAAATGTTCTAGCTTTTTCAAGTATCCGTCATTTTAAGTTTTAATTTGTGAAGATTCCAGCATTACCTCTCCTTTTTCTTGATTCAGCAATGTCCTCACACTGCTTTTCAAACTCGGGATCCAGTTCTGTATCAATAATGGCATGGAATGTGTCTCTTAGAGCACAGGCTCTGTGTCTAATGGCTCGACCTGTAGAAGATCACAACACTACAGTTTAACCCCAAAATTGTTTTCCCAGCCAAAGCCCTCATTACCCAATAGTCAATATCCTATCTAATAATAGAGTATTCAATTTTCTTTCTATCATATCAGCATCATTTTCTTTAAGATACAAATGCAGTATAAAAGTCCTTTGGGTCCCTATAAATTGTAATCTTACTAGCTGTGTCCCTGTTAGGGTTGTATTCCAGTGCATTACTACAAATCAGGTCCACATCCTCCAGGAATTCCTTGCCAGTCTGATACTGGTGCATGTCAATCTTAGACATCATGGTGGACAGGTCCATTGGTTTAGAGATTACCTCATAGTAGTCAGGCACCTACAAACATATACATAAGTAATGTAGTGCTTCTTTCAATTTACCTTTTATAAGTATTTATATTATGATTATGACTGCACACGTTGATTTTATATCATGAAGAATAAAACTGTAGAATCATTTTGATTATTGATTTCCATGGTTGAATAGCATAATGTCTGTAAATATATTCTAAGTGATTCACAGAATGCATATAATTTCCTACCTCTTCTATATCCACAGGTCGAGCAAAGATGTAGAATTTTCTGTCTTTGACAACTTTGTTGATGACCTCTCGGAGGAATATGCGTAACTCTCGAAGTGTGCTCCCCTCCTTATCTCTCAGAGCCTTCAGCTCTTTGTCTGTCAGCTTTCTGGGAGGAGGGGCTGGAGCTTTGGGTAGAACCTCCAAGTCCCTTACTACAATATTAATCAATAAATCACATAGCGATCAACTATAGCCAATGACTAATATGCAACATCAAATCTTTGAAACTTAAAATTGATCAGTTTGAAGTAGGATTACTATCTTTTATTTCGAGAAATATGATCATTGCTTAAAGCCCAATGTTATATCTCACTGCAGTGCTTTCATCTTTCATTTAAAAACATTGCAAAAGTGTGTCAGATTGAAATTTAATTTTTTCTTTTAAATTGAATTTGACAAATGAAATTTCAAATGTGGCCAGCTCACAAGAATGTCAATTCAGACTTTCAATAATTTCAAACAAATATCAAACCATTAACATTAATAACATCCAACATCTCACCCTTCTTTTTCTTTTTAACACCTAGACAAAAAACTCCCAGGTACAGCTGCTGTTTTTATTCTAACTTTAATATTATCATGGAATCTCCATATGTTCAACATTGTGAATTCAATAACAGGTAATAATATAGAATTTACTTTGTTTTTAAATAATATTACGTAACTTGATTTTTCATGTTTCTAAAAACTTCTAAATAATTCGAAATACTTAAAAATACATGTATATCAGAATCCACTCAAATTGCTTTACTTGAATTTGTAATCTTTACAAAGTGAGTGACACATCCAGCTACTGACCTTTATTTTTCTTGGCAGTCTTTATCTTTGTGGTTTGATTGAGCAGCAGATCTTGGAAGAATTCTCTCCTCTCCTCTGCAGTTGGATTACTGACATTTATCACTTCACTACTGTGCTGTCCAAATATACCCTTAACCTACAAAATAGACCAGGGTTTCCTAATTCTATTCTGTTTGCATACAGTTTAAAGACAAGCTGAATGGAATACAGAGAGAAAAACATTCTCAAATCCTGCCATATTATAAAGACTGGATCTTGTATGGATGATGAGCCGATAGGGACTCTACAAACCCAGGGATCGAGCTGTTTGAGGGGCTCTTCACTGGTGGCGAGGAGGAGGATGGCAGATGAAGGGTCCAGATTCTGGATGGTGGTCAGCAAGGTTGTTTTCATGGACTCCGACAAGACATCCCACCACTGATTAATACGCGGCATATAAACAATACAGGGAGAGGTTCTCATAGCTTCACGAAATACCTGTACAATACAAATCACCAGAATATGATACTGTGGTATAATAGAAGTCACTTTTAACTTTCACACTGTGCTCTGTTTATTGCCACCTTCAGAGTTGAAGAAACGCATTGAACCTCAGGTTCTGACTTACAATTTTTCAAGGTGTCTCTGATGCCACAAAAGCTCTATTTTTAATAAAAATTGGGGGAAAGTTACGCTTGTACTAAAAATACTCACTTTAATTTATCATTTAGAGTAAAGTACATATCATGTTTTCTAAGCTTGTACCAAGTTATTCTGAAAACAATCCAAAACTGTGAGAAGAGTAGGATTTTATGCTATCAATTGTCCACCCCTTTGCTACAACTTACATGAGCACAGGCTTCCTCTGGTGTCCTGGAGGAGATACAGAACATGGTGGCCAGATCCAGCAGGTGAACCGACAGGTGTTCCATGTGATGTAGGAGGGCAGGTCCCAGGTGTGTGGTCTGTCCTCTACCAGCCGGACCCTCCAGGATCAAACGGGGTCGGTACAAACACGGCTTCCTGCTGGAATAACTGTTCAAAGAGAAAATAACTAACAGACAGGTATCTTAATGCATATAGTTCAATGGCTAAAATGGCACTTTAAATGATTTCAAATTTTCATTTTTTATCATCAATCAAAGTTTCATGAGTGTTTCAAAGATCAAAGACAATATACTGACCTGAATTAGTATTAAGGTCTACAGATCTAAATTAGTATTTAGATCAGAGCTAATTATTGTTTTTAAGTTTGCATGCAGAAAAATAGAACTGCAAATGTGGATACCTGATAAGGTTATCCATGAATTCTTCATCTGTGACTCGACTTCTTCTCTTTCCCTCATAAATTGTCATCATCTCTTGGTTCTCATCTTCACTCCAGTCATCATACAGTCCCTGAGACTGGGCTACACACAAAACAAACAGTTTAGCACATTACATCACTGAGCAACAAAGAAAAGAAACACTTAACTAATTTATATCTTATCCAGAAAATTTACTTTTATACATAATCTAAGACATACAATTATCTCCAAGTCAAGTCACAAAATTTTTATTTTAAATCTTACTTTTAGAGTCCTGAAACACCTGATTCAGATTATTATCTCCAAGTCAAGCCAAAATACATGTATTTCTACTTCAGATCTTACTTTTAGAGTCCTGAGATGATATCTGAGCAATACTGACAGGGAAGGCTTTATGTAAGGCCTCTAGGGCAGTTGAGAGAATGTTTTGTAAGAGTGGCCTGATGTGACAGCTGAGGGCTTTCCCTGGGGAGGCTACACATCTCTGTGAGGCCGGGACAATAGACTGCATGGCTCCCTGGAAGTCCTGGGCACTGACACTGATACTGGAGACATCAATCTGAAGCTTCTCTGAGGACTGGTAGATCTGAGGGTACCTCTTCCTCAGAGCAAGCAGAGCAGCCTCCGTACACAGAGCCTTCAAGTCAGCTCCACAGTAGCCTACAAAATCATAATAAATGAGAAAACTTACCTTCTGAAGGTTGAAGAGAAACTGGTAATAAATCTTGAGAAATGTGCTCCATTTCTTTTGATCCTGTTATTATACTGTAACTTGAGTTGAAAGATAAGTTTTGGGGGTTATCTTCACAACTGATGAAAGACTTACCAACACAAAGATCAGCTACACTGTTGATGAACTGAGGTAGTAGTTTAGGGTTCCAATCTTTAGTGTGTATAGCCAGGATTTGTCTTCTTGCCTGAGAGAAATAGAGAACATAACAAATTTACTTCATTCACATATAAACTGCTGATTTTCTTATAAAGGAAAGTTTTATAAACCTTGAAGGATCCTTACCTCTTTTGATGGCAGAGAAAACATAAATTCTCTGTCAAATCTGCCTGGTCTTCTGAGGGCTGGGTCAATGGAATCAATTCTGTTGGTAGCTCCGATCACGATGACCTCCCCTCGGTTGTCAAGTCCATCCATCAGGGCCAGCAGTGTAGACACAATAGAGCTGTGGATCTGATCCTGGCGACTAGATCTGACAGGTGCTAGTCCATCTATCTCATCAAAGAAGATGATAGAGGGACGCATCTGATAGGCCTGTAACATAAAAGAATTTTTGTGTTGGATTTAAAATTGCATTTTGTTTCTGATATAGACTTTGAAATTAAAAGGTATCAAATTAATATATGTGCATATAATGTCCTCATACTTGATCAAAGAGGAGGCGAAGCTGTCGCTCTGACTCTCCCACCCATTTGCTTAAACAGTCTGCTCCTTTCCTCATGAAAAAAGCAACACGTTTATCTCCCTTGCTGCATTCATTTGCCAAGGCTCTTGCTACCAAAGTTTTCCCTGTACCTGAAGACAATCCATTTTATATTACAGGAAATTACAATTCCTTATAAAACCAATCCAAAATACATCAATATCTCTAAATTTCCACGATCATTTCATACCAGTCATTTAAATCTATGCAATCTTACCAGGTGGTCCATAAAACAGACATCCTCTTGGAGGTGCAATTTTAAATCTTTCAAAGACCTCAGAGTAGAGAAGTGGGAAAACAACCATTTCTTTCAGAGCTCTGATATGCTTCTCTAGGCCTCCAACACTGTCAAAAGTTACCTATGGAAAACATTCATAGAAAAATTATTTCATTACAGTAACAAAAAAATATATGGGGAAAAAATTAGATTTTAAAACTATTTACAGTTTTCAATGGCATTCATGCAAGTACATCAAAACTGATTTTCTTTTGATAAAATAAGCTATATGTCTGTACAATTCTCATTTAAAAGAGAAACTGTGCATATGTTAAAATCTTACAGATTTATCAATTGTCATTGGGTCGATATCAGCCAGACTGGCTCCTATCCTCTGTCTGTCCTTCATGGTTCCCACGATATCTTTGTCTGTTAGGTTCATAGGCAGGAGCTGATTACGAGCCCGGGCCATACTTTTGGCCTTCCTCCTCTGGAAGTGCTCTTCATCACTGCTGGACCCTGAAGCTGGGGAAGAGGTGCTGGAGCTGCCATGGAATGCTCTCTTTCTTCTATAAATCAGAAAGGTTTCGGTTAATATATTTATGCTCCAGGGAATAAGGGGCTAGGTAGAGTATCGTCCCAGCCCTTCTAATGCATATACAAAATACATGTACTACAGGTAAAATAAACCATATTTTCTTGTTTAAGTATTATATTGAGAATTACTTTCGGTAATTTAGATAGCTGATTAAGATAGCTACATTAATCTTAATAATAATAAATAGGAATTACAAGTTTACAAAAAACAAGAGTAACAAGATAAAGATTATTGCCTGTAAGAATTTCTATGAGACTTATATGCATTATCTAAATCTCAATCATGGGTGGAAACCTACCTAAGATTGACACGTCGATGTGCTGGAGAACGGTAAACTGGCGAGTGCTTCTTCTTCCGTCTGACTGGTGAATCTGGTGCATCAGCAAATATTGTAGGTTTTCTTCGCCGTCTCTCTTCTGCAAAACATATAAGAGTCAAGAGTCCAAACTAACTACTGAACAGACCTCATCATTATTAAATGCTCCTCAGCTTACCTATTGGCACTTCAAATAGCTGTGTTCTAGGTTTGTGTTCCCTTACGGTATATGTGCATATAATGTCCTCATACTTGATTTGAGGAGGCAGCTTGTCTTCATCATCATCATCATCGTCGTCATCCTCCTCTTCTTCCTCTTCATTATTTTCTTCACCTTCCTCATCACCATCTTCATCATCATTTTCTTCCTCTTCTTCTTCTTCACTGGATTCTAGGCAATGGCAAAATTGAAAGGCTCTAATCTTTCTTCTTTTTTAAAATACAGTTAAAAGAATACATTCACAGTCTTCGAAATAACCTGGGTGCCCCATGCCCGGGACCTGGTAAATTTGCCAGTGGGCATGTGAAAATTCTCAAATTACATGCCCGAAGGGCATGTGTGAATTTTCTTCGATTCACGACGTTTACTTGCTATTTCTTCTGTCATACCCCAGTTATTCGTGTAAACATGCTCTGTAATGTCTTAAGGTGGCTCATTACATCCACAGTTTATTTTAAATTTCATGACAGCACCACTTATCATGTAGATGCCAAATATCCATAATGGAAAAAATTGATATTTTAAATATTTTTAAGAGAATTTTTTAACTTTCTTTTTATTTTGGTGAAATGTTTTATTTCAAAACTGATTTATTATTTCCAAAATTTCAAAACTTTCAGTGTCAAATGATGGACATTTTCATTTAAAAGAGACACACAATGAAAATACCTCATAATACATAATATTTATTTTATTAGAAAAAATAGTTTTCTTCTAAAAAACAATAAATGTCATTATCTTTTTAATCTGCGCATAAAATATTTTTAAAATGAGTTCTAAAGAGACAAGGAATGTATTTCAATGAATTGCTTGTGACATATTGAATGAAGAATGTTTTAACGAAATGAAAATTCCAATTTAGAAAATATTTGGTATAAAAAGTCCTTTTTCAAGAGTTATCTTTCCTAATTACCCAAGACTCAAAACACAATGGAACGTTTGAACATTACATCTAAATTTCAGAATAAAGCTTTAAACTTCCATAATATATATTTAAATCAATAAAGCAATGTATGAATTAACACCAACACAGTAAATTGTGCAAGTAAATAACATTTTTAATTTCAACAAGGTTGTCGATTTAAACTATTATCCTCCATACAAACACGTTGACTGATAGAGCTCACTGCTTCGACATGTCAGAAATTGCACATTACTTGTTAATAAGATTTGCCTGTTGTTTTCTTTTGTTTCTGCTAAAAAGTAATCCTTCTTGGTGTAACAAGATAAACTTATTTGTTTTCACTGTTTATAACAATGGCTCATCTATTTTTAAAGCGTTTTAAAGGTCATCATATTATAATCTCAATCATGGGTGGACCCCAAAGCAAATCGGTCGAAACAATGGAGGTTTATTATTTTGTGTAGCACATGTACGTCATCAAAAAGTGGTGTAATGAGCCTCCTTAATCTGAATTACCAGTCTACATTTGTCCAGAGACAACTTATATGTCTCTGATTTGTCTTACGTTACATTATCGGTACGACCTGTCAAATGATTATCAATCGTAATCATTGAAGTGTTTAATTTAACCTATTTGTTTTATCGATGTTTCTTGCCAAATTACAATATGTTTATTGATACCACATGCAGTGGAGTGCTGTCATGATGATCATGATCGTACTTATGAAATTCAATTCAGCTATAATGGCCAACAAAGGGCCAGTATGCGTGTCAAAAGTTGTTAAAAAAAGGCCTAGAAAATGGCATTAACTTTGCAGACCACGGTTGATTTAAAACTAGCTGTGTTCTAATTTAAACTAAAGATTGAGAGAATTTAAAAACAGAAAAACTGTCCTTATAGTTAATATAAAAACCTTATTTTTTGTTAAACAATCATATCTCTGTTATATGAATGAAATTTGAGTAGGGCATGTACAAATTTCAATAGGCTGGGTTAAAATGACCGGTAAACATGCCCAAAGGGCGTGTGCTGAAAAAGAATTGTTGTGAAGACTGCATTCATCCATGTTAACAAGCAAAACATTCTGCTAATAGAATTCATTAAAATTTCAAAAGATTTTCTTTCATTCCGCTATCTCATTTCATTTTACATTCTCATAACAATAGTTTGGTAAGGAAAAATCTTATTCTCCCCCCTTATTTGTCTTTCTCAATATTCATTCCAGAACTCACCACTTTCTGATGACTCGTGTACAGGCATTCCATACATGTCTCTCTTTACAGGCTTCCTCACTCTCTTAACTCGGCTGTACATGCTTTCTTCCATGTCATCAACCTGTCAATACATACTCAAGTATGTCACACAATGAATGTATGTCTTAATGTTTCATAAATTCACATGCTACAAATTAATAGCTTTTAACACAATTCCACAAAATCTTTCACTTGTCTAGTATGCTCTAACATTTGTAAAAGAGGAAAAAAAAACATTTAAAATTGTTTTAACTTTTCTAAATATAATCAAACTTGAGTGTGGTAAATTCTGCTTATTTTCCTAATGTCTACTAGTAATACATATAAATTTCATTCAAACAACTACATAATAACATACATTATCTGTTTCTTCCATTCTTCTTTTCTTTCTGGGATTGTCTTCGTTATGATCATAGCTCTGCTTATCAACATACAAGGCCCTATCCAAAATCTTGGGGTCAAACGTCCCATAAAGCAGATTCTTCTGTCGGCTACTGCGGCGTACTGCCACCTCTTCCTTCTCCTCCATGATTGGCCGACTTCTACGAACGGATCGTACTGGCCTTGGTGATGGTTTCTTATGGGATTCTGAAAAAATGTTTTCACATCAGTCTACAGAACTGGATGATAACTAACCAACTTTTAAGTGACAGCATCTGGGTCAACTCAAAATGTGATCCTGAAATCAACCTGCCCAAATGCATATGAAAACAATAACTGTTCATCTAAGATGTAAGTTTAGATGCTGACTCTGTAAATCAACCCTAGAAAATTTCTCTATTTTATGCTCACCATAATCACTTTCTTCATCTGTTGGGTCATCATCATGTATAATAAACCTGGAACCAAAATACAAGAAATACATAAGTTCTAACTCACATAATGTAAAGTGCTTACTGTGGAATGAAACAAAAAATTACCATATTTATTTAAACAAAGAAATAGTTGTGACTGGTTTACCTGCGTCTGGTAGCTGCTCTAGTACTTCTCTGGTTTACTGACTTTCTGAGTCTCCTAGGAGAAAAGTCAACAACACCACTACTCTCATCCGTCTCCTCACCCTAAAAATTATTTAAAGTCATTCATTTTTGTTATGAACAGGTACAAGTTTTTATAACATTTCTTTACTTTTATTCATAATATCACAATACATATAACTCTAAATTACATAGAGTACACCCTACCTTGGCTAAAAAAAAAAGTTAGAAAAAATCCTGTTGTTTTTTAAGGAAAATAAAACAAATTTCATTGAATCACTGGAATATATGTATATATAGATATATTTAAAGCCACTTCTTGCTAAGCCACTTCATGGTAGGGGGCAGAGTTTTGACACTGTTTTATAAATAAAGACAAGCAAGTCAAGCATGTCATATATCATATGGTTGTGTTGATCAATCATAATTTATTGTAGAAAACAATGGTATAATAATTTGCCAGTGCATTTTTTCTGAAAGTGTAAACAACTGTAATTCAGGAGAGGAGGTACTCCATGTTATTCAGAGTTGGATGCCTTTAGTTTTATGATCATACCACAACAATGATACTACTACAAAATTTATCACAGTTCTAAACAAGTGCCTGTAGTGTAATGGGACTAATCTGTGCGAGTGTCATGGTTGTCCCTAAGAATTGAAGTACTCTAAGGAAACATTAAAAAAGAAGAAAGGGGTCTGGGTTTCACTCCCCAAATGAAGAGTTTACTGGAATAACAACAGCAAAACAAAGGGATTACATAATTATTGGCGAAGAAATTCCCCAACCCCCGCATCTCAAGCAAAGCACGGATCAATCAATGACATGTCAGATTGAAAGTATATGTAAAACAAATGTGTCATAAATGGAATATACAGATTTCCTTTTGTTGTTTTAATTATCCAGCAACACTGAGCACTTTGTTGCCTGTGTGCCATAAAATAAGCTCAAGATTCAGATTTAAATAAAGTCAAAACATAGATTCACTGCTGCAAGAGTTTAATTTTTGAAAATTAACTTCACATATATGACTTTAATTAAAGATGCTACGATATACATGGAAGTGAAAGTATATAAGTATACAGGAACCTATGATTCACGAGGAAATTCGAAATGAATGAAAACCCTTTGTTTGATATAAAAGGTTGTGCGAATTCACACTTATATCAGATGAAATCTTACGTTCGCTTCATGTTCCCTCTTGTCGAAACCTTCATGAGACAAAAACGGCACATCCGAGCGATTTTCCGCTCGGTGTCTAGTATTCACCATTCTTTTTCGGCTGCTTTCCTACTTTCATGAAGCCCTTTCACATCGAAACCACTTACTACGCACAATGTAGTGCAAGTATATTCCAAGAAATTTATGGAATGCATCTGAAAAATATATTCTAAACCAAGTAGAAATGAAATTAAACATTATAAAACTACTATTTTAAAGGGTAATATGTCCATTTATAACATTTTTAATCATGCGGATGATACTGATCTCATTTTCATAACATAGGTAGAAATGGCGCCAAATGTGATTGGGTGGTCTCCCACTTTTAACATAAACAAACTGATAAATAGAGATCACCAGATATTGACAGTAACGTAACTGTCGTTCAACAAAATTTTAGAATGACTTTTTATTATAAATATGCATTTAGTTTTCATATCATGATCTTCTTCGCCTTCTGCTTACAAACACTCCTGAAGATTATATCAGTGTAGCCTAATATAGACCTGGGTAGGCATGCAGCCAAGTCTAGGCCCGGGCTAGGCTGTTTCCCTAAATTTTCCCCTGATATTTTTTAGTTTGTTATTTTGACGCCAAACTTGCACATGAATTTATTAATATATTCGATCAGTGCATACTATTAGTTCAAGATATATTACTGTAGTCAGCGGCGGCTCACACAAATTGTTCCGACGAAAATAGTTCCATCATTAATAAGCTACAACATAATTGTTCACGATAAGAATAATGTTGTGTATGTCAACCAAAATTAAAATTTTTATATTTGCTATTGCAAATAAAAAATGTAGAATATTCATTATTTTTCTTTTTTAACATGTATATAAATTTTTAGGTCATTCTTCTCTTATTTTTTCAAAAAAAAATATCAACAACTGATAAAATCATGTTATTGTTCCACTTTTCAAATATTTCTGAGAAACAAATAATCATTTGTGTGTGTAGTATATCAAATGACTTTTAAGACAAAGAGTGTGTAGACAAACTACACATCGGGAGACCTGCAAAATGTGTAACAAAACCCGAACTGGCCAGGGATTTCTAAACTGACAATCTTTAATTTTTATGAATCAGAATTTGTATTCATGTGATCTAATTATTTCAGTCTGCCATCGTAACTTCTCTGTTATCCGTTTGACAACTCCATCGCATGTGTATAGACCAAGGCTAACCTTGCGGACATAGGTATGTGTACTGTTTGTTAGCATGCTTAGGAGACGGGTGACCATAATGCTACGGACTCACGAAATTTACACAAGTTATATAACTAGACAGTGCAGTTTTATTTTTATAAACGTCATTAAACACTGTTATACATATTTATTCTAAAGGTCGAATACTTGCACATGAATTTATTTGAATTTTATTTTTAAAAAATTAATTATTCTTAATAAAAAAAATGGCGACAAAGATAAGGAAAACAGAAATTAGTGTTAAATCACAATTTTTCAAGATCACTCAGTTAATTCTTTAAGAAACACATATTTTAAGAAAAACAGCATAGAAGATTTGATTGTTTATTAATTTTTTTAATCTGAGTTGTTCGTTGTTCTAACTTAGTAAAGATAAGTGGTTCATAAGCGTCGGATTCAGCCCTGAAGGGGGGGGGGGTAAATATATTCAAGAAATCTATTTATAGTATTGCAGGCCCGAAGGTGGAGTATTGAGTATCCAGAAAAAAAAAAACGCACAGAGAATATTACAGAAGCATTTGCTCAGGCACATAGTATCACTTTTGAAAGTGGGACACACCGATTTTTTTTTAACTTACGGCCTGAAACTTTGACCAGCTGTTGACTGTGACAAAGAAAAACTTTGTTGTCCAACTTGAAAATCCTTTTTCTTGAGGGGGACCAACTCTTTGCATAATCAAATTTCCGCATTACCCTGATATGATTTTATTGCAACAAAAATATGGGGATCGAAATGGCGGAATGATCCTTTCAATGAACATGAAGGGGGGGTAGTTTACTTCCCTTTTATTTTTATTATCATTATTATTTTTTTTTTTTTCGGAATTTTAGGTTTAGAATTCCCTGTATTACCTTATATTTTCATTGAATTTGCATCCGCGGTTTTAAAATTGCAATATATATTACAGTAAACGGAAAATATTTTGATTATACGTTTTCATAATAAAACACATTTAACAAAATAGCGAATTTTCTACAGATTTTACGGGAAAAATTTAAAAAAAAAACAACAGGAATTTTTGTTGTTGTTGGTTGGTTGGTTGGTTTGTTTGTTGAAGTAGATTTAAGAGATTTATTTTCATTTATAATAACTATAGGTCCTTGACAGTGTTCCTTATATATAAAAATATATATATATTTCTACTGCCTATTCACAAATACTTTTATACTCTATTTAATACTTGTATATGTTTAGAAAGGTGTGTCTGTAAATCATCTTTTCATTTGTACAGATGTATATATATCAGTTTGGGCACTTAATTTAGTAATAAAACTTCTCTTATCTTTCATCTCATGTTGTGATGAATTTTCGCCAAATTTAACGTCATTATATAAATTTTATGGTCCTCATTATTCAAACATAGTGTAACAGGACCGATATCATTTATATGAAAACGGGCGGATCGAAACCTCAGTCTCCGATGTAATAAAAGACGTTTGTTATTTCGCGGCATATTTGATCACGTGACCGATGAACCATCATGGCAGGAGCTCGACAAAATATGACAAACGAACATGAGGAGTTACCGTGCTAATGTTGATAGGGTTGGATTTATAATAACAAATTGAGAGAATAGAAATTAAATTCATTTTTGTAAAATTTCATCATAAGGGCAAAATGTCCACAATAGTGCCAGGTTCAAGAATTTTGGGAACTGTCACCCACGTGGAGTTCGGCGCAGGTGTGTGTTACGGATACTGTCAGTTATGTGAGGAAAATGTTGTGGAAGAACTTGCAGAAAATATTCAGAGTAGTGTAAAAAATTGTGCAGTGTTAGATGGTAGGTTGGGGAATGATGAAATTGTTTTAGCGTTGTTTCATGAGGATGATAATTGGTACAGAGGCAAGATTGTCGGAAAAGGCGCCAACAACCTGTCCATATTTTTTGTTGATTATGGCAACACAGAAACTGTTAGTGCAGACAATATTAGAAAACTTCCTAGCTTGCTGAAGCATGTAGAACCACTGGCGACAAAGTGTGTGTTTGTTGACATCTCTCCAGCAAGAGGTCAATGGACACCAGAGGAAGAGGAGGCAGTGAAAGAGAGACTGCTGAATGAAGAATACATCGTAGAAGTTGTTCAGAAATCTCCACAGGGATATTCTGTAAGCCTGCACAGTCCATCTGCCAATGGCCCATCCTCAGCCAGCTCCATGACATTACAAAATGTCAATACAAACTCTTGTTATCAGTGCTATATTTCGTACATAGAAAGTGCAAATAAATTTTGGGTTCAACTTCAAGAGACCGAAAATGAATTAAACGATTTAATGAGTCAAATTGCAGAATACTGTTCAAGTAATGCTGAAAGACTTGGAAGTCCACAAATGGGAGAATTTTGTCTGGCTTACTATAGTGAGGACGAGGTGCCATATAGGTCACAGATATTAACAAGTACCTCAGACAAATGTCTTGTGCAGTTTGTAGATTATGGAAATTCAGAATCCAAGTCACATGATGAATTATTTTCTCTTCCAGCCAAATTCATGAATTTTCCAATTCAAGGTATTAGGTGCTGTTATAAAACTACCAGAGTGAATCCGAGTAAACTTGAGGACAAGCTGCAAGAACTGTCAGCTTCTGAAGGAGTGGTAAACGTTACATTTCTGAGGAAAAGTAATGATGAGTACACAATAGAAATAGATGAGATCGAAAGGATGGAAAGTCGTGGAAACTCGAACAGTTCTCAGACATTAGAGTCACAGCATGAATACCCTGTAACATCACTTGTGGGTAGTCAGAGTTACGACATATGTATTTGCTTTGTGGAGCACCCTGGACGATTCTTTGTTCAGCTTCTTGGAAGTTCTGATACAGTCAGTGAACTGATGGATCTAGCTCACGAGGAATTCATATCAAACAGGCCGCTTTCAAGACCCTCTCCCAAACAATCGTGCCTAGCCAAAATGAGTGATGGTGCAGTGTACAGGAGTTTTGTGGAATCTGCAGGATCTTCTGTTACAGTCACATCAGTAGACTTTGGGTTTACAGAAACTCTAGGTGTACAAGACCTCAGAGAAATTTCAGAAAAATTGACATCTATCCCAGCCCAGTGTGTACAATGCACCGTAGACCTAACAAAGATGACACCAGACTACTGGTCAGAAGGAGAAATAGAAATTCTGAAAGGATTTGAAAATGACGCACCTTTAGTATCAAAGGTAACCTCAAGTAGAGGAGGAGTGTACCAGTTAGACCTGTATGATACAAGAGACAAAGACATTGATCGTTATTTGAATGAGGAGTTGTTAGGAGTTAAAAAGCAAGGGAGATCTGTGTCGTCCTATAAAGAGTCTGCCAGGCAGCCGGTCGCGAGAGTAAGGATACCAGAGCCGGACGTCCTTGTTGGCAGCACTGAGCTGGTCTGTGTCACTGCGATGTACTCCATGAAACAGTTCTACGGACAGCTCACCAAAGTTCCAGTTGAGAAGTTTTCCTCTCTCCAGGAGACTTTAGTGAAGGTTTACGAAATGGGACAGGATGTCGTAGCTGACTGTCAGGTGGGAACATTCTGCTGTGCAAAGTACACGGATGGATCCTGGTATAGAGCTCTTGTTACCTCGGTCACAGGGAGTACCGCAGAGATCATGTTTATTGATTTCGGCGATTCCTGCACTGTCCCCACGACTTCGTTGTATCAGATTCATCCTAGTGTTGCTGACACCCCACAACTCTGTATCATGTGCCAATTCCAGAAACCCCCAACAAGTGTCAGTTTGTCAGATTTACAGACTCTTTTGGTTGATAAAGTAGTGGAAGTCAAACTTGCGTCCAGGACAGGCAAGTAACTCCGTTATTTTCCTTCATACAGTATTTCTTGAATCTTTCAAAATAAGCTATATTTGCAAAATAAAAGTTAAAAATGTTTTTTGTGATTATATTTTGTGAAATAATTTTAATTTCAGTTGATTAGAGTTTTTTTTTATTTCTACAGAAGGAGTATTTCCAACGTTCCAGATTGAACTAACGAGCCATTCAAACAATAGATCTATCACCAGTAAACTGTTTGGGAACCAGCACAAGATCCCACGCCTCCCTCAAGCGGCCATGCAGAGTGGGTAAGTTGAACCATGCTTGCAAGATGAAAACACATGCCTGTATATTTAAGAATTACTCTTGCAGTGGCAGTTTGTAAAGTTTCAGATTGCTTTTCTCCCCTCTTGAAAAATATTTATCTCAGTGGGTTACAAAAGAATATGGTTAATGCTCTATCTTAAAAACAGTCTAATTTTTAAGATTAAAAAATTACTTTATTGATATTTTATTTTCGAAAGTAAACATAAAATTGCATTCAGATATATATTTTGATGATCTGAAATGTATGTTACTGTTTGGATGTAAATGTTTTATTAATTGTTAATGTAAAGAAGCAGTGGTGAGAGGAAGGGGATGGTGGCTATAGGTGACCAGGAGGAGGTTATGGTGACACATGTGGTAGATCCCGACCACTTCCACTGTCAGCTCAGTAAGACCGCCGTCCAGCTCGACGCCCTAATGGAGAGTCTGGACAAACACTACTCTGCCCTGGGGGAGTACGATGAACAGCTGACCAATGTATCGCTCGGACAGCACTGTGTGGCTAAATATAGCGCTGATCAAGACTGGTACAGAGCCCAGATTACAGGTTAGTGTGGAGATATTGCTTAAATATAAATCTGTGTTTTGCTTAAGAACCAGCTGAAAGCCAAATTCAACATTTGTATTTGATATACATGCTATTTAAAAATCAAATTTAATAAGTAATCATTAGGTCCATAGAGATTTTTTTTCACAAACCTCATCCCTTATTCTGTTACAATTAATCTTGAACCCTTTATAAAATAAGCAGTTAATAAAAAAATCTCATAAAAGTTTCTCTGAATCCACAAGTTTATGTAAATTTATCCAAAAAATTTCATTTAAAAAGATTAAAATTGCTCATATTATACAGGAAAAATTGTCAACCCCCTTTTTTTCAATTGGAATATCACAATGCATTTTCGTATTGCAATTGATCAACAAATAAAATTTAGGTTAAAGAACGATATGTATCCAGGCATTTAGAGAAATTGTCATCATTTTTATACTATTTGTAACCAATTTGTCATGTATTCCATAATAAACAGATAAAAGGCTTTTGCTATCATTGCAAGACACCATAAATCACTTCTTATTTCATATCATAATAGCATATACCTTAGTGTTGATTCAAGAAATCTTATTTCTCTCATACATGCCAACTTTTGAAAATTCCCATGGGGGATTTAGCGCGCATCTTTTTTGCTTTATTTCCACATTTTGTCGTGAAATTAAATGAATGATTATGAAATGATTTTTTTTTACTTATATATTGATATTACTTATCAATAAACTGCATGTCGCTTAACACCAAATATATATTTTTCTTTCCAAAATTGAAATATTTCTGCCTAAAATAGGTGCCTCTTTCACTTAAGAAGGGGGTATTTAGTTACATATGTAAACAACATTTTTTTTCTACCAGAACACATAATTTAGTGAAAAATTGAAAATTTTACAACTTTTAAATCATTTTTTCAAAGGCTAAAAAATATGAGGTTTTGATACACTGTAAAGTCCTGTTTCTGGAAACATTTTTGAGATTTTTTATATATATATTAGATTCTTATTATTAAATTTAAGAAATTTATACCACATATCTAAAAGAAAATTGTTTTTTTTTTACAGTCATGAAATTTGTCAGGCTTGATGGTGCCATGTGGGTATTTCCTTAAGTCATGCACATTACTTTTGGGAGAATAGGGAAACATGAAATTCTAATTGAAATACACTTGATTGTTTCATCTTAATTTTTTCATAATATTTTAAATGGCAACTTTATTTTTCATTATAGGTAGAAAAAATCAGCTATGCTTTGTAGTTTTCTACTTTCGTTTTCAAAAAAATCTTTTATTTTTTATGGTTTAAAGTATTTTATTGTCTTTAATTTATGTTTTTAACCCTACCCTATAATTTTGATCAGCACAGCTGCTGCCGCAAATATAAACAAACAGTCAAAGGGAATGCAGAAAACTTTGTTATCTGCCTGTATTATCTTTATTTTTCTAATTACACTAATGCAATCTGCAGAAAACTTGCACAGCATAAATATCCCTATCTTTCTATAATATTTATAAATATATTTTATAATAGCCATACCATAAAGACAACTCAAAGAAGATTTGTTTATTAATAAATAAAGCTATAAATAATATATACTCAGTGTGTATGTTAAACCTCAGCATCAATATTCTCCTCATTAATAGATTCTTCATCTGAAACCGTCATATAAAATTCTGTCTAATACTTCATCTAAATTAAAGCCACGCAGATTTCTGTTAGCCATTTTAGAAACTCTCTTTGTTTTGATACCTATAAATTTCACACCTACCATCACTGATTGGTTCAGTATTTTTATAATATATTTTCATTGGTATTTTTGTTACTTTGATTCATACATCTTATTACAGTGCTAAAATTTTTTCATATGAGGAAACCCCCCGCAAACGACCTGGTTTGGCAGCAGCGGTTATATAAGCCATCACCATGTCCATCAGGATAAGGGTTAATAAAATGACTAACAGTTATCACGTTAATCTATGTGTTTCACCTTGCATACCCCTTAAAACTCAGAAACTAATTGCCCCCAAGCTATAAGCTACTCGTACCTGGACAACTGCGTGAAAATTTCCTGTGGCTAATTATAATTAACATCTGGTTAAATAAACAATGAAACTTATCTATGTGCATTGAATATACAAGTCTGACATTGTTATCCCAATTGTCAAAATTCAGCGGTAGGGAAACTTTTAAAATCTGAAATTTTAAGGTGATTTTTTTTTTTTTCAAATCGGGAAATTTAATTTTTCTGTGAAGTTTTGTGCAAAATCGGTTTCCCGAAACTAAATCGGAAAAGTTGGCATGTATGTTCTCTAAAATTGTACCATTTTTTTTCCTTTTATAGGGTACAAATGTCAACTTTTGTAAGACCTTTTCTAAGACTTCCAAAAACCTTGAATCTTATAAAGATGAATAAAATGAAAATTGCTGCATGAAAAAAATTCATTTCAAGCTTCATTTTGATGCATTTCAAATTAAATATTAATTTTTGGAGTTACCCTTCCTGGCTGAGGATTGGATATCCTTAATCTTTAACCCTTTACTTTCAAATAAAGTACCATAAAATCGCGTGTATTGGCCGCACTTTTTTCGTCAAAAAATCGTTTAAAAGTAGGGGTGTGCTCAATACATAGGAACAAAATTCAACCCCCTTTTTTTCAGGTCACTTTCTCAGTACCGACGACAATTTTCCTGATCCATTTAAATTGATTACTCTTTGTAACCAATTACGTCGAAGTTAATCTAATCAGAGAGTTTTATACGTAAGCCCTATTTGTTGTAGAAATATACATATACCCTAAGTGTTGAAAGAAATAAAATTGTTTCAGAAAGATAATTCTGATGAAAAACCATCTTTGTTTGTTTTATTTCCATTGCGTATTCCGCCATTTTGAACTACTGTCACTTATATCATCAACGAACTGCATGTCGCTTAAGACATATATATATTTAATTAATACCTATAAATGAGTCAACACTGTAATCTTTGTGATATATTCTGAATTATTCTTAATTCTTTAACTTATTTTAATTTTTTTTAAAATTTAAGATATGTAATTAGAGGTACAAATCGTTAGGTATTCTATTGTTGCGTCATTGCTATATTTCACTTCAGTCTTTGTTGTCACGTAGGACATGACTATTGTTTATATAACAATTATCACCTCAACACCTGCATTATTAAAACACTAGCCTATATTTCAGACGGAAGCACATAGGAAACGTATTTGTAAAAATAGTCAATTACATTCAAAAAAATTATCAATGGATACCAATAACTATATGCCAAATTGTTGACACTAATTCGCTTTGGTATGACCCAGTTTTCATGTGGTTTTGTTTACGTACATACTGACCCGCGCTTGGTATGCATTATAGCCTACCAGTAAGCATGATTAGAATTAATTAAAAAGAAAATAATCAAGTATTTTTATCTATGGTTAGATAATTATTATAAAGATTAAATTTTAAATGTTCACAACACTAAAATACGCAAAAAAAACTGTGCTACTTTGGAATTACATTGTATTAGTAGCTTGATGTTTGTCATTTGTTGTTGTCGTCGTCGTTGTTGTTGTTGTTGTTGTCAAACTTTTCACATTTTCATCTTCTTCTCGAGAAACATAATTGGCACAAAGTATCAAATTATTTTTCACTTTTCAAATTTTTTGTTAAAAATTAATGTTTTTAAACATCTTCTTCTCCAGAACCATGGGCCAGGAAAGATGAAACTTGTGGAAGCATCCTCAGTAGTGTAGATTCTTTGTTCAAATCATGACCCCCGGGGCAAGGGGGGGCCAAAATGGCCAACCCAAGTTTTACATATGAATATATAGGAAAAATCTTTAAAAATCTTTTTCTCCAGAACCACTGGGCCAGGAATTTTAATTTAAGATTCAAGTTTGTTCAATTGACCCCCGATGTACAAATCGTTTTTACATAGGAATATATAGGAAAAATTTTTAAAAATCTTCTTCTCAAGAACCACTAGGACAGGAAAGATGAATCTCATGTGGAATCATCCTCAGGTAAAGTAGATTCAAGTTTGTTCAAAGCATGACCCCTGGGGCAGGACATGGCTGACCCAAGTTTTGCATATGAATATATAACTTTAAAAATCTTCTTCTCCATGGGCCAGGAAAGATGAAACTCATGTGGACATCCTCAGGTATTATTTGTTCAAAACACTACCCCCGCCTATAAATTTTACATAGGAATATATAGGAAAAATCTTTAAAAATCTTCTTCATTAAAAAAAAGATAAACTCATGTGGAACCAATCACTAGTGTAGATTCAAGTTTGTTTACACTATGACCCGCTTTGGTATGACCCAAGTTTTCATAGGAATATATAGGAAAAATTTTAAAAATCTTCTTCTCCAGAACCACTGGGCCAGGAAAGATGAAACTCATGTGGAATCTTGGTAGTGTAGATTCAAGTTTGTTCATATCATGACCCCCGGGGCTAGGGTGGGGCCAAAATGGCCAACCCAAGTTTTACATAGGAATATATATGAAATATCTTTAAAAATCCTTCTGAATATCCAAAAAGAAAATGTGGAATCAAGTGTAGATTTTTTGTTCATCTGACCCCCGTGGCTAGGGTGGGGCCAAAATGGCCGACCCAAGTTTTACATAGGGATATATAGGGAAACCTTTTAAAATCTTTAAAAGCTATGATTAGTAATAATTATATGGAATTTTCCTCAGGTAGTGTAGATTCTAGTTTGTTCAAATGATGAACACCTGGAGGGGGGAGTAATTTTTTCATATTTTATTTTAAGTTACTGTTCTAGAAAAGTAAAGTCACATCCAATTCATGCATTTTTGGGATGGGCTTTTTGCATAGGACCTGCGTTTTTTTCAGGAATTTCACCCGAACTTTGGGGGTGCGTCCTTTACAACATTGTGCTCAATACACACGATTTTACGGTAAAACACCAATAAATGAAGTTTAAATGGGAAAAGTCAGAAGATTTTAATTTAAAATACTTCTAATCAATGAATACTTGCAATGTCTTAAATGTTTCAAACAGGCATGTTGAACAATGGGATGGCAGAGGTTAAGTATATAGACTATGGTAACACGGAGTGTTCACCCAAGGAGAATCTGAAACAGATCAGCGATGAACTGATGACACTACCTCCCCAGGCAGTACTCTGTGGACTGGAAGGTGGGTCACAGCATTCATATTAAAATTCACAGTTACCTTGTGTCTCATGAAAGTACATTGCTGTGAACTAAAACTTAAGTCATTAGTTCATCAATATTACAGTGAATTACCAACAAATATGACAATTTGGTCTAACAAATATGACATTTAAAAAGTTTTGAATCTAAGTCAAGACGTGTATTTGTTGTTAATTGTTATGCTGAAAAATGTTAAACTTAATGACATTTTAAAGGAGTTGCCTCACCAGATGGATTTTGGCTGCCTGAAAAAGTGGCTCAGTTTGAGGACTTGGTTCTGGACCAAACATTCAAGGCCACATTCAAGTCCAAGAAAATGGGAGAGGACATCCTGCTGTGTGTCCTGGAAACTCCTGACGGCACCAACATCAACAACAAATATGGCACCAGTACCAATTCACTCGCTCCTACAGCCAACAACTTTCAACAAAGGTCAGTATTAAGTATATTGTGGTATGTGTATATATGTGTGAATGATGTTTGTATGTAGTAATATTTCTTAACTTGGTATTCTCAGAATTAGATTGTCTATTATTTATTAATGGAATGCCTGAAAATACTGGTATACTGCTGAGTAGTACTTCAGAAGTTAATAAAAAACTGCTATACACACTTTGAACAGGGGACGATTTGGAGACAGACCCTCAGGTGGAAGATCTAATGATTCACGACCAGGATTTGGTGGTGGAGACAGAGGTAGCCGCCCTGGCTTTGACGGTGGTAGTAGAGGCCCAGGATTCAGTTCTGGAGGATTCAGCAGCAAGTCTCCACCTGGTGGCACCACCTCAGGGGATGGAGGCTGGGATGAGACCCCCTCAGCTAGTTCATCCTCCCACAGCTTTGGAGGTGGAGGCAGAGCAGGGTTTGGTGGATCTGGTGGCTCCTCTGGGGGAGGATTTGGTGGATCTAGAGGATTTGGAGGAAGTGAGGGTGGATCTAGAGGATTTGGAGGAAATGATGGTGGATCCAGAGGATTTGGAGGTGGCGGGGGTGGTTTTAGACGAGAGGGTGGTGACCGAGGTGGAAGTGGTGGGTATATCTTTAATTCTGTTGAATGTTATTGGTCTAAGATCTGGGAAGATGTAAGGTGGAGATCATATGTACATGCATCTTGTTAAGTTTTTGTATCAGTGAAATTTATATTTATCTTGGCAAAATACATGTAAATTGAAATAATTTTTTCTACATAAAAAAAAAAATTGAAAAGAGAAATGACTATTGCAGGCTGTAGAAAATGTGGAGAGGAGGGTCATTTTGCCCGAGATTGTCCTCAAGGTGGATCAGGTGGTGGAGGTAGGGGCTGTCATAAGTGTGGGGAGGAGGGGCACTTTGCTCGAGATTGTCCCAAGGGTGGTTCTGGAGGAGGGGGTGGAAGAGCTTGTCACAAATGTGGAGAAGAGGGCCACTTTGCCAGAGATTGCCCCAAGGGTGGTCAAGGTGGAGGAAGGGGTTGTCACAAGTGTGGAGAGGAGGGGCATTTTGCCAGAGACTGTACATCAACAAACCAAAGAAGTAAGTATTTAAAGTGCAGCTTGCTTAGAAAGTATGCGAAAAGAAAAAAAATCAAATTATGCAATATATTTTTAAAAAACAGAAAAAAGAAAATTATCATGAAGAATATGTGTAAGGCAAAAATATGCACACCTATTGAGTTGGAAGTTCTCTTAAACTAAAAGAAATACAGATTAAACTTTGAATACCTTCAATTTTTGTTAATTAAATAGGTGACAGAGGATTTGGAGGCCGTAGTGGTGGTGGTTTTGGAGGAGGTTCCAGTGGTTTTGGAGACCGTGGTGGTTCCAGTGGATTTGGAAACAAAGGCTCGGGTGGTGGATTCGGTGGAAGGTCTGAGCGTCCTTCAGGAGGTTTCTCAGGAGGATTTGGTGGTGGTTCCTCAAAGCCAGCAGCTGATGATGATTGGGGAGACTCTTCAGATTCCAAGCCCAGAGGTTCCTCGTCAGGTTTTGGATCCAGGTCTGGAGGTGGATTTCAAGGAGGAAAGCCCAGTGGTGGATTTGGAGGAAAGCAAGGAGGTGGCTTTGGAGCCAGTAGAGGAGGAGGTGGTTTTGGTGGTAACACAGGTGGTGGTGGTTTTGGTGGTAGTGCTGGAGGTGGAGATGGTGGTGCAGAAGATGACTGGGGAGACAGTGCCACAACCACACCAGCTGCCACGGTTAAGTCCCCAGGATGGAGTGCCACACCCAAGAGAGATGGGAATCAGTGGGGGCATGAGGATGCTGACTTGTACAAACTTGCAAGACTCCCTTCAGACAAAGCTGTCAAAGTATATGTAGTGTACGTCAAATCTCCCACTGAATTCTGGAGCCAGATGGTCAGCAAGTCCGAAGAGTTAGAGGAAATGATGGAGAAAATGAATGAAGAGTATAATGGCTTATTTCCCAAAGAGAGATGTGTACATGAGTATGAAGTGGGAAAACCCTGTGTTGCCAAATTTTCTGAAGACAACAGATGGTACAGAGGGGAGATCTCAGAAGTTGAGGATGACAAAGTGAAGGTACATTTTGTGGATTATGGGAATACAGAAACTGTAGATAAATCTGAAGTGAAGGCAGCAAATGCAAACTACATGAGCCTAGAGATACAAGGAGTCAAATGTTCCCTCAGTGGAGTGGCCCAGGAAGACTGGCCAACAGAGGCAATAGAAAAGTTTGAAGAATTGGTCATGGATAAAGAACTAGAGGCAAATGTTGTCACTTTTTCTGGTGGATTGTACATGTTAAAGCTATCAGAGAATGATAAAGATGTAGCACAGAGTTTAGCTGATGCTGGACTATGTAAAGTTTCGTCTTCTCCCATTGTCAGCAAGTCAGTAGAAAATCCTTATCCAGGTCTACCTCAACAAGAAGGAGAGAAAGTCGCAGCCTTTGTGTCTTGGATTGACAACCCTCACAACTTCTGGATCCAACCAGAGGAAAAAGCAGATAAGTTGGAAGAACTGGTGGCAGAGATACAGGAGCATTATGAATCTGGAGGCAGTGAAGTGGAGAATGTTAATCTGGGAGATCCCGTAGTCGCTAAGTTCTCTGAAGATGAGGCGTGGTACAGAGCTTATGTAGAAAACATCCAGGGATCAAATATTACAGTCAGGTTTGTGGATTATGGGAACACAGATGTTGTTACTAAAGACGCACTACGTCAGGTAGAACAGAAATTCCAAGAAGTCCCAGCCCAGGCTCTAAGATGCAGCCTCTCGGGTGTGAAACCTCTACAAACTGGATGGTCAGATGACACCAAGGATATCATGCAGAGTTTGGTCCCTGATGCTGTCAGTGTTTGTTTCATGGAGAAGAATTCTGATGGAACTTGGAAGGTTTCCCTTTCTGCAGGTGAAGTGGATGTGGCAGAGGAGTTGATCAGAGCAGCAGTTGTGAGGAAGGAGACTTCAGAATCCTCTACATTACTGGTGAAATCAGAGTTCCCTCCTCAGACCCCCCTACCTGTTGACAGTTCCCACCAGGTGTTCGTCTCCCACACCAACTCCCCCACCAGCTTCTACTGTCAGTTAGCACAGAATTCAGATCAGTTAGACACACTGCTCGGAGAGATAGAGGAACGGGTGGAAACTTTGAATCCAGTGGACAGTGTGTTGGGGGGCATGGCGTGCATGGCAAAGTACAGCGTAGACGAGGCTTGGTATCGATCCCTGGTCACTGGTGTCTCTGAAAACACAGCAGATGTCTTGTTTGTAGATTATGGGAATTCAGAATCCATTTCTCTAGAGAATATTTGCAATATTCCAACAGAACTTCTCAAACTTGAACCACAAGCCATACACAGCAAATTGTCAAATCCAGACGGTGTTGGAGATGACTTTGGAGACCAAGTAGCAGATAAAGAGATGACCCTGAAGGTTGTAGGACAGTCACCCACGTTCTTGACAGTAGACCTCTTCTTTGATGATGGAAAACCAGTGTCAGAACCCAGGACTGAAGCTCCAGCGAGTGAAGCAGAGGAGGCTCCAATGTACAAACATATCAATTACACAGAACCAGCTGGAACTCAAATTAAATGTTTTGCCACCTATATAAAATCACCCTCCATGATCTACCTTCAGAAAGAAGGGTGTGAGGAACCACTGGAGGCCATGACAGCAAAACTACAAGAGTCATCAGGTGCTTGTTCTCTATTAGCCAATCCAAAGCCAGGACAGATATGTGGAACAATATACTCTGAAGACAAGGCATGGTACAGAGGTGTAATAGAGGAGATTAATGCAGGAAAAGCCAAAGTAAGGTTTATTGACTACGGCAATAGTGAAGAAGTGGAAACAAGTTCACTGAAAAACCTTCCATCAGAATTGGCAACATTACCACCATTTGCCTATGCATGTTCTTTGTGTGGAGTTTCCTCATTGGATGGAGACTGGAGTTCAGAGGTCACGACCCAGCTGGAGTCCCTGATTGTAGACAAAGATCTGACCTGTACTTTTGTGACAGGATCCGAGGTGAAGCTGGAAGTGGAGGGTAGAGACATAGGGAAGTCACTGGAGGAAGCCGGCCTGGTGAAGTACGAGGAAAGCACCTGTACTCCCGAGGAACCGGAGCCAGTGAGAGTGACGAGCATAGAGGAGCAAATCATTCCCACAGAGGCAACCACAGCTTATGTCAGCCACATTGACAAGGATCAGTTCTTTCTACAGCTAGCAAGTCAAGAGGATAAGCTAGGAGAAATTATTGAAAACATTCAGAATCACTGTGAGAAAGCCAAACCTTTGACAGAGGTAGCAGTTAATGAATACTGCTGTGCCAAGTTTACTACAGACAATTCATGGTACCGAGCTATTGTAACGGACATGAAAGGTGACATGGTGGATGTTCTATTTATAGACTTTGGCAATAGTGATACAGTCACTACAGATAACTTGCGTACTCTGAGAATTACCAGCCCTGCTCTGGCGTACCGATGCTGTCTGACTGGGTGTACCACCATGTCCACAGAACAACAGGAACTGTTCTCAAAGCTGACACTGGATGCTGAGGTTACTGTGACATTTGACAAACAGGTGGACAACAAGCACGAAGTCACATTGATGCTGGTGGGGGATCGTAGTGTTAATAAAGAGATTATACAGTTAGGTAAGTCTAAGAACTAGGTCAGATTTTCATAATATTTTAATAGCTTGTCTTTTAAAGTGATGTTTACTTTACAAAGAAGAAATTCAGTACAAGCTGTCATTGGTCTTTTACAGGTGGCGGTGAACTGGAGGTGAATGGTCAAGGAATTGTTTCAGATCTCTCGGAGATGGAAGAAAGACAAGACACTGGTAATTATTGATCACTTATACCATTTATCTGAATGTCAAAGTACATGGTGTAATATACATGTTGTGTCTTTTTAAGAAGTTTTTATGGGCTTAATGAGAACTGTTTTGGATAATGTTCAAATAATGTTACTTGTTTAATACATGTCAGAACACATACATAAGACGAAACTGTGTAAATTAACAAATAGTAGAAGCTATGTAAATTTTTATTTGTCTTGTATACATGCAAGTGTTTGATCTTGTAGCTTCCCAGTCGGTGTTGATGGATGAGTCCCATATAACCCTGGATGAAACGGGTTTTGACGAAAATGACCTGAACGTCACATGTAATGGAACAAGTAAGTGATATGGAAAATTTTCTCTACATAAAATATAAATTCCCAATATTCTCAACATTCATTTTGACTAAAGAATACTTTCCTCCCTTTATTAATTCTTTTTCCTTAATCCTTTATTTAATACAATCTTCCAAAAAAAAAAAAATGTTTGTTAGAAGTTATTAAGGTGTTTATATACTTGAGAACTTTGTTGTATCAGCTGAGGAGGAGGAGACGATCTCGAGTGTGAGCGAGCTGAAGGCTGCAGCCGTCCAGACCGAGGACAGAGTGGAGGTCACGGTCAGCTGTGTTTACTCCCCCAGCTGTTTCTACCTCCACATCGGCGACTCCACCCCCCTCAGTGACCTCCTGGACCAGATGTACGAGTTCTACAGCAACACCCCAGAGTCATCCTACAAGATAAAGAAAGTGGACATCAACACGCCATGTGCTGCTAAGTTTTCTGAGGATTCCTCCTGGTATCGAGCCGTTATCAAAAAACAGGTGGACGTGGATAAAGTGGAGGTGATATTTCTGGACCACGGTAATATAGAGGTGTGTGCCATTACTGATCTTCGCCGTCTCCTGAAGCGATTCTGTGACCTCCCTATCCAGGGTGTGGAGTGCTCACTGGCTGGGGTAAGGTCCAAGGACGGGCCATGGAGCAAGGATGCCACAACTCTCTTCACAGAACTTACTCAGGACAAGTTAGTCATTCTTACATGATAAAATCTGTTTATTAAATGTTAAGCTATATCTGAACATTTGTTATGTTTCTATGCTTTAAAAAAATTAAAATTCTATTTCCATAAAAGTTGATATAAAGATCGTAAAATAAATCTAAATCTTAGTCATATAAGTAGAAATTTTAAAATACCTAAGTATCTTTAAAAAAAAAATTAAATGCATTCTTATAAAGAATTAACATAAAACTTCTTTTGGTAAATCAAAGTGAGGAACTTTCATTTTGTTAGGTCACCTGAGTAAACTCAGGTGACCTATTGCTGTCTGTTTTCGTCCGTCGTCGTGCGTCTGTGCGTCGTGCGTCGTCCGTTAACATTTGAACATTTTCAGCTTCTTCTCTGCAACCAGTGAACCAATTTCAACCAAATTTGGCACAAAGCATCTATGGGTTAAGGGGGACAAAAATTGTGAATTTCATGATCCCTGCCCCCCTGGGGCCTAATGGGCCCAAAACCACTAAAATTAGTGCAATCTTTGAAAATCTTCTTCTTTACTCCTGGACATCAAGCAGTCAAACTGTTAGCATGATTGTAATCAGCATTGAGTCCTCTACCAAAATTGTGAAATTCATGGCCCTGGGGTCAAGGGTTCTAGTGCTAGGGCGGGGCTAAATAAGTATATAGTAAAAATGCATTATTTCTTTGAAAATCTTCTTCTCTGCTCCTGGGTATTAAATAAACCAACTAAGTGCATAGTTATAATGAGCAAGAGTGCCTCTACCAAAATTGGGAATTTAATGGCCCCAGTGTCAGGGGTTCTGGTGTTAGGGTGGGGCTCTATAGATTATATAGTGAAAATACATGAATTCTTTGAAAATCTTCTTCTCTGTTCCTAGGTATTAAATAAACTAAGTAAGTGCATAGTTATGATGAGCAAGAGTGCCTCTACAAAAATTGTGAATTTTATGGCCCCAGGGGTTCTGGTGTTAGGGTGGGGCTCTATAGATTATATAGTGAAAATACATGAATTCTTTGAAAATCTTCTTCTCTGTTCCTAGGTATTAAATAAATAAACTAAGTGCATAGTTATTATGAGCAAGGGTGCCTCTACCAAAATTGTGAATTTTATGGCCCCAGGGTCAGGGGTTCTGGTGTTAGGATGGGGCTCTATAGATTATATAGTGAAAATACATGAATTCTTTGAAAATCTTCTTCTCTGTTCCTAGGTATTAAATAAATAAACTAAGTGCATAGTTATTATGAGCAATGGTGCCTCTACCAAAATTGTGAATTTTATGGCCCCAGGGTCAGGGGTTCTGGTGTTAGGGTGGGGCTCTATAGATTATATAGTGAAAATACATGAATTCTTTGAAAATCTTTTCTCTGTTCTTAGGTATTAAATAAACTAAGTAAGTGCAGAGTTATGATGAGCAAGAGTGCTTCTACAAAAATTGTGAATTTTATGGCCCCAGGGTCAGGGGTTCTGGTGTTAGGGTGGGGCTCTATAGATTATATAGTGAAAATACATGAATTCTTTGAAAATCTTCTTCTCTGTTCCTAGGTATTAAAAAAACTAAGTAAGTGCATAGTTATGATGAGCAAGAGTGCCTCTACAAAAATTGTGAATTTTATGGCCCCAGGGTTAGGGGTTCTGGTGTTAGGGCGGGGCTCTATAGATTATATAGTGAAAATACATGAATTCTTTGAAAATCTTCTTCTCTGTTCTTAGGTATTAAATAAATAAACTAAGTGCATAGTTATTATGAGCAAGGGTGCTTACCGAAATTGTGAATTTTATGGCCCCAGAGTCAGGGGTTCTGGTGTTAGGGCGGGGCTCTATAGATTATATAGAAAATACATGAATTCTTTGAAAATCTTCTTCTCTGCTCCTAGGTATTAATTAAATAAACTAAGTAAGTGCATAGTTATGATGAGCAAGAGTGCCTCTACAAAATTTGTGAATTTTATGGCCCCAGGGTCAGGGGTTCTGGTGTTAGGGCGGGGCTCTATTGATTATATAGTGAATATACATGGATTCTTTGATTTTTTTTTCTCTGCTCCTAGGTATTAAATATACTAACTAAGTATATAGTAATGATGAAGGCAAAATTGTGAATTTTATGGCCCCAGGGTCGGGTTTCTGGTGTTTGGGCGGGGCTCTATTGATATTATAGTGAAAATACATGAATTCTTTGAAAATTTTCCTTTCTGCTCCTAGGTATTACGCAGGTGAACATACCTATATAGTTATGATGAGCAAGGGTCCTAATCTTCCAGAATTGTGAATTTCAAGGCCCCTGGGTCAGGGGTACCATAGACGGGGGGGGGGGTGTACTTATATAGTGAAAATGAATGAATTGTTTGAAATCTGCTCCTTGGTATTAATCAAATATTTTTGAAAAGCAAGGATGCCTTTTTAAAAATTGTGCAATGTGTGGATTTAGGCCTAAGGGTCGTATTAAGTAACCAAACTAAGCAACTGCTAAATGTATTGTTATAATGATCAATGGTTCCTCTTTCAAAATTGTGAATGCTATAGAATCTGGCTTAAAACATGAATCAAATTCAGTCACTGGAAAGCTTTTGCATAATGCTCAGGTGACCTGTAAGGCCCATGGGCCTCTTGTTTGTTAAGCTGTTCTTAGGAACACATGTAAAACTCAAGAGTGAAGATTCATTTATGAAATAATGCTTGTAATCATGTTATTTTGTCAGGACTTTACTGGCAGACATAATTAGCCTTGGAGATGACAACAGCTGTATTGTACAGCTTCTTCACATGGGTCTGTCGATCAGCGAGCGTCTGATAGAGGAGGGATACGGGATCCAGGCGACCACACCCGTCACCATCAGCAAGAAGGTCAAGCGGGTTTTTTCTGACTCCAGTGATGTAGCTACCCCCTCACTTAAGCTATCTGAGGAGCACTCAGCAGTGAAGGAAGAACAGGGCATTCTGTATGGCAGGTTAGTTATAATGGAACTTTTCAGGTGTACTCGCTACCTATACATGTAGAACAGGATATTCTATATGGGGGTAGACTGTCTCAACACTGTTCAAATGTATACTTGCACAAGTAGTTCTGATCATTGCTGAATAACCCTTGTGAAAATAACAAGGTCCTTGAAAATAAGTTATCTCAAAATTGCTCAAATGTATTCAATTCTTTTTCATGTAGCAAGCAGGGAAATTTTGGTGAATGTCAAAAAAAAAAATCTTATTCCCAAATTTGGTTGTAGGCTGGGGATGGGATGAAATTTTAAACATAAGGTTTTCTGTGAAAAGTCCCTTGTTGTTTTGGGAAACCAGGGGGAAAATATGTGCATATAAGAGAAATTTTTACTATAAATCAGCATTATTTTGTAGGTTTACCCCAGTAGCTGTGGAAGCAGACACTGAATATATAGTTGCTCTAACTAACATTGAAAACCCTGAAAATTTCTGGTGTCAACTGGTAGACAATGTGCCTAGTTTGGATGAACTAATGGACAAAATGCTGATAAAATACTCTGCCGTCCGTAAAGGTGACCCAACATCTAAAAATAAACTCGAATCTGTATCAGAGGACGGTGCACAGAATGGGGAGGAGGAGTGTAACAAAGGGATAGGTGGAGAGCTTACAGACGTCAAACCAGGGACCTCGTGCTGTGTGTTTTTCCCAGTGGACGGGCAGTATTACAGGGCGGTAGTCCAAGAGGTGAACGAGGAGAATGTCGAAGTGTTTTTTGTGGACTTTGGAAACCAGGAGACTGTCAAGAAGTGCAATATTTTCCAGCTTTTGGATGATTTTTGTGAAATGTCTGCTCAGGCTATTCACTGTCGTCTTGCTGGCATCGTCAGTCCGTCGTGGGATTCCAGCTCCTGTGGAAGGTTTGACGAGCTGACGGAGGACAAAGAACTGATCATGTATGTCACAGAGAAGTCAGAGGTTGGGCCGCACCTCGTGGAATTGTCAGACGACGAGACGTCCATCACAAGCTGCCTGATAGAGGGAGGATATGCCCAGCCTGACCTCGCCGCAGACGATGAGGAGGCTGTTGATCTCGTATCTTTGTTCAGTCCATACTCCTGGACTCTGTTATCATTGGATATGGAGTACGACGTCACGGTGACTGCTGCAGATAATCCTCTGCAGTTTTACGTCCAACTCAATGACTGTAACGAATTGTCAAAAATTGAGGAGGAAATTAACAAATGTGTAGAAGGAAACCTACAGAAGTTGTCTGACGTCAAGGAAGGTGTAGCTTGTCTTGTTCTCAATCCAACAGAAAAACAATACCAAAGAGCCAAATGCTTGAAAGTTTTCCCGAATCAGCAAGTACAGGTTAGTTGTATGATATTAACCGATGTGTGTATATTCTTTACATTGTTGGAAATGATAAATTTCTGAAGGATTGATATTGCTATTGTAAACTATCTATTCTTGCATTCTGTTGAAAGTTAAAAGTCAGTTACCAATGATTACAAAATGTTTGAATCACAATATCGATCATTGGTAAATATTTTAACTTCATTTTGCACATACAGTCAAAACTGCCATAGCGACCCACTGTATTAAGCGACTCACTGTCACATGTGACCGTAAAAATTCCCCCCAATGCTTTTCCCTATATATTCTACCTGTATTAAACGACCACCTGTCTTACGCGACCAACGACCGTGATTTTCCTGACCATTTTTAGTAATTTCAAGCAATTTTACCTGAATTTAACGACTACAGAATTTCTGATTTCTACTTTCGATTTCGGTCGAACATGCTTCGTTTTTGGTTCAAAACAACTACAGGCACGCTTTTATTTATTTAATAATTATATAATGCGAGTTTTACGAATAAAACAACATTTATAAATGAATATTTTTACTTACGCTTTGATATTTATTGAATAAACATTAAAATCTAAAACATAAACATCACGTTTTTCTGTCCAGTGATCGAGCGCCATTTTGAAAATAAACGTTCGAGGTCGATCCCGATATCATTTCATGCAATATGGGCCAAATGAATATTCAGTTGATAAAACCTGCCGGTTTAACTTTAATTAAGACGTAACTTAATCATAGATGTTTATTTAAGTGTATTGTGACACCAATGGGTAGGTAAACACACGCTAGCTAGTACCCACACCTTGTGATAATTGAAGTGATCACAAACAGGCAATTAGACACGGTAGTTCAGTAATGAAAAAAAAATAATTAGGTTAAATAAATATTTCAGTCATAAATATAATTAAGTTTGATACCAAGTACAGAAAAAAATAATAATGATACAATTTTTATTCTTAGTAATATGCAAAACATATGAAGTTGTTTAAAGGCTATCATGAAAAAAAACCTATTATAAGGGGGAAAAACTTTGCAGCTTTTTTATACTGTATGAAAACATATTAATATTTTCAGATGTTCACAATATTTTCCCATATTCAAATAACTCATGTGTGCATCAAGAAATTTTTATTTCTTAACAGGACAATTGTAAAATCATTTTAGAGTTGAGCAATACCCATTAAAAAGTGGAAATAAACATAGCTAAAAAAATACATTCATCACACACATGTGATATTTTCAGCATTGTATATTTTGAACACTGCGATGTTTGCAGGTCTCTTAATACAGGTTTGACTGTACATGTAATTGATAGAGAAGTTCTGTGTTAATAACGTATTAAAAAAAGAAGTGTATTATAGGTTTTATTGGTGGACTTTGGTGAAAAGCTGACCATTAAGCTGGACTGTGTGTACAGTATACCTGACAGCCTCATCCAGATCCCGGCTCAGGTCTCTGTGTGTGCCCTGACTGACATATTCTCTCCCACTGGAAGCTGGAGCAAAGAAACCAGAATCTTCTTCTCAAGTGAGACTTATGTGTGTTTTCTCTTTTTCATGCAATGATTAGCAACTGATTGTTGTTAAACTTGCATCAAAGTAAATCATCCACAATTTCTATCATTATCAACATAGAAATCTAGATGTAAATTTAAACTGTTGTTTAACTTGCATCAAAGTATATCATTCACAGTTTCTCTAGCATTTAAATATCAACTCGAGACTTGTTAGATATGATGAATTGAACCAGCCATATTCAATGTTTGTACAGATCATGTCCAGGATGTCTCTATAATGTATGTGCGTCATAAGACGAAGTTCGGGGTGTACAAGGTGACTCTGGACTACGAGGGACAGGAGCTGAACCGTCTAATAGTGGATCTAGGTTTTGCCAGGGCGGAGACAGACACCACACTGTTTGAACAAATGTTGGAGAGCTCTGGTGATCTAGGTATGTTACTATGAGGTAGACTTGTAAGATTTGTTGCTGATGAATATTTTAGATACTTAGAATGTATTAAATAGATAGTGCTGTCAAAGAATTTTGTGTATGTGCAAAAATTTATTAGATCTAGACCATTTCTTAATTTAGATGAGGGTTCAAGGTTTCTTGCCTTGCATTTCTTACCTGCATTCTTGTAATCTGTGTATATTTTTGTTGTACAGCAAAAAATTAGTCATTCTTTTATCATGCTAAAATTTTCTGTTTTCACAGAAACTTCATTTAATGAGCTGGCCCTGGAGAAACAGAATTCTTTTGGCAGTGAAGATGGTGGAGAAGGTAGATACTGGGGAAACAAACTTTGCTCAAATTACAATTTATTTTTTTTTCATCAAATGAATACAAAATTTGTAAAGTTCAAGGAAATTTTAATTTTGTCATTGATTTGTTACTCTTAGATAAGTCCCTAAATTTGGACTCAACCCTAGAAACAACAGATGCCTCTATTTGCATGTGCCATGATTCTAGTCTGGAAACCACAGGAGCTTCTGACAGCTTCCATTTCATCAATCTCAAAAAAGGTTAACATTTCAGTAAAAAGATCATTAAAATCACCACATGCTCTTTCAAGTCAGCTGTCACTATCATTGGTTTTCATATGTGTTATAGCAAGCTCATTTCCACTTGCATTTAATTGTAAGCCATCCCTGGACCAAAGCATGGATGATAAATCTAGGAATGGGGCATTAAAAGTTTTGCTTCAGATCTGATTCTGGATCTGACCTACATGTATTAAAATGAAGCAGGTTTATTTCCAAATTACTTATAGTCTTACAGTAACCAAACTTGAATTGTTGATTATTTGTTTCAAGGAAAATGATTGCCTGTTTCAAGAAAGATGTTAACAGAGAAGTAAATTGAATTTGTTTCATTATTTTTGTTTTCTTTCAGAGAGGGAAGCAGAGAAAGATAAGATGGAAGGTACAGTCTTTTTCTGAAACAGTGACTTTCTTGTCAAGATTATGTTAAGAACAAGCTAGGCATATGAAAAGGATATTTAAAAAAGTTTTTCATTTATTGTTTTAGACCAAGAGATAAAAGAGGAGGATGAATTTTATGATGCTGTTGATGAAGAAGAGGAAAAACCAACTCCAACAAAGGAACCACAGAATGATGTATCTGAAATGGAAAAGGAATCCAAATTGGCAAGTCCAACAAAGTCCAAAGAGCCAAAGGATCCATCTGAAGTGGAGAACCAAGAAGAGTCCGTCAAGGAGGAGGAGCAGGTGGAAGATGAGGAGGTGACCGGAGATGAGAAGAAGGATGACAACCTCAACAACAACTCTGAGGAGCCAAGGACTGAGGAGGTGAGTGAGGAACAGCCATCTGATGCCATTGAGGGAGGAATCAAGGGGGAACCATCTGTAGAAAAGACAAACAAGGACAAGGATGATCTAGCAGGAGAGGTGGTAGAGAGTGAGGGCATTAAGGAAGAAGATGTTTGTTTGGAGAGTGTGGACAAGGCTGATGTAGAGGAAGATATGGCAGAGAACAAGGAGATTGGTGAAGAGGATGTTTGTCAGGAGATGGAGGATAAATTAAAAGTTGTAGATGATGGTGCTACAGGAAACAGGGAAGGTGTTGGTCAGAAAGAGAGTGAAGATGATGGGAAGAAAGAGAGTGAGGATGATGGAAAGAAAGAGAGTAAAGATGATGGGAAGACAGAGAGTGAAGATGTAGGTCTGAATGAAAGTGAAGATACTGATGTTGTCAAAAGAGATGGTGAAGATTCTAGTCAAATAGACAGTGAAGATAGTGGTCAGATAAAGAATGAAGAGGGTGAAGAGACTGAACAAACTGACGCAGACAGTAAGGGCAGTGACAAGGATGGTCAGGGAGAGGAAGTTTTTAAGAAAGAGAACGAAGGAGAAAAGGTATCTGAAGTGGAAGACTCGGGGAAGGTTGTGGATGAAGAATTAAAAAAGACTGATTCCACACAAAGTGATTCTGAAGTTATCGGTAGTAAGGAGGATGGGAAGGGTTTGGTTAAAGATGAAGAACAGTCCGATTCGAAAGGAGCCAAAGAAAACTTGGAGCAGTGCAGTGACAGAGTGATCGCCAATATTGACAGCGAGGGAGAAAGCTCAGACGAACCATCAGATACCGAGACAGAAAGTAAGGAAGAACCTGAGGGCGAAGGAAAGGAGGGAGGACAAGGCAGCAGATTGAAAAAAAGGGGGGGGGATCAAATAAAGTAGGGGTTTCTTTTTAGTTGGTCATTTCTGTTGAGGAGCATTGAATATCAAATGTGAATTATATTTGCCCAATTTTTGATATGCTTATATTTGCAATTGTGTATTTTTTTTTACCTAGTTGTGACACATCCATTAAGTTTGTGTTATCCGTCTATGGGTATATGTTTTGCTGTTTATTTTTGGTGCCAATAGTTATTTTTTTGAGTGTTGTAGTATTTAGTTTCATTTTAAAGTTTCTGCACAAATATTGCTGATCACGGAAAATGTATGACAAATTGTTATTCAATAAAACAATTTCTTGAGTTGGTGTTGATTTATTTTACAGACTTTGAATAGAGACAGCACAAGTAATAGCCCAAGATTCATTAACACAACATTCAGTGGATATCATTCACTTGTTTTGGATCTCCATAGTTTGGACCTCTTGCTTAAATAGTATAAAAGTCGAAGTGTTGGTAGTTTAAAAACTTATGCTGGCAAGTTTGGTCACCTGTTGAGAAAAACAGATATGGAAGGACTTTACCACTAGGTTATAAATTACATGTACTTGCAAAAAATAAGGTTATCTTGGGAAATTGTTGATTTTGGCCAGTTAATGTTGTATATTCTTTCAAATGACACCAAGGTGAATGACTGTGATCTTAATTGTGACTTATTCTAAAAATAGCTTTTTTTATAACCTTAACCATAACTTTTGAAAAGAGATTGTCATATTTAGTGCTAATAATCAAGTTCTTTCAAAAATACAAGATGTTTTACCTATATGCTAAAAAGTTTTGTTCTTAATTTTGTTGATGCTGGTATGGCAGCACATCTTGTTTTAAACTAGTGAGAGTAAAAGTTTCTCAAATGCAAGTCAAACTCCGTGGTTCAGGCACCAGAAGCAAATTGAAAAAGGGATGTCTGTGTCACAAAAAATATGGCAGCAACTTATTACTTGTGAAATATGGAAGCCTATTGATTACTGTTCAAAAGTTATGGCCAAGGTGAAAGATTTTCCAAAAAGTGGGTCAAAATTGAAGGTCTAGGTGAAAAATAAACCTGTTGAAAGGCACTGTCACAATAAATGCAGGTGTAAAATATGAAAGCCATAGCACCATGTTTAAAAGTTATGGCCGAGGTTAAAGTTAATTAATTTTGGGGTTAAAGTGGGTCAGACTCCACCGGTAAGAGGTCCCAAAGAGAGGTATTTTTACAAGGAATACATCTGTGAAATGTGAAAGCCATAGCACCATTCTCAAGTTATGGCCAAGATTTAAATTTTTTGAAAGGTAGGTCAAATTTAAGGTCAAAGGGTACCAATGAAAGTTCTTGCCAAAGGTTTTGTTGCACAAGGAATTAATGCGGTAAACGTTTTTAAAAAGTATTAAAGCCAATGAAAAGTCTTGCCACAAAGATTACATATGTGAAGTATGAAAGCCCTAGCCCTTATCGTTCAAAAGTTATGGCCAAGGTTAATGTTTTTTTCATAAGTATGGGAATTTCCAAGGTCAATAGTTATTGGTATCAGATGAAAGGTCTTGCCACAAAAAATACATATGTGAAATAGGAAAGCCCTAGTATTTACCGTTCAAAGGTTATAGCCAAAATAAAAGTTTGGAATTTTTGTGTAAACGTGGGTCAACTCCAAGGTCAAAAGGTCAAATTTGATGGAAGGTCTTGCCACAAATATTACATAGGTGAAGTATGAAATCCCTTGTCTGAATCGTTCAAAAGTTATCGCCAAGGTTTAAGGTTTTTAAAACTAGGTTAAACTCCAAGGTCAAAGGGTCAAAGTTTTTTATATACAATGGAAGTCTTGCAACAAGTATTAAAAAGAATTGCCCTTGTCGAACGTTCTATTTAAAGTTTTTAATTTAATTTAAACTATTTTATTATGAATGAACATAATAGCGATATATAAAAGCTAATAACACTTATAAATATATATGTATTTGCACTGTATATAACAAGGCAAATTAAGAAGAACAAAAAAAATATATGAGCTGCATGATTACTGAGTATATACATGTAATTTAAATTCATATTTTAACATATATGACTGGCAATTATATTAATAATTGTATAAATTTAAAAAAAAATAAGAAGAAAACATAAATAGGTTTTGGTTCTGTGGTTTGACAATTAAAAAACAAAAGCATATAAAATATGCAAATCGCTTTGTATTTGCAATAAATTCTTGAACAAGTTTAAATATTGCAATATTTTGGTTGTATGTGAGATTATTGTGATATGATGTTTCTGAACTAAACCCGCACATGTCACAACTTTTATCTTCCTTTAAAATGATTAAAAAATGATTAAATAAGTCAATATATTCATTTTACGACTTCCATAATTGTATTATTTCTTAGGTTTTATGCAGTATATATTCTTTACGATTCCAACTGTAATTTTAGGTACTTGTGATTTGAAGTTAATTTTTTTTCTCTATAATATTACTTATATATTTTATATACACAAAAATTAATTAAAAATCTTATTTCATTGAAGTTTTAAAATTTTTAATTTTTTGGCGGGTAGACACGTCAACGAATTTTAACCCGATACATCCTTACAAAAATGAATTATAAATGATATAATTCAAAAATTCAATTTTCGAAAGCAAAACAAACACACAATATATTAAAGATGGTGAGCAAACTTTGAAAGAGCTATAGTGTTTCAACTTTAGCCTTGTTTACAAAAACTGTGTATATAACACGAGTGTGCTCGCCGTACACAACGGAATGACGATACTTGGGTTTGCTAAACTTTTTACTCTGAATAAAATTTTTTTCTGGATTTAATTTTTAATATTTCTCAGCTCACTTTTCCTGAAGATTAAGAATTAGCTTAAAATTTGTGAAAGCTTTTCAGTTTTAATCTTTACATTAAGATTTTGAATTATTTTTTGTGTGAAATGCTATTAAAATATATAATTCATGATGTTATGCAGAAAAAATTAACTTCAAATCTGTGTCCAAGTACCTTTAGATGGTAAACCATTCCAAAGTCTTATAGTTGAAGGGAGGAAACTTTTCATAAATGAAATTGTTTTGGCTTGTGGAATAGGAAATGTAAGATTGTTCTGATTCCTTAAGGGATAAGAATTATCTGGTAAAATGCATTGTTGTAATAAATCTTGCAAATACTGGGGTGCACCATACACATGTTTTATAAAATAACTTCTTGTATTTTTCTTCTTATTTCAAAAGTATTCCACTGTTCATAAAGATGAAACTTGATTTTTAGTCAAGTAATTTTGCAAACAATTATCCTACAATGTATTCAAGTGTAGATTAAAAGCTTTTTAAAAGTAGGTCAAATTCCAAGGTCAAGGTTAAAGTTGTTGGTATCCACAAAATGATCTCATCACAAGGTTTATATACTGAGTATGTGAAGTATAAGAGTCCCAGCCTTTACCGTTCAAAAGTTATGGCCAAAGTAAAAAAGTTTTACATTGAAATATATATTTGAAATATGAAAATTCTTTAAAAAGTTATGGTCAAAGTAAAAGTTTGGAATTTATGTGTAAAGTGCGTCATACTCTAAGATCAAGGTCAAAAGGTCAAATTTACCCAAAGAAAGGTCTTGTCACAAGGAATATACACATGTGAAATATGAAACTTTTCCACTAAATCAAAAGTTATGAGCAAGGATAAAGTTTTTCCTAGCTACAATTCAGGTGAGAAATGTTTAATGTCCCCTCGCTTTCGCGAAAGCGGGGGACAAAAAAAGGAGGGGAGCTGAACCTACCCGTTCTGACGCCTATGACGTTGGTTAGTTTATAAAGTCTTTGAATAACCACGTTTTTTAGAGCAAACAAACTTTCAATGAACCAAACTTGCACTTTAACAAATTATGAAGTGTTTAAAGGTTGCTTCATCTTGAGCATACGGTATCATGGAAGTGTTCTATCAAAAATAGCTCAAGAGCATATATATTTTATGAGCAAACACCATCTCCAATCCTGTGAACATGACAGGTCTACGGTTCAAGGCTGAAGGCGTCGTAGCATAAAGTAATCTGCACACTACGCTTCAAGGTCTGCGAAACTATTATTCTACTGAAAACCGATTCCAGCTACTTTTAGCATATAGGTTTTAACAAAATTTTACTTTCACGAACTTGAGCAAAAACACCATGTTTACAAAAATCTATAATGTTTAAACTTTAGGTTACCTTTGTGACACATTGCTCCGTCATCGTCCGTCGGTTGTAAACTTTTGAACTTTTTTTCAATTTTTAGCTCACCTGAGGTGAAAGCTCTAGTGAGCTTTTCTGATCACATTTTGTCCAGAGTCTGTCTGTCTGTTCATCCGTTAATTTGTAAACTTTTCACGTTTTCTACTTCAAAACCACGAACCCAACCAAACCTTCTATCCTTAAGTAAAAGGGATTTAAATTGTTTAAATTTACTTTTTTTGTTGGCATGTTTTAAAAATCTCAAGAACCACTAGGCCAAAATATGTTGAAATGTATACATGTATATATGAAAAAAATCTCAAGAACAGCGAAGCCATGTTTAATAGAAATATTAATATGGTATCATTTTCAGGTAGTGAAGATTCTTTGTTCAAATCATAACCCCAGTGGAAATCAAAGATTTATATAGAAATCTTTCAGAATATTTTTCTCAAGAACAACAAAGCCTTGTTAAGTCATGCTCTTTTGGAAGCAACGTCAGGTAGTGTAGATTCAAGTTTATTCAAAACAGGCCGCGAGTACAACCGAGTATACAGAGTGGTAAAATGGGGGATCAAAGTTTTACATCGGAATATATTTCAAAACCACCAGATTGTGTAGATTCAAGTTTGTTCAAATCCTGACCCACCGGATTACAGAGAGACCACAATCCTAGGGGGTTCTGAGTCAACACGTTCCCGGTTGCTGGTGTCCAACGGCATCATGTTGACCCAGGACCCCTACCATTGCGAGGATGAGTGTCCACTTGTCTTTTTTTAACTTTTTATATGTATTTTCGACTTAATTAATTTGTGAATGCCCTTCTTGAATGGTATAATTACATGATGGACTGAGAAGTTTAAATGGGGATTGAATTTACATATCTTTTTTTTTTTTTTTTTGTTGAAATTCTAAAGAATAACTTATGTCTATGCTAGAGGACATTGATTTTCAGTTAATGCCATTTACTAGATCCTACTGGTGAAGATTATATGTTTTCTCTCCGTATATGTCATTCAGTCTTTTCTGTATACTTGGTTTTCCGTTCGTTTTTCTAGACGCACATACTGCGCTGATTTTTGGTCTTGAACATAAATGAATCTATCTCGATTTAGTTACTCATCTAGTCCGTCTTTACTTCTCAGCTATCAGACATGTCGATCCATGTAGATCTTGTCCAAGTTCTAAGTTTTTAGAGATCACGTTTTCCAGCAATCTCCCTTGATTCCCATGGGCGCTAATTGTGCCCCATTTTTAACAGACATATTTTTCTTTGTTTGTTGTTTACGTTCCTTTCGAGAATTTTTCACTCATATGGAGACGACACCCTTTATATATTTATACTCGGTACTCAGGGCCATTGAGTGGAGGGCTCTTTTTGGTGCCAAAATTGACTGCGACATGGGACCTCGGTTTATCCGATCTTGTTCAAAGGACCGCACTCGGGGCCTGTTTTTATATTCGCATGAAACAGAATTTATTCAAATATTTTCTATATGAAAAAAAATTCTTTTTGTGACCTTGAGTTATATCGACGAAGTTTTATTTATTAACAATATTCATTTTCATTCCTTCTTTGATTCAATACATCCCTTTTAATTCGAAATAAAAGACACCTCGAGACCATAAACTGAGACCGGACTTAATCTGATTTTGAATATCTTGCGTTTTATTTAAAATAAGTACATGTACTTCAAAATACATTCGCAGTTTGGTAAAATATTCCAATTTTAACATGTGATGAAAATTTTGTTTCATTATCAAAATTATTTCAATACTAATATTGAATTGACATGTTGACTATAAAGTCTGTTCAGTTCATGGTCTTAGGAACAGAAGAGTCTGATGAAATCTATTCCAAATTTGAATTTTTATTAGAAAAAGAATCGAACAAAGCTTGATGACAAACGTGATGACTTTAACTTTTAAATCGTCAGCTTCCCTTATTGACACGGCAATATACACACATCACTTGTATATGGGGTTTTATAATTCTTAATTGATGTAAAGTGCAAGAGCATGTTGGATGTATTAACAGTGTCTTCAACGAGTTAAGTTATTGACAAACAAGTTGACGAAACAAGAATACCAACAGCTTCGTTAACAGTCATTATCTTTTTAGTGTTATGCTGTACTTATGAACAGTGTCTTCAACGAGCTAAGTTTTTAAGAAACTGACAAACAAATTGACGAAACAAGAATACCAACAGCTTCGTTTACAGTCATCATTTCTTAAGTTTTATGTTGTACGTATGAACAGTGTCTTCAACGAGTTAAGTTATTGACAAACAAGTTGACGAAACAAGAATATCAACAGCCTCGTTTACAAGTTTTATGCTGTACGTATATGAACAGTGTCTTCAACGAGTTAAGTTATTGACAAACAAGTTGACGAAACAAGAATATCAACAGCCTCGTTTACAGTCATCATTTCTTAAGTTTTATGCTGTACGTATGAACAGTGTCTTCAACGAGTTAAGTTATTGACAAACAAGTTGACGAAACAAGAATATAAGCAGTCTCGTTTAATGTCATCGTTTTGTAATCTCTATGGTCGATACAATGACATTGTCAGCAAATTCAGTCTATCATTTAAGTCAAATACTGACTGATGTTTTTCAAACTAATTGTTATGGGCAATTATTTACACACTGAACTGTCGGTGTAATCATGACGAAAAACACATGTACACAACGGGTGTGACCAGTCTTCAAGAGATGCTCACTCCTCCATGGCACCTGATCCCACCTCCTGATGTTTTAGAGGTCTGTGTTGGCTCAGTCCTGATTTGTATTGTTTGAAATAGCTTGTTAGCTCCACACATTTTATCTTACCTTCAGACAAACACAGCATGTCCCTTTACCCTTCCTGTAAGTATTGATCTTTGTTGTTTACTTTGGTGCAAAGAAAGTTTGCAAAAGACATTGCAACTCAACCTTTAAATTCTAAAGCTTCCATTTCCTTCTTAGTAATCCGAAATATTTTAATTGAATAAAAACCAGATGTTTTTCTTTGCAGAAAGGATTTACTTTGCATAAACATGGATATAAAACATCAATATTGATTAAAGCAACAAGCTGGAATATTTTCTAAGTAATCAAGTCAAGTAATTCTTTTAATTCAACAGAAATTTAAAGTTAGTAACAATATTGATGTAGATAAGATTAAGTAATTTGTCTAAACAAAACCCCAAAACCCCAACAAGTAAGAATCGAAAATACTTCTGAAATGTAGGTAAATACCTAAGGCATGCGTCTCATGGCCTGGACTCCACTCCGCGTTAAAACGGCGGGCCCATAGACCTCCTGAAGGCGGAGCGGTGGGGGGGTCGCCCCATCTCCTTCCCCAATTTTGCTAGCTGCAGATCTGCAGCTCGTTGGTCTAAAAAAAAATGGGATGGATAACCAGAGGCGGGGAGACCGGCCTGTCGATACATTTTTTTCGGATAGCTACAGTTCTGCAGCTATACAATTTTGCCAGGAGGCACTTTTTGTAAGTAAAAATTTACGAAAAATAAACCAACAGTGCCCTCTCTGTACATTAAAAAAGCAACTGACGGTTATCCCCATCTAAATCTGCCTTCTCCCTCCCCCTAATTTACTGAAGGGATATCTCGTCAGAGGCCTTGTATTGTGTTTTTCTATGTTTTAATTAAAACTCCGGAAAAAAAATCAAGTATCTCTGAAATATCTTTATGAAAATTGCTATTTTAGCGATATTTTTTATACAGTATTTAAGATAAAAGACAGACACAGAAAAATACAAATCACACACAAAAAAATCCACCATCCTTAAACCAAAATAATGCCTAACTGAAAGTTGTTGGTAATCTATTCATCTACAGCCAATATTTATGATAATATATATATTAATGTATAATGTAATTCTCTGTAGAATGTTACCTATTCGGGTGGATCCCTGACATAATTAGCTAGGTGTACAGAGGGGCCGGAGGGGACAAAAACGTAACATACTGACGTCATACCGGCAAAACAGTAGTGCGGGATATAATGCTCAAAAGGTAAGGGCGCAAAGGAAATTTTTTCAATAAGAAAAATTTCTTTAATTTGACATATTTGCAATCACATTAACAATTTCAAATGTTTATTTTTTTATGTAAAAAAAGGCAAGTTCAATTATCGATTTCGTTCATATTTCAAACTGGAAAAAGAACAGAAAAGAAAAAAGTCGGCATTGTGCTAATAGTTTATAGAAAAAAGGGGGGTGCATGCTTGTTTCACCACCTCATGATGGATAATCAATTGCTTGAATAAAAACTCGTCTTTAAAATGTATGGTTTAAGTTTTCAATAAATAAATTAATAAATAAGAGAAAAGGAAATGATTCGAAAATTGATTAATTATTAGACTTTAAATTGATTTTTGAGGATCATTTTGTTAAAACGTCTATAATATACTACATAAATTGTAGTAAGTTTATTATTAACACAGAAATGTTTTATTAATGTGTCATGACTGTTGTATATAGTAAGCTTCCTTCTAGCACCTGATCACTTCCTGGTGTTGCGTAATCATGCACTGATCAACTCCCGGGTAAAAACGATTACGCTACATAATAAAGACGCATGGTATTTTGTTTGACAAGTCGTGAAAATTTGAGCTAATTAGTTAAATCCTAAAATTAGATTTTATATGTGATGCATCTTAAACAATTTCTTTGCAGGATTCTGAGATGTCAAGTTCGATGAGCTTTCTGAAATCTGGATCTTTGATCTTCAATCTTCTGGTGTTTGTATGTTTTTCTGTTTTCTATTACATGTAACCACCTATTCCAAAACGAGGAGTTAATCACAGAGTCAACGGATTTTTCAGCTTATCATTTGTTTTATTTTCAACCATTTATTTAAAAAAATGTGAATCGGCGAATTTCACAATTTTAAAACTGAAGAATTTAGCCCGTGAAGTACTTATATTATCTTTTTTCTGGGGGAAAATTCTTTTCCCCAACAGAATACTAGTAGTGTAAGATATACATTTAATTCTTAGTGATAATTTCAAAGTAGCTATTTTTGTAAAGAAGAAGAGTGTTCGTGTTTGATTTTTTGAGATGACAATCACGTGACTTCTGTCCCTCTCCTATTTATGAAACATTTTTGTACAGTTGGCCGGGGCAGCCTGTACGGCTTTAGGGGTGTACATCCTAGTATCAGACTATGGACCGAGAGAATTGTCCGGAGTCCTGGGGAATGAGCTGTACCATATCGCGGCCTATGTCGCCATCGCAGGGGGCGCTTCTATCGCCGTCATCTCACTTTGTGGTTGTGTGGGTGCTGCCAAAGAAAGCAAGGTCATGCTGGCCAGTGTAAGTCCAAAAGATAAATAATTATAACAATAAAATTCGTAAAAAGACAAAAAAAAAAACATGTTACTTCCCAGAATTACATTTCTAAAATTATTTGCTCATTGATTAGATTTTCCAGGGGTATTTGTTTCAAATACATTGTATAATGTGATGATAGTCATGGACACATAGATTCAAAGTTTAATCTTTTTTTCAGTATTCTGTTTTGATGACGATTGTATTCGTCGTATTACTAACAACCTCAGTGCTAGTTTTCCTGTTCCTTGGTCAGGTAAGTGTAATTTAAGAGTGCGGGTAAATGGGAGAAAGATAATGTTAGATGATGAAAATTGGGGTGAACGTGGGAAAAAAATACCCCCGTATTAATACTCCATCAATAAAAAAAAGGTAAAATATTTGGAAGCATTATTTTCTTATATAAAATGAAACATTTAAAAAATAACAAATCTTCATGAAGTATGCAAAGACTTGCTTAGATTTGTATTGGAATTCCCATGGATATTAATTAAGCTCCGTTATTAGCAGACCTATTTTCGTATTCATATGAAGCAGAATTAAATTTGTGCAAAATCCTATGCGTGAAAAGAAGAAAACACTTGTTGTGATCTTCAACTCGACATTTAGACATATCGACGACGTACTGTCAATTAACAATGGTAATTTCCATTCCTATGTCGATACGATATATCCTGGTGAGCTTTAGATAAAAGTTACCACAGAGTCTGGCACATCTGTTTCATACTTGGATTTTTTACTTGAAAGAGACATTAATGGTAATCTAACAACCAAGCTCTATGATAACGTGATGACTTTAGCTTTTATATCGTCAACTTCCCTTACTTACAGCAGCAATACGCCTTAATCATCTGCATACGGAGTTTATTTATCTCAGTTGATTCGAAACAAACGAGCATATTCTACCTATGAACAATTTCTTATACGAGGTAAATTATTGACAAACAAGTTGATGAAACAAGAATATCAGCAGTCCCGTTTAAAGTCATCTTTTCGTAAGTTCTATGGTCGATACAATGACCTTGTCAGTAAATACAATTTTTCATTGAGTCAAATGTTGACTGATGTTTTTCATACTATATTGTTAGTCCATTATTTATACACTGAATTGACGACGGATTTTTCTGTTATTTCCCGATCATGACAAGGAGCACAAGCGGGTTTGACCGGTCAGCAGGGGATGCTCACTCCTCCATGGCACCTGATCACTCCTCTGACGTTTTGGAGCTCCGTGTTTGCTCTGCTCCTATCTTGTATTGTCGAATTATCCTCTTTTGAATTTACTACCTTAAATTATGTATATGACAATTAATTGTCAAATATTCAAATTTAAATTGAACAAATTCTCGTTGAAGACGTCACATCAGACGAGGGAATCGATGAAGACCGTCCTAATAGAGAAGTATGGCGTCAACCAACAGGATCCTGAAAATCGCGTGGTGACGGAGATGTGGGACTTCCTACAGAAACAGGTGCGTGGTCTAACACACAATATGACAGGCACGTAGCAACGGGGTAGGGGGGGGGGGCTCCCCTCCACTTTTTTCCCCAGCATATACTATAGGAAATGTTCATTAAAAGGCTCCCCCCATTTTTGTGATATAAGGGAAATGTAGTATTGTTGGTCGAAAAAATTGGTACTGGAAGAAGGTTGGCATTGAAAAAAGTTGGTCTTGAACACCCCTCCCCCTCCACCCACCCATCCCCTCTCGAAATAGGATTTTCTTCTTTGGGCATTTTTTTTTTTTGGCTTGTCAACTTTTTCAGGTAAGTAATTTTTTTCCCTGGCTGCCCCCCCCCCCCCACTTTCAAAAACGATGCTACGTCACTGATGACGGTTACAACATCCGCTCAAATGCAAAATACCACCTATAAACATACTAAAATTGCAGGTACATGTATATCATCTTATCCCTCCTTAAATACAGAGCAAAGAATATGTGCAAAGATTTTCGAAAAAGTCCCTATGAAAAGTATTTTTAAAGGCATTCATATTGGAACTAGATTTTTGATTTGGTACAAAATGCATAAGTTGGGATTGTGGATGATATTTTTTCGCTCGTTGACTGAATATACATGTAGTTGCCTGTGATTTTTCTTGTCTATGATTCAAGTTTTGAAAAAAAAATATCATTTAGAACAAAAAATTGAAATAAAAGACAAAAATACTGTTATAAATGCTCACTTGTTTTAATTTTCAAATATTATTCCTTCACGTTTAAAATTTAAAATTCCCTTTACCCAAAGGTGTTTTGTGTCAATTTATATACATATTATCATCTTCTTCTCAATAACTCCTGGTTCAATTTCAACCGAACTTGCAACATTCTTGTATGATGAGATTTTAAGATCATTCAAATGATTGTCATTACTTTCAATGAAATATATGGAGAAAACGAACAGACTTCAATCTCAAAGGTCTATCAAATAATACACATTAGGAGAATAGCAAACACGGGCCTTAAAAACATCAAAGGTGGGATCAGGTGCCACGGAGGAATGAGCAATCCCTGTCGACTGGTCACACCTGTCATTATAGGAAAATATTGTTACTCCAGAATTCAAAGAATGTTTATGAGCTCAAGTGCATACATCGCGTTCAAAATATACTGAGAACTGAAACTTTTGATATTTCTTGGTTATATTTAAACAATAAAATGCTTTCTTTGTTTGTTATTACTGGAATTAACGGAAGCAGCTGTTGCAGAAAAATTCATTACCCGCGTAAGCGGGTTATGTAAATTTTTTCTGCAATAGCTTTTTAATTCCAGTAATAACAAACAAAGAAACATTTTATTGTTTATATTTATATCTGTTAAATACTCATTTAGAGCAGGATTAAAAAGTTTAATTATTGTATTAATGATGCGAACGTCTTAATACATTTCATTGATGGAACAGCCACTGATCAAGAAATCTGTACAGGCGACATGCCTAATGTAGTTCATGCAGTGATTAACGCAACGGGTTTTCTTAAGAAATAAAGGAGAAAATATTCAGTGGATGTAAATATTCCTTAATTAATGTAGTTGTTCACTCTCTCATTCAGTTTTTTTTTCTAATCTATGAACTTTCCGTCTGTATATCGACTTGACTTTCATTTGTGCAGCGTTAGTTGCTCGTGTCTTTATCAAAGTCTTCTTTGCTATGTTGTGATATCGATCTCTGTGATTGTCTTTAATTCTGGACTTTTTTGCAGTTGAAATGTTGCGATGTCTCTGTGATTGTCTCTTATTCTGGCATTTTTACAGTTAAAATGTTGCGGTATCTGTGACATTCTTCTTGTGCAATTGGAATGTGGCGATGTCTCTATGATAATCTTCATTTTCGGTCTTTTTGTGCAGTTGAAGGGTCGAGGAGCCTATAATAGTCTTCATTTTTGGCAATTGATTCTGTGATAGTGTTTTGTGTGCAATTAAAAAGTTGCGATGTTTCTTAAATAATTTTTAAAGCAATTAAAATGTTGCGGTTTCTTTGTCTTTTTGTGAAGTTAGTTTTGTAATGTCTTAATTCTGATCTTGTGCAGTTAAAGTGTTGCGGCGCCTCTGTGAAGTCTTTAATTCTGATCTTGTGCAGCTGAAAAGTTGCGATGACACTGTTATTGTCTCTCAGTCTGGCTCTTTTTTCAGTTTGAGTGTTGCTGTCACTGTTAGTGTCTAGAATCCTGGTATTTTTTTGTTGTTGAAGTGTTGTGCTATATCTGTTATTGCCTCTCATTCTGAACTTTTTTGCAGTTGAAGTGTTGCGGTGTTTCTGTTATTGCCTCTCATTCTGGTCTCTTTTTTTGCAGTTGAAGTGTTGCGGTGTTTCTGGAGACGCCAATTCCACAGACTCCTGGGCAATCTACAAAATAAAGTCGGAATGGTTCAGAACCAAGGAATCCGGTAAGAATACTGATATTTTTAGCCCAAAAATGATAAGATTAATTATGGTAATGTTGCAGCATGTAAGCTGTATCTACTGCTAGTCCAGTTTGAATGGAGTTGACAACAACAAAATGTTGATACATATGCACATGTACTTTATCACTTTACAATCCAGTTAAAATGTGAAAGAGTGTAAGTTTTGAAGTTTTTCAATGGTAATAATGTTTACGATTTTCTGAACAATTTACTTTAAATAATTTTACGTAATTTGACAAAATTATTCGAAACTCTTCCAACGAAAAACCTAAATACGCCATGCTTCACATATTGTTATCTTATTTATTTTTTTTTATCTAACTTTTCTTTTTTTAAGATGGTCAGTTAGTCCCGGAGAGCTGCTGTAACCCGGATGGGGATCTAGCAATGTGTAACAAAGCCTCCTCCTTCCAGGGCCCTCCAAATAATGACCCTCCATTTATCGGTCCCTATAGGAAAAACCCTTACATGTACCATACGGTAAAACTTTTCATTTTATTGTCAAAGACTCCGGTATATAACGATTAAACAATTCTAAAAATACTATTCCTTGTTCTTAGCATTTAAAATAAACAAAATCCACTACTTTTTCCAGGGGTGTTATGATGAAATTGTTCACTACATACAAGGCCACGCCCTCATGATTGGTGGAATTGCTATAGCCGCCATTGTTGTCATGGTAACTGCACGCTTATTACCAGTTCTAAGTTATATCTCTAATCAATCTGTGAGTCTTATTACGACTTAGCCTCGGTAATTGATCTTTTTATTTCTCTTTTGCAGCTTTTTGGAGTCATATTCGGGGTGTGTTTATGTCGGTCCATACGAAGTCGAGGCTATAGATATTAATATTTATTTACAATACAAATATGTTTTATATAAGTTTACTCATAATAAAGACATTCTTTTTATAATTAATGTTTCACAAGTTTTCTTTTTGGTATGAATTTGTTTCCCGTTGTGTTAAAAATATCTTTTCATACGGAGTCGAGAATGCAGTATTACAGTGTATATTTTTGTCCCCCGCTTGAAAAGTGGGGGATATTAATTTGGGTTTGTCCGTCCGTCTGTCCGTCCGTCCGTCCGTCTTTCTGTCTGTCTGTAACGCTTTCGTTTCCACACGATATCTCGAGAACCCTTTGTGCTTTTGCAATGAAATTTAGCATAGCAACTCCTTGTGGACTAAAGAAGACCCCTATTGATTTTGAGGTCAAAAGGTAAAAGGTCAAGGTCATAAATAAGCAAATTCTGTCTGTTAAAACACTTTCGTTTCCACACGATATCTCTAGAACCATTTGAGCTATTGCAATGAAATTTTATATAACAGCTCCCTGTGGCCTAATGAGGACCCCTATTGATTTTGAGGTCAAAAGGTCAAAGTTCAAGGTCGTAAATTTATACATTCTGTCTGTGTGAAATACTATTATTTCCGGGCGATATTTCTTGAAGATTTTGAGCTTATGCAATGTAATTTTATATCAAAACTCCCTAGGACGTCTCTCGCCCCTCTCAAAGTGCCCCGCCCCGTTTGTTTTATTAGTATTTATAGTATTACATGTCGCTATTTTTAGCGCAGGGGCATGAGGAGAGTTATTGCGTATAAAACAGGTTCTCGGCGGACTTTATGTTCTTATTACATCTATTAGAACTGTTTAATAAAGGCTAAAGAAATCAAACACCATGGATTGTGTAAAATTTTGAGAATACCGAACATGAAAACATGAATATATACATGTATGTGACTTCACTTCTGCATATACTTCACCCTATTTAAAGCGATTCCGTGGTCTAGTGGTTATGTCTCTCGCTTCAAGTGTGAGAGATCTCGGTCGAACCTCTCTTTTTTTTTTTTTAAATACTTTTTTTTACTAAATGATAGTATTCAGCATGTGAAATGAAAAAATTATGAGGTTATAAAATCATCATTACAGTGTGATAAAAATTCCATATAAAAAAAGCTTCTATACACATAATGAAGAATAAGCAATCAAATCTTTATATGCATATTGACATACATGTATTTTATTTGCTTCAGTATACATGTATACATTTAATAATTCTACAAATTCAGTCAGGGGGAGCCGACTTTTTCCCTAAGCGGGGGACACGAATTCTCTGAATTAGCTTGTTAAACGTAAAATTACTTTCATGAAAAAGTTGTTTGCGCTTACGTATACGAGTATTTTGTATAAGGGTTAGGAAATTCATGTCATTATATACAATTACCTATTGCTTTTTTAAGTTTTAAAATATAATCATTTAGATACTAGGAATTGTTATCTGTTAATACAAAGGATAAGAAAAATGAAATGAACTGGAATCAGGAGCCATGGAGGAGTGAGCATCCCCTGTCGACCTGTCCGTCGTGTGCTCCTTGTCATATTAAAAAAAATCTGTAGACAATTCATTGTGTAAATAGTGAATACATGTAATACAATTTAAAGTAGTCCGAATTAATATGAATATCTAAAATAAGTAAAATTATCATTAATGATTGTGTGGAGCATAGATCTTTATCAACATGCACGTCATATCCCGGAATTACTAGTACCCAAAAGGAAAATTGGCCTATTATCGAACCTGACAAAGTTATTAGCATAGATATTTTTTATATCCAGTCACTGTCTTATTAAACCTTTTATCTACCACAGACATTTTAACTTGGGGTGCGTGCAGTGGTTCCAATGTAGAGGGTACAACAGACAGTCCGTCTTGACTTATCCGACATTTGACAAATGAGTTTTACACCCTAAACGCAATCCTAAAATAAATTCGATTACAAAAGTTTATCCTGCATTCACAAAGCGCTGTTATTTATCAATCTGCAGAGAACGAAATGTTCAGAATCAATTAGATTTCTGTCTTAATGGCCACGTGCTTCACCTTTAAGGTTTTTGCTATAAACAATAGCACATGGTTTTGTAAATGAACGGCGTTCCGTGTTTATTTTAGCTAATACTTAATCAGCGGCTGCAGTTTATCAATACCCATAACTCATTATGCATTCATTTCTTTGTGTAAAGCAATTACATGGGTAGCGTCAGATGATTCAATATAGTAAACCCAGGCCACAGGCACAAATTATAGCTTATATTGTATTATCTTGTCTGGTCAATGGAATTCGTGGCCAAAGATCTTCAAAATTTAAGTTTTGCCCAAAAGTGGCAATGTTCTTAAACCTTATTGATATAAACTTCAATATAGATATATCTAATGGACACAATTCGTAAAGTACTCATTGTGTGTTAATTTTTTTTTTTTTAAGGTACATTTTATTTTGACCAAAGATGAAAATTGTCCAAGACATGTCCATGTAATTCAACTTCACAGAGATTACAATTAGGAAAAACTAAACGTATATATTTGCTCATATCATTACTCGCACGTGCATATATATTAGCCCCTGTTCACGTGATCAAATTCATGGGGATGTGCACCTTACAACGTAAGATGTCATACACTAAACAACAAAGCCATTAGCCAGTCTCGAGTTATCTCCCCCAGTCAAAAATCTTACCCGACCTTTATTGAATAATCACTCACGGATCAACAAGCACTGATCAGATCGGCTGATTTTAAAGCTATTCAGTGGTTATAAATTACAACTGGTACACAGTGGACGACCAAAGGTGTGTGTAGAAACTGGATTTATTTTTCACAATTGGAAGTTTTTACTCTTTAAGGTGTATTCTTTGTGGTGATAAATATCTGTGCGTTACTTCTAGTTTTTTTTTAACACAATGGAAGTCAACTTGTTAAAAAAGAAATTCCTTTGAGGAAATAAAACTTTACCTGCCTCAGTATGTCTGACGTCAAAACACGGAAAACAAAAGAAGGACAGGTGAGTTTTTATTTTCGGGGGGGGGGGGGGGGGGGGGGGCAAGGACGGGGCGGGAGGTTTTGGACTATGTAATACTCTGAATTTATTTCATGAGGGTTTTATTTCGAAATACCCGGGAACTTTTACTACACGTTATCTTAAGCCCTACCTTGATTTAAATTCTTTTAGTAATATGTGCAATCTGGCTTTTATTTATTTCACTTTCAAGTAAACAAACAAAGTACGAACTAGAATTCGTGGTGTTGTACGTGGGAAATTAACTCGTGGTTTTGCTATGTCTCAGGTAGGTCATCCGTCAACTCATTTAAAGTCAAAATCCGAGTAAATTTGCTTAATTCGTTGAATAAACAAGGTACAAAGATACAGTATTCAAACTAACGTATTGCTTAAGTTTGCGGCTATTTTGAATTGTCTTGTCTAGTCCTATTCGAGCGAAACCTGATACCTCCAAATCTGTTTTTCTTTTATGTATAAGAATTCATTGACCCTTTGAATACATGGGGGATTTGAATTTAAATTAGTTCATAAATCCATTGATTGTGGGTCGAATAGATATATTATACTATTCATAAGTTTTAAATTACAAGATAGTTTATGTGTCACTGGATTTTTGGATTTAATTCTCGGCCCACTGTTAAATGACAAGCATATTTGCCCATTTGAGCTCTTTTCCCCTATTCAATAAGTCCAGTGGTCTCTTTTTAGCCACAACAGAAATGATTGCGCAAAACTATCATCGTCATAATCGTGATTCCGGGAACAACTGTGATACCTGTAATTTATATATCTTATCTGTTCATTATCGAAAGAGGGAAAATGGTCTAAACATCTTTAGCCCCCTAGACTTACTACAGCACAAGACTACTGACAATGAAGTTGAACCACCAGAGACCTTGTGTTACAATTTCCGAAATAAAAAAAAGTGATCTCTATAAACACCGCATATTATTGCATAAATAAAACAATTTTTAATAAAAAGTATTTTTAAAAATAATTTATTGAACCATGATATTAAAATGTTATTTGCATAAATTCATAAATTATTGATCAGATCTATATCTAGCGTGTTATTTACATTTTTAGTACAATCATCAATGCAAAATGGATTTCTGTGCATTATTAAGACTTCAGTGTCTCGACAGGAAATGTAGTAAGAACACTGTTGAAAATGAACACGACAAACTTTTTATGTTCAGTCCAGAAATAGACGTAGACCTAAATACTCTGATACTTACGTCATTTTAATTGTTTGCGTCATTTCCTGTTATCACTTTTGGTGTATAAAGACCTACATTACCTAACTAGAGTAGACTTAAAATAATGAATTAGTAAGTTTGAAAATAACCATATTCCTTGTCTGACAATGTAACATTTTTGTGAGTACATCAAGCTACTTGAACTTTCTAATTTTGGTAATATATATGACGTTAACCCTAACCGTTTGAAAATTCTGCAGTAGCACTCATGCTAAACCAAGTTCATCGTATGATCCTGTCCAAGAACCTCCATATTATAATGCTTATGATGAGCGGCCAACTGGAGATTTCACTAACATTGTGCAGGTTAGATAGGGGGGAAACTATTTTATAGATCTAGTAGGCATACTGTATGTGATATAGTGATTTGACGTCACATGTTTATTGACACTCAAAATGTCAATGATGACACGTGTGTATAATTGCTGTAATTTTCTCACATCCGTGTATACAATACATTTTGATTTCTGAATTCCCAGAGCGTTTTGATATCACAGGTGTAAGATTTTTTAATTTTCATATCATTACACACACGTCTTTGCTGGCTTGTTAATGTCATATCCGCAGGGACCAAGCTGTGAGCGTCAACCATCGGAACTTCTCATCTGTAATGGCTAAGCGAAGTCCTTCTATTGCAGGTTAGCCGACTCGTCGACGCATTCAACTCAGAATCTCAGGAAGCGATGGCGCTTACTTCGCAGCCAGAAAGAGAGAAAAGTGACAAGAAAGACAAAAAGAAGAGGAAGACGAGTGACAGAAGAGCTTCAGAGAAACTGTTACCTAACAGCCACAGACACCAGGTAATGTGGCCTTCGTATTAGATTTTTTTCCATATCTAGGACATGTCATGTGTGGTTATTGATCAATGATCCTGGAACGTCAGCTCAAGATGGCGTCCTCCACTGTCAAAGAACATTCCCCAATAGGTTTTAAAGAAATCTTTAGTGGTCGTAATAAGTATATTTGAAGAGAAGCTGTGGTTGTGAACCACAAAAGTATTTACATGTTTTGTTCTTTAATACCCTTCCCTTGGGGGGAATAGGACCTGAATAGCGGTGTGACTGGGTCACTGTATGTATGTATAGTATATTGGTAGAGCATGGGTATTTTGTAGATCAATTTCACCAGTGAAAACGGTCTTAGGGTAGGATTTAGTATGTAAAAAAGGATAAGTTAAGATTTTTATGGATTTCTATGTATATAATGACACTTGGTTTGAAATGTCCCTTATTTTTAAACTTTCTTCATCATTTGATTTTTGACGTTTTCCTGACAGTCAAATATTAAAATCGTGGAAAAAAAACACTACGAAAAAATTCCAATATTTTTTGTTTAAGGGGGGACCTAATTCAGTGGCACAATAAAGTTTTGAATTCTGTGATTTAGGCCTATTGTGAATAACATACGCAAGTTTCAAAAAGACAATTTATTCATTAATTATTAATCATTGTTAATGATAATGTTAATGAGTTTGTTAATATTAGAATTCTCTTCCGTTGGTTGATAGTTCATAGGAATTTCAGTTTTGAAAAGATACGTCAATAATATGCTGATTTAAGCGCTAAAAGAAAAGATAAAATTTAGCAACAAATGAAAAATATGTTTACAAGCCATTCAAAAATTAAAATAAGATTTTTAAAAAATGTACCTATATTGCTTAAATATATTAACAGGAGAAATAAAAAAAGGGGGCCCAAAACACGTGTAAATTGTAACTAATCAAAGTAGAATATACTTATTTTCCGCAAAATTGTTTAATATTCAGCTGGAATCAGGTGACACAAGAGTATGAAAATTAAAGAAAACTTCATATTTCTTGTTTATTTGATCACGTCTTTTTTCTTTACTAAAATAAAAAGTTAATTTATTTCGTTTATGAATTACAATATTTTCACACAAAGACTTTTTAAGATATTGATTATGCATATAACTATATTTTTAATGCAATATGAATTGCAATGAATTTGCCTTCATTTTAAAGATACAAGTCAAATATTTTAAATACATGTTAATTTTGAATGTGATTTGACATTTTTGGTTCTTTTTTAGCGCATTATTCTGTAGAAAAATAATGTCTGTAAATAATCTATTTTTAGCATTTCGCATCGTTTTTGCACGTGCTCTTGTGTAAAAATAAGCATATAAAGGTATTAATTTCAATGCCTTAAAATTTAAAGCAAGAAGAGAAATGCTTTTGAAAATTTCACACAAAGTACATGTATTCAAAAAAGATTTGATGATACGCTGAAAAAAATAAACCATTATCAACAAAGATAAAGACGATTTCATTCAGGTATAAACCAAAGGAAACACGGACCTCTAATGACCTCTAGAAGAGATGGAATCAGGCGCCTTGAGAGAGAACCGAGTTTTTATGGCTATATTTTTGAGTATATAGCAAACAAATATTACGTCTGGAATACTCATATCAAAAAATACATGTATAAAAACATGTACAGTACAGGTGTACAATAAAACTCCACAAACGCCAAAGAAGATACTAACCATTCATCTAAAAATATTATGATACAAAGGATGTATATAGAAGAAGCGCATGATATTTAAAACTTCCATCTAAAAAGGAAACAAGGCAAGTCATTTATGTTAAATTGTATTGTGTATTAGAACCAGACAAAGAAAATGCTTGACATTGAGCACATTGTTTTCATTCTTTTGCTCAACAAGGCTTTTTAAATAGGCTTCTTTTACCAGTAGGAAACAGATACATTAATGCAGTAAGAATACTGCAATTATTGATATTTAAACCTGTTAAATTATATTAGCACACGTAATGCTACTTAAATGCACGTGAACTCTGTGCCGTGTTCCTGCGCAATTTCCGGAAGCCAGGCACCTAGAAGTAGTCGCTAGTTTCGACCGCTAACCTGGGTTCTTCCCAGTGAAATCCATGGCCTTATCCTTTATTTTTCATTTCCTTCTGAAAATCAATAGGGCAGAAATATTTTGTTACGATGCATCCTTAATAAGCCTTAGATCATCTGCGAAATAATGACAGGTTTATCAGATTTTCTTGCACAAGTCCTGGATCACCAATACACAGTTTTGTGTATCGATTAGCGCTGCCCAGCGCCCTTATAACACTATCCACAGGGTGTTTATTTGCTTTCTGAGAAAAGTCAATTAAATTTAGTTTGAAACTATTGGATTAGCGTATTGTCAGCGAGAAAACCCAGTTTTTAAAGCTATCGACTCTGATCAGTCAGCTGCTGAAGTGGTTACCGTGTCACCGGAGATTTGGCGGGAACCGCGGTCTCCTCCAACATGGACGTACAGGGGGCGCTACTGAGCGATCTCATGGCGAATCTCAGGAACAGCTGCTCACTTAGTTCGAGGGTGAGTGTGGTCCAAATATTCAGTATTTCGGCTTGTGTGGTGTTAAATCTGTAGCATTGGACGTACGTATTATTTTTCCTTTCCATTTCGGAATCCTGAGGCAGTATTAATTAATCAGTATCAAGCACCTTTCTATTTTTCATGACCCTCCAGGGAATTTTATACTAAGGCGACCTTTGTTGAAGATTTCATCAGTGGCCGCTGGAGCGAATAATGGCTTGAAAGAGTGTTTCCCAGCACCAAAAAAAGCTTGGTTCACTTCAAAGTGATATAGGATATTTCTAAATGAAAAAAAAATCTTGCTATGATGGCTTCAGAATTGTTTGTCAAAAAGCAAATGTCCGGTATTTGTGGGGGTCTTTTCGTTCATATGCTTCATTAGGAAATTGTTAATATTGTAATGACTTGGAGTGTGTCGTTCCTCACTTTGTCAAATTTCTATCATCAGTAACAAATATCCACAGTGGACTAACTCAGGAGAGCTGCTACTCTGCAGTGATTGATGTGCTTTTTGTTCGACATTGATTTGTGAGGGGCCGTCAAAGCGCCAGCATCATCTCCCGTTGTCAGGGGTGATCCGTGCTTTATACCCATAAGGTCTAGTTATAACTTATGTTATATACAATGTATGTTGTTCTCTATTAATTAAATCACAAGAATTTGCGGGTTTTATTAACTTTAATTTTTTGCATATGCTATATAGAAGGTCTTGGAAATACAGCCACGTAGCATCGTTTTTGAAGGGGGCAGCCACATTTTTTTTTTCTTACTTACTTGAAAAAAGTTGACAAGCAAAAAAAAGTTAAACTGCCCAAACTCGAAAACCCTATTTCGTGGGGGAGGGGGGGAGAGGCCAACTTTTTCAATGCCAACTACTTCAGTACCAATTTTGTGGTATTCAACACATTTCCCTTATATCAATTTCCTGTAGCATAAAGTGTGTGTGTGTGGGGGGGGGGGGGGGGCAAAGCCTTTCACTGAACATTTCCAAAAGTAAAAGTACTGTTGGTAAAAAAAAAGTTGCTTGCCTGAAGTAAAAGTAATTCTTCAAAATATTACACCTCGTATTTATTTACGTTTTATTTGATTAAAAAAGGTTTAACCTATGTAAACGACATGAAGAGGTCATAAGCGACAACCATCTTAATTAGTAAGATTAAAAAAAAAGTACTTCCTTGAAATCAAGTCTACGCCATTTTTGTCTTTACCGGAAATAGTCAGATTTTGTCTTGTACACCATAAACATTTAATTGTTTTGAACGTAGTTTATTGATATCAATCAAAAGGATTGGAAACAAGTTCTAAATAACTTAGTGAATTCCTCTCCTTATATAATACAATTTGTCATGGAAAAAGAAAAAAAAAATAATACAATCGATACATGAATAAATAGATACAATATTTATAATGTAATACATCATTTGGAGAATCTACATGTTTCGTCAATAAATTTATGAACAGCAGCAAAAATACTGTTTTTTATCTGTAAAGGAATTAACATCACCACACAATAATACATTAATATCAATAGAAACCAAATCATTTAATTTGTCATCTGGGACTTTTGGTTTAGAAGGGGGGGGGTTTACATGCTTTGTCGCTTTTATAGTATGCGGTACATTTCCCTTTAATCACAATTTATGTAGCTGGATGAATGGGAAGAGACAATGCTAAACTTACAGACTTAATATGTAAAATGTTTTAGGATACTAATTTTTTTTATAAGAATGAAATAATTCCAAAATGATAGTATAGTTTTATTTCAATTTTCAAGTTTAGGTTTAGTTAACTCTATGTAGATCTATTGGTTAGAAAGTAGATAGCATGTTTCAATTTTTAAAGTGTCAATGAGTACATGTATATGACTATTAAATTTTAGTCATGGTGTATTGCAGTGCCTTCGATATTTTTAATGAATGGCACGGCCGCGACCGATACTTTATCTCTTTTTTTTTATTTTGATAAAAAATCTTCTTTTTTTTGGGGGGGGGTACTAGAAATAGAATGATTTGTCAGAAATGCTTCTCCTATAGTTTTTGGTGTGTTTGGTATACAAATCCACTATATACATGATTCATCAAGAAAGGCAATTTTACTTATAATGTATCAGTTCCGATGCCCCCGTGACCTTGGCTACAAAAACAATACAAATAATATTTAAAATGTCATGAGATCAGAACACAACAATTTACATATATTTTTTGTTTTCAAATTTAAATGTCGACAACGAAATGTTAGGAAGCTAAGCAACTATACTGTCTTTTACTATTTTCAATCGAGCTACAGTTTCATCAGAGACTCCTTGTCTGTTTTCCACTTCTCTTAATTTAGTGTATGTATATTACTTTATGTAATTTGAATGTCATGGGCATGTACTTAAATATTTACATGTACATAATATGTACATATAAATATATATAAGTAAGTATTATGTTGAGCAATGCTGGTTTCAGTGTGTCTGACTGGACTTTGTACACCTGTGAAATATATCGCACATTTTCTTTGGATAGGACTTGTTGACGGAATTATCACTATAAACTGATAACAGTTTTTTCTTCAGAGGACAACAGATAACTCTTACCCCAAAAGACTGCCATAAAAAGAGGATGGAACCCAGTCAATACAACATCCGGCAGTCAGACACAAAGCACATATATTGATTGCAAAGACATTGTCCAAGTTCATTAGCAAACTTTAAGACAATTGTTATACTCATTGTTCCTTTAATAGTGCAAGATTGTGTGACATAGCGTAACGAAAACTCCGACGAGTGGAAAATAAACGATTTCATTATTATACAGATCTAGAAGGCATGTCTGAAGGCATGATTAAAAAACCTCAAGGGTAGATTTGATAATGGTAATAACTCAAAAACAAAATTACTTTATACATGAAAGTAGACTTGCAAATTTCGTAAAAGACCAAATATATATTAGGACCTAGAAGCGTGGCTTGTAATTTTAGGCCAGTGACTTGTTGAACGGTCAGGTGTAGTAAATTTAAACTTAGGATTTGAATGGGACCACGTGACTATTTTTACCTGACATTACCTAGCTTATGGTTAAGTGTAAACAAGACGGATTATAAGGCCTGTAACACGAACCTCCCAAATAATTGTCACAAAAATGAAGAAAGGACCTGATATTCACAATCTGGATACCCTGGTAAGTTTATTGTTTTAGTCGTGGGCAAAGTTCAGAATAATCAAGACCATTTTTCTCGGGCCGACGGACGTTCATCAGAAGGTCACCGTATGTCACAACATAACACGTATCGCCATACCTGTCGGAGTGACGGTGTCTCCTTACTTTATAAGGACTGACAGGGAACAAAGAAGATTCATTTCATTATCAGAAACTATGTAGAAGACTTGTTTACTAAGTTATAAAAGTATCTACCATAATTTATTGTACTTCCGGTGAGAGGGTCTCTGTTTACATTGTTTTTACCTGGCCAAGTTTTATACCTGGTCTGCCCTGAGGGGGTCGTCATATTAAGGTCTTTTGGTGCAATCTCCTATGCAGAGTTGTCGTTCGTTCCTCTCTCAAACACCTCTGCAATGGGCTCACGTCAAGATTTTTGACGTAACGTATAAAACATGATATTTGAAACAATTTAAATTAATATATCTGGATTGATTTAGTAAATATCTATCTCAAAACTCAGACATAAGCATATAAATTGAATTGTAATGAATTAAAACAAACGCACTATTTCTCGTGTTTAACACTGTGTATACGCGAGCCAATGACAGAGGTGAATGTATGAGCCGATGGTAGAGTGCTTTTGGTGTATAAAATCTGCAGACGGTCAAAAGAAAAACAAACCACAGGCAAACTGATCAAACAGCTGATCGGCCTCGGTCTGCGCACTAAAGAATCGTTTTATCCGAAGAAAGTGTTTATTTGTATTGGGGGGGGGGGGGTATTGAAAATGACATGAGGTATTTTTGGGTATTCACAATACAGCAATACTTCGTTGCACTGAATTAGTGATCATTAGACACACACCTATGTGTGTAAGCAAAGGGGTGTATACAAAGTTCATGGCCATACAAACAAAAGCTTAGTTAAGGGTACTAGATTGTCTACATACCAACACATCTACAAAGACTCTCAGGTAGTAGGAGTGTTCAAGATTTTAGATGTGTTCAGACGTTTTCTCTGTTTATCAGACGTTTTCTTTATCAATTATTTAACACTTACGTGCAGAAAGTGGCATCGCATCATTAACAGTGATTAAACGACGACCCAGCCACAGAATATCTGTAAGGGTAACACGGAGGGGTCAGTGACGACTGCTGACCACCTGTACATTATCTACTGACCACTTCTGACCACCTGTCTGTGTTTAATGCTATTCTGACAGTCTACAAACGCCCCATCAGCTGCTGTAGGAAAACATCATTCGTATATCTACGTGCTTCGATACTGGACTACATAAGACAATCATCGTATGCAATTCTGCTTGTTGTTAGAAAAGGGCCTAGAGCAAATTTAGTGTAACTTACAGTAGTCTAACATGAACCTTTTCTCTTGTCTGTTACGATTGAGCCTTTCCTAATCGTCTGCAATTTGTTGGTAAATATCAACTGGAGTATATTATTAGTATCATCAATATTTGTCCCTGGGGAAGGAAGCTTCTTTATGATCTAATTGTGGACGTGAAAGGTTAAACTTTGTATGATTAAGTTTCTATAATAATGTGTTTGGCGTGAAATCGGATCGATATATAAGACAACATTAGGTTAGTTGAGAAGGCTGTTCAATTAAGGACGATTTACGCTGCCAGTCTCCAGTGGTACCGGAGCTGGCGTTGGATTCGGCAGGTGAAGTCCCGCCTGCGCGGACTGGAATCAATGTACCAGCAGACGACCAGAGGTAGTCAAAGGCAGGCGACCAAACGACAGACATGGAATATAACATGGATTACGGCACAGGGGACAAAAGGAACACGGTTTTGTACGGATTCGAGAAACCAGTACCTGAACTCACGGCAAGTACCTTCATATGTTAAAAAACAGAAATCTGACAGCCATGCTGATACAAACGTCAAAATCGATTTTCCGTTTAACTGTTTTGCAAGCCATGTTAAAACAGATTATTGATGTATGAAGGACTTGATCAATACGGTGAAAATACTGGCGTGTTTTATTGTAATGATAACTTAATATCCGTATAATAGAGCACTTCCTTGCTTCGATCGAGCCTTAAATTACTTCGTATTTTGAACCCAGAATCACGCGTTTCGTGTTTGTGTGATGTTGATTTCTTAGTTTTGGGGCATTTCCTTTTTTTTGTATGGCTTTAAAATTTTATAGTTTGCATGTATATTTTTTTCATAACACGGTATCATGTTTTTGAGTACAGAATTCCTGTCAGGTTTACGTAATATCACTCCACGCACATGTCAATTATCATTACCTACATATAATGATATGCATGCTCGTCTAAAAAGTTCACCTAATAACAAACCCTCCCTAATGGCTGGCGACAGCATGTGGTCGGTTATGATTGTATATGACAGAACATTCATCCCGGGTGAACCGTTACACATTATCAGCACCCTTGGAGCTCTCTCTACAGAATTGTTTGTAACACGCGGTTAACATCATGTTGTTGCGTTTCCATGGGAATCCTACAGGTTGAGTTTTCTCCAAAGATGATACAAATAACAGGGGAACGTAATCACTAAACATTATTACATCAGGCCATCAAAAAAGTCAGACACAAAAATCCCTCTAATTATCTGATTTGTGAAAATATTTTTAGATATAGTATGATTCAGTTTCAAGGGAGTTTGTTTGCAGCAATATTCTTTTACCTAATTACATTTCATTTCTGATAATTTGGGATTTCTGAGTAAATAGTGTAAGATAGCCGAGTTTATTTGATTGTGCATTATCTATGGGGGGTGTTGTAGAATTTGTAATAAACATCTGTGATTAATGATTAAATTGTTGTGCATATGTTTCATAATCTATATTAGATACCAAAGAAAATAAATAAACAAAAAGTTACTGTTTTGCAGTAGGATATGAACCCGATATGAAGATCTGACAGACATTTTTAAATAGCACACATGTAAATAATATTTGGAAATGTGTTAAAAGTGCTGTGCACTCAGAATATATAACAAAAATCTTATCTCTTCAGTGAAATGGAAAAAAAAACCATCCATGATCAATTACAAAAAAAATTTATTCAATGGTTATCTTATCATATATTTTAACTTTAGAATAAATTGCATTGCTGTTGTGATTATAAAGGTAAAAAAGCAGTGTATTCAAAATTTTACTAATGTAGATGCATTTAAAGGTTACATGTCAACAATTAATTTATGTGTAGTAAATCACACCCATAGAAATGATGCAAATTAAACAGTAGCTTAAGATTTTCTTCCCCCCCCCCTTTTTTTTTTAAACTTCAAGAAGGTTTATTATTTTCTTTCAGCCTTTATATTTACAACCTTTGCCTCAACTTTGAACTATAAAGAAAGGAGTATTTTATTGTTAAGACTTTCATTTAAGTCTAGTCAATTTAACTGACGTCAAAGATAAAATCGAAATTTGCCACCAACGAATTTGGCAGAACTGAAAGCATTATGTTTAACAATCACAGCTTGCTCTGAATTAGATATTGATGTTTTGTGATATATATGGTAGACATTATGAATAATGAAAAGAAAGAAAACCTGTAATTAGTGTAAAATTGAGTAATCACGATGTGAGATATTTTATAGAGTGGGTAGTAATTCTGAGGTAGAGACTAATTATTTTAAAATCTCCACTTTTTTCGTCAATATTGTCATTAGTATGTGTTTACTTACAGCCTTTGAGAGGTGGTACCGATCTGAACCACATCGATGATGGATACATCAAGCACCGTCGGGACCACCGAATACGCAGCGTCACGTCAGAGCAGGAAAGGGACAGCTGCTTCCTGTGTCTGCGAAATGCATTACATTGTTATAATGTGGTAGTTCTTGTAAGTATGGTTTGCTTTCAATTAGATTTAACTTAATGAATCTTGTCAGAGGTCAGATGACCCTATCTGTATTAATTGTGGTTTAATGAATGTAAACGCACTGTGACAAAAAAAATTATTGCAATTCAACTAATTAACACACATACACACACAATGGTCCAACATCTGACTAGCCTGTTTAACTGTACAGAAAAACACAGGAAGAGTTAAAGACTCATAGTATTGATTAATATTGGAAATAATTTTTAAAGGTAAATAACAAAGTGCTGTATTTCTAAATCTGCATATTCTCTAGGCTAACACAATGTCATTTTTTCACTAAGTAAATTAAATTTCTTTTTTTTTTTGACCCCCTAAAAATCATAGACAATGTGATTTTAACAAAAACAATCTGCCAGTTATCCTGTAGGCTAATTTGATGATGCTTTTCTTTCTGTGCTACATTCCAAGTTTCAAGTTCTTTAAACCTTACTTAAAATTAAATAAAGAAAATGAAAAATGAGTCACCAAAACTGTTACAGTTGACAGATTGAATACAAATAAAAAATGCAAGATAGAAAAAAACTATATCTGATTATCAAAGGAAGGCTTTATGTATTTATGCTTATTTGAGTTTATTTCACATAATTTTCCTTTTTTTCCAAAATTGAGAAGTGAAATTTTTAATGTATACTCTGAGATTGATTACAGATCATTAATTCACATAAATATGCTTGATGTAATGTAGCTTTCATTTATCCATCATATTTGACTATTGTGTTACAACATTATTCCAGCTATTTGCCGCTTGCTGATATAATGATGTAGTCACATCATACAGAAATGTTTGTGTAATTATCATAACAAACAGGGAGGGAGAGAAAGAGACATTTGTCAATGATTATGTTACATTAATATGTACCAAACAACTCCAATTCTATCACATTAATAAACTCTTGTACAGTTCAAGTGTAGATGACCTTTTTAGACCTAAAAGTCCAATATAATTAATTTTTACACCCAGGCAGCCAGGCCTTAAATCAAAAGCAGGTGTCTGTTGGAAAACATAGATTTGGTTGACACCCTCCCAGCAAATACCCTACATACAGCTACTAGCCTGTAGTTACCGGTAGATGTTTCAGAGTTAGATTATGGTCCAAGATTGTATGTCTGACTTTAAGTTGAGTTCATTGGTATTTTTTCTTGATGACAAACACTAGGGACAAGGGATACATATATATATATGTATTACTTTTCAATAAAAAGACAAGGTGGTAGCTGTTTGATTTGTTGAGAATAAGACTTTAAATACTCTCTTCTTTCTCTCTCTTTTTAGCAAATCCAAAGGGGGTGGGGGATTCCAACCCCTGTATCACCCCCACCCCCCACCCCCCTCTGGATCTGCCACTGCAGTACATAATGTTTGACTATTGTCTCATACATGTACTTGCAGGAAACATCCCTCAATGAAAAAAAAAACTTCATTGCATGTAAAGAGATTACTTTAAAATCTTTGAAATTTCCTCGCCCTGCAGCAGATGTCTGAAAATCTTAACTTAAACACTAAGGCTTTGTAAAAATTTGTAACTTTACTATTCTAAAACAACATGCTACACTTTCTTGGCTTATAAAAAAGTTGTCTGTCTGTGAAAAGGAATGTAAATAAACTCTCTCATGCAGTTAAGATAATTAAATTGATAGCTGCCACAGTATGACTTAAAGGTTTGGGTAATGTATATTTCAGATTATGGGGTGCGGCCTGTTGGTTACAAGTTTTAAGTCTGTGTTGTATATTTCAGATTATGGGGTGTGGCCTGTTGGGTGTGGGGATCTGGCTGCTAGTGACAGACTTCAGTGCCCGTGAAATAACGGTCCTCATCAGCTCTAGCGAGTTTGAGATCGGGACGTATATGATTCTGGCCGGTGGTGGCTTAGTGGCGCTCCTGGCCTTCTGTGGCTGCTGTGGAACAATGAGGGAAGACAGATGCATCCTGGGATTTGTAAGTGTACTGAATTGATGTTAAGTTACAGAGCATCCTTTACAAACAACTAATGAAAATGTTATTTTAAAGCAGCTTCCTTCTAAGGGGAAGAATAGAGAAGCTGTCCAGAGTAATAGAAACGTCTTGCTAAGTTATAATGGTTACATGTGAGAAATTAGTGTGGTTAATCATAAATCAAATAGAAAGTGCTCTATGTTTACAATTGCCACACTGGTAATGGAGCATTAAAACATGTCAATGGATGTAATGGTGACATAACTTACTCTGCTGTTAGGATGTCAGCCATTACCCAGACTCTGGCTCTGTGACAGTTATTGAACAGGGAATGTCAGTGTTTGGCTTTAATCCCCACTACGAACCCTATGCAGATCAATAAATTCCATTGAAAATAGTAGTGTGATCAATGTTTGATTCATATAGCATGTTTAATAGGACAGTCTCGAATGAGCAGTGCTCATTAGAGTATATTCAGTTATTGATTTCCCAGTCATTAGATTTCAGATCATGTAGCTGTAAGTGTAGGTGGTAAAAATTGGTTTAAATCTGGTACCAAGGGTCTTACACAGGAATATATAGTAGAGAAATCTTAAAAAAAAAAAAATTCCAAGGCCATGATTGGTGCATCTTTAAATCCTTTAACAATATTCTTTTCACAAAGCATGTTGTATAAATTAAAATTTGAAAAGTTAAATGCAATATCTGGGTAAATAATTTAGAGCTTATTAAGATCACCGGGGAAATCATCAATATTAAACTTTAATTTTTTTTTTTAGAATCTCAATATATATAGAATTATGAAGAAATCTTTAAAAATAAAAGGCACAACATTTGCTTTTAAATAAAGAACAACAATATGGTAATGCAAATCCTGAGAGTCACTGATACACAAGCACAAGGCTGTTGTTAGTAAATAGAATAGAACCTTTGAGGACACAACATTAGCATTCAATATACATATCATTATTTAAATGGAACAACATTTCACAATATGCATGCACTATTCTACATTTTTGTTTGAGAGACACATAAACCAAAGCAAAAAAGCCTAGGAGCCACCCCCACGGCAAGCGGTATATCTTTAACTATATTCTTTTTTTTAGCAATTTCTTTTTTACCGGTGCACAGATTTTATTCAAACTTTTCTTATTTTCTGGGTTTATATGAATTCATTATTAAAAACTTTAAAACTATTACAAAAATTGCCAAAAAGCGATAAATCTAGTACTCTGTTATAAATGTTAAAACCAAAAACGGACACCTTGAATAATTAAAAAAACAAAATGAAGAATATATTTTTTTAACAAATAACTGGAAAACCTCATTTAAATGCTAAATAATTTGTACGCACTGAAACTCACATATTTTATTTTTGTATGCACTGAAACTCACATATTTTATTTTTTTTAATTAAGAGTTATGCTTATTAATTGTCGATACATGGGGATGAGCGGAGACGTGAGGTTTCGTAGATCATAATACTGATATTATTTGGGAAGATATATTTCTTCTTTTAAAAAGATGGAATTAGTGTTTCAGTGAAATTGAAGGTGTTAGAAAAGTATGAACAATTTAATTTCATAGATTCCAGCATCAAAATGACTTTTAAAGTTCAAACCTGTTAATGAAGAAGATAATCACTTATTATAAAAGCTGTATCAAAGCAGTGATAAAATAATTAATTTCCTAATCACTTGGCTGATACAATGAAAGTGGAGAGATATATTCTGTCAAATAAAAAAAAGTAATTATGTATTGTAAACTGCTTCTAAATCAAAGCTATGTATTAACCATGACTTGTTAACATAACAATGGTCCTTAAAATATTACTGGTAATCTGATAACGATTTTGTCATTGTGTAGGTTTTCATATGGAATTTAGAGTTATAACTTAAAATCAGTCAACAAAAAGTAAAGTCAAATAAAAATAAATTAATTAATAAGTGGGGCTCCGACGTATATATGTCAATGTTGTACGTAGAGCCTGTGAACATAATGTGGCAATGAACGATTTATACACGGAAAAAAAGAAATTATATGGGTGTTTTTATGCGTACAAATTATGTGGTATGTAAATGAGGTTTTCCGCTTATTTGTTGAAAAAATTATTATTCATTTTGTTGTTTTTAATCGACACAACATTTAACATTTATAACAATATAATTTACCATTATATAAAGTTTTTATGCACTAATGGAATAACATAAGCCCAGGGCCCCTTCTTTATTTATTTTCATGTAAAAATGAACATTTTTTCTTTTCATCTTACACAAGAGTAGAGATGTTTCCTGTTTACAGAATTAAACTTTAATATTCATCATCCTTTTATCAGGTTCTGATTGTTAGCCATCAATCATTTCAGTAAGACTTTTCTCTCTTAGCCAACTCTTTCTAAGTCATCATATTTTTTCTGTAGCAAGAAAAAAATCCTGCAGTTTCTAACTGGCTTTATTTTGGCCTTATATAGACAGTATGTTTCTGTTCTAGCTTTGAATAGTTCTGTTCATGGACATTGTAAGATATGAATTAAATCAAGGATCCATTGATGTTATTTGATGGAGTAACTTTATAAGCAAATGGTCCATGCTAACAATATCTGAGTGGTTTACTGGGCCTGTGGTGGTGAAGCCAGCTTAATGAAGCCTCCTTATGAGACATTAGATAATGCTGCAGCATTAACCACACTGCCTTCCAATGTCTGAGCTCATCTCAGCTAGAATTGTTTAAACTGCTGCTTACTTGTGGCTTGGGGAATGGGATTAATTTTTATGATTCCTTGATTGAGTTATCTACATTGTATCTTCTAACAAATTTTACTTTCATTAACTGCACTTCCATTACTATTGGAGGTGTTTAGCACTGTGTACACAGTAAATAACTTATAACTTGCAATGTGCTTTATAATCTTTTGCTTATCAATGAAAACTGCAATCTGTGGCTGCTTCCTATCAATAATCATTAATTAAGCTGGTCCCCCAGCTGTCATTCACTAACACTCATCCATCATACTAACAATATCCAGTATTTTCAATTTGTAATGATTTTTAAAAAAACATTTAGTCCATGTACAGTGTACTTTCTAACCTCGACAAGGAAAAAAAGAGAATAATTTATAAATGTTCCTTTGACTTTTCAGTATGGAGTAGTATTGGCCTTGGTGTTTTTGGCCCTGCTTGCTGGAGGTGCTATGGCAGCTTTATTCCGAGACCATGTGAGTAGCATTAAACCGTTTAGTGGACTACAGCTGTGACTCTGACAAGATACAGTGATCCTTAACACGAAACACAAATCTACATGAACAATATGGATTCTCCTAGTGTCAAACATATCTTACTCTGACAAAATAGATGAAGGTATAATTAAATTACACAGAATATTCCCAATTCAACACATGACTTAAATTTTCTAAATGTTGAGGCATTAGGAATGTATAATTAGAGAAGAGGAAGCTGTTAGAAGCAGTGTGGAGGAAATTCGCTGGATAAACCAGGAAGAAGATGGGGATGTAAATAATTTACTTCAGTTCTGGCTGTGTTTGTTTTAAGTCTGAGTAACAACCAATCATCAGTCTCACCTGGAGAGAGAGAAATTCTAGACAGTCAAATACTGCACCAAAGCCCCGCAGCCAGTGTGTTGATAATGACTGTGATATTCTATAAACAGCTACCTTAAAATTTATATTAACTTGACTATGAAGTCCAACAGCTGTTATATTGCTATTGGGTTTGGCCATAAGTTTAATGTCATGTGTCACCCTCCTTAGAGGTTGCATTCAATGACAGAGCCACAATGTTTGTTTTCACAACAGAGACATTGTGTTTTACGTACTCTTTCCAAGAAGGGTTTGCAACAATGTGCATACATGTTTGATATTGATATGATGTTCATATATAAGCAGCAAGGTATCATACATATTTAAAATTGGAGATGTTTTCAAATTGCAGAAAGAAAAATACACTTTGAAGATGTTTATAATTTAGAACTTGTAAAATTTGTCTCTTGTTGATTAATAACATATACTGGTAGTAATTTCAAATGAGTCAAAAAACCACATTTGGTAAAGTGCAAAAAGATTGATAATCCACATTTTAGCTGTTAAGAATTTTATCAAAGTCATTTTAACCAATATCCATTGTAGTACTTTACATAAATTTCATGATCTTGAAAAGAGGTTGTGAAAGACCACGTGCACTACTTTGATATGAACAGAATCTCTATTACATGTATAACTTTATCGGATAAACATGGATTTATTCTTCCATTTAAATTTTTTCAGATAACAGATGATATAAAACAGAAGTTAGAGCAGACACTACAGAACCAGTATGGAATGGATGTCCGTGGAAACACCACCAACAGACTTATCACGGACGCCTGGGACTCAATGCAGAGAAAAGTTAGTGGGACAGGCGCTAATACTTACACAAAATATAGCATTATAATATCTTTTGTTAAAATTTGAAATCTGACATATGTTTATTTTAGAGATAGTTATATGCTGATTTAAATATAATACAGTAAAACTCAGAATATTTGAAATCTATATCCGAGTTATATCCATATAACGAATTTGCTTATATGGCGAACTCACAATATGATGATTTCTTTCAAGTGTTAAAAAATATGTTGATTTAAATTAAATATTTGTTGAATTTTATATACAGATGCTAAAAAAAATAAATTCATTAAAAAATTTTGAGATATTTGAAAAGTTCATTATAAATGATGTATTTTTCATTATATTTAATCTAAACGGGGCTTAAAATCAGTTCGCTATATCCGTAAATTTGTTATATCAGAGTTCGTAATAACCGTAAAATTTTACAAAGATTTGTAAAGAATTTTGCCGGGGACCCAGAAAAACTTCGCTATATCTGTGAATTCGCTATATCCTTGTTCGTACTAAACGTACTTTGTATGTTTAAAAAAACAAAAAAATGAATTTCTCCAACACGTTTGATTGTGTTTCAAATAATTTCTTGTTTGTTTATGTTTGCACTGTTATCCTTTACCTAAACTGGATTAGATTTTGGAAAAACAAAACCAAAAAAAATTATTACTTATTTGGAAATCTAAAAAATTCTAATTTTGTCATAAAATGATCTGTTAGATATGAAGCATGTTAAGTGTTTACATTTTTTTTTTCCATTAGCTTCAGTGCTGTGGAGCACATGGAAATAACCCATGGGCATTCTATAAATTATCAAGCGAGTGGTACATACAACGTAGCGACAACAGTAGTAAGTCTGTGTTGTTTGCACCACCTAACAGGTGAGGTGGTTCCCTCCCTCCATGGCACCCTCTCACTGCGGGGTCCAGAGAACCACCTGTGTTTGACTTCACCATTTTATTTTGCTTTACTAATTATTTTATGGCTTATGTTGAATTATCAGTTTGAGTGTTGTGGTCCCTATAGTTTGGATGAGGACGGAGAGGACCTAAAGGGAACCAAGTCGTGGAACTTTTATAAAAGCACCAAGTGGTACATTACCAAAATACCAAGTAAGTTAACAGCGCAACCAGTTCTCCTACGCCATCGAGCTTACACTAGGTTAATTCAGAAAACAGGGTCATAAAGAAATGATTACTGATTCTGATAAGTCTAGTGTTAGCAAGGCATAGAAAAACCATTGTCAAGCTTCTCAAATGCTAGAACTTGGACTCAACTGATTTGAATTTCTATGGTGGATTTTACCTCTCTTTCCAATGAAAAAAAATTGATGCAATCAAAAGTTGAAAGAATTCAAAGCTAAATTGAGTGTCAAGGTGAACAAGTATATACACAGAAATCTGAAAGTGATGAATATGTCAACTTTCCATTTGCTTGACACTGTTTAAATCTTCACAGTTGATCACATATTTAATGAGAGAAGTGAAATCCCAAATATTTTACTTGATATTTTAATTAGAAACATCGGCTGAGATTTGTAGTTGAAAAATTGCTATTTTTGAAGATGAATAAAATGATGTTGATCTTTACTGAGAGTTGTATATCCTGTATCAAGATCATACAGTGATTCCTGTAGGTATAAATAGAGGTTTCAACTCGGCATACTTTGGGACTTTGCTTGTCAAAGTTTTCTTTTTCCCTGTGTTCAGCTCCTTGTGTAAGTTGTGTTAGATACTGTAAACCATCTTTTATTCACATGCGAGTTTCGCGACCTACTTTAACTTGCGACTATTTTTATCACCGTGAACCATTTATTTTGCTTTGTATTTGAGGAGAATGTTTCCTCTAATTTCAAAGTAATATAGTTGGTTTAAACTATAATATTTAAGTTATCAAAAATCATATTGCCATTAAGATCACTTACTAAAATAACTATTTGAGAAGCTTGCACAATGATAGGCATTTACCAGTAGATAGACAACTTGATCTGTGGATGGGCAAAGGGAGATAAATGCATGAGATCTATAGAATAAGGTGATAGAGTTACGGTTCCTTTATTTGTTACGCATGATAGGCAGGGTTACGCTGCTAGATGTTAATGTTTAATTGATCCCTGGTTCTGGTTAGCTGAGGAAAGCAAGGTCAAGGTAAAGACACCCAGACAGGTGAGAGGCAGGGCATGGTTTACTGAGGAGATGGTATGCATGCACTCAGGCTGTTACAGGGCCGCTTCACTAATGTTAGCATTCTGCTCTCTATCAGTTATATGGTGGTCACTTTATGTTATTTGCTTGATTTTGTTTTTAAAATTTATGTTGTTTTAAGGATGTCATCATTATATTTTTTGTGCATTTTGATTCGATCTTCACTCATTGCATGTAATCTGAATGGTATTATTTTCCTTCTTTTGTTTTAATATTAACTTGTTCATCAGTATAATCAACTTTCACAACACCTAAAGGAAATTGTTCCATTTAATAAAAATTTTTTTTCATTTTTTTTTTCACTCTAGATTTTTCATGCCAAATTTCTGAGCCATTAAATTCATTCTAATCAGATAGAATTTCATTTTCTGAATTGAAATTCATATTTTAAAATTTGTTTAAACTATAAGACATCTTTTTTTGATTCTTAATTACAATCTTAGTTTGTATGCCAAGATCATTGTCTTTTATAGCTAGTATTGTCTTCTAGTGTGATTTTATGCTTCAATGGTTATATGATTAATAAACAAATATATACTCACTGTTACTTGATCAATTATCAGTCATATTCTTAAGTGTCTTCTTTTAACTTGATAAAATTGCATTCTGAAAGAAAATAATAAAATCTTCAATCTTTTATTTTAAATCTGATGTGTGAATCATGTTTATTTCTAGTTTTAATTCACCCATTTATATTTGTTGTAACAGAATACCCTATGGTCCCTGAAAGTTGTTGTATAGAGGGGGGAGACAAACAAAAGTGTCAAGGTCAGACTATCATTAAAGGACCCCCAAACTATGGGCCGGCCAGTTTGCCTAAAAAATTTGAATCCCACCTTTACACTGAGGTAATTACTAAACTTTTATAATAAATACATATATCCTTAATGTTAAAAGATATTAATATTTTAATTTTAAATTTTTTAAACTGTATATTGTTCTTTAAAAAATATACTTCATATAAATCACTGTGTTTTACAGGGTTGTTTTGAGAAGGTGTTTCATTATTTAGGAGAGTCTGTCCTGATTCTGGGAGGGGTGGCCTTTGGAGTACCTCTCTTTCTGGTAAGTCAACAGAAATGGAAATATATAATGTAACAATGACACTGCAGACTGTAGCATCCCCTCAAAATTTAACTTTATTTAAAAAAGCTGGATTTTACTGTCACTCTATCCCTGGACCCTGGAAGATGTCATGATTTTGGAAAAAATCTGAGTCTATACCATCTGGTAAAACTTCCATATCAGTTCGACTGAATATGGATTTTCTATTCTTGAGAAGAACATTTTTAAAGATTTTTCCTATTTATATCTATGTAAGACTTTGATTCCCAATAGTGTGCCATACCCTGTGTTGGGGATCATGATTTGAACTAATTTAATTGTGGAAGCTTTCAGTTAAATTTCATCTTTTCTGGTTCTTGAGAAGAAGATTTTTAATGACCCTACCCAATAGTTACAATGGAATCATTTTTATTTTCGGAGCTCAATGTTCATGGCTACAAATTGGCCCCCACTAACGATGATTCCACAGTTGTTTATTGCAATAATTCCCCTCAAAAAGGGTTTGGCCTTTCATTTGAACAAATTTGAATCCCCTTTACTCAAGGATACTTCATGATATTGGGGAAAAATAACTGACGACACCTACAATGACAATGAGGATGACAGACAACATACAAATTATGAACAGAAGGGCTCACTTTAGCTTTGGGCTCTGATGAGCTTAATTAGGTCCATTTATCTGAAACATAATATTATTTTGAGTATAAGATAGTGATAACTAATTGTTTTATCTGGAATATGTCATTATAATTTTGTTTATAATTACAGGTAGTGGGATCCATTATTGCCTTCTGCCTTTGTGCCAGAGTCAAAAAGTCCGACACCAGTTTTGACGAAGAGGAGGACCTCTAATAAATAATCAACGCACCCCCAAAAATGAACAATAAAACTGAGGATCTCATATAATATAGACCACAAACTGACGGTGTTCCTGTGTCAGTTAGATTACACTGCCGACTGGGCAGCACGTTACCATGGTAACAGGACCAGCCTACATTCCGGCCCAGATCAGGTCATACATTCCATGGGATATTCCAGTCCATCTATCACCACCCACTTCATATAGACTGTGAAATCATATTGTGTGTTTGATAAAGGACCAAGGAAGAAATGGCGTGATATGTGTATGTGTGTGCAGCAAAGAGTGCAAGTCTATTCAATGTGTAAAAGGAGGTTATGATACATTGTATATATTTTTACCTTGATTTTGTTTATGTATACATGAGGGAAGATTTTGAGGACAACTGTTGTGTGCGAGAGGACATGTCTGTTTTGTGTTGCTTTGTCTCACCTGGGATAAAAATCCCTAATTCTTGTCACACATAGATCCCCCCTGATCATTGGTCAAATCAAAACAAAGTGATACCAAAGAAATGAATCGGTATCCAGAATTCTGTTGGAGCTTAGGATACTTTGTGGCTTACCGTTCCTTGTTATCTTTTAGCACGCAAAACATTGTATAAATTACGCCATTGTCATTTTTTCATCACAACAAATTTTAAACCTAAAGAAACCTGAGCATTTACCATGAGTGTGTTTTGTATTAGGTATAACCTTGTACCTCGATACATTTCTATGATAATGATGAATCATGGACCAATCTCTTTGTGATTTTCTTCTTTGATATTATGGAGATAATTTTGTTAATTCTATTTTTTGTGTTGTTGACTGACATAAAGATTTGTTTACTTTGTAGTTGATATTCCATAAACAGAGTTTAACTAGACGTACAGGTGCAATCTGTTTTCAATTGCTTTTTTTTCCATTTTGCCTTGTTTATGTACAAATGAGAGTTTATTTCTAATAGCATTTGTGATTGTTTTAATAATAAATTCTTACAAATAAAAGACCAGATGGATAAATATTATAATAGCGTTTATCTTATTCTTTAGATAAACATGATAAATGAATAAAACCCTATAGCGTCCCTTGTTAATTAAGTTGAGAAGAAATACTTTGAAAAATTATTTCAGTCTATGAAAGATAACTCGTGGTCACAGATGTCATAAAGAGAGGTTATGGAACTTGGTATAGTGTGAAGTCTGTCCTACCTTGCTTGCAGTCTGTAATACTGTAGAGATTCATCATGGCTGATGATGACTTTATTTCACCTGAAAAAAAGTAACAGTATCTTTAGTTCATACCAATATTATTTACAAACTGCGGAATGCATAGGATTTCTTTTATTGCCCGGATCATTTACATCAAAATGCCAATACAGAGGTAAAGTTTCTCCCACGCATTAAAAAAATGAAAAAAGCAGTTATAGCCTAGTTGTAGACCTCCCTAGGTCTTTTTCCATTATAAATGAATATACATTTATATTTATGAACTTCGATATAAAAAGAAAAATTGAAAAAAACTATTTCTAGCATAGATAAAAAGGTAACAAGGTCTATGAAATAAAAAAGCAGTTATATAGCCAAGTTCATTGACCTTGGTGTCATTTGAAAGAACTTTATTAGTGTAGTATGCATACTAAATGTATTGTTTTATGGCTATTATATATGAATTCAATACATATATATTTATAAAGCACCTTTAGTGAAGTATGCATACCAAATATGAAGTTTCTATATAAAAGTTATGGCGAAGGTTAAAGTTTGGGGACAAACAAACAAACAAACAAACAAACAAACAGACAGACAGACAGACAGACAGGACAAAAACAATATACGCGCTTTGGCTTCAACTCACTATAAAGATAGTCATGATCGGGAAATAACGGAAAAATCCGTTGTCAATTCATTGTATAAATAATGGACTAACAAATAGTATGAAAAACATCAGTCAGCATTTGACTCAATGGAAAATTGTATTTACTGACATGGTCATTGTATTGACCATAGAACTTGCGAAATTATGACTTTAAACGAGACTGCTGATATACTTGTTTCATCAACTTGTTTGTCAGTAATTTACCTCGTTTATATCCTACGTAGAACATACTCTTCCGTATCGAATCAGCTGAGATATTTATTCCGTATGCAGGTGATGAAGATATATTGCTGCATATTTAAAAGTAAGGTAAGTTGGACGATATAAAAGTTGGTTGTTGGATTGCCATTAACGTCCTTTTCCAGTAAAATACCCAAATATGAAACATATGCACATGGAGTTTATAATTTCCAGTTTGTTCAATATGCAAGAACGTGCTATATGCACAAATGATTTAAAAACCGAGACATGCTATTGAGAAAAAAGATGCTGTCGCAAGGATTTCAACGATCTCCAAAATCTACCTTATCAGCAATTGCAATTACTCTTTAACGTTAAAGAACGTTTTTTATGCAAATCGTTTGGCCATTACTTTGAAATGTCTACGAATTTTTCTGTTTTACGTGTACAGAGTATGAGGGGTACACGGCAGATGTGATAAATCGGCAGAGGTTGCTTACTCCTCCATGGCATCTGATCCCACCTCTGATGTGTTTAAATACCTTGCCCTAATTTGTTTTTTATGAACTCGATTGCTGTTCGTTTTCTTTATATTTAAATACTGTATAGCAAATAAGATCATATTGTATATATGACTGTTGTTGGTCTGTTGTGTTTGCATGTATGACGTGTTTTATGATTTGACAACGATTACCAGTATATAACAAGGAGGAGGCAAACTTCTTCTGTTGCAGAAAATGTAGTGTTATGAGTTTATATTTTACTCTTTGAATTTTGTTATGGTCAAAGAGTAAAGTATAAAATCATAAACGCTACATCAACTCTGGTACTGTTACCAGACCAACAATAGCAGAGAAGGGTGCCTTACTTTCTACAGTGAAAAGAGTTTTTAAAATATCACTTTCAATAACAAAGAAAGAAAAATATGCTATAAATACAGTTTGTTTGTTTGTTTGACGTCTTCCTCGAGAAATAATTTAATTTCACTTGTATCAAGCATTTTCATTGGCTGAATCATGCAGAGGAACATAAAATATTTTGTATAACATAACTTGCCTACGTCACAATAAGTTACGTCAAAAACGTATTACTCCGCTTGTCGTTACTTGCGGTTCGCTTTGCGGTTTATAAAGGGTAAAGTGCCCCAAGTTATGTTATATCGTATAACATAAGTTGAAATTAGCTTCATTCCTTAATTATTTCATTTATATAGAGACGCCACCACTTGACTGTAAAAAGCTGCAAATTTTGTAATATGATCTTACGGCCACTGAGCAGTAAGAAATCTTCGTGCCAGCACCTACTTACACACTTGACGTCAGTTTATACAGTCTCATCCGAAGGACCGGTTTTCTCGTCCCCCAGTGGGATTTGAACCCACAACGTAAAGATAAGCTATTTACTTCGCGACACTAGAGCAGACGCTGTAACCACTGTTCCATGCACGCGACAAATGCAAATGGTAACTTAGATATACGTTAATTTTTTGATACATTTTATATTTCGTGGTGAATTTTGTGATTTTAAGAGACCTTGCATATGTATGAAATGGTTAACAAAGAAGTCACCACTTGTAGAAAAAGATGATACTTTTAGAAAGATGACACTTATAGAAAAAGATGAATAGGACTCAATAAAGGCTTCGATAGTAAACATTCTGTTTTTGTCCTTTCATTGCCTTTTTTTAAATAATGAATTTTAATGAAATATTGCTTTAATATTCGACAATATCTTTTAATATGCAAATTTATTGACCTTCATCACCATTAAAATCGCCTGTTATAATACTAGTAAGTCAGTGCTGTAACTTTTTCCCCTTCTAAATTTTATTCATTCTCGAAGAGGACCAAACAAGAAATGAAAAAGTTTTCCAATTTAAAATCTCCATCGTACTCTCTTATACATTTGTCAATTAAATAGATCAGTATAGGACAAAGTTCATGTGAGTCATAGGTAATATTGACTTAACGACTTACTGGAGATGACAGGAAACCATAACTATAATAACCTGACATTTATCAAATGAGAGACAATAACACACTTAATTTTTCTATGGATTTCTCATGAGGTTCTGACACAGAATTTATAAACCCAAATACTTAAATTATATTTATTCATTTTATCACCAATCAAGAGAAACAAACAATATAATCACACAAAATTGACATTTTTCTATTTGGAAGTTTATACAGGATAGTTCACAATGAAATATAAGCATTACACATAATAAAATAATAATAATACAATATGAAGAAAGAAAAAATAATAATAAAATACCAAGCTCCTTTATACTGCAATGACCAGGCGGATAATAGCAAACAAGTACATGTAATCATATTATTATTAATCATATAATTATAACAATCTCCTCAGTTGTACCACACAAAAGTTGCAAGTTAATAATTTGAAATCGCTTACAGACACTAGAGAGATTATAATTTGTAAAAAAAATTTAATCGTTTTTGTAAATGATTATTTCTTGGAAGGATTTTTGGCCCCAAATCGACATCATCCATAAACACATTTTGACAAAGTTCTGACAAAATCGTGCTAAACGACTGCCATTACCCTCAGCAAACAAAGTTCATCCCCGAATATATTGGCTCAAGTGATAATGCCATTATTTATTCATAGGTCTTGTTAAAAAGGATAATTCATAAATGGTAGTTGATTTGATTTTGCCGTATAAATGTAATAAAATCGTCGGAAAATGGGCGTTAATTTGACTGCCTGATTTCACCAACAGGGAACGATCGATGGAGTTCTGTTTTTTGAAGACTGAAAATGACGACCGCTATTACCAAGTCAAATTCGTGCGACGTCATAATTATGTCGTAATTTGACCAGACTGGTTCATCCTTTGTTGGCGATATTTACACCTACTTAAGCCAGTTAATTCTAAGTCCGTGTCTTTTGATGATTTTTGTTCTCGGGAAGTTAACTGTCCAATTCCTGACGTCTGACAGACAACTTCAAAGACCCCTGTCCTTTGTACCAACGTTTACTCAAACAACATATGAAATGTTTAAATCGATGTTGGGGCAATATTTTTGCGCTGGAAGCCTTTCATTTTTGATTTATAATCCTCTTTCCGGGATAAAAAATTGAATAAATATCGTTTATTCATTGGCCATTATTGCTTCTTAGTTCTAATTAAATTGAATGGACCCCGCGGGAGCCCGAGCATCGGAAGCCATGGCCCACGGGACCTGAAACCTTTTTCAATGAATTTACGTCTGAAATACCATAGCTTTATAAACGAGGTTTATGAAATTAAGCTAATGGAAATGGAAAAAGCTTGCAGATGAAATGGAATATGGTAGATTTACGAATGCATTAATATTTTTGCCTGGTAGAGCATCACTATAAAAAAAATACGACCGATGTCGGAGTGGCATATAATATGTCTTCCATTCCATTACACTCGGCAATGGCGTCAGCCACGGGAACAGATTGTGAAAATTATTTATGGCTGATTATACAAAGACAACGAATCAGACGAAGTAATGGCGGTCGAATATCCCACTTAATATGCAGAAATATTCCGCAACAAAGTGACTTTTAATTACCCGTTGAAATATTTGGTATTTACAAATATTGAATTCCAAAACTTTTAAACATGGGGTAAATTGATTACGCATTGCATTAATAACAATCAATCTTCTACTCCGATACCAGGAGATTCCCGATTTTATCACTTGTTTTAGGTATGAATAACTTAATTTGTTTTTAAATCAGGAAACTTAGAGCTTTTTCATGAATAGAGAAATATTAACAATTAAAATAATTCAATTTACATTTTTATTTCAATATTTTATTAATGTTTTATGAGTGAGGAAAGATAATTTTTTAATGCTTTTTATTGGATTTAGAATTTATTTCACTCGTACGAATGACTTCTGGTGTTTTCACGTGGACAAAGGACGAGTATCTAGTAAGGAGAAAGTTTCCATACACTGCAGCTGAACCGTCGAGTCCTCGGCCAGGTCTATTTCCTTCCAGACATTTCATCCCCATAACCCGGGTCGTGAACAGGATGATACGGCATCACAAGGAGATCCAGATCTTCCATCCGACTGTCATATTGTAATTTTTGCATTTACTACCACAATGGATTCAAAAATTACTATATGACATGACGTCCAGGACTTCAGCTTCTGTCTCCTCTTCTCAGTCATAACCAACTCAATGCTCTCGATGCCTTACTGACTGCCAGTCATAACCAACTCGATGTCCTACTGGCTTTCATAGCCAGTCATAACCAACTCGATGTCCTACTGGTTGCTAAAGTCATAACCAACTCAATGTCTTACTGACTGCCAGTCATAACCAACTCGATGTCCTACTGGCTGTCATAACCATCAACAACTCGATGTCCTACTGGCTGTCATAACCATCAACAACTCAATGTCCTACTGGCTGTCATAACCATCAACAACTCAATGTCCTACTGGCTGTCATAACCATCAACAACTCAATGTCCTACTGGCTGCCAAAGTCATAACCAACTCAATGTCTTACTGACTCCCAGTCATAACCAACTCGATGTCCTACTGGCTGTCATATCCATCAACAACTAACCAACTCGATGTCCTACTGGCTGCCAAAAGTTATATCCATCGAGTCCATCAACCAACTCGATGTCCTCCGGCTTTCATGTCCTATCTCGGCCAATGTCATAATTTAACCAACTCGATGCCCTCCTGACTGCCATAGCCATAACCAACTCGGTGCCCTCCTGACTGCCATAGCCATAACAAACTCAATGTACTACTGGTTGCCAAAGTCATAACCAACTCGATGCCCTACTGGCTATCATAGCCATGTCTCTAACTTCTCTTTTCCCTCTTCTTCCACTCACTCCAAATGCAACTGGGTGGAAACCTTGTGCCCCGATCACTACTAGAAATTTCCGCACCTGCCATCATTATCACTCACACAAGTAATATTCTCGATTAAGGTATCTTTTCTCCTTATACTATGTAACCAGTCACCGGATCATCATATTTAATTGGGGATCTATCACCACCATTTTCCCCATGTTTTCTGGTTTAGTAGTCGTTGTGTGGTCTACTAGTATACCAATGGCTGGAAAATTAGTTTACTGGTATTCTAAGGGTCGATTCTCTCTGACCAATGTTTAGTATGTCATTTTTGCGCTTCATGGGGTCCCATTAGTTTGCTCTTCAGTTCTACAAGTTAGTCTGAGTGTCTATGTACTTTATTCCGCCCTGTTTCTATGCGATGGCAAGTTTTCTAATGACATGGTCAAGTCCTATCTCTATCTTCCTTGGGTAGTATAACCCAGCAAGATTGCAGTATATCCTCAAGGTTGGATGGCTTCTTGCAAAAATGTGTGTTCTATTATTTCCAAAATTTTACGTTTGTTGGAGTTGGTAATTCACCATACACGGTTCCTAGTAGGAAATGGAGCTAAAAAGACTTTTACTTAAATATAGCATGTCAATACTCTCTGTTGTTTCCCATCTAATCCTATTTGCCTGCCTTCCAGGCTCTGCTGCCTTGGTTAATCTCGCCTCTTCCTTTTCTTGTATCGCCTTACTGAACTAGTAGTTGATGCCCTTGCTCATCTTGATGGCTGAAGTCTTGATTCTGTATCTAGCACTGCATCATTTGTTTCCACTTGTTTCTTGACTCTTTATTAATTCTTTTTTGTATTATTTTGGAGTCGCTGGAGTTATTGAGGGCCATTGTGAGTCGAACTTTACCAGTATTGAATTCATCTACCGCTGACATTGAGAGCTACTAGTAAACAAGGTAATATTGGTAATCTTGCTCTAAAGTCTGATTGCTGAAAAGTTTTGTGATGTATCCCCAGTCCCTCGGAGAGAAGTCCACACTGGAGGATTCACGACTTAAATTCCCCTGGCAAATTGTTGATATCCTTCGGCGTGGCATCATAGGTATCTAATAAGACTGATTGATAAGTATAGAGTGTATCTCGCCATTCGGGTTTTTCAGAATAAATCTTTGGGTGCTCTATCTTTTTTTTTAAGACTAGACAACTCAAATTGCAATCTTAAACTTCATTCCGACCCATGTGACTGTTCCTTCAGTCTTTGTACCTATCTCACCTGTAGACATGTGTTTTCCTGATGAAGATCAAATCCTCTATGAAGTCTTTTCTGTGTGACTACCACAGGTTTGTCTTGGTCTTTTGTCGCCTGGCCTCTCGTTTTCCCGTCTTTATCAAAAGATACATTGCCATATGACGATATCTTCCCTTAAACTTCACCCTTTTCAACCTGCTGCCACGATTGTATGCACAGTCTCCCATTTTCAGATGGATCCTCCATTGGTATTTTTTTTTAAGATCAGGGTTTTCTTAAATGCTTGGTGGTACTAAAGTGCTGTTTCTATGCGGCATTGCATCGAGGAGTTTTCCAGATAACTGTGATGATTGTACCCTTTAGTCTCTTGAGCCCCTTCATCAGGTTTGAGATAAGTATTTATATATCCGTTCTTAACTCTGTAGCACGAAATCGGAAGCTCGTGGATTCGAACTCCGGTCGCGAATGTCCAAAGTCGAAAAATAAATCGGTAGCAATATGAATCTTTCGCCAAGCCCTTGGCACTTTGAAATAAAAGTTCGGGGTCTTAACAGAGAACCTGTGTCACGGAAGGCATAGACAGAATAGAGATCCCTCTCTGCTTAATGACTCTAGAGCCGAGCAGAGGTATAAATTTGAAGCCCTTCATCGGTATATGGTGACGTCTTTTTTGAGTAAAAACAAATCTGGAATTGGACGTACATCAACACCATCATTACCATCGTCCTTTACACCCTGTGGTATGTATGGCAGTAACAAACTTCCTCTACACTTGTCCATCCTGGGCAAGCTTCGTCAATGATCCCCAGGTCTGGAGCATGGTTTTCATCTCGCTTTCAACCGTACTTCACCTAATGTTGTTGGCCCCCCTTTCTTTCCTTTGCTTTCTGGTGTGCAGTGTTGTTCTTGTTGTTGACTGGGTTTTTTTTTATACATGTATCTCCGTCGGCGTTTGGTAATGATGGTACCCTTTGCTCATGCAACATGTCGTCATTTGTAACTTTCCTTGGCCAGAAAGTCCTTCGGCGGAGGCATGTGTTCTGGAAGGATCGTAATCTTCTGAGATATGACTCAGTTATTTACCGATCCATATAAAAGAGTTGATATTATATAACAAAGCTCTGGTAAAACTTCAGCTTGGTGCTGGATTTAAAACAACCAACAGACCCTATTTAGAGTTTATTTCGTACAAAATTTCAATGTTTTCTGTGACCAATAATTTGAAAGTTTGAAAGTCTGCTGATACCGAACAATATTCATGCTCAATGATCATTTCAAAAATACTAATCGAGAGCAGAGCAAACATGGACCTTGAAAATCATTTGATTCGGGATCATGTGCCATGGAGGAGTGAGCATCACCTGTTTGAACGATTACATCCGCCGTATGCCCCTTGTCATGTTCTGGTAATTGAAAACAACATGTTTTTTCTTCTCATGTAAAGATTGTTTAATAAATTCTACTTCTGGCATATGAATACAAAAACAATTTTTATAATAAGGGAAGCAATTGGTTCCCATGGGAATTCCAACAGATGGTTGGAACATATCACTTTAACGTGCTTAGTAACATTTTGATGAATGTTATCAGAACTTTCGGATGTATTTGGTTGTCATATACCCCTGCATTTTCGTTTTAAACATTTGTTCCACAAGAAAAAAGCAACGGACGAAGATGGCCAAAAAATTGAACAAATTAGACATCTTTTTTAGGTAATTTTTAACATAAAATAAACAAATAAATTTAACACCATATAAGAATATAATACTATTAGTGGGAAAATAACACTTTATTACAATAATATCTACTCATACTGGCATATTAAAATATATAAAGGGTCTAGATTCCCATTTACCTTGTCTTTTAAGATTTAGTTATACTTATAGAACAACTTCCTTTGTGAACGTTTCCGTGTATTACTTAATCTTTTTAATCCAAAACTGAATTAACTTTTATAAGATTAAGAGAAAACATGACCAAATAACAGCTTTTCTAGGATGCTTTCTGGTGGAGATGAGTAGCTATAATAAGTCAAGAAATCGTGTTTTTCAAATTAATTAAATACGATCTCTCATCGAAACTGAAAAATGATTCTTCAGGTAATGAATTCATCGTCCATTGCATCAGACTAAACATTAGCGTTTTCTAGATTGGCAATTTGCATTGTAGTGTATGAACAACCACAAAACAAATGTATTTCTATCCTATATCACAATATCACGTTTCAGTTCATTTCATTTGAACATAAACTTCAAAAAGAAAGCTATTAAAACATTTTATGGTCATTATCCTCAGGTTAGATGATGATTGCGCGAAGAAACTTTGGTTTCTATAAAGGTTTTTGAATGGTAGAGAAAACACTGATTCTATATAAACCTGTAAAAGACGTCTTTGTCGGTCTGTATGTGTTACCTTTGTCTGTATGTGTTACCTGTGCGTGCACGTCCGTCATAGCTGTCACACCTACGTCAGGTGTAAAATTTCTGAGCAGAAGCCCGTTTTGAACAATTTCATCAATAATTTTACAAATTAAATTACTACAAGTCTACTTAAGACACAGGGATATCGTTTGTCACAAAGCCAAATGATGACAGTATTCATCTCTTCCTCCGGTAAATGTTCAGGTAGAATGAGACACGGGGTGTCGGGTAAACCAAGAATCCACAACCCGACGCTCGATAAAACAATAACGCTCGGCAAGGGTTGAAGAAGAGTGGAAAACTTATCTCTAATCCATTATCTACAGAGCATATATGCATGAGAATCTTAACAATTCTCACAAAAAAAGCCATTTACGTAATATTTCAGCGCTGACGAAGAGGTGTTTCATTACGGGAACACCTCCTAGATTGTTTTAATATGACCGCATGAAACAACCGTTGACAGTGGCCAAAACAATAAAGCATCTGAAACCCCAGAAATACCCTGGGGAACATGCGCGTGAAATTCCCCAGTCTGCGCCTGTTGAGAATATTGAGCCCAGTCTGGTCTAGGTGTACATGTACATAATATAGACCAGTTCTTAGATATATCAAAAGAATTTACAGTAATAAACCTCGATCAATTATTCAAAGGTAAGATTTCTTAGTCTCATGATCAATAAACCTCACTTTACATATATACATATATCTCATAATACTTAAAACCATACAAAAATGGAATGCTTAAAAAACTGAGATATTGGCTAAAAAATTAAGTGACAAAATTTCTCACTTCCAGAACTTAGAATGATCCCCTGGCTGATTTCTATTACAGAGTTCTTACCGTCAGTCTGTGAGCCTCTGGTCGTGACCACTCTCTGGGTTTCTGTACGTACTTTCTCCGGGACGTTTGTATTACTTTGACCAAACATTCACTGCTGCTTTCACACGAACTCAAAGTATACGGAAGTTGCCTCTTTTGGATAATGTGTTAAATTGAAATAAACAGATGCGGCAGCGAATTTATGGAATTATTTAGTTTCGAACTGCGACAAAGGGCGTGCGCCTGGATTATTAATGGACGAATCGGGCAGAAGATTGGATGCACTACAACGCGGGGTGCGCGGCAATCTCCAGGCGACACAACGTGTGTATTTGGATGTAATGAAATTTGGAAGGTGACTCCGCTATTTGTAATTAAGTGTTAGTTGTCTTTACAATTATCATTTAACATTTGTCGCAGGTTTATAAACTTTTGTGAAATTCAACACCCTTTCTACTCGTGGGAATGTTTTCCGATGTTGGAAATTGCGCGATGTCCTCTGAATGAAGCCACATGTTTCTTATTAGCCGTCAAGTGCCGCAGTCTTGAAAGTTTCACCAAAACATTATTTTCAGACGGTGGTTTTTAATAATTTGGAATGGCTGAATTTAATGAAGTATTTGAGGTAAGTTTCTTTTTTATTTCATATCAGGAAACTTGTCAGGATTAGAATTAAGATATTTGTTTACTAGTCATGATGTAAGAGATTACGAACTGGACAAAAGAAACACCATCGGGGGCAGCGAACGAGGCACAACATGGCCACTTTATCGCTGGACCCCATCAGATATTGGGGGAGCGGCACAGGGGTCAGACCCACCAAACCCAAGAAGTCTGGAAGTCGTTTAGTTCTGATACATACAGAATACGGAAAATTAATTTAAGGAATCATTGTTTTAAAGAAAATTAATTTCTTGTTTAAGGACAGGAAATAAAAAAATTTCGAAGACGTAATGTATGCATTTCAATTTCGCCATATATCATTAAGGATTGGTAAAGAGGAAATGGTCAGTTTGAACACTCCAATTTAATTAATAATTGATACGAATAGATATTGAAATGGCCGTGTTAATGATAGAGCCAGCGGTCTTAATTGATGGTCGATGATCGGGCCCTATCGTGATGTGTATTGGCAATTACCCTTAATTTATTCATGTACACATTATTCGATAAGCATTATGAATTGCACAGGAATTTACGACCATCTGGTGATAATATATGTAATTTACAAAGAATGAAAGGTTATTTTTCTTCATCCAAAATATATTGACGATTAGGGTATCGTGAAATATTCATATCCTATTATGGTCTATTTATGTTACCAGATTCGCTCTTATTTATACCATCATTCACCAAATGGATACTGTTCTTAGAACGAATATACTTGGACTTTAAAATTAAACGTTAATCCTTCTGGCTGTAGCTTTTCTTTTCAGTAAAAACAGATTTAAACTGATGTTAACTCATGTTAGGGAGTACTACACTAGTATTATGGGCTTCTAAAGAATTGTCGGGGGGGGGGGGGGGGGGACAGAGAGGAGGTAACCCGAAATAGTCTCGCCGATATATACTTTATATACTATAGTGCTACCTAATAAATTGTGTTCTGATGAATTTTTTTTCGCTTGTCATCAAAGTTTGGTTTGATAGTGCGATGGGTGCCCAATCATAATGATGAATTGTGCCCCCCCTTTTTTTTTTACTGAAAAGTCTTCTTACGGGCCCGAATGAGGATAAGACGGATAAGACTGAAGATATACGTGTATGATAGGAGACAGTCACAGAGAAATGTCAATCGCGGATTTTCTCAATTGCTCTTTACAAGTGAGGGGAGCGATTGTTTCTCCATTGATCTGTGCCCATCATTGTGGATCCAGGTGGATTTCTCTCACATCAAAGGAGTATAAATAAAACTTGAAAGACGCTGAGAACAATGTCTTTAGCAGAGGCGGATCAATAGCGGGGAGGGATTGATTAAAGCTGATCACAATCAATCTGCCATAAGTACATTGTTTGGCAAGGGAAGGGAATGTATTCTCATACACGTCTTGCAGAATCAAAAGAATATTTAATGGGCATCCCAAGATTTTTTGAACAATACCCGACTAACATGAAATTATGCATGCGTGTGAGCAAGAAAGTAAGAAAGAATTTTGACAGAATTCGCTAGGATACAAAATCAATTGGAATCCTCATAATTAAGGGGCCTTACGTTATCTGGAAACTTGAAAATTGGTCAAGATTTTGACATTATGTGTCAGACACAATGACTTCTTTTTTTTAAGAGAAAAGGGTAATGATTTAAGAGAAGAAGAAAAAATTAATAATAATATAAGGAAGCAATTTGTATTTCCAAAATAAAGACACATTGGAAGGGGGGGTGTTATTGGATGATATCAGTTACTGAGTTACACATTAGTTTCTCATTTGAAAAAAAATGTTGTACTATTGCAATCAAAAATCTGTTACAAAATGTATCGGATGATTTGATTGTGATGTTGTGAGAACAAGTATGAATGAAGTGCCCTCTTTGTTGACCAATAGTGACGTCATCATGTCCGGACGTGCCCTCTCCAACGAAAACAATTTGATCGGATGGAGTTAATGGTTTATAGATGTAAAACATTTCCAGCTAATAAAAGAATTGTACCTCAACATCACTATAAAACACAAACAAACAAAAATATCGGGGATAGAATTCAATACTAGCACTCTAAAAAAAGTTTTACTTGTTGTTTTTAGAATAAGATATTAGATTAAGAAAAACTAGTAATTATTAGTAATCCATTTAGTCAGAATAGCAAGTAAATGACTATCATGGTTAGTAATTGTAAACATAATTAGTAATAAGGATGAATTCATTTACTGATAAAGTGATTTACTAAGTATCAATACTTAATAGGAATTATATTACTAAATGAACTACTCGTTTTTAGTAAATTATTATTACTTAATTTAGAGATAATATGCTTTTTATTTACTAGATTTTATAAATTAATACTAAGTAAATGTAATTCTGAAATTAAGTAAAATCTAGAATATTATTACTTAAGAGAATGCTAAGTAAATGAAATACTTATCATATTTACTAAAATCGACATTATTTACAAGAAAAACTGCAAGGTATCGATCCTCTGATAATGGAGGTACATGTAACTATGAAAGTACATAATGTAAGACTAATCACAGTTTTCTTGATCATAGCTTTCTAATTGAGCTTTCTGAGTGGTCAATCAGATGAAATCTACATGGAATGCTAACAATACTTTCTATTTCTTTTGCCAATTTCTTTGTAATTGTTTTATTATATTTAACAATAAAACATTTAATTCCAACATCAAATGCCTTATAAATTGAATAAGTTGTATCTTTTTAAGGACCATTTTAAAAATGGTTTAAAGTTTCAAGTACTTAATACAACATTTTAATTAGTATGACTTTTTTTTTTACATGAAGAAATATTTAGGAGAAAGATAACTCCTCCTCACAGACAATTAATATGGAAGCCAAAATTATATATTACATTTCAAGAATTCAATCCTGATAGTGATTAGACTACCATTTTTAAGTAATTATTTGTATTGAAACTGCTCTTAATTCTCCTTGATTCAGTTAATAAATTATTGTTTTAAGTAAACAATTAAATACAATTTAAACAAGACACTGATGCCCCCCTTATGGCAACATACCAAAGGTTAAACTTTCCTTATATGCAAATTCAATATATTGGTATTTCTTGATATCTCAAAGGTTAAGGTCAAATGGTCAATGTTATTGGTATCTAATGAAAGGTCCTGCCACAAAAAAAAATATCTGAAATATGAAAGCACTAGCCCCAACCCTTCATACGTTATGGTCAAGGTTACCAATTTTTAAATGTAGATCAAACTCCAAGGTCAAGGACAAAGGGTCAGATTTGGTGGTACCCAAAAAATTGTCTTGTCACAAGGATGAAATCTGTAAAGTATGAATGCACTAACCCTAACCCTTTTAAAGTTAAAGTCAAGGTTTGCTTTTTATAAGTGGGTCAAACTCCAAGGTCAATGTCAGAGGGTCAAAGTTCTTGGTATCCAATGACTGGTCTTCTCACAGGAATTACATATACTAGTATGTAACTATGAAAACCCAATCCCTTATCGTTCAAAAGAAATGGCCAAGGTTAAAGCTTTTTCACAAGGATGAAATCTCCAAGGTAAAAGTCAAATGGTCATGGTTGTTGGTATCCAATGAAAGGTCTTTCATCAAAGAATATATATGTGAAGTATTAATGTCCTGGTATTTACTGTTAAAAAATATGGCTAAAGAATTGGTTGGGATTTGTAAAAGTGGGTCAAACTCCAAGGTCAAGAGTTCAAATTTGGCGATACTCAAAGAAAGGTCTTGTCAAAAGGAATGGACATGTGAAATATACAAGTCATAGCTCCGCTAAATCAAAAGTTATGGGCAAGGTTAATTTTTTTGCGGACAAACAGGGAGACAGACAGACAAAGAGACAGACAGACGGACACGAAAAAAACTTCGTTTACGGGGGCAAAAAGATATTAGTTATATAGTACATAGTGGTAAAGGCCAAGTAATGTTATTACTTATATACACAAATTTAAGTAAATATAAATTACTAAGTAAAACCTTTAAGTGTTTAAGTAAAACAATTCTTTAAAATAAAAAAATCAAGTAAAACATTTGAATTTAGTAATTGACATATATTTTAGTAATTGATTTAAAATTTTAAGTAAATGCTTAGTAATTATCTTTTACTTATCTTTATTATTTCAAGTAAAAAATGACTACTAAGTAAAACTTTTTTAAGAGTGAGTGTTTACTTAGTAGAAGTAAGTACAGGGGAGAAATGGAGATCGATGGAAGGGAATAAAAGATGAGTGTTGTGGTTAAAACCGTCCTGACAAAATGTAAACTCGACAAAGAGCCCCTAATAACTGTGTCAATCAGAGTTCTTGACTGTGTCAACACAAAGTTACATGCTCTATTGAGGGGTTTTCTGATTTATTGCCAGCCTCAGTGTCAAAATTGACTTCTCCGAATGCTGAAGCACAATGACTTCCTGAATCCCCAATCATGTTATAGTACCGATCTACAGTAAACACTTGATTTATGGTTTATCAATAAAATATCTTTTATCTTATTCAAATTCAATTCAGATTTTAATATGATAATTTGGGAGGTGATTGTAGATATTTTTGGACACTTTCATTTTGTAATTTTTTTGTGTGTTATCTATAAGGATCACTTTTTAGTGAATCTGATGAGATTTGTCAAAATCATAATAAATCTGTGTTGCTATTGAAGCGCGACGTATTTAAGATAACAAAATGTGAGTGACCTTTGACTCCGGGGGCCTCCGGGGGATTTTTTTTCCTGGTCGTTGGTCTTCATTAGAAGGAGGAGCAATGCCTTTTGTCTCACAATTTATATATTTCATTCGGACTTTCAAGGAGATCTTGCCCACTAACAGGAAATTATGAAATATTACGCCAGAAAACGAAAAAAGGTCCAGATTTCGGAGTCTCATGAGAAGATGAATATAAAGTTGTTTACTGCTTATTAATTCGCTAGTAATTAATTACTTATTTATCAAGACTGGTAAAAACAAGGTATGACAGATCGTATCAGAAAAAAAAACACGAATGTTTTACTTTAGCACATTAATATTAAGTTGCTTTTAGCTATTGTCAAAAGGACTATGAACTCAAGAGTAAGATTTTTAAAAATGCACTCATTTGAAAAAAAAATCAACTTTGAAACTTAATACAGTGTGTATGTGGAAAAAAAGACGGCTTTTTGTGATAAGCACCGATATTCTTTATTTGGTGTCTTGTTTTTATTCTTTTTGAAATAAAAGCCCTTGCCACTCCCCATTTCATTGATTTTTTTCGTCTTTACCTGTGACAGTGTCTAAGGTGCAGTGTGCACCGCTAGGCAGGTGTGTTACCTGGCAAACCGTTTTCTTTATGAATTCTTTTTGGCGTCTATAGCTAATTTAAAAAGAATCTATTTTTGAAATAATTATTTTGATGGTGACCGGCTGCGTATTTCAAGTTTTAAAATCAATTTACCCACTAATTTTGGTAAATTATTAATATTTAGTCTCTTCTTTTCTATTAGTTTTCTCATATTTGTAATTCCATGTAATATGAAACACATAAAAAAGATTTCGTAATGAAATGCACTTAAGCCACATCACTCGAGAAACATCCGGTGTTCTCCATGTGACGATTTTTGACGCCTCATTTTGTCATTTTGTCCCGAACGAGTATGACGTCTAAATTGAACCATTCAATAGAACTGACCACGGGTAAAGTAGCTAGCCTGGTCAAGAATTGCGAGGCCAATATCCAGAGGTCACTCGGCCCCACAGACACCTTAGAGCGCGTAAGTCTATTTATTTCACTGGCGCCAATTTTTTTCTTCACAATATTGGAGGGTATTTTGTTCCCTTTCACGAGTAAAGAAAAGGAACCATTACACAATACTGACAATATAGGGCCTAATTTTTTTTTATTTAAAGAATACCATAGTTGTAAAATTATCATATTTTATGTGTGCAGTATTGTAGATGTTTGGTCAAAATTTCCCTTTCTCTCTTTGTGTTTATCTGATTTGAGCATGGTTCATGTTTCATTATGCCAGAAAACATTAAAAATCGTAGAAACAAAAAACTTAACGATGAAATATCTGTGAATGCAGTAAGGCTGATGGTATTTAGTCAAGAGACCACTTCAGCCCTCATGTTTCGGCAGCGTTTATTTTCCCCACTTAAAAATGAAGGAGTGATGACAAATGAACGAATTCTGTTGCTTTCTAAAATATGAATCCCCATTGCGTCATGGTTTGTTCTTTCTTCAGCATCTGTTCCAGAACAATCGACTCTGAAAAGGAAGAACCCTCTTTGTTGAAATGTCCGACGATGCTGAAGTTGGCGAATTTATGATTTTGTGCCAAAAAAATCGATAGCTTTATTTATTTTTAACAAAAGACATTATCTAGAACTCTTCCCCCGGCTTGTTTTACTGTAAAGAAAGAAAAGGTGTTTGTAATTTTAAACGAAATAAAGGTGCACACTGTCTCACCTACGGAACAAATGACCTTTCCAATATAATTGCGCGATACGTTAGAACTTAAATATTTGTTACACTGAAAATTCCAAAATGAAAATTTGTAGTATATACATGAATTAAAAAAACAGTAAGTTTTTGGGGTATATACGTATGTATTTTTACGGCTTGATTTTGATGTCAGACTGATGTGTATCGCTGATCAGATTTCACTATACACAAGTACTCTGTGCCTTCATCATCTCCAATTTCGTTGACATTTTAGCCTCTAAAGAAAAGTACAAACCATAAGAAGAAATACAGCACCACTTCCAATGATACCTCACAGAGAGTTAGGCGGATCCACGTCCGCGCTGCGCGGAGGAAGAAGGACCGCTGCTTTCATTATTTGGCGGGGGTCCTACACTGCTATAATGTCTTTCTGTTGGTGAGTTTTTACTGAATTTATTGCCACCTTATACATGAACTAATAACATCTAAAACATTAATATCATTACAAAAAAAATAAGAAATTCCATTAATTTTGATTTTACTGGAGTAAAACTTTATACTACAGCTACCCTGACATGTGTAAATTAAAAACTTAATGACACCTCTGTACGTAATGAGATAGTTGATTACATGTATTTGCAGTCCTGTTTGTTTTATTTACTGTTGCTTTATCTTGATACAATTTCAAAAAATTAAAGGTAAGTTACTTTAAGATACTAAAACAGACATTTATTGATAAATTTTGCTTTTTTAAATCGCCCATTCTAAGACGAGACGTATTGCTTGTATTGTACATGTGTACTGTTCACCTCTGTGTGTCTGTTAGCTCTATTGTGCGCGGATTTAAAACTCAAATACTATGAGACCTAGAATACAGTAACCAAAAGTTGTCAGTTTGGAGTTTTAGCTCACCTGAGCCGAAGGCGTCCGTCCTTCTGTAAACTTTTCACTTCTTCTCAAGAACCACTGGTCAGTTTCAACCAAACTTACAATAAAGTATCCTCTAGTCAAGTAGATTCAAGTACTAGTATATTCAAATGAAGGGCCATGCCTTCAGAGGCGAGATAATAGCAAAATATTTAAAAAATACTGTCAGAGCCAAAAATATAAAACTGATGTGGAAGCATCCTCAGGTAGTGTTTATTAATTCAGATATGTTCAAATCATGATCTATGGGGGTAAAGGGGGTCACAATGGGTGGTCAAAGTTGTACATTGGGATACCTACGGAAACATTTTAAAACTCTTTACAAACATAGCAAAGATTTCCGTATTCTTGTTTATTTGGGGTGACGTGAAACTGAGCAATGTCATTGGAATTAGTTGGAAATGTAAGATTTTTACTCAGACTCCGTATAAAGATGAATGTGTATTGGTGATTGTAGGGGATATTAGAAGTAATGTTGACAGACTGACAGCCGCTTCTTTATTTGACGTTTACCGTATTAACGTTGTAAATATTGCAAATGTAAATGGGCTTTACGTTATTGCAGTATCGGGAGATACAGGGTGGTCAAAGACTTTAAATGAGTTTCCTCAGGATGAACGAGAGTATATTTAATCTCTGTATGCTTGTTTAGGCAAGGTAATTTATCCCAGTTCTGTTTTAACAGGATTACTATATAAAAAATGCACTTATATTGATGTTATTATCTATCATGACTATTTATGGTGTTTGGAGATTTACGTAGTGCCTTCATAGGACTGTTCTGGCGTTACTGGTACAGGAATAAAAAGAATTTCAGCCAGTTTGGTAACATTGGGGTCCTCAGAGATTCCTTAATACATGTATTATCATTTTTGTTCGACTCTACGTCTTTAGCTGGCGTCTATAAACATCTACAGTGTTTGGTTAATGTTACTGGAATAAATACCAAAGCAATTGAATCAAAATACGGGATCGACATCCACCTGCTCTTTTTATTGTTTAGTATGGCAAATGTATTGTGCACAAATCAATACTCATCATATTCACGTACTGCATTTACATGTATATATACTCATACTGCTTAGCAAACGGACATATGATTTTGAGTCAGTAAAAGACATGATACCCGGTATCACTCTAATTGATTTGAAATTCATTAATTGGTTTTCGTGGATTGGTTGCTAATTTTAAGAAGAAAGATTTTTTCAACTCATTTTCCCATGGTATTTACATGTACTTTGATTAATATAAATTGCATTAACGAGAGAACAAATGCTTTATCGAGAATTAACTTTTCGAGTTAACACAATGCATCTTTTTATTATGCAGCAATTATTTTTATCAATTTTATCTTTCTATTTGTATAGGCTCTAACTTATTGAATTAAAAAATCTGCATTAATTTAGATATTATCCAATACTCAAGCAAGAGGCTTTCTATAAGGATGTTTATAAACTTCCCCCATTGACTGTAAAACACATAAATCCGAATTAATCCCAAAAGCAATAAAACTTCATTAACAGGACAAAGAAGAAAACTTTGCAGGTGTTGGTTTTAATGATAAATATCCCACCTCTGCTTTTGTCTACTTGCCATTGATTTCTAGTCCAGGACGCGTGATGTACAAATAGGCCCAGTTGCGTGCAACTTGCTTCTTTTGGCCTGAGCACGGGGATATGTGATATTTTAATTTATCTCCTAGAGTGATGGATTTCCTTGTCTCAACACTATATTTCAGCGCACTGACATTTTATTAAATCATTCCTTTACACGAGCCGCTGTTTTCCGCTTGGATATTCTTTAGTAATCATTTTCAGATTTATTGTTTTTTTTTTCGTATTCTGCGAGGGGTTTCTTCAATTATCGCGTCCACGTATGAATGATGACGTCCTGAGAGAATCTGGTGAGATCGGTGAAGAGGTCTGCTAAATGTAGACAGTTTCCAGCCGAAATGACAATCAAAGTTTCAAAAAAAGTTATATGTTAATGGAACTGTCATGCAAACAAAAATTATGAAAAAGTACACATGGGCTACTTCTATTCCTGGAATGGGCCTCTATGTCACCTGTGACGTCATTTGCATATCTTACGGCATTCATTTTCAAGATAGACCAAGCTTACATGTATTTTATTAATATTGGTATGATTATTTGATATGAAAGTTTAAGGGGAAATAAGCAAAATGCAGCAATTTTTTTTTCAATGTTTTTCTGAATGAAATAAAAGAGAGGGAAACGATTTTCCTGTGGATCACAAACCGCGCCCCTCCTTCTCTTTAATTTGCATATTTTTGGGTTATTCCCAAATTGTGTACTGAAATGATAATAAATAAATTAAGACATGAATCAACCAGTGAAAATAAATAAAAACTCATTCTTTTTAGCCACCATTTCCGTAAATAATGAGAATAACGAAAAATTGTATTTTGAAATGTGTTTATTTTCAACTCATAAACGCGTCAAACTACCGAACTCATCGTTGTGTTTCTCAATTATTTTATGCACGTAGAATCTTTTCGACGAAGATACGTAAAATTGTTTCTGACAACTCCTTAAAGTAAATCAATTGCCTAAGCGTGAGATACGAGGAAAATTTCGGACGGAAGGAGAGAATGCGGAATTCCCGCTTGTTTTGTATGAAGTTTCACGTCATAAATTGATTCGGTGGGGGTCTCCGGGGACCCGGTCTACATTAGAATCCCCAAAATTATGAGACGGGGAGATAATGATTTGTTAAGTCCTAATCACGTGACAATGCTAGCGTTTATGTTCAGTCCAAATTGTCGGATTATGTCACTTCTCATTAAATATGAACGAAGTGGAGAGGCTGTATGTGTATGATTTATACACAGGATCAATGGCCTCTCGTCACAAAGAGGATAAAGTATGTACTTTGTCCGGAGCAGGGCACGGTCTGCATTGCTGATCAAAGCGAGCGACGGATCAGCGAGCCACTGTCCGGGATAAAGCTGTCCATGCGTTGGACAATTATTTTTAGTATCTAGCTCAGTATCTACATTGTGAACAACATAAAATTTTAAAGTTCATACAATCAAATTATATTAACCTTGAATGAACCATTTGCTAAAATTAGTTTTTCTTTCCTTTTGTAATGTACGTAAAAATCCTAGCACTCTTATGACGTCACAAAATGACCGTGTTCGATTGATGACACTGTGTTGATCAATATGACCCACTTCCTTAGCAGACATGATGCAGCTCGTCAATATGAATCAGTACACTGGTTAGGTTTTTCTTTGTGATCCTCTTCACTCAATTACAGAAGACATAAATTGTCAAGTGTTCCTTGTAACCAGTGAGTATGGTGAATTTTCACCGGAAGTCAATCCCAGGTGATGAGTCTGACAGATGACCACATTGCCGAAGATTTAAAACTCAGGATACCCTCTGTATGTCTGTCTCAAATGATGACTTCCAATTGTAATCCCAGGCCCAAAGTCCTTTAAGGTCAAACAAGATGGACCTATAAGGTCTTTGAATATCCCAATTGAAAACTTATATAGAACCCCACGGAAGAATTATTACTTTATTATTTATCTGATGAATTACCCCTTCCTTTATATCTGATAATAATATTTTTCCCGTTTTCCTGTCTTAGGTCCTGGGATCTGGAGTGGTTGGATCGGGGATATGGCTGCTGGTAAAGGATTACAATGCCCGGGAGCTGTCCGCCCTCTTCAACATTTTTCATCTGGAATACATGGCCTACTTTCTGACCTGCGGGGGCGGGGCCGTGTTCATCCTCGCCTTTTGTGGATGTTGTGGGACGATGAAGAAAGAGAAGTTTGTTCTTGGATTTGTAAGTAATAAAAAATCTATACTTAGAGTACACTGTTGGCATACAGGAAATTTTATTAGTTTTAACATTACTCTTCTCGCTATTTGCAAAGTTTGTCTGTAATTTGGATATATACGATTAAAGTCGTCAGGATTTACTTGGGCTGATATTAGTTGGGATACAGCTATTGACCACTATTTTTTACTCTGTCTATTTTTTTTTGTCACAGTATGGTGGAGTGCTGACGTTGGTACTAGCCTTGCTGGTTGGTGGGAGTGTAATGGGATTTATTCTAAAAGGAAAAGTAAGATAATCCCTGTCATATATATATAGCAATAACCAGGAAATGTCACTAATACCCCTTCAATTTTATGTCATATACTGTATGTATCATTTAAAAGGGAAATGTTTCATAGCCCTTTTAATGCCATCATGTAATAAGGAACTGGTAAGATAACAAAGTACCAAGGCTTCAACGAGATTTAAACAACATTACCGTGATTTTGTTATAAGCGAGTTCCATATAACCGGACTTTACTGTACATGTGTATCGTCATCTAGAACTCAAAATTAAGGGCCATGTAAAAAATATAATTTGACATGCGATAATTCAAAAAAATAATGATGAAAAAATGAAGAAACGTTTACATTAATCCTTGTTTGGATTTTCATCCTATTATTTTGACATATCCTTATCTGATATTCGAGATATTGGTGTTTTAGATCTGAAGTTCAACTATAGTACCTGGAATGTTACATATTTCTTTAATTGCGTCAGTTGAAGTCTATTACATTTGCCGTCAATTAGTAAGTTTGTACGTCGTGTACTAAATATCCTCAAGCAGACGTATCAAGAACTTATTTAATGTAGGCCCCTTATTCGCTAAATTACGAATCTTACTGAAAAAAGTACATGCATATTGTTTATTCAGTTAAACGGTGTATGGTAGCCCGGTATATCGGTGTATGATACTAACATCCCGGTTTATCGAAATATGAAAATAATATCCGGGTATATCGGTGTATTATAGTATCGTGGTATATCGATATATGATAGGAATATCCAGATATATCGATAGTAATTTCCAGTATATTGGTGTATGGCAGTAATATACCGCTATATCGTTGTATGATATAATATCCCGGTTTATCGGTATATCGTTTATAAACGTTCCAGTTTTTCTTCCAGCTTGATGAAGACATTAAGATGCAGTTTCAGTATACACTGGAGAGACAGTATGGCGTTGATCTAAACAAAAATTCAGCAAATAATCTTATAACAGACGCCTGGGACGCCATGCAGAGAACGGTAAGAGTACAGACCTTAAAATAGAAGGCACCGGTAGACAGACCGTTATCCATATATATATGTATAGTCCTCTTACAATATGTGCGCAAATCTGTTGTCTAAACCATAGACACTCGGTAAATTGATGGTAAACGCGTTTTGTGAAAATTATTTTCACGTTTAAATTAGATGCATATATGGGCATGAAAGTTTGTGAAATCTGTATTAATTACGTTTATCTTTTGTACATACCTCAAAGATACAAATAAATAAGCAGTCTGGATCAGTTGGTTCGTCTGTAAATCCTGTACATGTATATCTATGAATTTTAAGTAGATAATTTGTTATTTACACAAAAAATTGATATTTTTTTATTTCAGCTCAAATGCTGCGGTGCGTATGGAGACAAAGATTCACAAACGTCCTGGGCATTTTATAGAAACACAGATTGGTACATAAAGCGCCCGACCCATATAAGTAAGTAAAACATGTCGACCCATATAAGTAAGTAAAACATGTCGACCCATATAAGTAAGTAAAACATGTCGACCCATATAAGTAAGTAAAAAGCATGTCTACCTTGGTTGTTGTAGACGACCGTTGTAGACAATAATATATATTTACTTGATGCCACGTTTCTTCAGAAGAGATTCATGCCTTTATACCTTTAGTCTCCAATGTTGGTCAATGAAAAGTAATAAAACGCAGATAGACAATCTAAAGACAGGTATATGATGCTATTTCTTTTCTTCCAGTGTATCCATTTGTACCCAAGAGCTGCTGTGTTCCTGGGATGAGCGTATTTGACTGTCAGGGAATCAGGAACGAATTTAACGGTTACCCCGTGAGGGCACCCCCGCCCGCCAGGGGTACAGTGGAGAACCCTAGCTTGTATAAGGAGGTAAAACATTTTATTATATCCTCATCCTAGGATTTTTACCATTTGTTTTCAAGCCAGGGTCCTGGTTAGATGGGAAAGCTGAATATGATGCTACAGCTGTCAATGTCTATACAAAGAGGAAAAACATTGATATACAAACATAATTGTTTTGAACATACATTCTTTACATGATAGATACATAAAACTAACTAGAGTTTTAGTGTTAGATAAAAGTTGCAAATAGAATTAACGGATCACTACTGCTGCAACTCTCCTTGAATTAAAAACATTCATTTTTAAGACAGACTCTCCACGGCACGTCACATTTTTTTTATCTCAAAAGATGCCTGGCTTTCAGTAATACAGAAATTGCATAGAACTGCCTGGATATTCACCGTGATATGATATATTTTTTTTAATTCCAGGGCTGTTACGATAAGGCGTTGGAGTATATCAAACAACACTCCTTATACATTACAATAGGATGTGCTACTGTGCCATTGCTTTTGGTATGTAGAGTATATACAGTGTACTAGTATTTTTACATATAGTCAAGATGTAGATGAATTTGAATTAATCGTAAACTAAGGTATTGACATTTAATATCATGTTTTTGTATTACTGGTACAATGTGTTATCAAATGTGCATTCAATTCCTCATTTCCTTATTCTTGTTTCAGTTGGTTGGAATCGTTGTTTCGTGTTATATGTGCTGTATCGTTAAAAATGACGACGATGATGAAGATGAAGACGAGGAAAATGAGGCACATGTTTGATGACATTGTCATTAATTAATCATTCCGTCCGGGGTCGTGACCTCTTTATCTAGTCTTCCAAGGTAAAGGACAAAGTGCCTAAATGATACTGCATTCAATGTGACAGAGTTGGTAAAGGATATAATCCTTCCTTTGACAGAATGCATATGAGGAATTTTGTCTGACGATGGGTTTAATCATTAAAATAATGACCGCTGTCATTGTCTCGTTGTCATGGGAATAATAATGTGTTCACAAATTTGTGAAGTCCATTTGTGTTAAACTATCGTCGGCAAACATTCCACTGGTCATCAACTCATAAGAACATCGGAGTGTCGCTAGGGACAGTCTATGTTTCTGCTGCCCAGTGACGCTCATGGAAAAGCTAAAATGTTTCGGACGGGAGCTCGCGTGATTGGTTGTATTTATTACACATACCAAAAGATATCAAATTGTCCTCTGAGAATCTGTGGCAGAACATTGGCGGGAATCATTCACGAGGCATTTATATAAGGAATGGATAATGCATTTTACGGAATGAATAAGTATGGAGTAGAGACTTTGGGCATGCAAATAAAATTGCTTATGCAATAGGACTATATTAGACTCCGGTTCTGGAGTCGCTGTTTGTACACGTCACTGTTAAGGCGATCACTGAGTGATTCGATATACTCCACGGTGCCATCATTTAGAAGATAAAATAATTAACATCATTGTTTATTATGTTGTGGGTTTCCAGATATTCCTGAATTTATCTGCAGGATTGAGCTAATTTTGATTAATTTCTTTTTGTGGTAATTTTTTTTTCAACAAGATTTCTTTAGGTTTTAAAGACAAATTCGCCATGTTGTGGTTTCCTTCAGAGAGATTCTCTGCTATTTATTAATTGATACTCGACGTTATTTTTTTCAATTTTTTTTTTTCATTCGAGAATTTCAAGTTGTGTTTTAACTTTTGAAAAGGTTTTCAATTATTTGCATTGCTGCAAAGCTGTAAATTTTGTGTATTTATAAAACGTGCATGAAAATGGACGGTGCGAGTGACTTACTTTTGGTTGAGTCTGAGAGCGATTGAAATAAGTTCTTTTTAAAATATTGGCAATTTCAGATTTGTTTCTGATGTGCAAGTTATGAACCATTTTATCTTGTGATTATTAGGGACCATTTTTTTTTTTGGGACCAATTGTGAAATAGTTTACAAAGTGATTGTGCAATTTATTGAAGTTTTAATGCATTTATGATTTTTATTAAAAGTTCTGTTTTTGTTGGGTATTCCTTTCTCTACATACCTTTATTTATGAAATATGAATGTATTTTCATGATAATAAAAGTATTAAAAAGCATGGGATATTCATGGAATTATCTTATAAACTGTTTACAAAGTGTTTTTTTAAATATATGTTTCCAAATCAGTGCCCTGGCTATGTTTGGGAAGCAATCAAGTCTACCTTTGTGTCCCAAAGTTAAATTGTTTTACTTCTTCACTTATTTGTCTTTACAAATTTTTACCAAGAAATTATTTTGAGTACTCCGTACTTTAAGTACTCAGATAAGAACAATCTTTCTTGGAAACAAACTTCAAGTGATGTCAAAGTTCAAGTCATACAGGACTTCAGAATGAAATTGAGGTTGGTGTATAAGAAACATTGCGGCAAATTTGGAATATAAATGACGTAAATATCTCTAAATTTTAAAAATGCCTGTCTTAAAAGTAATTGATACAGCAATACTTTAGCTTACATAATGATAAGATTGTTTTTTGTTGTATTTTTATTTTTTAAAAAAATTTCCTTTCATTAATAAAAAATGTCCTTTCTTCTATAAAGCCGTCTAGTCTGGACACATTTGCTGAAACGCCCTGTATAGTACGCACTTCCACCAAACAGTTAAAAAAGTTCCGATCAATGTTATTTTTTCAAAAAGTTCAAGGTTAAAGGTTGCTGCAGAACTGTAGCTCTCTGCTTGAGGAAATTTGGACAGATATTAAAGCAGAGAGCTACAGATCCAAGTGTATAAAAACCTTCCATTTACGTAACCCCCTTTTTTTCGCTCGCTTCGGGTATTATTTCTTCAATTTTATGTTTTCCTCCGCTATAAAAATAGTATCCGATAATTAACCATATATTTATTCCTACTCTTTATTTATCTTTCGACGATCCAAGACAGTCCTTTAAGATTTGCATTGGGAATATCGGTTTCAATGATTCCAATTCCGATATCCTTTTTAGGGGTCCTGTGAAAAAAGTCTTTCAAAGATCATACTCTCGCCGAGAAAAAAAATCATGAGGTTCAAATATCATGAATATTGTCTACGAATACGAATGTAACAGTGGTAGGTCCAGGAATCTTAAAAAGGGGGCCGAGCGACCAGTTTAGGGTCGGAGTAGGGGCCCACAGCCACCAACCAACCCCCCCCCCCCCTCAAGAAAAAAGATTGAAATAATAAAATCTTATATGTATATTTTGGACACAAAAGGGGTCCCCCCTGGGTCCCCTTCTAAATCCGTAAAAAGAAATGAGATAAATAAAACACGGGTTCCCCCTGGGTCCCCTTCTAAATCCGTAAAAAGAAATGAGATAAATAAAACTCGGGCGTGTTATATCAGGATGACAGCAACGTCGACGTCGATTTTCCAAAACCACACACGGCCGTCCATAGTCCGAAAATTCTGACGTTTTCCTGGCTTTTTTACGATTTTGATATTTTACATGCCAGGAAAACGTCAGATTTTTCGGACTAGGCCGTCCATCGTCGCAAACCACGGCCACAATGTACGGTCCTCTTCCATTCTGTAGGAGAGAGCTATATATGCGGACTCCGGACCGTGGCTTGAGACGATGACGGCCGTCTAGAACCGTTGAAAGTAAATAAAGTATCAGGAACAGAAGTAAAATATATGCTTAATTATTTGGCGGGGAAAGCGTTAATTACAAGAAATGACACCCGAAGCGAGCGGCAAAAAAGCCGCGGCGTTAAACGACTTCAAGGTTTTTACAGCGCTCAGATCTGTAGCTCTTATTCAAACTTTTAGGATTAACTTTCAAAAAATGGAGCAAAGACACACTAATATCGAAAAATTTTATTAAGGTATGTGAGAAAATTAGATGACCCTTTTTGTCTTCTTTAGTTTGAGTAAACATTTCAAAGGGGAATAATTTAATTAAGTCTTTGGGAGATTTTTTCGTAAATTATAGAGATTTTACATAATGTATACTTTTGTTTTAGACGAAATATAAAAGAAAATGTTGATATAATTGAAATTTCATTTTCACTTTATGTTTATTGCACTATAGGCATTTCGCCCTCCTTGTTCATCCATCTTCTTAATTAGTACACATGGTAAGGTATTGTCACAAGGAGTAAACCTAGCATGAATTATGAAAGCTCCAGTACTAACCTACCTTTCAAAAGTAATGACCGAGGATAATATTTTCAAATGTAGATCCAATATTCAAAGATGTGTTTCTGAAACGCTATTGTCCCCATATGGCAACTTACGGTGAAGATTTAAGTTTTTTGAATTCAAGTCAAACTCAAGGTCAAGAAATCAATACTGTTGGTACACAATGAAAGGTTTTTGTCTTATGGAATATTCCTTTGAAATATGAAAGCCCTGACACTAACCATTAATTGAAAAGTTTTGGAGAATTATTTTTAATTAGATGGGATTACTGTCTGGTTTCTGACTAAATGTATTTACTCACAAAGTATGTTTTTGGATGCATGCTAGGGTAAAAAATAATAATTTATTACCTTCACATCGGGACGTAGCAACGGGGGGGGGGGGGACATTTTTTTCCCAACATTACTTTCACTATTAAAAATATTCATTGAAAGGCTGGATGCCCCCCTCCCCCAACCCCGTGTTTAAAACGGTATAGTGATATTAAGGAAATGTAGTATGGTATGTCAAAAAATTGGTAAAGGATACGATTCAATTCAATTCAATTTCTTTATTGATTCACCAAATATGTTGGCATACAACCATGTTACATACAAAAGACAAATACCGGTAATAAAATACATACAATACATACATGCAAGTGTATGGATCAGAGAAGTCAACTATGAAGTGTATTACAACTTGAAGATTAAACATAATCATTATGTAAGCAGTATAGTATGGACAGTGATGAGCTAATAAATGCATTAAAATATATATGTTATAATTGTCCTTTATTTTTGGAACGCAATTCAAAACATTCATATAAAAATTCACATAGACTTCTAGAATGAACTGCATTATCAGGATTATAAAGAAGTCGGCACCTGAAAAAAGTTAGCCTCAACCCCCCACCCCTCGAAATAGGATTTTCGAGTTTGGGCAATCTTCCTTTTTTTTTTTGCTTAATGTCAACTTTATTCAGGTAGTTAAAAAATTCTCTGGCTGCCCCCCCCCCCCCCTCTCCCCAGTTTCAAAAACGATGCTACATACCTGGGGTATAGAATTTGTAAACTGATTTTAAATCTAACAGGGATTATAGTATTGTCTTCCCACAAATTATTTTTAAAATAGAAAATTTGGTAAATAATTAGAACACCAATTTTTCTATTTTAATAAATAATTAAAATCCTCCATACTGATTTTAAATCTAACAGGGATTATAATATTGTCTTCCAACAATTTTTCAATAAAATAGAAATTTTGGTAAATAGACATAACACCAATTTTTCTATTTTAATAAATAACAAGAAACATATATTGACGCAAGCGTCAAAAATCGGCCGCAAACAAATTAATTATTCCATTGATAAAGTAATTAGAAAATGAAATTTGCGTGACCTGTTTTTAAAATTTCTTATATTTATCTATTAAAATATCCTCGTGACATGAAACACTTGCATGCGACATTGCCGATTTTCTTCATGCATAATGCATTTACAATATTATATGTATAAGCAAACGGTCCTTAGACCTCTGCGTCTCTGCACTCAGTTTGGTACTTAAATAGTAAACGAACTGCTCTGTTGGAAGTTTCATGTTTAAGTAGTTTTTACATAAAAGTATAGAATTAAAATTTAAACTAAGCTTTAGTTTTACTTTAATAAAAACGCAACAAATATGAAATATGTGGGGCTCTTCGCTCTTTCTTAAAGGATATTAACTTCCCCCAACTCCCTCTAGATCCACCACTACATTTCTTCTAATTCAGTCTCTTTGTTTTGATGTTGAGATCTGGCGGGAAAATGCATGGCACATTGTAAAACGCGCTTTATCCTAGTCTCCTGGACCAAAATGTTGTAAGATTCTGAGCTTTTAATAAATAAATTTTTCATCAAATTTTTGAAAATTTTCAATAGAAAATGTATAAATATACACGTCATTTCAAAATAAATACAACAAATCCCGTATAGGCTGTTTAATTAAAATTGTTGATTTACAACGCGGTCTTTGTTTTAGACTATGCCTACATATAACTTCGCCGCACTTCAATCATGTCGGAGTTTGTCAATCAGGATTGGATGAAACACTTACCCCATTATTTATATGATTTTAATTTTATGATTATTGTGCTTTTTGATAACATTTAAAGATATGTTTGTTTAATATTCTATAATATGAACGTTAAATATTTTTATTTAAATTGTTCTAAATTGTTCTAACTCCGCAGAAACGCACGTCGACTTAAAACTTTTATATCAAGTAACCGACCGCCTCCTGGCGGCCGGTAATAAAAATCCTTCATATTACCTATATACATATGATCTTTAATGGTCTGTATCGGGTTTTATTTTAGTGTCTTATTAGGTTATGGGATGGAGATTTTGAAGATTTCGTGAACATATGCATTTTTACAAACTTACAAGTCTGGATTTTGGAACACGATTACCCTCCATAGGATTAAGAACAATATTAAAGGTTACTATTTCTGTTAATACTATGATTTTTTTTTTGATCCAGTGTGGTGATTTCTTTGTATTCAACAATATTAAAGGTTGCATTACTATCATTTTTATTTAATTGTGTTTTCAAAATAGATAGAATTGTAATCAATGTTATCATTTTGTAATAATTGTTCTCATATTTATTTTACATATATAGGCAGGGACTGACCTGTATACAAGTACACTAGTATATATATAGGTCCCGAACAGTGGCTTACCTGTTATTCGATTATTTATTTAGTTATTCCAATTTTAAACTTTTTTTTAGTAAACATGGAGAAACTTGATTGATTCAGGGAAATAATATTTTGATCGGGTTCGGAAATTAAAGTAAAAATTCATACGCCGATGAAAAACATCAGATTAAGACTATATACCTTTTAGTAAAAAAATAAATTGTAAATTTTAAATATATAGTAATTGAATAATACATTAGTTACATTTCTTCTTTTAATATGAATGAGAAATAACTATGTTCTGGTGTAAGTTTAAATAGCAAAGGTGTTCCTCGGCATTTCCGGTTGTGTAAAACGTGATAGGATGATAGGATCATATTTTGAGATGAAACACAAGTCGAAAACATGTTCTTCCTCATCTGAAGACGATAGTTCTTCTGACGAAGAACTAAAAGAAGTAGCTCTAACTTTGAGTGAAAGTATTTCTCAACAATTATCTAAAAGACAGGAACAATCCTCTAAAGTTGACAATTCCATATTTGTTTTGGACAAAAGGCCTGGCAATGTTTCACCTCACCTTTCGCCGGAGAAAAATGAAGGAGAGGAAAAATTAAACGAAAATTCAAAGAGTAAAGCTACTAAGAAAAGGAAGAAAAAGAACTAGTACGTAAATAGAATTTGAGATTTTGTTTGATATGCCATTGTATTGATTACAGGTTGACCCACAGGCACTTGATTCGTATACTAAGTACTGGGTACCACAAGGTACCTAACTCATTTTCAGGCACCCCCACATCAAGCTCGTATTTTGTTAATATATCTATCATTTACCTACGTTAAAATTACATTGTTTGCTTCAAGAGACTTTTTTCTTATCAATTAAACCGTTTCAGGTGTCTCTGGTTAAGCCTCTTCATTTTAAACTTCTCATTTATTCTTCGGATACATTTTAAGACTTTAATTGGGATAAAATCTGGTTGGTGCTACGAATGAAGGATAAAACCAGAGACATCGGAATGGAATACTCAAAAGCCTCTGGTTTTATCCTGCCTGTAATGTATTGAGTAAAATGTATTGAGGTAATTTCGAGGAATAAATGAGTGGATTACTATAAAGAGGCTTGACCAGAGACGTCTGAAATGACTTAAATAATAAGAAAAAAGTCATTTGAAGCAAAATATGTCATTTTAAAGTAGGTAAATGATTGATATATCAATTAAATACGAGCTTGGAGTGGGGGTGCCTGAAAATGAGTTAAGTACCTTGTGGTAAAAATGAGTAGGGGTGTCCTGTATACGAAACAAGTGCCTGTGTTTTGGACACAATCAAGTTTGTTAAGCTATTTCAACAGAACTTTTATAAAGAATTTTTTTTTTCATTTTCAAGTGATGGTTTATCATCATATATTCATTCCAACATAAATCTCATGGATCCCACTTCTTCCACTCTTGTAACTTCACAAAAGAAGGGAAAGAATAAAGAGAAAGATGCCAACAAGAGTGACAGAGCTGTAGAAGTAAGCCTTTATTTGAATGTGTGATATAACATGAAAATAACCAGAAGATAAAGATGTTACTTAAAGATTTTTATCATGTCTCAATTTACAAATCTTTTTGAAATGAAAGAGTTTATGCTAACATCGATTTAAAATTCTTTTCTAGAAAATTGATATTTTTTATCGAATGTTTCAGCTATTAAAAGTTTGATTTTCTCAAAATACATATTTTGATCGCTGATGTTACGCCCAATGACTCTGACATCACAGATGTCAATCCTGGTCAAGCGAAATACTTATTGTGTTTACAAATAGCTCATTTGTTGATTCTAGTAATTAACCTGTTAGAAATAAGATAAGTGATAATTGGATAATTCACAGCCAGTTAGGTATAAAGTTGCACTTATTAAAAAAAATTGTCTAAACGATATTCCTTGGCTGATATTGCTTTACTTTTCTTTAAGGAAATTATGAAAAAGAGTGTCATTAAGCCAGATTTTGAAAAGCAGGACTCACTTGAACCATATGAGGAAAGTCTTCGGAAATTAAAACAAAAAAGGAAGGTTTGTTTCTCTTTTGAATTCTTTACTTTTTGATTAATTTGTCTATATTACTGCTTATGGTCCACTGAATATGTATTCAGAAACCTATCTGTTCATTCATTTAGAACTTTGCTTTAGTTAAGCTTTCCAAAAGAAATCTAAATCCCATAATATCAGCAAGAAATTTGTGTTTTAATTTTAAAGTTACAGTGTGAGACTGAGTTATATCTCTCGTATCAGTGAACCTTAAACTTCAGTACTTAGGTATCCTTTCACACTGTGAAAGAATATTACTTTTATTCAATCAATAAATCACACTATGTGTATTTCACTGTTGAAAATGAAATAAATGTGTTATCTTTGGCACTTAATTCCTTGAAAAACTTTTAGAAAGATCGCGAGATGTCTAAAGGCAAGGGATGGTTTGGCATGAGAGCCCCAGAAATGACTGATGAGGCTAAAATGAATTTAGAGGTGCTGAAAATGAGAAAAGCGCTGGATCCCAAAAGATTCTACAAGGGCAATGATATGAAAGGCATACCCAAGTTCTTTCAGTTTGGAAAAGTTGTTGAATCAGCAGCTGATTTCTACCACTCCAGAGTGCCAAAGAAGAAACGAAAAGCTAATCTGGTACAGGAGCTGATAGCTGACGCAGAGTTCAGGAAGTAAGTCAACATGTTTTCAATTTTCAAACTAGATAATAAATATTTGTAATTTTTTTTTAAGTTAGCTGTGATCTTCTAAAAATCATTTTTTACAGATTGTTCTCAGTATATAACATAATATCCTTACATTTTAGATTCAATAAAAGGAAATATGTGGAGATCCAAGAAGCCAAAATGAAAGGAGATGGGCCATATAAACGAATGAAAAGACCAGTCAAGAAGAAGAAAAAATAAATTTTATTCTTAGTACACTGGTTTTGCTCTCTTTTATTCAAGCTTATTGAGATGCAAAATTTCAATCTGGATGATGCATTAGACTTAAAAGAACTTGCAATAAAAGGAAGCTTAAAAAAGGAAAGTTGCCTCCCTTGTACTGACAGGATAATGCCAAGGTGAAGATGTTAACACTTCTGATTCACAGGTACTTGTGGACAGGCCCCCAGTCCTCCCCCCCAATATTCAACCCTGGGGCTTATTAGACATTTTTTTCTCAAATTATATATATTACCGGTACACTTATTCATCATGTTTACAATGGAAAAAAATCATAAAAACGCAAAAATAATTGTTCCACAAAAAAATACTCCACTATACATTATAAGAGAAAAGTATGCCACTCCGGTTTGTTTACGTTGTACACCCACTGGTCTTTCTCCAGCAATTCTGGGTTTAAAAACGTATTTATTTTATTTTCACCTAAAATGTCGGTCCACACTGTCTCTACATATATTTCTGTCTCAGTCCATGTAGAGACATATATGTCTCTGGTCTATGCTATCGGATTGACTCTGCATTTCATGAGAATCCCACAATTTCTCCATAAACAGCATTCAAAATTTAGTGCAATCAATGGATATTGAGTTGTTGATTTTTTTCCAGGTAATGAATAAGCACTACACACTAACACTCAGTATATTGTATTAATGAAACATGGAGATAAGGAACAGTATTCAAGATCAAAAGTCCATAAAACTATACAAAATAGGAGCAGAGCAAACATGGACCTCCAAACCATCAGAGGTTGGATGAGGTGCCATGGAGAAGTGAGCATCCCCTGCCAACCAATCACACCTGCCGTGTGCTCCTTGCCATGATCGGGAAACAACAGAAAAATCTGTCATCAATTCAGTGTATATAAATAATGGACTAACAATTAGTATAAAAAACGTCAGTCAGCATTTGATTCAATGATAAATTGTATATGCTGACAAGGTCATTGTGTCGACCATAGAACTTAAGAGATGATGACTTTGAATGAGACGGCTGATATTCTTGTTTTATCAACTTGTTTGTCAATAATTTACCTCATTTTAGAAATTGTTCATATGTAGAGCATGCTCTTGCATATCGAATCAACTGAGATGTATAAACTCTGTATGCAGGTGATGAAGGTATATTGCTGCATAAGTAAGAGAAGTTGATGATAGAAAAGTTCAAGTCATCACTTTTATCATAGAGCTTGGTTGTTAGATTACCATTAACATCTTTTTCAAGCAAAATATCCAAATATGAAACAGTTGTGTTGGACTCTTTGGTATCTCAAGCTCGCCAAGATATATATCGTATCGACATATGAATGGAAATTTCTATTGTTGATTGACAATATGATGTCGATATAACTAAATGTCGAGTTGAAGGTCACAGCAAGTGTTTTTTATTTTCATGCATAAGATTTTGCACAAGTTCTGCTTTATATGAATGCAAAAATAGGTCGGCTTACAACTGGGCACAATTGGTACCCATGGGAATTCCAATAGATTGTTGGAAGACCTGGTCTCCAAAAACCACATAGATATTGTCAATCAGAAACTAGAGCATCTTTTTGATGTTAATTTCAGGGTACTTGTGTGTACAATCAGAGGAGCTCTGTATACACATGCAACCATTCCCCACGATAAAATAAAGTCCAGGCTATTTTATATCATTGACAGTGCATTTTCAATAAAAATGGAACTTGAAATTTACTTACCTTGTCATTGGTCATTTACAAAATTATTTAGTTAAAAAACATTCTTAAAGTCATCCTTTCGTAAGTTCTTTGGTCTATACAATGACCTTTACAGCAAATACAATTTATCATAGAGTAAAATGCTGACTGATGTTTTTCTAACTATTTGTAAGGCCATTATTTATTACACACTGACTTGTCAATGGATTTTCCCATTATTTTTTATCATGAATAGAGCACATGGCAGGTGTGACAGGTCGGCAAGGGATGCTCAGTCCTCCATGGCACCTGATCCCATCTCTGATGTTTAGAGGTCTGTATTTGCTTTCCTCCTGTTTGTATTGTTTAAAAATAGACTTTTGATCTTGAATACCTTTCATTATCTCCATAATTAAATTAGCACATTGTTGCCTGTGTCAAAGCAGCTAAAATATGAAGCACTTTTTAGCTCACCTGAGCTGATATTGAGGTCAAAATCAAATGAAAGGTCAAGCCTAGGTCAAAAATGTTGATGCAGTTGAATAGCTTATATCAGTATGTATCAGCATATGAAGTTTGACATTAAATGAAGAAAAGTGAGATCAAAGGAAAGGTCAAGGCAAATATTGATGCAGTTGAATAGCTTATTACATCAGTATGTATCAGCATATTAAGTTAGATATTACTATCCTGAATATTTCCTTTAAAACTGGGCTAAACACTGCTTTAAGAAAAGTGAGGTCAAAGGTGAATGTAAAATTTTTTATGCAGTTGATTATAGCTCTCATCAGTATGTATCAGCATATGAAGTTTGATAAATCTATCTGGAATGGTTTCCTTAAAACTGAGGTAAACACTTGTTTAAGAAAAGTGAGGTCAAGGTCAAGGTAAAAATGTTGATGCAGTTGCATAGCTTTAATCAATATCTTTATTAGCATATGAAGTTAAAAATATCTTGAAATTGGATAGTTCCTTTGAAACTGAGCTTTGAACCGAATTAAGTTGTGCTAAAAATACAATATTAAAATATTTATAGAGTTTATAAGTTGAAGTAAAACATTTATATTTTCACATGTAATTAGTCAAAAATATTTTTTTTTTAAAGATTTATTTAATCTTTCAAAAATTTTAATATATTTCTGTGCTTCATATATAGAAGTCCGACAGAAGTTCGGTTTTATTTTCTTTAAGGGACTATCTAAAATTTATAAATCGGGGTCGGGATTTATCCTTTGGAGGGAAACCGAATGTATCATCGTCACGTCATAACGTCAGTCAGAGAGTCAGTCTCGGATATTAAAAAAAACCAAACAAAACAAGAATCAATCAGGCTAGTGTAAGTTAACGGTAAGTGCTCTTTGTAACTGTATTCGTTAAAATAATTTTGCACATGAACTGTTGCCAGTGTTGGGATGATCTAGTCGTGTCACTGAAAGTATTATATAACATTTTTGAAGAAGTTTTCCCATTATATCACAAATATAATATTTTTATCCATATGCCCTGAAAAACTGCCGAATCACGCCGGATACAGTTATGTTCCACCGGAAACAGTTATGTTGCCCTCCCGAACACAGTTATGTTCCCTCGCGTGCAATCATTCTGTATATTAATTACGTCGGGTTCGAAATTCACAGAGGCAGTTGCTAAGCAAACGTAAACAGTTCCGCGAAAGTTAAAAAGTAGAAACAACGTCTGCAATTCGTTTATTCGAATTCAGAGGAATTAGATAATTTAATTGAGGAGAAAAATTCTTTAAATACAACAAGGGTAATCAACACAAGCGTCAGCATACTGAAAACACTGTGCCATGAAAAAGGACGGGATATTTCGGAATTATTCTAAACGTAACATGTATGTGTACATAGTGTTCAATAAATATGTTCGATGATCGATTTGGGTTCAATGCTTAAAAATGTAATATACCATATATTACATGGCTTATTTCTCAAAGCAATACAAAACAAGAATCATTTAGGCTAGCCCTGGAGTGTTATGTCGCCCTCTGCCTGCGGCATCGGGCGACATAATTTTGCACATGGCTTTGCCTGTTTGGGCCAAATATTCTGGTATGTCGTGTCACTGAAATGTAATATATGTATAATGTTCTTCACAGATGCTCATTTTTGACATGTCTGCAACTGTCTAAATTAATGAATATGCATAGGTTTGTAATAATCTATTAATATCTACCGTATATATTCAGTGGTTAACTTTGATCCTGTAGGAAAATAAAAATGAATGTGAAAGATGAATATGACAAGCAGTTTTTAAACCAATATCAGACATTGTTGTTTTCTGACAAACTGAGAAATGGCACACCCGCAGAGAAAGCTGACATATATCGCAGTCTCATGGGACAACTTCAACTTGCACAGAAGCATGGAAGGTAAGCCATTTAGCAGTTTACTCTACCTATTTAGAGCACAGGCACTTGCACACAGGCAGTCCGTTTGGGATATAATATCCCAAATGGGCTATAAATTTACAGTGCAAAAATTGAAAATTTTTATTTTGGTAATAAATATCATAAATCCGCATCAAAACAATTAAAATGGAATAACTTTTGGCAAGCAAGTTTTTCTGCAACCCTACCGTTTGTTAGATTGATCCCCAAGAAAATAAGGAACTTCCGAGGGATCAATCTCCTAAACAATGGGCATACAGGAAAACTTGTCAACCAAAAGTTATTCCTTTTTGAGTGTCCTGATGCGGATGTATGATATTTATAGCCAAAATAAAAATTTTCAATTTTTGCACTGTAAATTTATAGCCCATTGTATTATATCCCATTTGGGCGATAAAAGTCTTAAAATATTTACCACAAGGTACCTAACTCATTTTCAGGCACCCATGCTTCAAGCTTGTATTTTATTAATAAATCAATATTTAACCTACTTTAAAATGACATCGTTCACTTCAAAAGGCTTTTTTACTTGTAAATAAAAATGTTTTAGACGTCTCTGGTCGAGCTTCTTTATTATAAACTACTCATTTATTTCTCGAATACATTTTAATACTTTTCTTGGGATACAAGTAAAAAGATTAAGGATAAAATCTTGAAGTCTGAACGAAGTTGTATCTTGTTTTTAAAATGTAGGTTTTTATTTGATATATAAACAAAATACAAGCTTGAAGTGGGGGTGCCAGAAAATGAGTTGGGTACCTTGTGGTAAGTATAAGTAAGGGGTACCCCATGTACGAAATAAGTGCCTGTGGTTTAGAGGTCAAGTTTGCTCAATTATTAAGGAATTAAATTAGTTGTTATTGAGATGAGAAAATTCTAAAATAAATAAAATGTTCCATGGAGGTTTACAAAACTTGATTCAGTTTTTTTAGTTTAGTTTTGTTTTGTTTTTAATAAATTTGGTTGGGAGAGAGCAAACAGAATTTTTTTCAAAGAAAATTTCTAAAAAGCACACTTTTTATCTTATGATATATTTTGTTAAGGTCCATATAAGCATTTCTAAGTGCTTAGAGAGTCTGTAAGGTTCAATTGTTTTCTTTCATCAAGGCTTTCCAGTGAAAGTCATGAGCTTCTTAGAAAAGAATACTGGAGACCATACACAGCCATTATGGATACCCACAACACAGATCAAGGTAACAGTGTCAGCTGAATTTATAGGCTAACTTCATACATCTTATCAGACTGATCAGTTTATTGTCAAAAGATGCATAAATGTCATAGCTTCAAGAATATTTTGTTTGTAGGTTTAAACAACTTTGCAGAAGGTGCATTATCAATCTGCAGTAAATACAGAAATGGTAAAAACATAGACACATTGTTTGTTTACTTTGTGGTTTTGGAAATAAGAACTCTTAAATAAATTTATTTTGAATAAACTTGAAATGTCTATTGATATATTCAGAAACAATGATCTGAACTGTGACTCTGTAGCTACCTTTGAAATTGGTGGTAAAACTAATAACAAATGAATTCCATCTATAGTTCTGGAATCATTGATCTGGAATATTTTGTTCTATTAATAGAAAGCCAGAAATGGAGGAGTTCTTTGTCCCTGGAGAAAATCAAAGAAATGGACTGTTACAAGACTTACCTAGCCAATGTCAAGGTCAGTGTTACAAGACTTACCTAGCCAATGTCAAGGTCAGTGTTACTAGACTTATCTAGCCAATGTCAAGGTCAGTGTTACAAGACTTACCTCCTCTCCTAGCCAATGTTAAGGTCAGGGTATCAAGACATTTCTAACCAATGTGAACATCACTATTACAAGACTAACCAATGTCAAGGTCACTATTACAAGACTAACCAATGTCAAGGTCATTATTACAGGACTCATCTAGGAAATATCAAGGTCAGTGTTACATACCATACCTAGCCAATGTCAAAGTCATTTTCATTTACAAAACTTTTCCAGCAAATGTCAAGGTCAGTGTTAGAATGTTTTATCATCAATATTAAGGTTAGTTTTACAAGTAGTGTCAAGAATATGTAAAATTTAAAGGTGCATATTGAAATAGAAAATACCCAAAGCAGTGCTGTAAGACTAGTCAGCAATTTAGCTTTGTTTACTTTATATAATGCAGTTAACAAACAATATAATATGTAGTTAAAAAAGCTTAATTAACATTGAAATTCATGTTATTCTTGTTATGCATTGTGGAAATCGAAATGGATCTGATTTCAGTGTAATAAAATTATTTAGCTATTAACCTTTAAGTTTTCATGTTATATACAAGTCTACTTTTCTTGTGATTTAGGCTAAAAATGAGCAGTTACTACCAGAAAGCAAGCAGTCACAGGTCCTAATGAAGTCCAAGAAAACAATGGTAGATTTTAGTGCTAAAGCTTCCGTACAAAGTCAGGGAAGATCGACATTCTCAATGTCCAGTGCAAAAGTCAACAGGGATCTAATGGAGACTTTAGCAGTATTTCTAATAGCAGCTGCAAAAGTCAACAGGGATCTAACGGAGACTTTAGCAGTGATTCTTATAGCAGCTACAAAACCACAGAAAGCTTGAGAGGACAGCATTCTTCAACTAACAGAAATAGTGAGGGACCTAGCTGCAATAATGTAGCCCTCTCCGATTTTTTTTAATCTGATGTTTTCAAAAGGGCTACCCTCTCCTAAAAAAAAAAAAAAAAAAAGGGAGAGGGCTACATTATTGCAGCTATGAGGGACCCAGAGATATAGAATTTTATCTGCTTGTTTTTCATTGTATTTCGATATAAAAACTGGTGTATTTTGAGTGGTGGATAAACATTGATAACACAGTCTTTAACACATGATGATTATAGTAGTAATGATTAAAACATCATTTACAAGGCTGACAGAGAAAGAAATAAAACGAAGAACTAAGAAGCTTTATAGTATTTAAAATATAAGATTATTTAAAGTGTTGTAAATAGTCACAAACATGAACAGTGAGTAAAATATTGAGATGCACCATCATTGAAAAATTTATCTTCTCTAGTGCCAAACCACGGGAATGGATATTCTTATGCAGCTCAGGCCAGACCTGATAGTTCTAGCAGGGATTCATTGCATGTAGGGATTGGCAGAAATCAGAACACTCAAGACAATGCCAGAATGTTTGAAAATGGTGCTAGACAGTTTGCTAACAGAAAACCCCTGTTTGGAAATGGAGGGAAAATGTATGGAGAGAGAGAAAATAACCAGCCTTTTGGAAGACAGTTTGGAGAAGAGAGGTCATTCCAGAACAGAAACTTGAGAGAGGAAGTAAGTAGACCAGACTGCATGTGTTATACTGTATACTGGAATATGTTATACTGTAGCTGTTTACTGGAAAATGTTATGTCACAGTATATTCTTAATTAAGAACATAGTGATTCACTGTTTCTTATTATTATTCTTATTATTATTATTCTTTTTTTTGACAAAATTTTGTGCAGGCGATTTCTCTAAAATATTCAGTGGTTTTTCAAAACTTTCACAAAATATTTGTCATTATATGAAGTTGTTACATCCGAAGAAAAATTTGGACAATTCGCTTCTGGTGCCAAGTTAACAATTTGTATTTTAAAATGCGATTTTGTCGCCCCTTTTTGTATATGGCTAAGTATATGATATGGAGACTTTGATAATAAATACTTTTTATTTGTTTGCAGAATCACCTTTTTGTTCATTTTGGTTTTGTTTGCAATAACCATATACGTATTTTCTTCTTTTTTGTTTTTCAGTATTTTTCATTTATTTTTGGTAAATTAATAAAAACCCTCCTTTTAATGTTATATACGTTTGAATGTGGATAAATTCTCTAGATATTAGCATTCAAAAATCTTAAAGTGTCCAAAATGGCGGCTGTCTCTGTCAACGCCGACATTTCGCAATAGGGGTTTACATTATATAATGCGTTTGTTAACAAAGTAACATAAGGATAAATGAAATGTTAAGGAATACTTAATTGTCACATCGTAAACGTTGCAGTTTTGTGTCAAACTAACGTCTTCTATAATTGGTTTTGGCTGATTTCAAAGTGTAATAAAATTAAAGACTAAATGTGCAAATGAAATTCGATACCTAATATGTTTTGTGCACCACGGAAAAACAGATCAGTTCATACTTAAAGTAATACGTTCTCAGGAATATCAATTAGAATTGTAAGTATAAATATTAACCACTGTTTGTGTCATAAACTAAAATAAGACAAAAATAAGAAAACAATTTTTTAAAAGATCGCTTCATGGAGTTTATTTAAGCATTCTTGTCTCAAAGACCTGATTCAAGTTATTGAGCATAAATGATATCTGATTCCTTGACTGTCGTAGGGCGAGCCATGTTTTTCGGCGAAACGTTTCAACTTTTTTCGATTAACAAATCGGGATAGTTCACTTTGGGGATAAACAGGAAATTGAAAAAAGTTAAAAATTCATAGATGTTTCATCGCTTTAGTGTTACATGCATATATACAATATGGAATTTGAAAAATGTGTTAAATATACTTTGTTTTTCTTCGAATCTTAGGCTGTAAAAACTTGTGTTTTTTTAATTTCATGGAAGCTATCACACCTATTGATAACACAAAGAAAAGGCATGAAGATTAAGTCGTGGCGTTTAAAACTTAATTTTATATAGTGACCCGCCTTTCAAAGAGAAAAGCACTTTTGTTCATATATACAAGTAGATTTTAAAATGTTGTAAAAAGTCCAAAAACATAAATCTAGTGCGTTGGAATTTCAAAACTTTGATTCAATGCCCCTTGTGTGCAAATCTTTTTTTTTTTTTTTTTAAATTTTTCAGTATATTTAATAGAAAATTCGAAAGAAAAGGGGCGAAGATTAACTCGTGGCGTTTGGCGCTAAAATTTGAATAGTGACCCGCCTTTCATAATTTTAAGAGAGAAGCACAGTTTCGTTGATATATACATATTATATAGTGACCCGCCTTTCATAAGAGAAAAGCACTGTTTCGTTCATATATACAAGTAGATTTAGAGTAGAGGTCCCGATAGCGTAATATTTAGTGCGTTGGAATTTCATGTGGCGACGTGAGTTCAATCCCCCTTGTGCGAAATCTTTTATTTTTACTTTTCAGACTTGATTTGTTTTCTTTCCTGGAATATGTTATACTCGTTGCTTGCAACGAGTTTCATCTAGTTCTGTATACTGGTTGTAACAGGATGTCATTGTTTTCACTCAGTCTTGTTGTATTGTGTACAGTGCTTTTACATTTAACCACTACTTGATACACTAGGGGGAGGGGAATATTATCCAATGACTTTGATGTCATCCCTCCCAAATTATACAAATTTTTTGTACTCACTACTCAGGAGAAAAAATTATGGACACTAGTTCACTTTCCTGCAGGATAGTATTGAACTTTGCTTAGAAACAAATTTTCATAAAAACCAGAAAGTTCAAATCTATTCTCTCTTTAATGTTTCTAAGTAAAGATGATGGAATTCTTGCTTATTTCTGTTTATGTAAGGCTGTCTCCTTGAAGAGGCCATTTATGGATGAAGAGGATGAAAGATTTGGCAGTGGGGAACAAAACAATGTACCTCACTTTTCTGGCCCATTTAGAACAGCCAAAGAACAACTAGTAAGTACTTACTACTGGACACACTTCTGTCTAAAATAATTTGGTATTTGGTATTCCATGACATTAAGAAATGTATTTGTCTATTTCGACAGAATATCGACAACCAGAAAAAATATGGCAGAGGGCGCGGTCAGGTGTCCACTGCATCCTACGGGGCCACCAAAAAGTCATTAGGACCTAGGTCAGATCAATCTACAAGTGATAAAAAGAAATCATTGATGATGTCCAACACTGAATTATGAATATAGCACATTAATGCATGTATTGAACTTTTTATTTTTGTGTAAGAATATTTTATCTGAAACTTCTGAAATGTGTGGACTGTTTTCAGACGAGGGACAAGCAGTAAATTTGTGCCCCCTGTGATGAACAGGGAAGAAAATGAAGAGTAGGTGTCTAATTTTTTTTCCTCACTCCAAATCCTCTGACTGAAAGTAAAGACGTTTTATTTGACTTGAAAAAAAAAATCCTTTGAAAAAATGTTTCTAGAAATAGTGAATTTATTGATACCAGGAATGAAGATGTTGGAATAAAGGCCATCACAAGATCAGTGCTTGGTAAGAATGGAGAGAAGAATGAAGAGGTGACAGATGAACGACTGAAAGGAATAGAGCCCAAAATGATAGAACTTATCATGAATGAGGTAATCTTTAAAATATCTATATAAAAATAGTTTGCCTATACTCTAAAAAATGAATTCTTATATAAGGCCATAATAAATAAATTGCTAGATTCTCATCCGAATTTTTGTAAAAATCGAGGCGGGCGGGCAGCTTTTATTTTTTATTTTTTCAGTTTTGCAGATTTTTTATTGACCAGGTCAATCGGTGTAATTTTATCTACAATACCCAAATAAAAGTCATAGTAAAGGTCAATTATCTCTTCACATCATCACCAATCTTTTTCAACCAATGACCCTTGTTTAAGATATATACGCATGTATTACAGCAATTACCATCTTTTCAGCTGTAAAACGAAAGTAGAAAGGTAGATTCATACCGATCTCGATCAGAATTAAGACGAAGAAAAACAGAAATAAAAAAAATCGAGGCGGGGGTATAAAATCAGGGCGACGGGAATGAGAATCTAGGAATATTTTTATTATGGCCTAAAACAAAACAGTTTTCACAAGAAGTACTGCTTTATCTTTTAATTGAAATCAGAGTAGAGTGAATTAAAAAGTGCGCAATGCTTAATTTTGTCCCAAATGGATAATAAACACTTTTAGTTTGATAATAAGGTTAACTGAGGTTTTCCAAAAGTATGGACTTTAAAAAAAAATAATTGGAAGGGGTGAGGCATGAATGTTCCTATTTTACCATTATCTGAAGTGCTGTGTCTGGTTCTTAAACTTATACAATGTGCTAAATAAGACAATCCATCACACTGAATATCCTTCTGATCCAGATAATGGACAATGGCCCTCAGCTGTCCTGGGACGATGTAGCTGGTCTAGAGTTTGCAAAAAAGACCATCAAAGAAATTGTGGTGTGGCCAATGTTACGTCCGTAAGTGTCTGTAAGAATAAACTCAGAATTTAAAAGGCAACCAATTTTGTTTCAGTTGAAACAAGCACTGACATTATATAAAATGTTAATATACATGTACATGTAGTATACCTTATACAGAATCTCATTCAGAATCTTGTGGAATATTTACCTGTACCTAAATGTAGTCAACCAGTAGTTGTTATGTGTTTAGGAGACATTAACTGTAAGGATATTTTGTTTTGTTTTCGAGCTGTAAATGACTTAATATAGGACTTGACCTTTTATGCGCCCGGATCGATAGATCCGAGGCGTATATTGTTTTTGTCCTGTCTGTTTGTCTGTTTATCTGTTTGTCTGTCTGTCTGTTGTCAATTTTAACTTTTGAACCATGAAAGATAGAGACTTCATATTTGGTATACATACTCCACCAATGAAGTTCTTTCAAATGACACCAAGGTCAATGACCTTGACTGTGACCTATTTGCTAAAAATAGCTTTTTCGAATTTTCGTCATAACTTTCGAACCATGAGAGATGAAGACTTTATATTTGATATGCATACTCCACCAATGACGCTCTTTCAAATGACACCAAGATCAATGACCTTGTGACCTTGACTGTGACCTTTATGCTAAAAATAGATTTTACAAACTTTCTCCTTAACTTTTGAACCATGACAGATAGAGACTTCATATTTGATGTGCATACTCCACTAATGAAGTTCTTCAAATGACACCAAGGTCAATGACCTTGTGACCTTGACTTATCTTCTGAAAATATTTTTTTGAACTTTATTGCTGTCGGGCGCATAGTGTTTCACAAACACATCTTGTTCAGTGATATTTTAACTGGTCTTGCTTTTGATCTGTATATGACTTACTAGTAATCATTGGATTTTATTTTTTCAGTGATATTTTTACTGGACTTAGAGGTCCACCAAAGGGTCTGTTGTTATTTGGGCCACCAGGCACTGGCAAAACTCTTATAGGCAAGTTAATTCTATTCTTACAAGATCATTACTAAATATCTTTAATATTCAATATGTGGTGTATGAACTTGAACCCTTATTAAATACTTTAATTATAGTTGTTGCTTTTCAGGTAAATGTATTGCCAGTCAGTCCAAATCTACCTTCTTCAGCATCAGTGCCTCATCCTTAACCTCTAAATGGGTAAACAATAAACAACATTACATTGTCCCTGTTTATCTGCTGTAGGCCACCTCTGAAATAGTCATGTGTTAATGCTCTATATCTATCCTTCAAGTGCATTCACTTAAATTTTATTAAACTGAAGGCATGGGAAAAACCTGATTTAGGGTAAACTCAGCATAAACAAATTACCTTATATTCACTGTCTTTTTACGAAGATCACAAATCATCTTTACTTTAAAATATCAGTTGACGATGTTGGATTTTACCCTTACTTTATAATGAAGATTGAGTGTGTTTGTTTTAATTTATCAAGAATTAACTCTTACTGTATAATGAGGACTGAGTGTGTTATTTCTCGTTTAACAGGTAGGAGAGGGAGAGAAGATGGTGAGGGCGATGTTTGCCGTCGCACGCTGTCACCAGCCGGCCGTAGTGTTCATAGATGAAGTGGATTCACTTCTGTCCCAGAGGTCGGACGGCGAGCATGAGGCCTCCCGCAGAATCAAGACAGAGTTTCTCATACAACTGGTAATGCCTAGCTCAGCATGAATGTTTGTCTGCTTATGTGGGAACATTGAAAAAATTTCACTTTCCTTTAGTATAAACTTGTTGAACATTTAAGAATTTGTGACTGATGTCTCGGGTCAACTAAATGTAACAAAAGTGTATGTTGTAGATCTTTTATTGCATCGTGTGTAAATATAATTATAGGATGGTGCTGCCACACTGTCTGATGAAAGAATTCTGGTCATAGGAGCTACCAACAGGTCAGGAATGTCAGATGTCTTAATTAATGCACCTACTGTAAATATTAGATCTGGCTGTGTATTCTCTTTAGTGCCTTACACGGAACGCATCATCTACTAAATCAAGTACATCACTAAATGTTTTGTTTTCATATATCCACTTAAATCATAGTCAGAAAGTGCTAATTCAAATCTACGCCAGCTTGTTAAAAAATAAATTTCCTCCAAATATCATACACACCAAATATACATTACATTCACAGTAATCTTCCGAACTTTCTCTCAGTAATTGATAAGTTTCAAAACTTGAGTTATTGGTAAATGTAGAATAGACAAAGTTTGCCTCTTGCACATTCATTGTTTGGTCTGTAATTGAAGATTTCTTCCATCAGGCCCCAGGAAATAGATGAAGCTGCCAGACGAAGATTTGTGAAGAGACTTTACATCCCCCTCCCAGAAGGGGAGGCACGTAAACAGATCGTCCTTAATCTTCTGTCCCAGCAGAAATATCAGCTGACGGCGGCCGAGTTAGAGGCCATTCAACAAAAGTCTGAAGGTCTGGACTCAAGAAAAGATGTCTTTTCTGTTGAATTTTTATTTATAATGATAGTGAAATAGTTGACTTTGAGGAAATTTTTTTTTAGAAGACTTGGACATTTATTAAATCCATTACATATACGAGGGGTTATAAAAAAGTTCGTGGACTAGCGCTATAAAATTAAAACCGCTTTAGGCAAATCAATGAATTTTAAAATATCTAGTTAGCATCATCTTTTCTATATAAAGAATAAACCATAAATCATAAAATTTATTTTTTAATAAATTAGTAATGTTTTTGTAAGCAATGGTATGTCCAGGCGGCGCAACCTCGAACACGACGTTTTTGCGACCTATGTGTAACTGAGAAAAAACTCTTTTGATATGAACATTTAACATCCAAAAATCCCGTTAATTCAGGTATGTGTCGGGACACAACTTTTCCATAAAATTTGAAATTTTCACTTCATTTTGTAAGTCTTAAGAACTTTTATCGTAAATTTTACATGGAATGTTTTTAAATAAATGAGGCCTTGAAAATGACGTCAAAAGGGGGGAAGGGTTTCTTTTTCCAACATTCTATCAAGTTTTGCCCCTGAAAAAATGGTATATACCTAAGAAATGTTTAAACTGGCTACAGAGAAATAATATGCACCCAGAATACTTGCCTTTTAATGTCAAAATATATTCAGAGAGAAAAGGGATACACAGTTAATGTCGATTTGTAGTCAAGGTGTGAAAAATCAATCGCGTCAAAAAATGACGTTGATCATGTGTTGTAGATATTAAACTCTCAAAAGCAAAGTATACTGGCACAATCAAGCGAGGATCTCTCTCAGTGTATAAATCCATTTGGAATAAAATATTTATTGAAAGCCGCTGTTCATGATATTGTAGAATCATATAAACAAGGCGGGTTTAAGTCCTAACTCAGCTCCAGGGAATCTCATCCAAAAAAGTGCTTGAGGTAGAAGAAGAGGACATTGAAATAAACAATGACGTTGTCGAACGTCATGAAAATAAACGACGACAGCGCCGGGTGATCATATAATGTCGTTTTTATTTTATAATAATTTGGCAAATAATGAATGTATCAAGCTAAAATTTTCAGCATTTTTTTATTTTTTGTTGTTTTATGTTCCATATAAATTTTGAAAGCAATTTTTTTTAGAATTACATTTTATAGCCTAAATCCATTACTTTTTGATAACCCCTATACATGTATTATGTATATGTACCATGAAATAAATGGTGTCAAGTGTACTGGTCTTGTCTGCAGTTGTTTTGTTTTAAGCATTAATGTAGCGAAAGTTAATAAATTCTTTAGATACCCAATCTGCATAATATATTAAAGTTGATAAGTACAGTGTATTTTAACAGCTTACCACAGTCTCAAATTCTTTTTTAGACCATGGTAAGTCTTAATACAATGTGTATTTACAGGCTACTCGGGGTCTGATATGTCCTATCTGTGTAAGGAGGCAGCCCTGGGTCCCATCAGATCCATGGCCTTTGGGGACATTGAAAACATCACAGCTGACCAGGTATATAAAACTTTGAATCATTCAGGACTCTTAATTCACATGAAATGGTTTAACATGGCGTGACAAAAAAAGCTTCCAGATATTAACCGAGAGTTTGAGATATTGAGAGTAAATTCAGTTAAGAAAATGTTGTTGGGACTTTCAACTCACATACCCATGGTATTCGATATATCGGAATTTGAGAAAGCGAAGTTCAACTATAATTGCATTCACTATTGACCAATGTATGGTACTTTCCTTGTAGTAAGAGAAATGTCAGATAAGCTGTAGACCTTGTTATATATTTATCATAATTACTTTCAGGTTCGGCCAATTCTGTATGAAGATTTTGAAGCAGCCTTTCATCAAGTTAGGGCCAGTGTTTCTGAAAAAGATTTGGACCTGTATTCGGAATGGGATAAGACATTCGGAAGTACCTGTAATCGAAAATAAAATGTTTTTGTTTTGAGTGACATGTTCAAACAGTTTTCATTTTAGAGAAAATAACTTGAAAATGAAAATGGTCGAAATCAGTCAATGAAATAATCAAAAAATGACCGCATTATCCTACGGAAAATGGGACTGATTTTTCTATTTGAATCACGTATGACCTGGCAATAGAAGATGTTGATGTGAAGTACCGGGTATTTTTAATGCAAAGAAAAATGTTATGTTTTGAAATATATTGTTGATATATTAACAATTAATTAAACCAGTGAAAATTTGTTGCTGTATTTTTGTCTGTTTTTGAAAAGTTATCAAAAAAGACCATTCATTTCACAAAATATGTAACACATTATGTTTAATTTTGTCTGTCCTTGATTTTCCTCTGACTGTTTTCCCCCCTGAACTTGACCATCACTCTTGATTATTTTTTCCAAATCAAAAACAAACTTCACTTGCAATAATACATATTGGTAAGAGCCAATTTAACAGCTTTTATTTTCTTATCTTTATCTTTTAAATTACTTTAGCCACACTTTTCCTTCATTTTGCAGTTACATGTACATGTACCTAATAAAGGAGGCAAAGGTAACAAATTCTTCATCTCCAAAAAAAATCCACAAACAATTCGAATCTGTAAAGGATTAAAATATTCTAGTGGTGGGATCAGGTGTCAGAAGGAGTAAGCATCCCCTGATGATATCAGTTCTTCCATGAGTCCTATGTGTTGATCAGGTAGACATGTCAACCAAGATACAACCTAATTGTTTAAATAGCTAAAAAGTTCATTACAACAATTATAGAATTTACAAAATCTAAATAAATAATATTTGGGGATTATCGATATTCTGTTATTATAGATACCAAAAGCATATGTATTAAAAGTCAATGCACGTTTTCAGTCGTATTTTACAGGTAATTTACTTTATATCAACAACAATGATCGTATTTCAAATAAATAAAACGAATTCGTAAGTTTCGATATTCATTGGTTCTTATTTCATGATTACACGAAACCCGAATAGCAATTGTTGGTTTGGCTATTCCACGGCTTGATCAGGTCCTTCACCACTCACCAGTGTTCACCAGATTTTTCTTAATTGGTATTCAGTCCTTGAGAAAGGAGTTTCTTGTGCAATATCTGCCATACTGGGATTATGTAGACTTTAATGAATGTTCATAGTCTATGGGAATTTATTGAAACGAACGTGTATAAATTATTTTCTAAAATTTATCATCTCAGTTTAAAGTCAAAATAATTATTAATAGTGAAATCGTTTATCAATTACCAATAATAACCAATCAATTATATCAACACAAGGACGACCCACAGGTGTAGTGTCATCTATGTAAAATTAACACCTCACACAGTTGTTCAGTTTTCCAGGTAAGTCCAGGCTGCATCAATTTTACGCTTGATATTGGCATGATTTCACATGCAATCAAAACTTCGAGAGATAGAGAGTAATTCAATGATATGTGTTCATGGTTTTGGTTCCGAGATAGAAGTTCGAGAAATCAGGAGTAAATTTGCTTACTTATATAGCCTGCTTCTCTCTAGAGATGTTGAGAGATCCCGCCCATCGAGAGTCACCTGTAGCTAAAAAGTTCATTACAACAATAGACCCTTTTCCTATGACATATTTTGCCTAAATTTAATTACATCTTAGGGCAAAGTTGAATTTACCTCTCTCGGAACCAATTTTAAATATGCATGCAAGAAATATATGTTAGAAAATATTTAAATTTTAAAATCATGACATGAAAGCCTTGACAAACGTATATTCATGTGTTATCTTTTTTGACCATAAATTGAACTTGTTGAATAATGATTGGAGTTTGTCCTTATCATCAAAATATGTCATCATTTAGAATAAAAATCACTATAAGATATGAAACATTAACTTGTATGTCAGCAATCCTGTCTGTTTAAAAATTAATCCTATAAGTTGGGCGATGCATGCAGGTGATTACTGAGTGTAGCGAGCATGCGAGCGGATCTAACATCTACCGGTAATTTTAATTAGATTGGATATGAAACAGATACATGACAGACTTAGTGGTGTCATAAATTGTTTAATGTATACAATCATGTTGTTTTTTTTTTAAATCAAAGTTTGTGTTGATACCTAGCCTTTTATGAAAGCTAATCAGCTATATAATTAGAGCTCAGACCAAATGTCTCTGCCCAGATCACAATGTATTTTTTTTTACTGTTGCAATAAATACAGCTTGGTCTAAGTTAGGTGAGGGCATTGTTTTTTCTGGTTGCCTTTCTTACACGTAATATCTATTATTAGATTGTGAAAGGTATTCCGAACGTAAATTTAAAATAGATTGGGAAATCCTCATTTCTCTCCGTAAGAGAAGGGTAGAGAAGTTCCGAATGTCGAATTCCATTTCTGGCAAAGATAAGCCAATGGGAATGGATCTTACAGAGTCGGGCTTGTTATCAACAATCATGTGATGAATAATGGAGGCCCAAACTAGGCCAAAGTGAAAATGGCATTACTAAAAATTTTTCAGAATCGTAAAATAGGAAGAAATTCTGGTCTCTTCAGCAAATATTCAGAAAGAGGGAAAGAGTAAGTATTACGTAGATTTATTTATTTTGAATTCATCTGTTCATTTGTATTTCTTTTAAGGACCAACATACAGTCACTTAATTCCCTCGTGAATTTTTGTCAATAAACAGTGCTGTACGAGTCATGGACCATTGTTTACGTTTAATTCTCCGTACATCGATACAAACATCCTCTGGTAATCTGAAAACGAGCGAAAAATTCTGATTAGGCCTAAGTAACGATTTTAAATGATCATCTTTTGGTTTTTATTGAGTGCGTGTGTTGAGTAACGTAAACAGCGGACTGATTGTTTACAGCCAACGCAGGACAGCTGATAAGCATGTGACCAGTTCACATGAATATGGATCACCGTGTACCCTGTACACATTGCTTACACATCACTACCCATGTACTGCAGAATGTAAAGATTCATTCCTAGCATAAAGAGTATATTGTGATTTTAATGAATTACCAGCCATGGGACTTTTAGCTAATATCACCAGTGGAACTAATGTGACAGATTTATGGATCACTAACAAATCTATATTCAGGAAAAGGTAATTTTAAATGATCAGCTCCTGTTATAGTGGCTCCGAAGTCCGCATGGAGGTCTATTTTTACTATTTTGCAGAGCAATTCAATTTAGTTTTACAAAATTTTAGTTGACTGATTTTATTTATTTACCAGTGCTGTTATGTCATATTTCACAAAAAAACATTGTCGATTTGCTGGGAGGAATGTGATGGTCAGGTAGATTCTATTGCCTGTGGCCAGATAAAGCAGTTGGAAGAGCACCTGACAGGAAATTCAGGGGGCCTGGGTCAGAAACTAATGCCCTGTTCACACGGAGAGTTTAATTCGAATTAAACGTAAAGTTACTGCGCATTAGCTCATGCGTTCACACTGAGAATTTAATGCGAATTAGTTTAATTCGAATTAGTTTAATGGGCATTAAATTACTTCGCATTAGCTAAGCGAAGCTAAATCAAATTGAATTCTGACACATGCTTAATGGCAAAATTTAGTCAAATACCACTTGTCGATGGTCAGCTATAGGTACTTGTGCTATTTTTCAGCGAAAAACTAAGGAAAAATTTGTTAATCATTAAAATGTATGTACAGACACTGTGACATTATGTCAAATGGATCTGCTCTGCACAAGGTGACGTGATTTGCAAATGACGTCATAATAGCCGTGCTGAGCCGGGCTGCAGTAAAATTTTAATTCGCATTAGTTTACTTCGCATTAGCTGTCGTGTGAACGCAATTTAATACGCATTAGTTTGATTCGCATTAGTTTACTTCGCATTAATTTACTGCAAATTAAACTCTCCGTGTGAACAGGGCATTAGTCTGGTCCATCATATTTTTCTCCTTTCCCATTGCATCATGCATGTCATCATAGAGTGAATTGGAAAGAGAACATCAAACATAACCTTTAGTGATGTATTTCATAATGCTTAAAGGCAAAACTTGAAACAAAAAAGTATAATTTTAACATAAAATAAAATGCTTCATTGCATTTTAATGGGAAGAACATTTTTTTTCCTTTGATATTTGCAACCACTGTGAAATACAAATTATTTGTTCTTCTGTTAGTTCTGTTAAATCAATCCTGCATCTCTTGAAAGTTAGACTGTTTTTCTGCCTAAAGAGGATAATAATATCGCGATTAAAAAACTTAGCAAACTCTTTCGCGATGGAGATAAATTGCTGACATGTAATTTAATACAATGCAAGATCGATCATAGTAGCATTCATAAGGACAGATATAAAAAATCCTGGTGGAATACCTTGTCTAAAAAATCGCAGAACCAGCCTAATAAATTTTTGAGAGGAGCCAATCCTAAATTGTTACATTTTTAACGATATTTTTAAGTAAGCGTACTCTTCTCGTTAAATTTTCATTGAAATTCGTCACATTTTAAAGCATATAAAATATTTTAAACTTTCCTTATTTGACAATCTACTATTTGGAGTAATATCTGGCAAATATTGTGATATATCGGCATTAAATTGTTGGAATCAGTCGATTGTCACTACTGTAAACAATGTCATGTGCCCCAGAAATTTAGACCTTCCTCGACTCCCCCGCAAAAGAGCAGTAGTAAGTTAGAGGTACTTATTGGTAGTCGCGATATTACGTATTACAATTTTACCATGTTGTTAAAATCACCACACCGATGGTGCAACTGAACTTTGAGAGAGTATTTAGACAGATATCTTTTCAATATGGGAAACCTTTAGCATTTTGTGATTTTCAGCTAGTAGCACCTGATATTTACTATGATTAAGATAGAATATCAAGATAGATGAATTATGTTGAATTGGAAACATAATTTATTGTCATGTAATTTGTTTTATTTTTCATTAAAGGGCACTGATAAATAACTATATCAATGGTAGAAATGAGATTCTACATAAGAGAGAGTAAGCATTAAGTACCTATATGTACGCGACCATCAATAAAAACACCACACTGACGGGCACCCCTTCCCCAGCCAAATATCTAAACAGCATCATGAAACACATTCTCTTTACAGAGTTGTCCTTCCTGTTTTTCTCCCACATAAAACTCTGGATAGAGAATGCATGAATCAGTTTATCTAACCACTTTCTTCCTTCTTCCCTGGATATATATATACTGCACATCCCACATGTAATAAACGTTAGTTACTCATTTTAGCAAAAAGATAAGAATAGTATTTTTCATACTGACTGAAGAATTATATTGCATAGTAAATTTTTTTTTCTGAGTATAAAATAATTGATATTTATAATTTTGTAAATTATTTCAGCTTGTGCCTTTGTTAGAAGTACACAATTATATAACATCACAGAGATGTTGAATAATTATGGTCATTTATTGTCAGACTTATGTCAATGAAAATTAACTTATTAATTTGTATATATGTGACACCATCTTGTTATAAAAAGTTAAATTATTAGGCAGATAAAAAGGAATAAATTACAGTGTCAGTCCTACTGATTTTTTTATCTACATTGTACATCCTGTTCAGTACAATATTCTTGCAAAGATATGTGATTTTTATCATTGATAACACAGCTAAATTGTACATTTTTGGGGGAGGCCAATAATGGATAGTTATCATATGATGGAATCATAGGATATGAGTCAGGTGTTTCAGAAATTTATTATATAACTAAAAGTACGGAGATCTTACCTGGACGTATAGTCAAGCTTTAAATCGTCCAATCAGAGGCGAGTAGTGGACAGGTACTTAACGTAAACAGTTAGTAGGGTAGTTTTATCACATTAGTGTTTCATAAGTAATGTTAATATTTAGGCCTATGTTCTTATTATTATTTAAAATGTTGATGCTGTATGATAAATTCAAAGGGATTTTGCATTGAAAATGTATTTTATTAAAGTTTATTTATTTTAAGAATTAAATTATTCTGAACATAGAAAATTGCATTAGCATGTAATCAAAAAATGACTATGCACTATACTGAAGTCATGTGAAAAAGACATGAATTGAATGATACTATGTTTATTTGTTTAGTAAGATGGATTTCGTTTTTTTTGTCACAGATGGAAGACCCCTGACTTTGATCCATCGTTGACAAGGTTACTGATTTACAGCGAGGTGGATGGAAATCGCGTCATTCTGTTCGACTCTAACTCTGTCATCAATTATGAAGATAAGGTAAAGAAATCGGAGTTAAAAAAAATACCAGTTTGTCATTTTAAAATTTGGAAACTATCTAAAGATAAGAAAATATTTAAATAGAATGTCTTTAATAGTAAAGATCAGTAGGACAGGGAAACTTAACATTATAATTAGGATCATGGTGTAGTTGAACAAAGACATTACAATATTCAAACTGCAGAAAGAACACGACAAAGCAACCAAAATAAACTGAAGTCAAATTCAATTAATTAAAAATATGAATACACAATAATATTGAAGTAAGTATCTCTATTTTTATCATCAGCAGCAACAGAAACCAAAGTGTCAGAGAGGAACAAAATGTCGGAGGAAAAATCCAGGGAATTCAAGTCCCACCACAACAGGAGAGAGTACCTGTCATCGTTATCAGCCAAAATATCAGGTAGGGAGTCAGTCAGGTCTGGGAACATATAGATCTAGTCATTGTGTTAATTGATATTGATATACAGGCACTGGCATTTTAAGTCAGTAACTTACTATTAAACCTAGCTATGAATGTAAGATGTTGGATAAGTTTGGTTAGGGATGTTTTAAGTGGTTGTGATTATTGATACTGATAGACAGAAGACTGATGTTTTAATTCTGAAGCTCACAAAACCATGCTCTGACTGTAAGATGTGGGATTGGTTAGATTGGGGATAGTGTTAAGTCTTTTTGATACTTGATATTGATAAAATGGTGTTATAATTCTGTAGCCCACAAGACCATGCTCTGCCTGTAAGGCATTGGGCTGGTTTAGGTCTAGGATAGAGTTAATTGCTTAATGGTTTTGATAAATGATATTGATATACTGACATTTCAATTCTGTAGTTCACAAAACCATGCTCTGACTGTAAGATGTAGGATGGGTTAGGTTGGGGATAGTGTTGTCTCTGTGATACTTGATGTTGATATAATGGTGCTTTAATTTTGTAGCTCACAAAACCATGCTCTGACTGTAAGAAGTTGGAGGAGGTGGTGTTTGGTAGTGTGGGAATGGCTCAGAAGGGGACCTCACTCAAAGTACATTTCTTGTGGTAAGATCAATTTTTACATGTGAATGTGACAGAGTCAACAACTGTATACACCAGTTTGTTTATAAAATACATTAAAATTTATCATTTATACCTTATTTTAAAGTACTGTTTAATTTTAATTTCATTTACCTCTAGGTCACAGATGTTACTGACAAAAGTCTTCATTCCAACAGCTCCCAAACAAGAGTCCTTTAGCAGGTGATTAATCATGCAGTTTTAAATTATAAGAATGCAGTATTTCTATTTCTATTCTGACAGAATATCATTTTTCATTTGTTCTTTTTTTTCAGTGACCTAGATTTTAATCAGAGTTCCCCGAGTCAGGGGGATCAGTCCAGCCCCAAACTTATATATCACCCCGAGAAATCCCCAAGTATTGGTAAGTCTGGCAAAGAGCTAAAAGTAAATTTCAAAAAAGATACATTAACTATTCATTTGGAAGGATTAATAATTATGATGTGTTTATTTATAGCTCAGAGTATCCCGGTTGATGTCCCCTCCACACGAGACAGAATCGCCACCTTTGATATTTACGACAGAGACAGTGGCTTAGCTTCATGTAAGCAGTCAACAAATACATGAAATCCATACTGCACTTCAAATTTGTAACAAGAGAAAAATGAAAGAAAAATATGCAGTGATTTGGCTTATCTTTTGGATTTTTATGTTAAGTCTGTTGTTTTGTTCTCTTGCAGTGACCTCAAGTGGGAGTTTCCAGACCCCCTTCCCGTCCCCCAGCAGTAACGCCAGCAGCTACAGCAGCCTACACCGCCGGTGGATGAGAAGTGTCCACACCTCTATCGAGGGATGCATCAAGAAACGCAACTCCCACGATAATCTAGTCGCTCAAGATGTAAATATCTCTTCTAAAATCTGTACACATAGCACTTGACAAAATAATTGCAATAGACAAAACTCTGGAGAACATTTTGAAAATGTTGAGTAATTATTTTTTTCTGTTATTTCCAGACCTCACTAGGCCCTCAGCCAGGCTGTAGGAAAAGAAGAAGTAAGCTCGCGCTGGGCATTGTGTTTGGGAGTGACGAAAAACAGAATCAGGAAGACAACCTGTTAGTTGGAGTGATTGAAATTACTGAATTTTTTTTTTTTTTTGCATTGAGTTGATTGTGATAAGAGTATCTTAATAATAAAAAATGTTTTTTTCTCTCTTTGTAGGCTATTCCAGAATTTCTTCTTCTCTCATATTACATTGATAGAGGGTCACCTTGAACGATTAAAAATGGAGGTTGAAAAAGCGTACGGCACAAAACAAAAGTTTGTGGATATCGTCATGGAGGTATGTTATTGCTGAATGTTTGTTGTTAGAAAAATTAGGTTTAACAGTTTGCAGTGATAATAAGCTATACTTTATAAAAGATATAGTTTTCAATTAAAAATGAAAGATATTCAAATATTGAGCAAATAAATAAAGAAGACTGGAAGAGAAAAGTTTCATGTCAAATTATACTTTTGTTTAAGGCTTTGGAGACATTCCGAAGGGACATTATGGATTTGTATACCTCTCCACGGCTGAGTGAACCTGTGTGGCAGAGCATGATGTCACACCCCAGTTACCGCTACCAGATCTGTGAGAACTTTATGAAGGAATTGGTCACTCTCATCAACAAGTTTGACAGCAAGAATAATGAATTGTAAGTCATCAAAGTCTAACACTCAGTTATTTTTTTACAGAGTATTTTGTGACTATTTGATTTGTGTCAGAAGATATTTTGTGTAATGATCAGATTAACAGTAATTTGTAATGCTACTTTCCTGATTTTTAGATATTTTGACTTCTTGTTACAGTTTTATGAGTACTCTTGTGACAGCTGTGTTGACACATCATCTGGCCTGGGTTCCCACGGTTACACCAGCGGGGGGAACTCCCTCCAAGACCTACCTCCACAATCATTCTGCTAAATGGGTATGTAGCTCTGGTAAAGAGCAGAAGAATGCCACAGAGCCTTCTAAATATTTCACCTATTTTTATTAGTTAAAGAGGTAAGAAGCTGTTCCTTGTCACATGTATGAATTTTTCTTTACAGTTGGACACATTAGCGAAGACCCATCCTTATAATCCACTCTGGGCTCAGTTAGGGTAGGTCCATGTATATGTAACTGCTGTCTCGTTTTTTACTATTACAATGATTTTGATTTGTAATTTTTTAACATTTCTTTGATCATTCTCAATTACTAATGATTTACATATTTAAGGCCAGGATTTATTTTATTTTCAGTATGGTTTTGCTAAAACAATTTTTTTCTTTCCGGTCTTTGACCCAAATTTGAAAATAGCACTTCCGGTTTTAAGGAAATGGTGGGTAAATAGATTTTAATTATAAAGCAATTAAAATTCATCGATACGAGTGCCATTCAAAACGTTTCAGCCGTTCAAAGGACAAATAAAATGCTGACGACTTTGCTGCACAATGACATGCTGGTGAGATAATTATGTATTCGTTTCAAAAGTATCTGTCTGTAAATAATTTTCCTCTCCCAGGTTTTAAACTGCCCGTGGTAGCTATTGAATATTGCCAGCGACATTGTTACAGTTTAGGTCTCTGTTATAGCTTACAGTCTAAGCATCATTCTTCAAAAAAGGGTTGCTTATGCATCAGATGTAATGAATAAAACTATGGGAGAAGTCCATTTGAGGAAGAAATAAACAATAACCTGAAGAAATAAAAAAAAATTCAACTATTAAAAGGCGGCAAGAATATACAAATATATACAGGCATGTAGTATCAATTGTATCAGCCAGAAAAATTATTTTACAGTTAATTGAAAAAATGTTCACCATAGTTCCCAATACTCCCTGTCTGTTTTATGATAGGAATTATAATTTTAGGCATCAAGTAAATTTTAGAACATTGTCTACACATTCATCTAACACATATTTAAAAAATGAAGATAAATTGAAAGACTTTTAAAGAATTGATTTTTTAAAATATATTTTGACCAACATCACAAAATTTATATATAACTGGCCCAAGCTGGCATGAAATAAGCAATTAAATGTTCTACTTTCCTATTTGTAAGTATTATGTGTCCAGTTATAAGGAGCCTACTAGAATAGCATAAAAAAAGAATGTACAAATGTTAATAATTGATTTATCAAAAATTCTCATGTTCATAACTAAACCTTAACATAAAAAAATACTGGCCTTATATGAAGAAAGGGGTCTCTTTCAAAATAGATAATTTCAGGGCCGCTGGGTCAGGGGTACCAGGGGGGTACTTTGACTAAAAATAAATTAATGCTTTGAAATCTGCCCTTTGATAAGCAATGGTGCCTCCTTCAAAATTTGTGAAATTCATGGCTTTTTGATTAAGACACGAACCAAATACAATCACTGGAAAGTTGTTACATGATACTCAGGTGACCTATAAGGCCCGTGGGCCTCTTGTTTACTATTACAATGATTTTGATTTGTAATTTTTTAACTTATCATTTCATGGATTTCAGGGATATGTATGGTGCTATTGGCTACCCACTGAAAATAGCCAGGACAATTATTGTAGGAAAAAAGGCAGATCTTGTCAAAAAGATTCTGTACGTTTTGAGTTACTTTATACGCTGCAGTGACGTTCATGAGAATGGTGAAGTCGGAACACTAGAATCGTTTCTAGATGATGTTAGCATAGAATCTCCAGAGGAAGATAAAACTCCCGTCCACGAGGGATTTAAGTTTCCCTCCGTCTCTGACGAGAAATTACAGACAGGGTTTCATATAAGCAATTCTGTGATATTTAACACTAGTTCACCTGATATTCAAAACGGTGCAGAAATCAAAAAATGTGTTGATAGGTATGATCTGAAATTAGATATCCAAGGGCAGCATTGCTCACATGAGAATGAAAGTGGGAAAAGGAACAGAAACCAGACGGAATTGTCGGAGGTGAATCAGGACGAGGGATATTGCTCCATCGTGCAGTCAGACGAGAGTGAGAAGATTAGGTGTAGGTTATCAACGGACTGTGTCGTGGAAAATGTTCCTGTGGAAAATGTTATGAATGTGAACAGAGCCGCTGTGTGTCGGACTAGTGAAGTGAACGAGAAACTCCTCAAACCTGCCAAATCTAGTTCTGTGCTTTCATCTAAGTTTAGTAATGATGTAACGTTGGAGAAGAAGCCTTCAACAGCTGACATCAAACACCAGTTCCTGTCAGATAGAAGTGACAGTATGTTTAATGAGTACTTTGAGGATGATAGTATAGTGACAAAAACAATTGATGATGTGCCTTTAGAACAGCGAGTTATTCACCCAGCAAAGAGGGATATTGTCATGTCTCAGTCATTGGAATGTTTAACAGAATCCTCCGACAACGACACACATCAGAGACGACTCGGATCAGTGGGACAGTCGGCAAGGCCCAAGTTATTCCCCCTCTCCCGGCAGATGAGTTCAGATTTCTCCAAACCCTCCACATACAATCCCGGTCGCTGCAGGTTAGCACTGATTCTCTGTAAAATTATGTTAATCTGTATCAACTTAAAGCAATATTGTATAATCTTTTCTTTTTTTTTTTTCGATGATCTATTTTTCGCTTATATAAAACATGCAGAAATTCTGTCAGCTATAATGTGGCATAAAAACATTACCATTTAAAAAAAAAAGAATCTTTCATCATAAAAAATAACTTGCACAAAATAAAACTACAGATCCTCCTTTTTTGCAAAATTTTCAACACATGGAAAAAAAAAAACCCGAATATACAGTATTTTCTGTGGGTTTGGGTCTCCAATTATTGCATTTGATAAAACGAGAGTACAATGTATTTTTTCTGTTGCAGATCTGTAACGCCTACAGAATTAAACAGGCGCCGGCATCTCTCCTCCACCAGTAGTTTTGATTTTGATCACATGGATCCTCTTGTTCATTTTAAGGAACTTTCAATGCCAAGGTAATTAAACATGCTTGCATAATCTGTCCTGTACTGTTGCATCACAATTTAATATCAGAGAATCTGAAGTTTTGATATTTTTGTAACCATGAACATGTACCATGTATTTTCAGCATTATCAGTGAGAAGAATAGCAGCAGTAAGATGTTTGATAGGAACTTTGGTCGGTCTCTCCTGGCCGAGTATTCCGACCATTATTTGTCTAATTTCGTCCTGCATGGTACATCTGACAATAACTTTAAAGAGAAACTTGTACGGGATCTCCACATGGCAACTCAGGTCTGTTCTTGTGATGTTTAACAAAACTAAGGAAATAGACAAAAGTCTAGTTAAAATGGAAATGTGATGTCTAAATTTGTGTATTGATTTTTCAGTATCGTTTAACCGTATCGTCTACAAAGTTTTGTTTTCTTGCAGCACTCTGTGTTAGATGAACCAATAACTGAGGCCGTGTTTATTGTAGCGGATACAGACAAATGGTAACTTATAAATTAAATGGCTTTGCTAATATAGGTACTAACAACTAATTGTCAAAAAAGTTGTAATTATCTTTAATGACATGACTGTTATTTGATTTTTAGGTCTGTGGACATTACCAGCAGTAAGACCCCCGATCAGCCTCCAAAAGTCAGTCGTGTGGTCGCCTCCCAACTCGTGTGCAATATGATGGATGCTGTCCAACAGCTACATCGCCTCAAAATGAGCTCCGAATTCGTAAGTATTGCACATGCATCAAAACTTTTATAAAACATGCGTTTAATTGCACTTTTAGAAAGGAAAATTAAGTACTGTATATGATGGAGACAATTTTCTTTTTGCATCATTAGTCAAAAATGGATAAATAATGATTTTTTAATTATTTATTTACAGTGCTTGATGCACCTAGAAGACAGACTGCAGGAAATCTATTTTAAGAGTATTATGCTTGCTGAATACTTAAGAGAGAGTAAAAACCCAGGTCATTGTGACATCAAAGAAATGACCAAATTACTCGGGTAAGGAGAAGAGTTCTTTCTACATTTTAATAACATGCTTTAGATTGGAAATAAGAATCATTAAACAGAATGTTACTAGAATTTTTTGTCTGTTATTTTTAGGTTTGATAATGGAGATTTGCCACTACTGGTGGCCATTGCAGGGACACACTCCTCGCAGTTGACCCTGGGAGACCAATGATTTAGGACCCACCCACGCCAAACACCCCCCACATATCAGGCAGCAGGAGTGATTCAAAATCAGATACAGTAAAATTCAGTTATAACGAAGTCACTGGGACCTATGAAATTACTTCGCAATATCCGTAATTCATTATATACATATAAGGAATTCGTGAAATTTATGTAACTTGGGATCCAAAAGAACTTCGCCATATCCATGAATTCTCAATATCGGTGTTCGTACTAAACGAGTTTTACTGTAACAAGAGGCTGATCTCAGATTCAATATATCATTAGTCTTATTTGATTTTAAGGTGTTCAGTGAATGATACTGGTGCCATAATGAATGTTCATAAAAAGGAATGAGTAATCTAATTTAAAATGATTGAGAGTGAAAAAAAAATTGTATTAAAATCAGGGATATTTATGCCAATAATATGTGATATATTTTGCCTGGATTGTTAATTTCCCTTATGCTTTAATTAAGCAGACAGTTTAAACAATTATGGTCTGATTTATACACGGACACTTCATCGATTGATTTAAACTTGTATATGTTAAGATGCAATCTACATGCTTTAGCCTATTTAGTTACAATATCTGTACTTACATGTAAATGCCAATAGACAGTGAAGCTTAAAGCTTTGCCAGTTTTTATGTCAAAATCAATGTATCGAATAAAATCTTGAAATTTGAACTTTTCCTATTTCTTTAGTTTGTATCAACATATGAAGTTTGATAACACTATCTTGAGTAGTGTCTGTAAAACTGAACTAAACACTAATTCAAGAAAAGTGAGGTGAAAGGAAAGGTCAAGGTCAAAAAATGTAGATGCAGTTGAATAGTTCTTATCAGTATGTATCAATATATGAAGTTTGATAAAAATATCTTGAATGATTTCTTAAGAACAGAGCTAAACACTCATTTAAGGAAACTGAGTTCAAGGTCAAAGGAAAGGTCAAAAATGGCGATGCGGTTGGACAGCTCTCTTCAATATGTATCAACATATGAAGTTTGATAACAGTATCTTGAGTAGTATCTGTAAAACTGAGCTAAACACCAATTTAATGCCCTGTTCACATGGAGAGTTTAATTCGAATTAAACGTAAAGTTACTGCGAATTAGCTTCGCTTAGCGTTCACACAGAGAAATTAATGCGAATTAGTTTACTGCGCATTAAATTACTTCGAATTAGCTCCGTGTGAATGCTAAGTGAAGTTAATTCGAATTAAATTCTGACGCATGCGTAATGGCAAAATTTAGTCAAATACCACTTGTCGATGGTCAGCTATAGGTACTTGTGCTATTTTTGAGTGAAAAACTAAGGGGAAATTTTGTTAATCATTAAAATGTGTGTACAGACACTGTGACATTATGTCATGATCTGCTTCTGCATAAGGTGACGTGATTTGCAAATGACGTCATAATAGCCGTGCTGACGCCGGGCTGCAGAAGTAAAATTTTAATTCGCATTAGTTTACTTCGCATTAGCTGTCGTGTGAACGCAATTTAATTCGCATTAGTTTGATTCGCATTACTTTACTTCGCATTTATTTAATTTACTGCAAATTAAACTCTCCGTGTGAACAGGGCATAAGAAAAGTGAGGTCAAGGGGAAAGGAAAGGTCAAGGTCAAAAAATGTTGACGCAGTTGCATAGCTCTCATCAATATCTATCAGCATATGAAGTTTGATGAAAATGTCTTGGATAGTTTCTTTGAAACTGAGCTTTGAACTGAGCTAAACGCAAAGTGTGACGGAAGGACAGACGGAAGGACGGACATGACGAACACTATATGCCCCGGCCATATTCATGTAGTATCCTCTTTCATGTCCGTACCATTTAATTTACTCTCTTATCTCTCATTACAACTGGAGCATGCATCACCCTGGACATGCAGGTGTAAGTCCTACCAGGGGCTAAAGAATTTTTAAAGGAGTAAGACAAATACAGTGGTTTAGGTGAAATGGACCAGAGACTTTGGTAGATCAGTGGTTAGAGCACCTGACTAGTAAGTAATGCAAAGATCATGTGTTCAAATCCTAATCCAGCTATGTATTTTCTGATTTTTCTCCTTTCCAATTAAAATACTGTGAATTAGTCATATATAAGTGGTTCATCTCAGCTAAATAAAATTACGAGACTGGAAATGATGAACAGACATACATGTAATTAGCCATTTCAATCCAGCCAAAATAGCTGTGAGATTCAGGATGTCAGAATCTTAAAGACATAACTACTAACTAGTATTTTCTTTCCAGTCCCTTCCATATATTTATTTTTTGAAAATAAATCAATAGTTTAGGCTGTTGATATTTTTTATTGTTGATATTTTTTATCCAAGGAAATTAAAAACAGGGTTAAATAATGTTCCTTTTAATGTGAAATGGTCATTAAGGCGTCTCTTTGTAAGAAATTGTTTATTTTGTTTTTGTTTTTTTTTTTTTTTTTAAAAAGGCACACATGTACATGTAATTTTCATACATATGCATAACAAATATTTTACATGACTTTGGTCACATGAGGTGTGCATGTTTACAATTATATGAACTCTGACTCAATCAATAATTAACTAATTCCATTCACTCAGTGATAAGCCTCACTTCCATTAGAGAGGTCAAAGGGTGTGACTCCACCTGAAAAAAAAATCATTAGAGTTCAGGTCAGCTGACATACGGCTGCACATGCAACATTTTTTTTTTTTTTTTTTGGATAATTATGGCTTAAATAATCTAAAAAAAAAATTATTATCGTAGCACAAATTAACAGCTAATTAAAAAAATTACCATTGCGTCTTCCGAGTTCATTTCAGTTTCCTCCTCGTTTAAATCAACTTCAAATTTTCCTGACGTTCTCTCTGGAAATTACAGATGATTTAAGATGAATGAATAATGAATTGTCAGAATTATTTCAAATGTCAAACTTATATGAAAATTTGTCTTAAGTCTGGCTGTTCTTAGTTTAAAGTTTGGGCCTTGACAAGAAGAGTTAAAATAAAACAACATTTTTTTCAGATACATTTGAAAAAGACTTATCCCTGATGGCCTTTAATCTCCATCTTAAAATGTGTTTTATTACCTAATGAAAGTCATGTAGTGTTGTTAATACCTATAAAAACTTAGTTTTCCAGGATTAATGAAATAGAAAAACAAATGTAGTTTAATGACCAAACCTTTATTGAATCCTGGACTGATTTTCATTTCCACAATCTGTGAGGAGCTGTTAAAACTGAGTACTTCTGCCTCCTGTAATTTATCAAAATTCACAAATCGTATTTTTAAAATTTTATCAAATTCAACAAATCAAAAATCAGACAACAATGACCGTGTCCCACCTTGTAATCTCCCACTTCTGGAGTGTAATTTTCTGACATTTCAAGCATCTACAAAATAAAAAGTAAACAAGAAGTGAAATTTTTCTTCATGTTAAAATGTTTTTAAAGCTTAAAAAATAAAAACAAACATTAAATTTTGTTCTTTATCTAAAGCCACCCCCTACCCAACTGCTTTGAAAATTGCAGATTAAAATTAAGCTTCTGACTTATAAATGTTGGAAGGAAAATGTAGAGGTACAATTGTCAGATTTTACTATGAATGAAAATATTTGAATTAGTACCTAAAGAGGGGTTGATGGGGAAACACAAACATTTTTTTCAGTTTGAAAAAGAAATTGTTTCTTCAACTAAAGATATGGTAGATCTGTGTTTTGCTAGATTGACACTGTATTAATTAATTACCTTGAATGCTATCTTATCTCCTGGGTTAGGATTGCCCTGAAGTAATGGAAACTGCTGGTATTCCCTGCGTACTGGGATAGCGATGACGGGACTGGCATTAGTGAATGACCTCTCAGGATAGGTCACTGGTGCTGATTCATGTTCCACTTTACCATTACTCAGACTTGTGTTCTATTAATGAAAAAACTTCTTATTGAAATTAATATTTATCATCACTTCTGTTCACACTGTAAATTCTATTATTAAGGGGGGACCCATGTCCGAAAAGTCTTTGTGTGAAATTTTCAAAACTTTGACATTTCTTTCCTGACCACTTGATCTTAATTTTTAGGTATTAAAAACAATACCTTTATATGCTTATTTTTACACAGGAGCACGTGCAAAAACAGTGTGAAATGCTAAAAATAGATTGTTTTCATACGTTATTGTTCTACTCCAAATATGCGCTAAAAAGAACCAAAAATGTCAAATCACATTCGAAATCAACATGTATTTAATTTATATGACTTGTATCTTTAAAATGAAGGCAAATTCATTGTAATTCATCTCGCATAAAAAATTATACAGGAGCACAATGTAAGTATCACCCCGTTTTTCTTGTGGTATTTTTTACAATTCCGACATGCGTAACAGGTTATATCTTAAAAAGTCTTTGTGTGAAAATGTGGTAATTCATATTTTTTGAAAGAAATTACCCCTCTCTTTATTTTAACAAGGAAAAAAGTATACCTTTATGATAAAATAAACGAGAAATATAACGTTTTCTTTTATTTTCGTACTCTTTTGTCATAAATATTGACCTTTCTGCACTAAAAAAAAGGTAAGTTAGCACTGACAAACATCTGAATGTAAAACTATTTTGCAAAACACGTGTATTTTGTTTTGATAAGAAATAATTTAAACAGATATACTCTTTTTTTCTTCATTCTAATCATTCTGCCCCCCCCCCCCCTCCCCGTCAACAACCAACACCTAATAGGAATGACTTTATACAATAAAATCTACATACACTATAAATCAATAAGTAAATATAGGTACAAGTACATTTCTTTATTTTCCGTAGTTTTATCCAGAAAATACAATTAATGGTAATCATAAAATTAAACATATTTCCCTAATTTAAGCCGCTGTCTTTGCTGAATTTTATCTTATATTTTTTGCATTTTTATATCAGCATATCCGGATCATAGAGGTATTTCTTCACAACTGAAATTGCTATGAATTATCAACCAAAGGAAGAGAATTCTGATATTATCAAACTCCATAAATCAAATAAAACTGTTTTAAATGATGAAAAAAATTTCTTTTTGAAAATGTGTACGTTTTTGATTAATAACAATGTTATGCCTATAATCACAGTTGCAAAAGTCAGCGGGAAAAAAAACAAACGTCGCTATTGTGACGTCACATAACGCTGCTTTGACGTCGAACGACATAGGTCCCCCCTTAAGAGAAATTCCTATTTAATCAACGTAACATTCATTATCACTTTTGTTCACACTGTAGGTACAATCTATGTACATGTATTTACAAGTAACTCCAGACCATCCCCATTCATTAATGACCATATTTCTCTAAGCTATCCTCCAACTAAATATATCAAATAACTTTGAGCTCTGTTGGTTGAAAAGTACTAAAATAAACCAATCAAACATAATTTAAACCTCTTTCATACCTGTAGAACAAAGGACCTGTTAGTAAGTTTTGTTGACAACTGCTGTTCTTTTGTCAGCTCTCTAAAACTGTTGTTTTTGATTTGTCGACTTCTGGGTCGAGAAAACACTGCCACACCATTGGCTAGAACAGACTGTGTCACAGCGGGCCTGTCTGAGGGACTCTCACTGTATGACAGATCTACAGTTTGTTCCCTTTGTCTGTGATACACCGGGGTGCTGGTTTTGAGGGACTCCTCCTCCTGCTGTAGAGCGTCTTGCTGGATCCTCGAGGAGTCAAATGTTGAACATGACTCCTCTTCCTCGTTATCTGATGTAAACTTGATGTGCATGTTACTGGTCAGATCTACATGCTGTCTGAGAGGTTTGACATTGATTGGCTTGTTGCTGACAGTAACAGCAGGTGCTGCCTCTTCTCGTTGCCTTTTACGTTTTCTCGTTCGCTTTTTCTTGTCTGATTTGACAGTATCCTCTGTCTGATTTGTATCTCTATTTGGTGTCATATCCTCATCTCCCAGAGTTTCATGCTTTTCTGTTGATAATTTTTGCTTCTTTTTTGTCTGATTTTCTTCATCATCTGATATGTACATGACTACTTCTACATCATCTTTCTCTGTTTCTTTACTTCGAATTGAAGCTGATTCTTTTTTGCTCTTTTTCTTTTTTCCTAAATCCTTATCTTTATTGTAAATTTCTGTATACTCTTCTGGTATTGTTAACCTAAAAATTATATGTTTACCTTAATATTAATAGATACATGTACATACACTTTTTTCTACAAACAAATAATTTTAAGAAAAACTTCTTCAATTCTCTCTTTCACAAAATGTCAACTAGCTGACACTAAATTTCATGTATAGATTTAACTTGGACACATTATTCTTTAGGCCATAGGAAGTTATGATATAGAATTAAATTTACAAAATAATAATATTGCAAATAAACAGTAATCATGTCTTATGTTTAACAGTGACACCATTGGTTCGAAGGTTGTATTTTATTCAGAAAACCTTTAAATAGCTTAGGCCTAAAATAAAATATTATTTGTTTGCAGTTGCCTACCGACCCACTGAAAATGCACCCGACCCAAATTTTTTTTTTAGCCATTTTGTAATATTATTTTTTTTTCAGATTTTTCAGGATATTGAAAGTGTTTTATTGTAAATTTTTGTCTTTATCAATCAGTAGTTTATACAAAGAGTGGAGCTTATTCATGTATAGTAGGCCTATGAAAAACTTTATTTTATGTTATCTAACAAAAATCTGAAAATAATTTTTTTTTTCTTGAAATAAAAAAAGAAAAAAGAATGTCTACCTACCTACCCAGTCTAAAAATTATAGGTCGGCAACTGCAAACAAAGAATTTTTTAAGCTTGGCCTTATACTTTAAACTTTGACCTGCCTCTTCAAACTACGAACTGCACGAGATTAAAGTTTATGCTCTCTACACCTACTAAATCTTAATACAGGCTAACTAAGGCACTGTTAATTCTCCATTATCACATTAATCCTGGTGGTGAAGGAATTCTGGGAAGTCCGCCATTAGCAAGTATGTTTACCAAAAATATGTGACAGTCCTGGTGCTATCCTAAGAATCTTTATCATGTCTTGTATTTCATTCTAAAGTAAAATTAATATTAATTATACCATATTTGGGCATATGATTTGTTAAGTTTTAAAGATCTTTAAAAGCAAATTAGGCAAATAAGAGGTTAATGATGGACAGTCAGCAAAATCGTGGCAATATGGCCAACCAAGAGTCACATGTTGTAATTCCGGATTTCTCCTTTGTTATTGCATTACATAAACAAACTTACTTAAAAAAATATCCTGAATACTTTGTTAATATTAATTTAAAAAATTACTATTTAATCCCTGATAATTTTAAAGTTTTACGTGATTTAAGTTGCACGAGATTTGAAAAATTAAACAATAGCCTGAATAGGGAACGCGATATCGCTCAAGACTTCGAACAGTTGCGAATCCCTGTTATTTATGTCTCTGCATCGACCATGCCATTAACTATGCATTAGCTTAGCTGTGCTAAGGCATAGCTGAAGCTCATAGGTTGGTCAATCGAGTGATTTCTATTTTATAAAATTGCATGCACACTTCTGCCCTCACGGTGACACCATAAAACATGTAACAAATGTCATTTATAATTATGCCACGGGAAATCAACAAACCTATTAGAAACCTCGGAAACATGTGTTATGTCTTTGAAAGAAAGATGTACAGTGTCATCTTCACGAAATATGGACGATTTTTCCCACTCAGGGACTGTGCAGCCATTGATGAGGATGGATACAGACCCGTCCCTCTGGGGCACGAACTTCCGCCTAACGTAGGCAAGAAAATCTTTTACTTTTGGACACTTTCTTTTCTTTACCAAAACCCAAGAGCATGGCAGTGGTAGATTGTCAAAGAAAAGTTTTACACGAACAGACACTTCTTCCATGGACGCAGACATCTTGTTTTCTTTTTTTAATCTTCATCACAAAAGAGTTAGGCCAAAATATTCGAAATCTTAAATGCGTTTGCCTGAGTGTTTATACTGTGATTAATACGAGAAAAAAAATAAAACCGATGAAATAATGAACTAATTCTAGGATTAAATCTTGGATAATTATTAAACTTAAGGAAAATATAATGTGATCGGGATCGGGCTTCAGGAAAAAACAGAACAACACGTTTTTACGCCACTTTTAGAAGATTTGTTGAAATAATGTAGTTTCACTCAAAAGAACTCTTGGTTTTTGTCGTATCAGTGGTGGATAACAAAATGTATGTTTTTAAAGGTGTTTTAAGTATAAATTTGCTTCAATTATTAGAAGTCAACACAAATATGTTGTTTAATACGCATGAATATGGATATTTATGTCATATGGATTGTGTAATCAGGTCCAGCACAATACCCTGATAAAGATATTTACAGTAGAACTCGTTTAGTACGAACACGGTTATAGCGAATTCACGGTTAAAGCGAAGTTTTTATGTGTCCCCGGCAAAATTCTTAACAAATCTTTGTAAAATTTTACCGTTATAACGAACTCTGATATAACGAATTTACTGATATAGCGAACTAAATTTGAGTTCTGTTGAGGTTAAATATAATATTTGGTAGAAATACTTTAAGGAAACATGCATATTGCGAATTTGCTATAAATGGTTATACAAATTCGTTACACGGATATAGAATTCGGATATGAATTACGGATATAGCGAATTAAATTCACAAGTCCCTAGGACTTAGCTATAACCAAGTTTTACTGTAGCTTGATAAAGCTATAAAGCTTTATCAAGGTATTACAAATACCTTGATTAAGGTATTTTATGTAATGAAAATTCAAAAAAATTCTTAAAAACTTAATTACTTAAAGTCGATTTCCGAGTTGTTGTCAGTATATTCATCCATGCAATTTAAGTGCTCAAACACAAAGAAATCGGTATAAAAGCATGTTGTGTGAGGAGACGTTCTTTTATGCTGTCTTTTTGATACCAGAGTGCTTTTCATGCATGAGTGGACACACTGACAACAACTCAGAACTCGACTTTCAGTAATTAATTTTTTAAGAATTTTTTTGAATTTTCATTACACAAAATACCTTGATCAAGGTATTTGTAATACCTTGATAAAGCTATATAGCTTTATCATATAGCTTTATCAAGCTATATACCTTTATCAGGGTATTGTGCTGGACCTGGTAATAGCACCAAGTCCTGAAATAAAACGATGAAAGTAATGCTATTTTTATTACATATTTTTACAGATTTTTAAAGAATGTCTAAGAAGGAAAAGTCTGGAAGATTCAATTTGAAGGCATTGTTAGATCAGTATAAACAGGTATGGGCGATTAATTAGAGTATGTAAAATATTGTCAGAATAATTAATCTAGTAGATGGTTTGCAATGAATGCTAAGGGTGAAACAGTCAGTCTGTGCAAAAGTTTTTTTGGATCATAGAGGAAATTTTGTCTCGTGCACTTGAAAAATACACAGGACCATTTACCATTTTTTTTGTCTATCCCAAAAACTTAATGTAAGGACCTTTACTAGCATTCATTAAGCTAAATATACCTTGTTTCTGCCACTTTCAAAAATAAGGGCAAAAAATCCCTATAATTTAACTTTCACTGTCTGTTTTGTTAATTTCAGGGTTCACACAAACGCTACGATGAATTTGTCAACATTTTATCAGATCCACAAACAAAGGTATGGGTTAATGTTTCTTCTTTATATTTAAACACGAAGTGCTACAAAAATTTAAAAATATACGCTTCTTTTCTGTTAGCATATATGACAGATCTGCTTATTTGTTTGTAGTCTGAGGACCTGAGAGTTTACTTAAGAGGCATTAAAGAGAATGTGACAGAACTGAACAAGGAGTTTGAGGATTTAGTGGGAGTTCTTTTGGTATGTATCTTTATGGGATTTACAATTTATTCTTAAGAAGATGAACAAGGCAGGGATTTTTTACCCTTTGATTCCAGGGGCCGGGGCTGTCAAGATTGGGAAAAATTGCGATATTTGGTTGAAATTGGGGAAAAATATCTTCATACTAATAAAAAGAAAAAAACAAGCAAAAGTCAACTCTTTAATTTTTTTTCTTATCTTTTATTATATGAAACTGGCTTCAATCACCTTTACTGATATAAAATGAAATAATAGTGGCTGTTGAAGTTCAGAAGCTTAAAAGTGGCAAAGCCGCCGAGTCTGATAAAATTGTACATGAACGTATTTATACATTATCTTTTTGTACGTTTCTTTAAGAAGTTTGTTAAAATAAAATTTCATCGTAGGTTTGTTCCTGATGAGTGATTAATTGGTACTAATTGACCAGTTTATAAGAATAAGACTCAAGAGCGATTCAACCCAGCCTGAAAATTACCGTCTTAGGCAAGCTGGAGAGACTGCCATGATGCACATTAATTTATTAAATAACGATCCCGACTTTTTAAACATTTATCCCGCTTTAAAAACATCCGTAGTATTCCAAATGACTTCTCGAATGGCTCGTACATGGCACATAGGGAACAAAACACTTGTTTTTCTTTATTTTATTTTAATAATTTACAACTTAATACTTTTTTCATATTGGGAATTTTTAGGTATAATTTTGGGAAAAAAATGAACTTTTCAGCATTGGGAATGAAGCCAAATTTCGGCCCCAGAGAGACCCTAAAAAATCCCTGCAAGGTCAGAATTAAAATTGAAAAATGACTTATGTTAGTTGATTTTCTCTTTGTTTAGAAATTAGACTGGCCATGTAGAGAGCTGTCAGTGGTGAGGGAATATCAGTCTCTCCTGGTGGGACTCATCTGTGTCCACTCCTACTACCTCCGGGCCAGTATCCGCACACTCATCAAGTACTTCACTCCTCCCATAAACAGTAAGTACTTCACTCCTCCCATAAACAGTAAGTACCTCACTCCTCCCATAAACAGTAAGTACTTCACTCCTCCATTAAACAGTAAGTACTTCACTCCTCCCATAAACAGTAAGTACTTCACTCCTCCCATAAACAGTAAGTACTTCACTCCTCCCATAAACAGTAAGTACTTCACTCCTCCCATAAACAGTAAGTACTTCACTCCTCCCATAAACAGTAAGTACTTCACTCCTCCCATAAACAGTAAGTACTTCACTCCTCCCATAAACAGTAAGTACTTCACTCCTCCCATAAACAGTAAGTACTTCACTCCTCCCATAAACAGTAAGTACTTCACTCCTCCATTAAACAGTAAGTACTTCACTCCTCCCATAAACAGTAAGTACTTCACTCCTCCATTAAACAGTAAGTACTTCACTCCTCCCATAAACAGTAAGTACTTCACTCCTCCCATAAACAGTAAGTACTTCACTCCTCCCATAAACAGTAAGTACTTCACTCCTCCCATAAACAGTAAGTACTTCACTCCTCCCATAAACAGTAAGTACTTCACTCCTCCCATAAACAGTAAGTACTTCACTCCTCCCATAAACAGTAAGTACTTCACTCCTCCCATAAACAGTAAGTACTTCACTCCTCCATTAAACAGTAAGTACTTCACTCCTCCATTAAACAGTAAGTACTTCACTCCTCCCATAAACAGTAAGTACTTCACTCCTCCCATAAACAGCAAGTACTAGACTCCTCCCATAAACAGTAAGTACTTCACTCCTCCCATAAACAGTAAGTACTTCACTCCTCCCATAAACAGTAAGTACTTCACTCCTCCCATAAACAGTAAGTACTTCACTCCTCCCATAAACAGTAAGTACTTCACTCCTCCCATAAACAGTAAGTACTTCCTCCCATAAACAGTAAGTACTTCACTCCTCCCATAAACAGTAAGTACTTCACTCCTCCATTAAACATTAAGTACTTCACTCCTCCCATAAACAGTAAGTACTTCACTCCTCCCATATACAGTAAGTACTTCACTCCTCCCATAAACAGTAAGTACTTCACTCCTCCATTAAACAGTAAGTACTTCACTCCTCCCATAAACAGTAAGTACATCACTCCTCCCATAAACAGTAAGTACTTCACTCCTCCCATAAACAGTAAGTACCTCACTCCTCCCATAAACAGTAAGTACTTCACTCCTCCCATAAACAGTAAGTACTTCACTCCTCCCATAAACAGTAAGTACTTCACTCCTCCCATAAACAGTAAGTACTTCACTCCTCCCATAAACAGTAAGTACTTCACTCCTCCCATAAACGTAAGTACTTCACTCCTCCATTAAACAGTAAGTACTTCACTCCTCCCATAAACAGTAAGTACCTCACTCCTCCCATAAACAGTAAGTACCTCACTCCTCCCATAAACAGTAAGTACTTCACTCCTCCCATAAACAGTAAGTACTTCACTCCTCCATTAAACAGTAAGCACTTCACTCCTCCCATAAACAGTAAGTACTTCACTCCTCCCATAAACAGTAAGTACTTCACTCCTCCCTTAAACAGTAAGTACTTCACTCCTCCCATAAACAGTAAGTACTTCACTCCTCCCATAAACAGTAAGTACTTCACTCCTCCCATAAACAGTAAGTACTTCACTCCTCCCATAAACAGTAAGTACCTCACTCCTCCCATAAACAGTAAGTACTTCACTCCTCCCATAAACAGTAAGTACTTCACTCCTCCCATAAACAGTAAGTACTTCACTCCTCCCATAAACAGTAAGTACTTCCCTCCTCCCATAAACAGTAAGTACCTCACTCCTCCCATAAACAGTAAGTAAGTACTTCACTCCTCCCATAAACAGTAAGCACTTCACTCCTCCCATAAACAGTAAGTACTTCACTCCTCCATTAAACAGTAAGTACTTCACTCCTCCATTGAACAGTAAGTACTTCACTCCTCCCATAAACAGTAAGTACTTCACTCCTCCCATAAACAGTAAGTACTTCACTCCTCCCATAAACAGTAAGTACCTCACTCCTCCCATAAACAGTAATACTTCACTCCTCCCATAAACAGTAAGTACTTCACTCCTCCCATAAACAGTAAGTACTTCACTCCTCCCATAAACAGTAAGTACCTCACTCCTCCCATAAACAGTAAGTACTTCACTCCTCCCATAAACAGTAAGTACTTCACTCCTCCCATAAACAGTAAGTACTTCACTCCTCCCATAAACAGTAAGTACTTCCCTCCTCCCATAAACAGTAAGTACCTCACTCCTCCCATAAACAGTAATACTTCACTCCTCCCATAAACAGTAAGTACTTCACTCCTCCCATAAACAGTAAGCACTTCACTCCTCCCATAAACAGTAAGTACTTCACTCCTCCATTAAACAGTAAGTACTTCACTCCTCCATTGAACAGTAAGTACTTCACTCCTCCCATAAACAGTAAGTACTTCACTCCTCCCATAAACAGTAAGTACTTCACTCCTCCCATAAACAGTAAGTACCTCACTCCTCCCATAAACAGTAATACTTCACTCCTCCCATAAACAGTAAGTACTTCACTCCTCCCATAAACAGTAAGCACTTCACTCCTCCCATAAACAGTAAGTACTTCACTCCTCCATTAAACAGTAAGTACTTCACTCCTCCATTGAACAGTAAGTACTTCACTCCTCCCATAAACAATAAGTAACTAGTTTTTGCATGTTTGTCAAGTTTTTTGCTTGTCCCATAAATAGTATGATGCAGTTAATGCATAGAAATGTTTTTAATATCCAGTTTGAGATGAATGTTTTTGTAAATAAACTTCAATGATTCATTCAAACATGAAGCAGGTAATCTTATTTACTAGCATATGTTCATTTTTAATTTTTGCTAATGTGATAGCATCTTGCATCTTGAAAGACAATCTAGAATTATTTCTAAGTTTTAATAACAGTTTGATAACATACTGATTATTTCTTGTGCTCTGTACTCCTGCTGTATGTAAAACAGAGTGTGACATTGGATTTATTTCAGAGTCAGTCCCAGAAACAGAAGTGAGTTTAGAGATGCGACAAACAAATGAGGCAGTATTTCTCAATGTACACATGGTACTCAAAGCCATCCTGGATTCTGTCCCTATGTAAGTAGTACTAGGACAAGGATTGGTTTTAGAAGTGCATTATTATTTTATCTCACGAAGCCATTGATGGTTAAATCATTAGTAGAGAAGTACAATAATAGAGATGTCAGTAAGCAAAAATGTTTTGCCATTTAAGAGTCATTCACATAAGATAAGCATGTAGGTATTATGTTAACGAGATGCTGTGGATAAAAATCAATGCAGTTGAAAATTTCCTTTCCAGGTCATCGACAGTATTATTACCCCTACTACACGACTTGTTTCCGTTCCTTGGGAAGGGTGCGTACATACAGGAATGCTATGTCAGAAACCTCCTACAGATTACCACTTACCTCCCCACTGCCAGACAGAGGATCCTGGAACTGGTCATAGACAGGATGCTTAAATTAGATGTAAGTATGTCAAGGTCAAAGTATACACAAGTGTTGTGATAATTAAATGACAATTCAATGTGAACTAGTGAGAAGAAATTCTGTTTCTTGTAGTTGATATGGGTACTATAAACCAACATTTATTCGCGTGCGAGAAATTTTCGCGATGTTCGCGAGAGGTCCGTTATCGCGAATTTTTCTCGCCGCGAACCGGTCCTTAAGGTCTATGTTCCTATTAACAACAGACCCAAAATAGACTTGATCGCGAAAATTAATCGTCGCGGACTAGTTTATCCCCGGTAATTCGCGAAATAAAGTCATCGCGAATAAAAGTTGGTTTACAGTATTTATGGTTTGTAATTTTAGGTTCGAGCCCCACGGCAAGACATACAGGAAACTGAGGGGGACGAAGAGGACATGGAGGAAGGCATCGTGTTTGATATGGTAAGTGTCAAGGTCATAGGTCAAGGAATTAGAAAAATAGGGTCATAATTCGACAAAGATAAAATCAGAGATTTATCTTAATCTTTTCAATTCACATTTAATCTTTTTCAGGATTTTGAACAAGACTTAACCAAAGATCTGAACAGTAAAGATTTTGATAGGAAATGTTCAGATAAACCTATGACACACAGAGAAGCCAATATACTGGATGTGTGCATGGAGATGACCTTGACCTATATATCCAATGTCTGCTATACTAATGGTAAGTAAATGCTGATGAGTAGCAAGTATTGGTATCATACATATCGATTTAAAAGTAATTTTTGTGTTTATAGGATGATAAGAGTTACAGTTAATATTAAATTCTGATAAATGATTAAATTTCTAAAGCTTTGAATCATGTTTATTTTTATACATTTAATGGTGATTCACTGGGATGAACTCTTCAGTGCTGTGATTGGAGTGAATCTGTTTTACAGGCGTGTGTAACTGGGAGGCCACTAAGAAGCTGTACCGGGAGATCTTACTGGTGTTTGATCGCCTCATCCTCCCGACGCACGCCTCCTGTCACGTCCAGTTCATCATGTTCTATCTCTGTAGCACCAAACTGGTCAGTAATATAAATAGTCCCATTTTCCTCTAACCAACAGTGATTTCAGAATTTGGTATGTTGTGTGATGTAATATTTACCTGGAAGTGTATGAAAAGGCAATGAAGCCACTGCACTAAAGCAGTTGTTTATTTTGTTTTCTGCATTTGTGAAATACATTCATTTTAAACTCAGATACCCAGTAAGTACAAAAAGACTGCCATAGGCTCATGGTTTTGATAGGCTTCACCATAGAAAAAGGGCTTATGACCTGAACACAACGCGCTTTCCCACCTACCACTTTAAGTAAAAGTATCTACGACTTTCTACAAAATCCATCTTTTATATGATTTTTAGTTTTTTTTAAAACTAAGTACCGTAATTTTCGGATAATAGGTTGATGGGGTATATAGGTCGAAAGGCTCATTTTCAGCCTTAATTTTTGAAAAATCCTAAGATAGGACAAACTTACTATATAGGACGAGGCTTTGTTTCCCGTTTTCTGAAGATTCTTACGCAGATACAACGTATCAGAACAGGTCAACCTCTAAAATTACCTGGGTAATTCCGTGACATGAACGTATCAAGAAAATAAACGGGTATTTTAATGAGTACAGCATTTAAATAAAGTTTTTTAAAAAATGTAGTTAAAACTTCTTTGAATTGTGTTACTACTTATTTTTCTCCAACTTGCCTGTTCAATGCCTCCGTAGTTTCATACTGTTGTTAAACCACAGGCATAAATAACACGTAAATACGTTCTTATTTTACAGCTATAATTCGGGAAATATCCGAGATAAAAGAATGATTCTGATTTCAGAACAACTTGGACACATTCCTAATATATTTTATTCAGACATTATTTACTGGTGGACGACAATTGCTTCGATGTCCGCCATTTTCATTTTTGTTCTTCAGGGATTTGCTAAAACCCGCAAACGACCATTGAATGTATATATAACAGTAAAGAATTGAAATAATATTACCACGCTATAAGTTTAATTTATAAATTTAATTGAGAGTACCGGTACATTCACAATTGGACAGTCATTATGAATTTCATGGCTTTGTTTGTTCAATGATGTGTAACACATATACCCTATTACGGCACCTGGATTTGCTAATCATACCCTGCGGGTATTAAACCAACACAGGTGTTAAAACCTTTGTGTGTACACACAGTGTAAATCCTTTTATCTGTCAGACAATTAAAATTCTGTTAGAAGCCAATCTTTATATAGCGGTAATCGTGATCTTGAAAAATTTTCCGTATTTTAAATTTTGATACGGTTGCGGTTTTACTTTTAGTAAACGGTAGCGACTTCCTAACTTCACAAGATGGCTACCGCATGATGGATAACACGTTGAGGAATGGTATTATTTACTTGATGAAGCACAGTTTTTTCCTTTGTTATCAACGGATATTTAATGGAATTTATTTTGTAAGAAAGCTATAGAATAAATATTTTATTGTTTACCTGGGCATTAATTTTTTCTGCGTAAAATAATGAAAAAAGTTATGAAAGTGGCACAGATTTGCTTTGAAATTGACGTAAATTTTATTGATTTTGGGGCATTTTTCGTAAACTTGAGCCTTAAAAAGGTCAAATTCGTATATTGGGCGACCCAAGCGACCCCAGAAAAAAAGTATCGACCTATTATCCGAAAATTACGGTACATAAAAACTAAACACTCATACAAAGAATTATAACCGTTAGTATTTTTCTCTTTTTACAATTATTTATTGTTCAAATCAAAATACCTTGCTTTAAATATGATTTATTTGATAGCTCATAAAAATTAATTTTGTCTGCTGCCGCTGCCAAAAAGGATTGCTAATCCTTGATTTTATAGAACATGTTAGATATACAGCTAGTTTATTGTAACATGTATTAAATGTATTTCACCAATCTATTCCTTTTATAGACTACTGGATGGCAAGAGAGACTTTAGAACGGGTGGCACAGATGAGTGTGTTGAGGGCCTCCCTGTGATTAGCACAAGAACCTCCTCTCCAGGGCCATGTTTGTACCTCTCAGGTATCATCCATGGCTCACTTAGTTACTGAACAGATTCTGTATACTGTGGATTCTTTACATGTATAATGGTGGATTTAATTTTTAATTTCTCTTATTTTCCACACTGCAAAATAAAATTACTTGCCTTTATTTTTATGGTGCTGAAACCTATGTAAATTCTCTTGATCAGCTGTCCAAGCGTTATTATTCCACTCCATTTGCTGTTGAAGAGTTGAAAGCAATGGCTGACACAGTACTTTCCTTCCAAAATAAGGAATCTACAGTACCTAAAACATATATTCATTTTCTTTCGTGTGTTGGAAATTTTGCAAAAAAAGTTTAGAAAAGTTTTTATTTTGGTGTCCATTTTTTACAACTTCTAAAATTAAAATTTTGTTATGTTTTTATGTCACATAATAGCCGACATAATTTTTGGGTGTTATATATTTTGGGAATTAAAATTGATTGCAAAGAAAGTGAAAAATAGATCATCGCCAAAACAAAAACCAATATAGTTGCATGTTGTCAACATATTTGGATCAAGTGTTTATAAAAATTTTGAATTACAAATAGAGCAAATATGATACATCACTGATATCAATAACAAATAAACAAATAACTAATCAAAGATATATTTTGTTTTTCCCTTGGATGTCTGTCATTTTTTAAAAACTTTTTTTAAACCTTTAAAATTTAAATGGTTAATGCTAGGCCTTTTATATTTCAGTCATATATTCCTTGCGACAAGGTCTTTCTATGGGAATCTACATTTTTACGTCATTATGTTTACTTTGACCTACTTTTGAAAAACTTGAAGTAACATTAATCGTGGCTTTAACTTTAGTTTGAATGGTTGGTTGTAGAGGTCTTGTATTTCACATATTTATGAATACCTCTTGTTTAATTCACCATTTTACTCTGTTTGTTTTCAGTACAGTAACAGCTTGTCTAGACCTTATGTGTGAATGGGTACACCTGTACTTGGACAATACTAGTGAGGAGATTGTTAACGCGGACGTCAGTCATCACGGACCATTCTACTCTGTCTGTCAGGCTGTCTTTTATGTGTTCGTCTTCAGAAACAAGGAAATCTTTGAAATGAAGAAAGGTAACTTTGAAAGGATTGTTTACACCTAGGGCTTTTTTCTTTGCTCAAATTTGAAGGTTTATCAGAAATTCAAATCATTTTGTTCCTTAAAGGTACAACTCAAATATTTAAACAATAAAATGCTTTCTTTGTTTGTTATTCCAACTGAATAATACTGGCCTCAAGCAGCTGCGAATTAATTGAAGAAATAACAAAAATTATTTGAAGAAATTTTATTTATATTTATATCTGTTTAAATTATCATTTTAAGTAGGATTAAAAATATTAATTATTGTGTTAATGATGCAAACGTCTTTGTACGTTTCATTGATGGAACGGCCACTGATCAAGAAATCTGTACAGGTGATATGCCTAATGTAGTTCATGCAGTGATGAACGCAATGGGTTTTCTTAAGAAATAAAGAAGAAAATATTCAGTGGATGTAAATATATAAAGATAAAATCATCTGGCAGTATTTTAATATGTGGTTGATCGACTCATAGATGGAAGTGGGTCATAGAATGAATCAGTCACATGAGGAGGGCATGAAGGTTGATATTTCACTAAGAACAAATTTGTTTGCTATTTGTGATTGTTTATTATTTTGATTTCAGGACATAATTGGGCAGAGAGTCTGAATTTGCAGCGAATCGTCACTTGTCGTTTAAATCCCCTCAGGGTGTGCCTGCCAGTAATTGTCAAAATGTTCTCTTCTATTTCAAGGTATTTCAAAATCTCTTTATTATTTCAAGTCCTAATTTTGATTTGCTCAGTAGAAACAGACTGCTCTTGCCTAGTGAAAGAAATTAATTTGTCTTCTTTAACTGTGACAGTAACTCTAATGGTTTGTAACTTTTGATGCCTAGACCACCACTGTATGTGAAGAAGTATTGAAATACAGTGTACATGTATTTCAATTAAACCTTTATTAAGTATCACTTTTTTTCAGGATGCATCAGCTGGCTTTTTGTGATACGATTATTGAGCGTAACAAGCGCTGTATATTACCGGTGACCAGTAATGGTGTAGGAACCTCGTCTGTTCTTACTGAGCTGGACTCATATTTCCCGTTTGACCCCTATCTTTTAAATAGGTAAAATATCAATTGTTAGCACTGTATAATAAAGTTCTGACTTGCAATAAATTTCTTAAGAAGGAAAAATTTTTATTCAAAATTTGAAGACATAAAACAAATCATAAAAAATGATTTTATAGAATTTCCTTTAAATGTTTATAAAATGTATATACCTTTCTATCGCAGATTTCATGAAGCTGTATTTATTATTTACTAAACTCTACTATAACATCACTTTTTAGATAAGTTTGTTTGCGATATAACTGTGATTTTCTGTGATTGTAGGTCTGGTCGCTTCATCATTCCTCTGTACAGAGAATTCAAAGGTTCAATTGAAGAGGACCAAGAGCTTTCTGAGGTAAGTCACCATACTTCTTAAAAATGAAATGTTCTTTTATATTTGTCAAAATTTTGTACAAAAGAAAAAAACCCAATGATATTCAGAAATCTTAGTTTTAGAATCTATAGCATTTTGTTTAAATTTATGATATTCTAATGTAGATGATTTTGACATATTCCATTCATTTAAAAGCACTCTTACATTTTTAATCATGTGGTTCTAAGGCCTAAGGTTATGTGTTTATTTCATTGTTAACCATTTTCAACAAAAGCGAATGCTTCTTTGAATTTCCATTTGACAGTATATTGAATAGGGTTATACTTTCAAAACAACATAAAATTAATACCCATGAAAACTTTTTAGATGACAAATCAATAAAAAAATTAATTCCCCACAAAAAATTGTGTTTCTACAGCTATTTAGTTGTACTTTGTTGATGAATTTATTTCCAGGGTGAAGATGATTTTCTGCAGGAGGAACAACCGTCTCCCGTGTCTGAATCAGTACCCCAAAGTATGTCTCTGGGTAAAACTCCCAAAGACTTCCTTCATTATGGCATTTCTCCAGGCTTCAAGCATATCCAGGACATCACCTGAACGTTTGATTGATTGATATTTCAGTGTGCAATACTACATGTCATTAAATGACACAGATTGAAATAGACTTCTTCAGGTCGCCATTGTTAGGCTGATGTTATTTCCATTGTTGAGTTGAAAATGTGGTTGTCATGACTAGAAGTCATTTCATAATGCTTCAACATTATAAAGTAATCGAAGTACTGTTTCTAATTGAGTATTTCTCTTTACTATTGTTGTATGCCTGTAAAGTATAAATATACATGTAGTCGGTTAGGGATTTTTTTTCATTGAGTTGAACATTTGCTTGTTATGACAGTCGAAGTCCTGATTATACTTCAGTGTTTAGAAAGATGTTACTGTTGAGTTTTTCTGTTCTCTTTACTCATGTGTTCCTTTGCCTGGTCATTCCTGTAAGGTCATTCCTGTAAGAACTACATCATAGTAGTACTCCCTACATTTCAAGAATTACCCCTCTAAGAATACACTACATTATTTTCACTTATCACGTAATGTAGAATTAATTTTTTGGTGTCAGATTTTCATGATTTTTAGGGACTTGATTTCATAGCGTAAAGAAGAGGTACATGTATAATAAAGTAGTATAGAATGCTACCATGTTTTGGAGAAAATGAATTCATGTATCACAAAAACAGCAAAAATTACATTCCTCACCCTACCCACTTCAAATTATAAAAGATAATGTTTACACAGTATTCATTTTCATGAATTTTAGGGATTGATTTGTTTACATTGGTACTTGAAGTTTAATTCAATATTAATATCATGTTACATATAATTTAACATATTTATTAACATACATGTATTTATTTTGCCACATATTGTCAGTGATGAAAAGAAAAATATGAGAAATGCAAAGATTTTTTAAGAAGGTAGTCATCTATATTTTGGTATTTTCCTCAAAGTCTTGGATACCCATAACTGTTTTTGTTAGAAATAAAAAATATTGCTGGATAATATTTTGTTGTTTATTTGATTATCAGGTATGAAAACTGAAGTACATGTACATGTTTAAAGGATTTAAAAGATTGGTTGTATTTCATCAAACTTTTTTGTCCCCTGCTTTCATTGAAAGTTGGGGATGATATTGGGTGCGTTCACAATTCTCCCATTGGTTGATATTGGTGGTGTAATTTACCAATGGCAAAACATTATACCAATGTTTACTTTTAACTTTTATTGGTTACCAATTCTGCAGGCCAACCACATCTATGGCAGATTGGTAACCCAGATTTTTTCGTTTAATAGAGTCACCCTTAAGATGGCTACCTGGACCATTCCTGGTAGCATGAGTGAAGTTTCCTCACTAGTAATAACACTTCATATGAATTCTACTACAATTTAAGGGAAAATATTGTTATCTCTACATAGTATTTGCAAATTTCAAACAAATGATCACTTGTTTTGGCAAAAGAATATCATCTGAAGACAAGTTTTCATATAAAAGTTTTGCCCATAAAAGTAATTTTATTTTGTTTAAGGAGTGCAATTAACAAACTTCTTTTTGAATTTCTTGTTTCTGAAAAATGATGAAAAACTCAACATTTGCCATTGGTAACCATTGATTACCATTGGTGACCATTAGTAACCAAGTGTTACCATTATTCACTTTTGACAACCATTGGTACAGTCTTTGGGTGCGTTCAGAGTACTGCCGTTGGCTAACAAAAGTTGCCGCTGGTAGAATTTCTCACCATTGGTATGCCAATGGTACCAAAGTTTGCCGAAAAAATTTACCATAGGTGGATTTTTCTGCATAACTAGATCTTTGTAAGCGATGGTAACTTTTTTAATGACGTCAAACAAAATGGCGGGTACTGATCAAGTCGGTCCTACTAAAAAAAACCCGAGAGATTTTGTTTAAATTGGCGGTATTTGGTAAATTCTAAAAATTTTATGCTTAATTTAATTCATACATCGTTTTCTATCTATAAAATTAATATTAACAAGATTATTCTATGAAAGTTTTCCCTCGGGGAAAAAGTTGAAAAAGTAACAAATTATTGTAATGTTTTTACCACACCTAATCACCTAAATACATGAACTAGAGATGTGTATATAGGCGCGAAACGTCTTTTTTAAATGTGGTTTTTTTGATGAAAGTTTCAGAATATTTATTTTAATAACTTCTAAGTGTATTTAATGTAAAATCAATATTTACCCCTATTAATTTAATTATTTTACATTTGACAATCCGGAGGACAAGTTAAGAAAAATTCTGTTGTGGAGAAGTACTTTAGTTTTTTTAAAAAGTATTTTTGAAAGTATTTTTTTTTTTTTGCTGCAAAATGATGCATCAAGCAAGAATAATACTCTTGGTTTTTCTTCTAAGAAATCTGTCAATGTTAACAATGGTATACACCAATGTCACAAATGGTACACCAATGGTGCCATAGTTAACATTGGGAAGTTTCCTACCAACTCTACCCAAAACTCGTTCAGAGTACATATGGGTCCGATGGTATCAACGGTAGAAATTGTTACCATTGGCAAAGAGGTGGTGGTACCATTGGAAATACTCTGGACGCACCCTTTGGTTGTTTTGTCATTGGTTTACCAATATGCTGTTCACAGTTTAAAGGCAACCAATTGTACCATTGTTCAACATTGGTGCCAAAGACAAGCCAATGGCAAATCGATATTTGTACCAATGGAAGAATTGTGAACGCACCCATTGTCTGTTACATTTTTGTTTCCAGGAGATATCTCATGCTTTTGAGCTCTTGCAATGAAATTTCACAAATCCCTCTGTCCCTATGAAGACCCTAATTCATTTTTAGGTCAATAGGTTAAAGATAAATAACATACTGTATTTATGAGGAACACTTAATTCAGTGTGATATCTTAAAAGTCTGAGCTTTTGCATCACAATTCATGCCCTAAAGAAGACCTCTGATTTTGAGGCCAAAGGTCATATAATCATACACTGAAACAGTTCCCAGATGATAAATTCAGTTTTCCTTTAGCTTTTTACAATGGAATTTAATACTGCAACTTTTGTTTACCTACAGACAACCCTTATTGATTTTTTGTCAAAGGTGAAGGTCAGAAATCCATACTCTTTGAACTCAGTTCAGATGTGACAAGCCTTGGAATTACTTTTGCATTACATAAGATACAGATCCATCTTGATACAACGTCTATTTTTATGTGCTTTGTTGTTCTGGCCTTCTCCAGTGCCACTGGACCATTCAGGAAACTTGGGAAATGCACACTTGGATGAAAGGGGTTTTGCACTTGAAGAGTCAAGCTTCTATCAAGTGGACATAATAAATATTTTTTGAATACTTTTAAAAATCTCGAGAACTGCAAGTAAAATATATCTCAATGATCTAAAAATCTGGGTCTTGTCCTTGAAAAATACTGCTATTGATTTCTCATTTATCAATCTACAATTTTGAAATTACTCTTCCTTGCAGTGCTCTCCTGTAAAATTGATCTGAATCTTTTTGACAGTTTTAGTGAGAACTTCACACAATTTAAACAGTAAAGTTGTAAGGGGAAAAGGGTGAGGGGTCACACTTATTAATTTCATTTTCAACATAAACACTGTTACAGTTGTTGATCAATCTCTTATCAGCATTCCAAAAACTTTAAAATTTCGTAACTTCTCATGGTCAGATAAACATTGGATATAAAAAAAAACCTTTATTATAACACTGATATCACAAGGTAAAAACTGACATAGACAATTGTCAAATATTCTTTTAATTTTCATGCATATAAATGGTGGAAATTTCTTATAAAAAAAACAAAATAAAAGATAACACAGCAAAGTTTCTAGGAAAAAAAATATTTGTATCCTAACAATATTTAAGATTCAGGGGGTATAAAGTTTTAAGTCTGTCTGACTGTCTGTTTGTCTTCAAAAAGTTTAATTTTGGCCTTAACTTTTAAACAGTTGATGTTAAGAATTTAGTTCATATTTCTTATATGCATTCCTTGTGAAAATTTCTTTCTTTGGTTCAAAAATTATTTTTAACCTTGGCAAAAACTTTAGGACGATTCGTGCCATTGCTTTCATATCTGACATTGTAATCTTTATGACAAGACCTTTTTTGTACCATGGATTATGACATACTTTTAATTTGTGAAACTGAGACTAAAACTTTCCAATGCTTGGTTCTATTAAAGGTTTACATATCTCACATGTACTGTATAAATACTGTATATTCCTTGTGACAAGAACTTTCTTCAGGTTCTTCAGGTTCTTACACGTTTGACCCCATGACCTTGATATTTGACCTGCTTATAAAAAAGCCATCATTGTCTTACAAACACATTTTGTTTTTCTTCAGTGAAAGACAGATGTGACCCTGGGTCCTATATACAAGTCTGCATTACTGCACTTTTCTGATACTTTATAGGTATTGTTTTTCACCATATGATCCCATGTACATGTACCAAACCTCAGTCAATTGAAATTGCAAAAACTATACACTGTTTTTTCTAATTAGTTTATACAGTGTATAAATTTTTAATTGTATGATGGCAAGTTTATTGTTGTGTTTTAAACTGGCAATACAAAAGTTCTAGGAGATAATGTACTGGTATTTACAGATGACGGGCATGTTGACTTACTGGTATATAATTAAACATGATTTTTATGATGAAAAATTCTACAGTTATTTTTAAATGATTGTCTTAAAGACTTAACATAAATAGTAACATTAAAACATAGGTAATCAGAGATTACAGAGCTCCCCTCAACGTGTGTTGTCTTTAAGTATGCCAAATTAAGTCACTCAATTAACCAACAAAAAGTGTACATCCAAAAATGCAAAATTTATGCAATTTTGATACTTTGGAATAGACCTATATAAAAACTAAAAACTAGTTCTTCATCATGAAAATGTAATTAAAATCCAGCATCTGAAGCAAGATTGAGAGTTTTCATCCCTTGATGCATCATTTAAGCAACTGGTTTATATAAGCCTTATAGTTTCTTGGTGATAGACTTGCACCCATAACTTTTACAAGGTCTATTATCTGGAAAATGTATGTCAATTCAGCATCTGAAGCAAGTCCATTTGTGTGCATCCTAAGATGTATCATCCATGTAAGTTTGGTCAACATAGGGCTTAAAGTTACTTGCAAATGAAACCTGTATAAAAAATTAACCTTTCCACTAATCCAGAAAATGTAGGTCAGATTCAGCATCCGAAGCAAGTCTGGTAGTATGCATCCTAAGATGTACCATCCATGCAATTTAGTCATTATACGGTTAGTACACTGTACCTTGAAAATAAAACTTTCACCAAAAACTTTAACCTGTTCACTCAACCGGAAAATGTAGGTCAGATTCAGCATCCGAAACAAGGCTGGTAGTATGCATCCTAAGATGTATCATCCATGTAAGTTTGGTCATTATATGTCTCATAGTAACTTGGAAATGAAACCTGCACCAAAAACTTTAACCTGTTCACTCAACCGGAAAATGTAGGTCAGATTCAGCATCCGAAGCAAGTTTAGTAGAATACATCCTAAGATGTACCAGCCATGCAAGTTTGGTCATCATAGGGCTCAAAGTATCTTCAAAATGAAACCTTCACCAAAAACTTTAACCTGTTCACTCAACCAGAAAATGTAGGTCAGATTCAGCATCCGAAGCAAGGCTGGTAGTATGCATCCTAAGATGTATCATCCATGTAAGTTTGGTCAACATAGGGCTTATAGTTACTCGGAAATGAGACCTACACCAAAAACTGCACCAAAAATGTTAACCTGCACCAAAAACATTAACCTGGTCATTCCTTTGCTGAAATTGCAGCATCTGAAACTTTGACTGGTACAATGAAACACACTAGCAACATCTTCCATGCATGTCTAATCAATATAGGACATAGAAGTACTTAAAAAGAAAACTGCTCCAAAAAACTTAACCTTAACCCGGGACGCCGACGCCGACGCCGAGGGTATCACATAAGCTCCCCCCAACTTCGTTGAGGTGAGCTAAAAAATCAAATGTACAATTTATCTTCTCATGTTGAAAATAATCTTCAATATACCCACAAGTGTAATTTTCATCTTAAATATCATTTCTCTTCTGGTAAAAGTACTAGTTGTGTTCAAAGCACAGTTAGAAATTCAATTTCCCATTTTCCAAAGAAGTTTCTATTCTTGCATAAATTGAGAACATTTAACAGTTTTAACAGTTAACATAGTCAGAGAATGCTATCTTATATCAATACCTTTATACTCATTTCATATTCTCCCCAAAAATAAAAAAAAAACACTTTCAGGTTTTCATTGATGATGGCAACTTTTATATCTGTAACAAGTGATACCAAGTTAGAGTTGCCAATGTATGAAATTGGAAAAAAAATCCTTAACAGATCATTTTGTTCACTCTCTTTTCCCATGGCAGTAAAGTGTATCACATCAACATAACAACAGGTGCCCCTCCATTAGACAGGTGCCCCTCTATTTACTGGTAAAGTAAACCTCTTTAGTGAGCATGGAGGTGATGCACGGAATCTGTTTCTTCTCGTTCATGTCAGGGTGGGATGTGTTGGACTGGAATTTGTTGGCGACGATTTGATTGACCCGGGTCATCATGGTCAGAAGGTCGAGGGTCTGGCCGTGCTTCATTAGGACCTCGGACAGGGCCTGTACAAACCAGGACCCGTTGGAGGAGTTTCTCCACGAGTAGTAACCTACAGAAAAAGGACAGCTGATTTAGTAACCAGATTAACAAGACAATCTATTATGGATTTATGGAAGAAACAAACATCATATCAGACCGCAATAAGTCACAGTAATATAATATAATTTGCTGCAAGGATATATTTGTAAGAGTGTTATTAAGGCATATGTTTCTCAAGTTCAAATACTTTATGTGATATTCATTTGAAATACAAAAGTTTAAATTGGGTTAAGTTTTTGTTTGGGATTCTCTGATTAAATATTAGGGATCTCCACTAATTTTGTGGAGACCCCAGTTCTGTTGTATGCTGCTATATTTTACTGTTGTGAAGTTTTACCTTAGTCATTCAAAATTTTGATGCCTCAAGCAACTACACCTGACTGAAAATAATTAATTTCCTGAAATATGTCTTTGAAAAATGTCTTCTCATATTCAATTTATATATTGTTGAGATTTTGAAATGCAAGAAAAAAGTCCATGTATTTTTTTAAAGGTAAAAATATATGTTACATATTTATTGAAAAGAATTATTGACTGGCTAGAAATAAAGCCCCGGGCCTATGGGCTTTACTTTAACTCACCAGGGACAACTGAGTAAGCCAGGAGAAAGTCTGCCTCTGAGGGGATTTTCTGAAGAGAGAACTGCGGCTCTATATCCATGAATCCTTTAGCATCAGCCACGTTCATGTCCACACCTTCATCAAACTTCGTTCCACGGCAAGCCTGTGTCCCAAAAATTATGCATATTGTGCTATAAACAATCTTAATTAAGTGGTGCTACATCACCATAATTTATTTTTACAACAAATCAACTTACAATTCTTCAAGGTATTTTCATGCATATCACAAAATACATGTATAAATAAAACAAAAGTTTTTTGCATTCTTCTAAAGAGGTAGGGGCTCCATTGGCGAAAATCGGCCCCAGCTCAAAAATAAATTTTATTTTTTTGATTATATGTTGTGGATGTCTATTTTTTAAAAATAACACCAATTTGTCCGAAAAACTTAATTTAAGGAGAAAATTAAGGCATTGTTTGAACGCCGTTAATAGTTAACGTTAACGTTAAAAAGTAACGTCATTACGTTATACACACACAGTTACTCGGTACCCTCCTCAGAGAACACTGAGTTAACCATACTCACTAATATTGATAAGAACAACAAAACTTTTTTGATAGGTTACAACGGCTAAATTTCTTTTGTCAGGGTATGATGATGATAATCTGATGGTTGTCATAGCAACCAACTTTCTTCATAAATATGTCTCTGACTACATTAATAACAGAAAGGAAATATCTCAAAAACTTGACAATTTTGGTCACTTTCAAAACGTTATGTTTTCAATTTGTTGCAATATAGAGGTCATCAGTAAATTGATATGAAGACTTCTTTTCAGTATATAATTCCTCTTAATAAAACAATTTTTTCTAATGGTAGCTAAACGCAGTTTAGTATAAAATCCAGGGGGGGGGGGGGGGGGTCCCAAAGAGAAGCATGCTGGGTAGGGATTTTCCTGCTATTTATAGGAGTCTAGATGAAAACTGCATCTTTTTTGTTTTTATTCGCATAAAGTAGAGTCTTCTCTTAATATTTAAAGAAAAAAAATGTGCATTCATTTTTAGAAAAAAAAATTGTGAGACTTTTTAATAGGGGGAGATAACTCCCCAAACATCTTGTTTTCACATATGCAGTATTGCATGAGTCAATTAACAGGTAATGTAGCTCTTTCAAGAGGTGGAAAATGTACCCTAAAAGCACACTAAAAGAAAACCTTAGGACTTGTTCTGTGAAATGCACATAACTTATTTTGTCAGATTTTTTCTGTTTTTGTTGAGCGGGGGGGGGGGGGGGTTAAAAATGCTGAAAATGGATACATAAACAACCCAATATCCCCCATATTTCAGGTGTCAAATACTCCCTAGTAGTAATTGATGAATGTATTATAGTTGGATATTTATTAAATTCACAATTTTATCTTTCCATTGATATGCAGAAGTATATGTAACAAGCCTCCATTTTATTTCTTTACAGGGGCCAGTTTTGCTTGTCCCTCACCAAGTAACGTCCTGATAACGTCATACATAAAACTGTGTTTTGCACCCAATATCGTCCATGAAATATGACTTTTGAACGTCATTTAGGATTTTTAAGTACTAGTCTTGTTAATATCTTAATATGGATATTAAAAGATGCACAGGTCTAATTACTTCTTTACAATAGAGTTTTAGGGGATATTGGAAGGCAATTGTGTGTGTTTGTATTTAAGGACTAATTCTGTGTTAATTCTGTGCAAAACGGAGGTGACGTAATTTGCATCGGGATCGATGTCCAATGCTGCCTTAAGCTTGATCAATATAATTGCAAGGGGATGCTCAGCCTTAATTCTATCGTCCTGTTAAATTTTGATTTACATAATACACGTATTTTGTGTGGACATTACTAAATCTTAATCTTGAGGGACATTACTAAACCTTTTTCATTTTGATAATCCGAAAAAAATATATGTTAAAATCAAGCACGTAACCACTGGGAATAGGTGATGTTTTTAAAATATTTTATTTCAATACATGTTATCATTTAAAAAATATTTTACTGAACTACTAAAAAAATAACGTCTCTAATACAACCACAAATGAAAATATCTAAGCAATTTTGCTAAAATAATGCTTTAAAATGGACCCCTCGAAATCAAATTGCTTTAAAATGATTTGATTTTTTTTCATTATTTTTTTGAAAACATTTAACTAAACATTTTTTCATGTGATCAAGACAAACCCCTTCCTATTCAACCTTATCATTAGATACGGTTATAAATTAACTGCGGGATGTTGAAGTTCGGATGAGATCATATAAATCGGTGTCCCCTGTTGTTTTTTCACGAAAAAGATAACTGTTCAAAGTCTCTTTTATTTGGTTTAGTATATATTTGCTAACTCTGCAAATTCCTGGGGGGGGGGGGGCGGAGCATATCCCTTTTAGATCTGCAAATGAGCAAGTTGTGTTTCCATGAGTGAAGGATCATAGTTAATAAACAACAATTAATCCCCCCCCCTCTTATGAGTTGAAACAACTTAGCTTCAGCATATGAAATTATTAGCTATCTGATTTACATAAAATTTTTCATCCTTGGAAAAGAATGTCTCTGATTTTTTTTAAATACAACATTCCATTTATTCATATCATACGAAATCCCAATGAGCTCATTTTCGTAGGTAAGAAAAATAATTTTTTTCGCGTTATAACGTGTACCTTTCGCGAATAAACGCTTAACTTTCGCGATATAACGCAAACTTTCGCGAATAAACGCGTAATTTCGCGTTATAACGCGAAACTTTCGCGATATAACGCGTAACTTTATATATCCATGAAACTTTGGAATCGCGTAACTTTCGCTTATAACGCGAACCTTTCAGCGATATAACGCGTAACTTTCGCGTTATAACGCAAAACTTTCACGATATAACGCGAAACTTTCGCGAATAAACGCGTAACTTTCACGTTATTTTGCGAAAAAATATTATATTAGATATATTATACTAGAATAGGATAGATTAGTCATCAGAATATTTTATTTTATTTTAAAAATCTTACTATTGAATTAATAAAATGAATTTTACTTTCTTGTACATGTTTTTCAATTGTTAAATTCTTTAGACTGATTATTTCTTAAGGAAAATCTCCATTTGACATTTTTTTAGTTGTTTTTAATCAGTAACATTTACTTCAACTGTACCACTAGTAAATTAAGCAATCAATCATTTTGGACAAAAAATTATACACTTTAGAAACATAACTTAAAAAATGAACAATTATAATTTCATTGTCTCCAATATTGGGTTATAGAGAAGTTCGTGGAGCCATAAATAAAAACTATGAAGGTATACAGCAGAGTTTGTACACTTTGAATTGTCAATGTTTTCGTAAGCAATGGAATGAAAACGTGGTGCAACCTCAAAATAGGATATCTAATTTCCACAGTGAATCTAAAGGAGACAAATGAAAATCTGCTATCCAATTTTCACAAATGCGGTAGAACACAATTGACAAATTTACCTCATTTTGACAATTTTCTGAAATCTTGATCTCTATAGAATAAAATTATTTCAGATTCTCTAGATAGTGCATAAAAAAAAACGGAAAAGGGGTGATTTTCCCCGAAATTAAAAGCTTGAAAACTTTTGGAACTCGCATAAACTTTGAAAACAGCGTTGAAAAGACAAATTGTGACGGTTAAGATGGATTCAATAGCAAGAAAGCTTAAAATTTAACGATAGTCCAAGATCAAAATAGCCTTTTGATTATCATTGTATTAAATGAATAAAATTGATGACAAATTCAAAAGAACGTTGAGACTAAAGCAAATGTCTCTTTAAACAGCAAAAGTTTTGCGTTATGACGCGAAAGTTACGTGTTATATCGCGAAAGTTTCGCGTTTTTACGCGAAAGTAACGCGTTTATCCGCGAAAGTTTCGCGTTATAACGCGAAAGTAACGCGTTTATTCGTGAAAGTTTCGCGTTATAACGTGAAAAATTTATTTTTTTTACCTACGAAAATGAGCTCACTGGGCTTTCGTAATATAATGTAATGTACAAGTGAGTTGAAATTTCACTGTTATCTTTTATTTTAAGTATAAACTATTTCCAAATGGTTAATGTAAACAACATTCAATCAACAATCATTTATACCACATTCAATGATTGACTTTTCATAGTCATTTCACATAGAGGTTTATCTGTTTTCGAGGAGGGTTCCACGGCATCCAATTTATTTCCGCTCAAATTACTTTTTTAATTTCTTTTTTATAAACAGAAAAGCACATGCTGATTTACTATCATTTTGTTTTAATTGTGTTCAATTGTTGCGCTGTTTACTTAAGTTTTTTTTTATGAAAGACTAATTGCACGCAGAATTGTAATGTGGTGTGTGGATCAAATATTTACAGGTACATTCATTTTATTTCGAATCATCTTTTTATTTTAACTGTGAATGTTATATAATACTTATTAAGATGCAGAATTCAGTATATTTAATATATGAAAGCCAGTTGTCCCAGTTGACAAAAAAATCATATTCATATAATAGAACAAGATATCTTCGACAAATCGGCGCATTAGAAAGAAGGGGGGGGGGGACTGTGGTATTTACATGACTGACGCTGACCGATATTAACCTGGTTTTGACTTTGGAGTAGTTTTCGCTTTGTTTTATAAAAACGTTACTTACATACCCTGTAAGTTGCATTTAAAGAAACCAATATTAATTTATTACACGTATAGAACATTGTATATAAATAAATTGTGTGTGCAGAATGAGCAATTAATTCAGCTGCAGTCTTGTACACGTGATTCGAAAATAGATAATACCAAACTGTAGGGAGTGGGTTACAATAGCAGTCATAACTTTGTATATTTTTAGGTGTTATCAAACAGATAATGTTCTTGGAAGTTCATTCTATCGTAACCTAATTCATTATGTTTTATCCATCAACAATTCACACTGATTAGGCAAAAACGTCACGACTTCGATGGGAAGTCCAATGCATCGTTTTCATACGAGTTGATTTTTAAAAAGGGTAGCAAATTATGAATGATATTGTTGAAGCTAGAGTTTAATTAATACATTATGCCTTTTTATTTTTGCATGTAATATTCACAAACCATTCTGTTTAAAAATAAAGGTTGGATTAACACAGGTGTGCATGTGTAATGCGAGGTACAGCGGTATATAGGGGAAATTGGGGTAACTGGGACACTGGGGCAACTGGGACACATGCACATTTTTTCTTTATATATAAATAGCAAGTTGTCGCCCGTCGATGGAAATCTTCTATAAATCAACATTGCCTCCGTGCGCGTCCTTGTGAAACAAAGTCGGCCAGCGGGGAAATTTGAATAAACACCTAGAGTGTTTTTTGGATATACACTAAGGTAAGCTGATATCTGATATTATTTACTAAGTAGAAGTCACGGGAACTATCTCTTTTAATGTATTATTTCTCAGAAATTTACTTAAAACAATTGATTAAAGGAGAACGTATAGGAAGGTAGTCATTCGTACGAATTTGTTCATCAGTTTCCACAGGTTTTTTTGAATTGAGGATATTTTTTTTCGGTATTTAATAAACATATGTCTTTGTGTATAAGTATGAATATGATACATGACGTCATGACGCGCCATTTTTACAACATCATGAACATGTCAACCTTGCACCTGTATGTTTATACTCAAAGTGACAAGTATTCTAGAATATTATTGTTTTAAGATATATATCACACACTTATGCTGTAAACAATTGTATATCCACATATTATTAGAACAAAATCCAATTTTGTTTTGGTTTTTTTTTTAAATTCAGTGTAAACAATTCATTATGACGTCACAATTCAACATACAATATTGATTTCTTAGTTTTGTTTCTAATCATTAAATCTAAAACTCATTTATTAATTTTTGTTAAAAAACAAAAGGCATATGTGTTTTAAACAGCATTTTTCTTGTTTTATAAACCACAAACTGAATTATCTAACCAACTGTACAATAATCTATACCAGTAAGCATGACAATAGGACTACTGCATTTCATAAATAGATCGGGGTATGTGGGACATCGTTAATTTGTTATAAGCGTTTAGTCTATTTACAGTAAAACACGCTTCTAGCAAAGGGTAGGTGCAGACGATTCGTTATAAATTTATTATAAGCGTGTTTGCTATAACTGTGTTTTATTGTTTTATGTTTGGATAGTCTTTGATGAGAATATATATGCATATGTAAAAAAAAAAAGGGGGGATCATTATAATATATCCGTTTCATTGAGGCATGTGTTACTACTGTTTACTAAACATTTTAGGTATGGCGAGACGAAAAAAGAATGAAAATCCAAAACAAGGGAAATGGTCTGTAGATTCTATGAAGAAAGCCTTTGAAGCTGTCAAGATAAAGAAACTCAGCATACGTCGAGCAGCTGAACAGTACGGCGTTCCGAAGTCGACCTTGGAGAGAAGAGTGAACGGAAAGAGGCAAGTTGACGACCCAGCTTCCAAACCCACAGTGTTTTCTGCAGACCAGGAAAATCAGCTCGTGAGTCACATTTTAGAAATGGCTAATTGCGGATTTGGGTTGACAATTGATTACATCTGTAAAACCTTTACGCCATGGCAGTAATTTGAAAATTACCCAGTTTCAGAAAAATCAAAGCTAAAGCAGGATATGATTGGTACGAGGGCTTCATGCGTCGTCAATCCACAACTTGCCATTAGAAAGCCTTTGAAGGACTTTTTTATTTAGCGGCACGAGGAATGATGTTAAACAAGCATGTCGTGACATCCTACTTCCAATTGTTAGAAAATACAGTAAATAGGTTAAAACTATTTGACAAAGGTTCCCAAATTTACAATGTTGATGAGAGTGGAATTAACACTGTGCACACACCAGGGAAGATCGTAGGGCTGAAAGGCATGCGAGCTATTCACAGCAAGACAAGTGGAGATCGAGGAGAAAATGTCTCTGTAGTTATCTGCGCCAGTGCATCAGGATTGTACATCCCTCCCATGATTATTTTTAAGGGACCGCGCTTAAACAAGGGTTTAGTTTCTAATGCCCCACCTGGCACACTATTTGCGACCAGTAAATCATCATTCATCGACAGAGAGCTTTTTGAGCACTGGTTTAAAAATCATTTCATAAAATATCTTCCTACGCATCGACCAGTCCTGCTGATTATGGATGGCCACTCTTCTCATATAAGCTTGGAAATACTGAAGCTGGCCAAAGATCGACATTGATATTCTCTGCCTCCCCCTCATGACCAGCGAGCTTCAACCTATTGACAAGTGCTTATAACAAACCACTGAAAACAGAATATAATAAAGCTTGCATGCAGTTCATGAAAGAAAATCCAGGTCGGATAATAACAAGATACGACTTCTGTGGACTGTTCACGATAGCCTATCACAAAGTCTGCACAATGTCTAATGCTTCTAGCGCATTTCGTGCCACAGGAATTTTCCCATTTAATCCTTCAGTGATACCCGAGGAAGTGTTTGGACCTTCTATGGTTTCACAATTTTACCAAATCTGGAGGGCGAAAAAATTTAAAATGCATGTAGATCATCTGAGCAGGAATCAACCGACGTTGAAATTGATGCTGATGCGCATGCAAGCCTGTCGTCTAGTTCTGTTGATCACGAAGTTCCATGTGCATCAGGCGATGTTCTCTCTAGTCTTTTAGTGGTCCCTTCATTCGAAAAGGAGAAAAAGTCAGCTGCAAACAGAAAATCTCGAAGAACCACATCAGCGCGATGTCTTACAGCAGATGAAGTGATAAAGGAGATTGAAGACAAAGAAAACGAAAAGGAACAAAAGAGAATTGAAAAAGAAGTCCGTAAGAAATTACAAGAAATGAAGAAGAAAAACAAAAAGATGGGGAAATCAAAGCGAAAAACCAAGGAAAACGTCAACAAGGAAACTGGGGAAGATTTCTGCAGCTATTGCCATAGATATTACTATGATGATGAATCTGACGATGAAGACTGGGTGAAATGCTCTGATGATCGATGTAATTTATGGTTTCATGAGTCTTGCACTGGATGTTTTGGAAAAGGGATTAATACGTTCAAATGTGATGATCACAAAAGTGTTTAATTATGTTCCGTAATCAAAGTTTTGAAGCAAATTGGTTTTACTCTGTTTCTTATAAAGAATAATTTTACTATTTAAATTTACTTTTTTTTTTATCCTTTTTTAGTACCAATATCAATATACCACCTGCATATACAGAATTAATATATCCCAGCTGAGCATGCTCTACGCAAGTTCAATTTCTATCCAAAACGAGGTAAATTATTGACAAAATCGTAAAACAAGTTGAAGGGCTACAATATTGCAACTAGAGTAAAACCTTTAGAACTAAAAGATGATGTATTTTGATCAAATATGGTTATTTTTCGAAATAATGTGCAGGTGTATGGAAGAGTCTGGGGAAACATCTGTAACCGTCCCCTTGCCGATAAATATTTGTTGTTGTAAATGAACTGAATGTTTGTTAAATGGAGTTTTACAATTTTTTGATTTCAATAAAGTAATTTTACCTGAAATATAATTTTTGTATAATCAAATAAATTAAATAGAGTTGTTTCTTCAGTTTTTGTGATGAAATCTTATAGATTTTGAAAGTTGGGTAGTAGCAAATAATGAGACTACTAAATTTGCAATACTTTAGAAATATCCCAGTACTGAGCTTATTGGGCTAATCATTTATCATCTTTGAAATAGAATTCAGCTGTTTAATTGATTTAAAAGTAAATTTTAAAGTTTACCTCAGTCTTATTATCAAAATATCTATCGCGAAATGTTGTTTAACAATTGTCCAAGTTACCCCAACATATAGGGGTTACTGGGTCAATGTGAACAAGATATAATATGTTTGTTTATTTTTATAGTATTAAAACAAAACAAAAAATTACACTACGGTTATCTAACACAAAAATGCAACTATGCAATACTTATGCGAAATATTAAAATTTACAGCTAATTTTTGAGAAGTTTAGAAATTTTATGAAAAGTGTCCCAGTTACCCCAATTTCCCCTAAGGTAAATGACTGCGTGAGTGTAGCAAAATTCGGACTGATTTGGAATTATTATACCCAAAATCACAGCATATTTCAGCTACCATGTCCTAAATTGATAACAATTTCTTACATTTATTAGTAGATATATTAAAACATGTTTTTAAAATATGTACGGTGATATAAAAACACAATATGATATCTATTGGAAATTATATTGATGTAAATTATGATAATTGATTACTTGGAATGACAGGAAAGCTTTTCGTTCATCGATCGATTTTTCATGCTCCGCAGGCCTCCACCAATACGATACTTCAATTGTTGATAGATTTGTTAATAATGAACATTTACAAGAAATTTTGTTTTGGTGGGTGTGTGCGGAGGTATTTTTTTTAATCAATTTATGGCAAAAATTATGAGATTTTGATGATTTTTGCCAAATTACGTCCTGGTTTACGTCACAAATATGACGTCATAAGTAGTCAATCTCCCGAACTTTTGCTATTTGTGGAATGCAATGATGGTAAACTGTGAAATATAAGTAAAGTCGATTTTATTAACTAGCTTTGAAAATTCGAAAAATTTGGGGCCGATTTTCGCACATGGAGCCCCTACCTCTTTCAACTAATATGTACACGGTTAAACTACTTCAATTTTTGAAGTTCCTTGGGATCTAATTTCACCTCTCACAAAACATAGACTGTAGAACATAAAAGTATTAAATGGTATGGTATACCATCTGAGAAAATAATAAACTGTTTTTACCTGAATGAAAAAGATTTTGGGTTTGCCTGCCAGGGAGAGGCATTTATTTCCCTTGAATGGTTCCAGGAGGTCGTTGATTGCAATAAGTCGGTCTATCCCCCAGATTAATCCATCCTCCCCATGGGACAGAATGGCACAGGTGAAACAGTCATTGTTACTGTGGTCCTCAGATGCAGCTGTTACAAGGTAAAGGGAAGTTATAGCATTAAATTCAGTTGTAGATTAAGTTAATTTTTCATCTGAAAAAAATTTCAAATTTTGTTCGTAAACCTTTCATTTTATTTTAACATTTTATTTAAAATTAATGTCAAGATGTAAAAAACACAAAAATATTGCTAAAACATGAAAACTTGAATGGAGTAATTTTACCCTTTTTTAACTGGTATTTAATTTCGTCTGCTTTGAGATTGTGAAACAGATCTACTTCAAAGTCGAGCTCGGAGAGTCGACAACAGAGGGCGGAGGCGTCAACGTCCGTCCCATTCCTGTCGTTCAGACCAGTGTTCGGGTTGAACTTCTTGTTATTGATGATGATGGCTCTTCCTCTGTTCTCGTAGTCCATCTTGTACTTTGTGGAGAAAAACTCAGAGGCTGTCTGTATTGTGGTGGCTACTGGCTTAGTACTGTACAACAGAATTTTCTAGATTATAGTTTAAATATTTTTCATTAATTTACAACAAAATTGCCAGTTTTTCTGAAATATCAAGAATAAAATTATAATTTGTGAAAGTGAAAGGACTTGTCAATCAAATCTGACCCGAAATTCTAAGTTTAAATAACTTTGAGATGAAATAAGATTTTTTTGTATTTTCTTGTGAGTGCTCTTGCAATATATAAGTTTTTACAAAAATTTTAGAAAAAATTAACTTCCAACAGTGTCTATGCACCTTTAAATTGCAATAATCATAAAAAGTAAACCTGTGTGAAGAAGTACATTTTCCGAATCCAAAAGCGTCAGTCTCCACGATGGGCTTGGAATCAGAAACATCTAAAAATGTACAGTGTAAAAATATACTGTCAATCTTATGAAGATACAAAGAATGAAATCGTTGCATGAAAAGTTTTCAATTTCAAGCTTCAGGTTGATCCTTTTTTATTTTATCATAAAATACTTGATAATCACGATTACTTTACTTTGCGGAACTCTTTTACAGTAAAGGTACTAGGAAACGCTCAATTAGATGGGGGCAATATGCTACTGAACACAATGCAAGATCATTGTGGAATTTATAAGAACAGATGTCAGAGAAAAAATCCGGGAGAAATATCTTGCTACACAATCACTGAACCAGCCTAGTAAATATTTGAGAGGGGACTCTTCCAATTAGATTTTTTACTTTTAAAGTATGATCAAATACTCTAAACTTGACTTATTTGACAATCTACCATTTGGAGTTCAATCCTTGGCAATACAGTCATTGTACTTTTCAGATAATGATTGTTGGAATCATTCAATTGTCACTTCTGTAAATAAAGTTTACTGTGTCTACTGTGGTGGTCCTGGAGGTACTGGGCACGGATTGCCCTGCTACCTTCGATCACATGGTATATGTCACAGCAGCTGTTGTGACGTGTACATATCCTTGCTCTCTTTTTCTGATACATGCTGCAGAGTACAGACATGTCTTTGTCAGCTCCATTATATGTCACATGTATGTATAGGTTACATCATAGAAGCCGAGCAGTATTTATATCGTTTTCATGGGGCATGGAAATCAAGGGCGCGTAGCGCCCGTGTTTTCCACGCCCCATGAAAACGATATAACCAATAATACGAGGCATCTATGATGTAAGCAACTTGTCGCATGTCTGATGACGTGAATTTCATTATATTGAGAGTGTCAAAATTCAATAATAAAAAAAAGATTCATTTCAACCTAGCTCTCCAACATGTCGGACGTTCTTAGTAAATTTGACTTTGAGTTTTTAACTGAGTTTGAAGATTTTGACAATTTATTTTTGAGCCAGGCACTCGACATACATGAAATCACAGAAACAAATAGCAAGGAGTTTAACGATAAAAAGTTTGGAGATATTACCGTAACTTTCAAATTTTCAAAATGGATTAATCTTTTGAAATTGAACTTTCATCAGTTAAATACATGTATTTTAATTTAGTTAAAGGTTAAGAAATAGCTATACATGTTCATTTTTCTGTGGTTATGAACTTGTGAAATAAAATCAGTTTTTTTTTCTCATGACCTGATTTCTGCCCCCTGCAGTGATATATGAAGGGGCATGGAAAGTATTATCGCATATGTGATATGGGATATATCACAACAGAAAGATCAAAGAAAATCACCGCAGATATGCGACAAATAGTATTTTGCAGGCACTTAAAAACATCATATTATTTTAACATAGTGATTTCTCTGTTCTGCCATCACTAGAGTAATTTTGTAATACATTGTATAGAGAAACACTAGCGCTGGGTATTGGCCAGAGATTTCGTATTGTGATATATTGCGATATTTTTAACTGTATTGCGATATGTATTGCATTATTTTCAATGTAATTAAAATGGCATTTTCTTACTATATTTACTTTAATTTACATACAGAATGTACATAACTATGATAAGTAACCATTGAACATGGGAAAAAAAGTTTGTTGATTTCATTTAAGTTATGCTCTGAAATGTTCCCACAAAAAAACTTCTGTCTTATTCTTTGGCTTAATAACAAACTTTCATAAGTCCATTTTTATATTTAATGACAAAGTTCCTTAATCTAAGCATATTGCCAATATATCGATATTACAAAATCGTATTGTGATACAATATTTTTTGTCATTGCATTGCAATATATTGAAATATCGATATTTTTGCCCAGCCCTAAGAAACACTATAGTACAAAATTGTGCAAGAACTTAGATAACTTTGAGGGTTTTTTTTATACTTCGTATACAACAATTTTAGAGTTTTCCTTCCTGGCCAAGGATTGAATATTGACTAATTATTCCATTTTTCACAAAATATTACATTGAATAAAAATTATGTTTAGATCTATATATTTATGTGATGTCTTCTATGATATGGTCTCATTTTCTCTAAAATGTGTCACTGTGATTTGTGACTAACAAATATATAAATTGACTCATCATAGGTTTTAAACCTTTCGAATTTTCTCTTATGAACATGAAAACATAATATAAATGAAGTTTAAAAAATAGTCACAAAGACTTTTTTCACGTTGTATTCGTATATTGACCAGTGGATGTTTGTTTATTACAAACCTTGAGGGCTATCTGTACTCATGTTTTCTTCCATTGCTCCTGATAAACTGAAAAGTTGGCAGTTGGCAGTAAAACTGTTTGCTTTCGCTTTGTTCGAACGATTACTCACTTTCGGATTACACCAGTTTCTATAAATAGACCATGGCTTCTATAAATAGGAAAATTTTCTAACAATTCGTACGTAATATTAGTCATGTAATTACTCACATTTTTTGAAATCCGATTATATTATCTTAAATAGTTAAAATTGAAGGGTGAAAAATAAATATAGTTAGTTGTTATAAACTAAAACTCGCACTCTAGCCTAATTAATTATGCTTATAACTTTGGGCTTTTGGATTTCTTTCTCGGTACGACCACACAATTCAACACGGTGACCTCCCAAAAGTTGAAAACTACCGCATCTTTCAAACAAGGATTAGCAACTTATCTAGGAAATGTCTCTAATCAGCAATGTCTACAGTAACGTTATGTAAAATAATCCTTTTTAGACAATGTTTGGCATGCATGCTTCAATGTTATTTCTGTAACCCCCAACTTTGAAAAGGAGGAGGGGGGAATGAATGACATGGCTTTTATAGGAATAATCTAAACCCTCACCGGGTTCGTAAGACATTTATCATTTTAATGATAGAACATTAGCCCAGTGCACGGTGTAAGACTGTAGTGCTGTAGTGGGATGCACAGTAATGACAGTATACAGTTGTGAGAAGGAGTTACTCAGTAGTCTAATAGTGTAACAATGTTACACTAAAAGTGGGTAATAGGGCTTATTGACGCCAGATGGATTTTTTAAGAAATAAGGTATCATTTTTAAACATCTATCGGTCAATAATGAAGCAAAACCTTCCATAAAGCCCGAAGGGCTTTATGATGAATTTAATCTCCAACTTTATTTTTATAGCCCGATAATGTTTTAAAATGATACCTTATTACTTATATTTACATTTGTGACTTATTCATCCTTTATATTTACCTGATTGTGACTTTTAACGTGCGAAATGCATTATTTTTCAAACCCAACGGCAAGTGTGTAATCCACTGAACGCGCGTCGACCCTTTATGACGTCACTAGAAATTACGTCAAACGTTTATCCATACGCACATCTATGACCTCTTGACCCCATACCTGTATTTATACAGTTATAGATACGCATTGCTTTCAGTAGTGTTATATAAAGGAAAACATTTGCAAATGTAAATATATTTTGTTGTTCTTTATTCTTTTATTTAATTCATGAATTATCCTTAGATTACTAGACTTATTAAAATTAGACTGAACTGACTTGCAGTTCAGATAAAATCTATCAGAGGTCAGTGGGGTAGGTGGGAGGGAGTGTATATTTCTTACCCTACTAGTGAGTAGTGTCTATATACCACAAATCCTGTTCAGCTTGTCTTGCATGTACCTCAAACTGAGTGCATCTTCATAGAAGCATATTATGAATACAGATTTTTGAGAGATCTCCCACTTTTTAAAATTTTATCAAATGAACAAAAAAGGAAAGAGGAAACATTTTCATCATTTTACAAATAAAATAAAAAGAAATTTAAATTTCCAATTGATATATCTCAGATCTCTTGGAAAGATTTTATTCTCTACCTTCAAAATATATGTGTTTTACCTGTACCTATTTATAGTCAGTTTCATGCATGAACAGTTATGTTTACCTGAAATTTTCACCTTTGATGGTGATCTAATGATCCAGAAAACATGGTTTTCATCCTTGCTTTACAGAGTCTTGGCAGTGCCATTTAAAGAGACCATCTCCTGATGATTTGTTCAGTCTATGTTAACAGGTATTGAGAATGTATTTCTTGATTTCATGGCACCAGAGATTTAAACTTTTAAATTTGAATGCATGATAGAATACCATTATATATCTTTCAATGGATCTACTCTACATGAAAATCACAAAGAGAAAATTTCTTAACTTCATAGTTTGCTAACCTATATTATACATTAATTTGTATTGGTAGATGCCTTTAATATGGAAATGAGATGGCTTGTAGCATTCCTTCAAATTGAGAATTGATCAGGAATGGTAATACTGTTTATCTAAGGGTAAGATGAAAGTGTAGGGAATTTAGTATATTTATACTTTTTTTGATGCTTTAGATGTATATAAATACCTATTTAAAACAATAAAATTTGTTTAAATTAATCTATTTTTTTTATTCAATGAAATAAAGGAATTTTAGTGAAAAAATAATTTTGAGTTCACTATAGACCATTCCTCAAAGATATCTTCAGAGTCTAGGAATTTAATTTTCTATTTTTCTGAACAACTTTTAATGATTAGTGATATCTTATTTGGGTTTTATTAAAGTCCACTACCAAAATATAAGGTACACATATTTCTTTGCTATCAGGTACACATTTGGTTATCAATTTTATTATTTATGGCTTTTTCTGTGACAATGGATTTTTAGGCTCTTTAAATGGTTTGTGTCTAAGATGTCAACATGGCTTTAAATTTGAAATTTGATGACAAAAATCGCTAGAAGATTGTAAAGGTCTACTTCTCTTACATGGAATTAATTATTGGAGATGAAAGCTTGCACATAAAGAAAACATTAGAGTGATTACAGGAAACATTAAGATAGAAGGGGTATATATCAAGAACCAGAATCTATATCAGGCGTGTGATAATTGGAAAAAAGGAATTATGATTTACAAAACCTTTTACCCTGCCTGAAATCTTATACATGTGCTTTGTTTGGATATTTTGAGGTTCAAAGATTTTTCAAAATCACTGAACAGTCATTCACAAGATAACGTAAAAGAACATTGTAAGTTTTATAAGATTGTAAGATTTAATTCTTGTAGCAAAAGATTTTTAGTTTCACAATTAAGTTTGTTATTGGGACTTTATTTCAGCTATAACAAGACATGGAATCGCTGACTTCCCATCTTCCCAAGGTGGATGACAAGGCTTTAGAATTCCAGGTGGACATTCAGGATGCCCAGTTTAACCATGAGGGCCGATACTTCCTGCGGCTCTCCATCCAAAGCCTGCACACAAAGGACTACAGTGGGGTACAGGTACAAAAAGGGTACGGCGCTCCGTACACAAACGAGAACGAAGCTGAAACTGATGTGGTGACGCAACAGGAGTCCGCGGTGCTGGCCAGATTTCAGGACAAACAATTCACCTTCAGACTCCCTGTGGGTAAGACTCAGAGGGTGTTCTGTCTTTACAAGTAGATCAGCATTCGGTACAGAGTAATGATTTTTGTAACATTATTTAGTTATATTTGCAATTGATAATAAATTGATAGATTCATAATTAGTAATTGCTAGTAAAATGTCAATACAGAGATAAATGTTTGAAGGAGAATGTAGTTTTCCTCTAAAAGTAATTAACAAGACTGGTTTAATATCACTTTTTGGATAATATTTAAACAGCTTTTGGATAAATATTACCTATTGCAACATTATATTTACACAGTGGTTACAATGCAATAGTTACAAAAAAAGCTAAAAGCCTAATAATGTCTTTAGACTTCTTTTCTTTACAGGATTTTGTAAGAATGACAAGAATCATGATCTGTATTTACTTGTGGAGGCCTTTAATCTACCAAACAATGGCGGCATGGGTAAGAAGGTCGGAGAGGGAAAGTTTGCTATCTACCCTCGGCCGAATGCTCCAAAAATCAAAGCCAATGTGGAGCCCGGGGAGGACTTCTACAACTACACAGATGTATTGTCTCTTTTACGAACAGTCAGTACAGACAGTGTACAGATGCATTGTGGGAGAATACGCAGTGTTTACGCATTACGAGAAGTGCTTCTTCCCAAACCAAAGTCACCACCTAAGACACCACCCAAAAAAATAAAAAAGAAGCAAACCCCTCCACCATCCAGCCGACCAGTCCCGAAACCAAAACCAAAACCACCCCCCTCACCAACAAGCTCCTGGGGTGGGGACAACATATCCATTATGCTTCCCTCTTCTCCACCCTACCCACCTCTCTCCGACAACAAAATCGTAAGGGGCTAAACTCTTCTTTAGATAAGGAATAAAAATTTTATACTTTAAGTTAGAAATTTTCCTTGATATTTATTTTTGATGGATTTGTAATGGCTGTTTTTAGGTTAAGGAGTCCCCCCTGGAGGATAGGGACAGACACACATACCACACCCAGCCCTCGTACCGACACGTGTCAAAGCTTGGGGAGGAGCAGATCGACGTCATCTTCCATGGGGCCTCGAGTCTCCCCAACACAGAGTCCGGCACAACACCTCAAGCCTTTGTCATCTTGTAAGTGCACCACTCAATTGTTTACTGTATAAAATAGAGAATTCTCACTTTCATTGTAGTAATTCACAGACAAACATGGGCCAATATATTAAAAGAAAGAATTAAAATATTACATTTAGGAAGACATCGGATGAGGACCAGAAAGGTTCTGTGACCCACGCCTCCCTGAGACCGACCAGTTCTCCATCCTGGGAGGAGATGATCAAAACTACCCTGGACTCATCCGAGGCGGGGGATGAATGTAAGTATTCGGGGGAGATGATCAAAACTACCCTGGACTCATCCGAGGCGGGGGATGAATGTAAGTATTCGGGGGAGATGATCAAAACTACCCTGGACTCATCCGAGGCAGGGGGTGAATGTAAGTACCCGGGGGATGATCAAAACTACCCTGGACTCATCCAAGGCAGGGGATGAATGTAAGTACATGTATCCTGGGGGGTGGGGGGGGGGTGTAGTCATAGTGGTACTTGTAAGTATGTAGTTAGATGATTTAATCAGATGATGTATCTAAATATCCAGAGAAAATGTAATCAAAATAGTATGTCCATATCCTCTAAAAATGTAATAACTAGGATGATTGTACGCATCCTGGGGTAAATGCAATTAGAGAAGTTTGTGTCTATATCCTGTAAAAATGTAATTACTTTATGAGATGGTTGTAAGTTTTCTGTGGATTAATCAGAGTGATAAATCTTAATATTCATGGGAAATTTTAAGTACAGGTAATTATTGAAATAAATGTAAGGAGCATAAGTCGAAGAATATTAAATCTTAATGCTGATCTGTATCCAGGAGAAAGGTAATAATTTGGATAAATAAATATCTTGCAGAAATTTAATCATGTAAACATAAGTCTAAAGTCAAAGTAAATTTTTTTTAGCATCAAGATACATAATGAAATTTTGAAACTAAATAAAAAGAAAGAAATTCGAAATAATTTGACATTTAATAAGAAAAATGATTAAGAAACTGATTAGAGGACTATTAAATGTGAAAAAAAAATAATACGGTAATCATGAAAATAAAATTATTTAGATGAGGAAAACTTTCCTGATATAATCTCTAGCTTATTTGTGTTTGAAAATGAAATGTATGCAGTTGTCTTAAAAGAATTTAATTCAATCAAAAAGTGTCTTATCAAATATCTACCTCCATATACACAGTAATGACAAATAAGAAGTAAGATTGTTTCTAACACATAAGACATAAGATTCTCCCTGACAAGTCAGCATGTTAATGTCTCCAAGCTACAAAAGTCCCTATGACACAACAGTTAATATGGAATGGAATCCTTTTGTTTGTTTCATTTATTGCATTCTAATCCCCCTGCCTTTGGAGGAGTTTATATTGATTTTAATTTGATAATCTGGGTGACTCTATTGGTCTTGTGTCGTAAATTGATTTGCACTGCAATTTACCAGAAATTGAAGTAACACTGTCTCCTTTTACGTTATGAAATGTTCTTGTTCAATAAGTTTTTATATAAAATGAATCTCACCATGAATTCCCTGTTTGGACCAGCTTGTAATTTTCTTTTTTAAAAAGCAAAGGGGCAAAACATTTAATCATTTGAGAATTTCACATCAGAAAATTATAATCGTGTTTTCAATTAGTTAGGGCTTCACTCGGCAGGCACCCTATAGTGATCAGTCTGTCCATCCGTCCGTCTAGCTGTCCATCTGTCCGTCCAAGATATGTTGTCTGGAGCATATCTTCTCTCTCCCTGGCCCAATCTGGCTCATACTTCACCCACAGAGTGCCTTTGGGTAAAGGGTGTGCAGTGACCTTGAACCATGTTTCTAGGTCAAAGATTAAGGTCATAGCAGAATTACATGAAAAAGCCTTGTTCAGAGCATATCTTCTCTCCCCCTTTGTCCAATGTGGCTCATACTTCACCCACAGAGTGCTTTTGGATTAAGGGTGTGCATTGACCTTGAACAAAGTTTCTAGGTCAAAAGTTAAGGTCATAACAGAATTACATTTTTGTATATAAAAAATCCTTGATCGGAGCATATCTTCTCTCCTATCAGTCCATTGTGGCTCATTCTTCACTCACAGAGTGCTGGTGGTCAGTGAATGTGCATTGACCTTGAACAAAGTTTCTAGGTCAAAAGTCAAGGTCAAAAATAGCCTTTCTGTTTAAATTCTTGTCTGGAGCATATTTTCTCTTTCCTTGGCCTAATCTGGCCCATACTTCACCCACAGAGTGCCTTTGGGTAAAGGGTGTGCAGTGACCTTGAACCATGTTTCTAGGTCAAAGGTTAAGGTCATAGCAGAATTACATGAAAAATCCTTGTCTGGAGCATGTCTTCTCTTGCCTTTGTCCAATGTGTCTAATACTTAACTCACAGAGTGCCAGTGGTCAATGGATGTGCAGTGACCTTGAATAAAGTTTCTGGGTCAAGGTCAAAAATAGCCTCTCTATTAAAAATCTTTGTTTGATGCATAATTTCTTTCCCTTGAGTCCACTCAGCCTAAAACAAATTGACTTGGTATAGAACATTTGTGATTTTCCTTCCATATTTTGATAGAGGATATGCAGGAATTTTCATAGAGGATATATTTCTTAAAGTTATTTTAATTGTATTATTTTTCAGGGAGTACTTACTTTTTGTCCCCTTTAATCTCAAACACCTTCAAAATAAACCCTTTTCAGCTACCTTGCATTTTCATGTTCATTGCTAAAAACGGGCCCTTTGAGATGGCCACCATCTCCATGATATCTAGTTTAAAGGTTGTTTCTTCTGAATTATTTATAATCAGACAAATATACATGATACACGCAAGAGGATGTTTGAAATAAGAAAAGCATACCAATAAACGTTAAAAATCATTTGCTCAGAATTCAAACATGAAACATACATACTTCTTTGCTGTTAAATATATTATTATAAAAATGTGATTTATTAATATTCTGTCTCTAATGAAAAGTGATATGTTGTATTGTAGTTTTAGTGGTCTCTGTGGCAGATGGTCCCTCCAAACAGGAACTGGTGGACTACAAAATCCCCGTCAACTCACTGCAGCCATTCCACCAGTATCATCTGGAACTGGTCAAGGTAAGGAACTTAACTAGATGTAAAAGGAGATCAACAGAATTTCTACTATCCATATTTATTTTTCAAATATTGGTTGTTGACCTCTTTTTAAAAGAAATTTACATGGTCATAACTATGTGTAAGCAGATTTTTATTTTGGTACAAGAAAGTTTTTTCAAAGAATTTTGTAAAAGTTTAAGAATTTATTAACATATACTGCAAGTATGTAATATATCCCACTTTTTCTTTAGCCAAAGAAGGGTGTTCCTAATGGAGTTCGAGTTTTTGCCTCAATAACCAGAAAACTGTCAAAGCTCCCTAAGGATGCTTCTTCTCCAAACTATCTGGGACTAGAGGTACACAAAGCTTGAAATTGTCATTTTTAAAAAACTATTTCAAGTCTAGCTTTTATTTACAAAATTTACAATTGTGTATTTTTAGGTTTTACTTCAAGCTGTCCAGAAACCCCTACAGACCTCTATGGGGCCCCTGATTGCTGTGGCTAGGATCGTCCCTGATTTCTACAATTACAGGTACGTCATTCAATATCATCATCTGATTTATCTACATGCAGTCAAATAAAGAAAAACTGTATTTTTACTTTACAGAAGTAATTACTTGATCTCTAACCCTCGAGCTGCGGGGGTCACTATGACCAGTGTCTCTTTTCCTTCCCCCCACCCTGCCTCCTTCAGTGTTCCCCCGGGGACTAAACATGGCTACCCTCAGGTATGTATGTCATAGTACATGTCCCATACAAATTAATGCATGTACAGTATGGACAAAAATGGACAACTGAAGTATGCTTCTTTTTATCAATAATTTCAGAACCCAGTTCTAATTGTTTGTTATGAGACATACAAATTTATTTAATTTTGGAAACAGAGGGGGAGGGGGCCAGATTGAATTTATTAGCGTTAACCATGTGGATATTACTGTTTCGTTGAACAGATAAGTTTGCCAGGTAAGCCTGACGTCCAGCCTGTGTGGAATCACCCGTACCTGTTCTGTGACGAGAGAGACAAGGCCACACTCTTCACCCCATCAGCAGCCCTAGTGATAGAATACTACCACCAGGACACAGGTCAGTGGGGTCAAGGTTACATGTAAAAATAGCTGCAATTTGATTACTTATAGAAAGGAATAATCCCATCTAGTGTGTGAAATAAATTCAGTGTCCTTCTACAAAACATTGAATATCTATCTGTTAATTCCTGTGTGTTTATTCCTGAACAGATTTTAAAATCTTTTCCAGCAATGACAGATCAGTTCTGGAAGGTTAAGAGTCCAATGGGGTTCTCAGCTTTACAGCTTGACAAAGATTTGTACACGGAGCTGATAAAAGAGAATGCAGTCAAAGGTCTGAGAGTAGACAATCTACCTGTTCAGGTAAGACAAAGGTTTGAGAGAAGGCAACCTATCTGTACAGTTAACACAATGGTCTGAGAGTAGACAACCTACCTGTTCAGGTAAGACAAAGGTCTAAGATAAGACATCCTACCTTCTGAGGTGAGACACAGGTCTGAGTGTAGACAACCTACCTGTACAGGTAAGACAAAGGTCTGAGTATAGACAACCTACCTGTACAGGTAAGACAAAGGTGTGAGAGTAGACAATCTACCTGTTCAGGTAAGACAAATGTCTGAGAGTAGACAACCTACCCGTACAGGTAAGACAAAGGTCTAAGAAAAGACATCCTACCTTCTGAGTTAAGACAAATGTCTGAGTGTAGACAACCTACCTGTACAGGTAAGATAAAGGTCTGAAAGTAGAGAATCTACCTGTACAGGTAAGACACAGGGCTGAGAGTAGACAACCAATCTGTACAGGTAAGATAAAGATCTACGTGTAGACAACCTACCTGTACAGGTAAGACAAAGGTCAGAGAGTAGACAACCTACCTGTACAGGTAAGACAAAGGTCTGAGAGTAGACAACCTACCTGTACAGGTAAGACAAAGGTTTGAGTATAGACAACCTACCTGTACAGGTAAGACAAAGGTCTGAGAGTAGACAACCTACCTGTACAGGTAAGACAAAGGTCTGAGTATAGACAACCTACCTGTAGGTAAGACAAAGGTCTGAGAATAGACAACCTACCTGTACAGATAAGACAAAGGTCTGAGAATAGACAACCTACCTGTACAGGTAAGACAAAGGTCTGAGTATAGACAACCTACCTGTAGGTAAGACAAAGGTTTGAGTATAGACAACCTACCTGTACAGGTAAGACAAAGGTCTGAGTATAGACAACCTACCTGTACAGGTAAGACAAAGGTCTGAGAGTAGACAACCTACCTGTACAGGTAAGACAAAGGTCTGAGTATAGACAACCTACCTGTACAGGTAAGACAAAGGTCTGAGAATAGACAACCTACCTGTACAGGTAAGACAAAGGTCTGAGTATAGACAACCTACCTGTACAGGTAAGACAAAGGTCTGAGTATAGACAACCTACTGTACAGGTAAGACAAAGGTCTGAGTATAGACAACCTACCTGTACAGGTAAGACAAAGGTCAAAGGTCTGAGTATATACAACCTACTGTACAGGTAAGACAAAGGTCTGAGTATAGACAACCTACCTGTACAGGTAAGACAAAGGTCTGAGTATAGACAACCTACCTGTACAGGTAAGACAAAGGTCTGAGTATAGACAACCTACCTGTACAGGTAAGACAAAGGTCTGAGTATAGACAACCTACTGTATAAGACAAAGGTCTGAGTATAGACAACCTACTGTACAGGTAAGACAAAGATCTACATGTAGACAACCTACCTGTACAGGTAAGTCAAAGGTCTGAGTATAGACAACCTACCTGTACAGGTAAGTCAAAGGTCTGAGAGTAGACAACCTGAGTGTAGACAAAGAGGCTGTACAGTAACCACCATATTTTTGTGGAAAGTAAGTAATAAACCTTAGAATATAAAGAGTTTTTAAATACTTGATAACCAGTGAGTTGTGTGTATGATACAGTAAATCATTCTGTCTTCAGTGAAATTTAGCAGTTTTTAAAATTATTTTCTCAATAAAAGTCAATACAAAGTTATATACCCAGTTAATATGATGTTAAAATGATCAAATACTCTAGGTGATATTTTAATTCAATGCAATCAATATCAATTCTCTATCTGAGACTGTTTTATTGAAGGTTTTTAAAGACTATCCTGGTGTAAGTAACTGACACACATAAGTGCATGAAAACTTAACTTCTCCTTAGATATTAAAAGTATTGGTCAGGTCACTAGATGACAGATTTTATTCACACCCCATAGATTAGTACCAGCTCCATTTAGTGTTTCTTTGTTAAAAGCCACTGTCTACCCACATTAAGTTGACCAAGGGGGAGTAACCTTTTGGGCTTACCCTTTTAATGGATTCTACTCACTTGTCCATTATGACAAGTCAATGTCACAAATCAATAGCTGACCATCTAACATCATATGTTAAAAGATAAAAGGGATTATTTTGTAAAGATTCATGCAGAAGGTTCAAGAGAAAGAAACATTTTATTTTTAGGTCACCTGAGTAACTCAGGTGACCTATTGCTATCCGTTTTCGTCCGTCGTCGTGTGTCGTGCGTCGTGCGTCGTGTGTTAACATTTGAACATTTTCAGCTTCTTCTCTGAAACCACTTAACTAATTTCAACCAAATTTGGTATACAGCATCTTTGGGTGAAGGGGAACAAAAATTGTGAATTTCATGGTCCCTGCCCCCCTGGGGCCTGGGAGGTGGGGCAAAAACCACAAAAATTATTGCAATCTTTAAAAATCTTCTTCTTTACTCCTGGACATCAAGCAGGCAAACTGTTGTTATGAATGTAATGAGCATTGAGTCCTCTACTTAAATTGTGAAATTCATGGCCCCAGTGTCAGGGGTTCTAGTGCTAGGGCGGGGCTATATAGATTATATAGTGAAAATGCATGATTTCTTTGAAAATCTTCTTCTCTGCTCCTAGGTATTAAATAAACTAAACAAGCACATAGTTATGATGAGCAAGAGTGCCTCTTCCTAAATTGTGAATTTTATGACCCCAGGGTCAGGGGTTCTGGTGTTAGGGCGGGGCTCTATTGGTTATATAGTGAAAATGCATTAATTCTTTGAAAATCTTCTTCTTACTTCTGGGTATTAAATAAACAACTAAGCACATAGTTATGATGAGCAAGAGTGCCTCTTTCAAAATTGTGAAAAATAAGGGTTCTGGTGTTAGGGCGGGGCTCTATGGGTTATATAGTGAAAATGCATTTATTCTTTGAAAATCTTCTTCTCTACTTCTGGGTATTAAATAAACTAACTAAGTACTTAGTTATGATGAGCAAGAGTGCCTCTTTCAAAATTGTGAATTTTGTGGCCCCAGGGTCAGGGGTTCTGGTGTTAGGGTGGGGCCCTATTGACGATATAGTGAAAATGCATTTATTCTTTGGAAATCTTCTTCTCTGCTCCTGGGTACAAATAAACTAACCAAGCACATAGTTATGATGAGTGAGTGCCTCTTTCAAAATTGTGAATTTTGTGACCCCAGGGTCAGGGGTTTTGGTGTTAGGGCGGGGCTGTATTGATCATATAGTGAAAATGCATAAATTCTTTGAAAGTCTTCTTCTCTGCTTCTGGGTATTAATTAAACTATGTGATTAAATAGTTATGTTGATCAAGAGTGCCTCTTTCAAAATTGTGAATTTTATGACCCCAGGGTCAGGGGTTCTGGTGTTAGGGCAGGGCTCTATTGGTTATATAGTGAAAATGCATTTATTCTTTGAAATTCTTTCCTTTGCTCCTGTGTTTAATGCCTATGATCCAAATATATATATTAATTATGAAGAAAGGTGCACCTAGCAAAATGGTTATTTTTTATGCCCCCGCCCCTTCCCTGGGTCGGGGTGAGGGTGGGGGGGATTTGTAAATTAATGCTTTGAAATTTGCTCTTTGGTGTGTTAATCAACCATTTTATGATAAAATTTGCAAAATTTTGAAATATGTGGCCCCAGGATCAGTGGTTCCTTTGGGATGAGGTGTACAACTGGTTATAAAGTGGAAGTGCATTTTCTCTTAATGTTACTCTGATCTACCTCTGGGTATTAAGTAAATAGAGTTAGCATGCTAAGTCTAAATTATTATAAGCAATGGTACCTCTTTCAAAATTGTGAATTGGCTCCATGGCCTCTGGTTTAAAACATGAACCAAATTTAATTGTTTGAAAGTTGTTGCACAATACTCAGGTGACCTATAAGGCCCGTGGGCCTCTTGTATACATGTATATACAGTATAAGCTAGCTTCTACCCATTAGAACTGTACTTAAAACCAGTCAAAGTTCAGATGGCGATGGCAGGTCAACTTAGTTGGGTAGACATTATGTACAAACAGGAATTGTAAAAATAGATTTTTCATACTGGTACTTGTTTTCGTGTTTTATACAAGTCATCATAATCCCCACATACTCGAAACTTCAAACTATTGTAGTACATGTATTAATAAAACCCCTTGTATCATTTTCTTTATTGTACATATCTATTAGTACATTTACCATATAGCAAAACTAATCTTGATTTCTATTTAAAAATAAATGTATTTTATGAATTAAATGTATAACATCATGACCTAACATTATTTGATAGGATGTTTTACAGTGTAGATTTAATGAGCAGCATATATTTGACAGGGTACAGACATTGTAACGATTGACGGGACACAACCCACAGTTGGAGTGATCCTAAAGCTCATTACGAACAGTGTAAGTTAATGACAAATTTTAGGCATTTTCTTCATCTCAAGAAAATTTTGAAGGTTTTGTAAGAAACTCTGTCTGTGAATACCAAGCAGAGATTTTTGTTTGATATAATTTTCTGGTTTCCCTCAGGAACCCGATGCCATGGTGAGAGCAGACAACCTAGAGTCCCTCCCTGCTCTGGATTTGTTCCCTGAGCCGAGTGCTGGGTACTTCCGTACTGGAGATGACACTAACGGTGTGAAATCTCCTGAAGTTTTGAAGGTTAACTTCGCTGATGAGACGTCGTGGGGCTCAATGGGAACTGAGAAACCCGAATCTCCCCCACAGCAGCCGGGGTACTACTTACAGAAAGTCTACAAGAAGCCCATGTCTGTAAGTACAGGGTTATTACTCGGTAGTATTAACTTATGTAACATTAACCTTGTCACCTGTAGTCTTTATTATATTTGTATCATGCACAAAGATTAACTAATTTTACAAGAAAAACCCATATTTTTTCCATATAAATAGATTTTATAATTATTGAGAAAAATTTAAACATTATATACATTTATTGCATTGTTTCTATTTATATCATAGTGCATGTTAAGTTTATGCTTCAAAGGGACACATATTTATGAGTGTATATAATGTCAAGGTTATTTTATTCTGAAATTCTTTTATTCTAAATGATATTTTTGATACAGCAGATTTATTTGATTTGGTAAGTCAGAGACCTATACAAAGGCGCTGTGTCTTTCTGCTACATTCTGATGTGTACAGTTCTCGTTTCGTAAACTTGTCTGGTGTCATTGTATATAATTACTTTTTAACACTGTCTCAACTTTTAATCTCATTAACATTTTAAAATGATATGTGTCTCAGAAAGAGAAATACATTGAATTGTCAAAATGTTACAAATAAATGGAGTCAAAAATACAGAAATATAAAAATATGTTATTTGTCTAACCCGCAGTATAAAATATATGTAGTTTGGAAAGGAGGAATGAGTAAACATACATTAAAAATTCATAAATACATATATATTGAAAACATATGGCTGGACAGGGAATCAAACCTGGGACCCCTGTATCTCTAGTCAGGTGCTCTAACCACTGAGCTATCCAGGCTGATGTCCTCAGTCCAGCCTAAATTACTTACACATAATATTGGGGGTACTACCCTTTTGCAGTGACAAATTTTAAAATAAAATATGGTCACATATGATATTATAAAGTAATAGTTTTTAAAATCACTGGATTATCTGCAAACTAAAACTTTTGAAACTGAACTATGTTAAAACTGTATTAATTTCACAGTATGCTGATTTTAAAGTTGCTGTACTGTAATTCATTTTTCAAAATTAATACTGTAAATTCACATTTTTCACTTAGGAAAAACTAATTTTTTTTGAAAGGAGAATTGTTTGTGAAAAATTACATTTTGTGGTAGACATGAATTTGTGGGTCTCTTCACAAAAGCAGAAAAATGAAGAAATTTATGCAGAATCTGTGAAAATTCACTTTTCATTTGGAATTTTTTAAAGGATATGCTTGTGAAAAATTTCCCTTAGAAATGAAAATTTATAGAAATAATTTGTAATCCCAAAAAGTGTAATTATTTTGTGACTTCTATTTTTTTTTATTTTTTGTATTAAAACACTTAAGATAAGGTCTTTTTATTCATCTTAGAGGGTTATTTGGCTTTGGAAGCATTATCAATATAAAAAATTTCTTTTCAACTAAGTAAAATTTTGGGGGATTTTTTTTCATTAAAAAATTCTTAAATTTAAAGGGTGATATTTAATTAAAGAAAGGGAAATGGTACTAGAATTTTTTTTCTGTTCTAGCTCTGGTCTTGGTTCAGCTTTCAGTCCTTTATAATTAAGTCAACTCTTCTCCTCATCTCTGACTCAGAAATCCTTCTTTGCAGATTTTAACAGAAATGAATGATTTCAATCTGTGTTGTATTGTGTTGTAGCCTAATTGTTTGTTCCAAGTCTATTCACTATCAGGTTTACAGGTAACAGTTGGATTTATTTAACCCTGTTTAAATGTTTTACCTTGCTTTGCTTTCAATTAAATAGTTTGCTGGTCAGAGTTATTCCCCTTTAAATGCATCTCAGTATACATGTAAACTATTTAAACAAATTATGCAATTGATTAATACTCTGAAGAATGTTGTTATTTGCTGTCTCTTTTACAAACTTTCTGCATGTATTTTACCTGCATGTTGTGTGAGTGGAATTTATTATTAAATTAATAAGTTTATAGGTAAATATTTTATGAAATCTCAAGCCACAATAAAATGTAATATTGCATGTGTAGAAAACATTCCAGTTTTATATTCCTCTCTATCAACTCTTTCCCTCTGTGTATTATCTGTTGATAAAAGGAGTATTGATTTCCCTTGGCTCTCCTGTAAAATGAACTGCAGTTTCTTTTTAAGTTCAGGTAACTTTAAATGTTCAGCCAGGTGGAGAAATCATGTTACTTGTTGATCCTGTGCAAACTTGCCTTGGTTACCAAGAGGCCATGTGTAAACAAAAAGATTACCAAATATCAGATTTACACCTGTCAAAATTCTTTAAATCACCAGACAATTAATTATCAAAACTGACACAAACACTTCCTCTAAAAAGATCAACTAAGATTTTTTCTGTGCATGTTAAATGCATGTTGTGTTTTTTGAGCTCTGCTCCTTTAGGAAGCCCCTTGCAATCTTAAAGTGTTTAATATTAGAGGATCTTTATACAACCTGATCATGCCAAGAAGGATTTAACTATTTCTTTGCCAAAAAGTGTGTCATAAACTATGAAAATGTGAGAAAGAATTAGGCCACCATTATAAATTCTGTGATTGGAATTATTGTATTTTTGTAATTTGTGATAAAAAAGACAAATCTTGGGAAATTTTTAATGGCTACAATGTATTATAGGCCTTATACGGCCGAGGTAAGATATTTGTACATATAATTCATCGTTCTATTATTTACTTAGGTAAAATGGGGGTTCCTTTGGCTTTAAATTTCTTAAATCCTTTTAACAAATACCACGTTGAGTAATCAGATATATACATGTAATTCCTTTAATTTAGTATTATTATTCATTGAAAATAAACAGAAAAAGTGTTTTGTCATTTATATAGACTATAGAATTTATGTAAAGTAATTCCTTGATATGCTATGGATTAAAATAAATTAATTTATACACCCATTATTTGATTGTTCTATGTTATATTGCAAACATGAAAATATTAAGTATTTGTTTATGTGTACCATGAACATACATATATTTACATTTTCAAAAACAAAAGTTTGAAATTTTGGAAAAAGATTTATTACGTATAGTAGAGGTTTATTCACACATCAGTATTGTTGATTTGCAGCCTATCAAAGATGGAGACCTTCCTCCTTATGAGGCTATGGAGTCTATACTGCCAGATTACCAGTACATCTTTGTGGATCCAGAAAACAAATCTGGTCGCCCACCCCAGAGGCCACCAGCAGCCACCCAACTACCAGGGGCTACCTCCTCAATGCCAGGAGGCCCCTCTACAAGGTAAGTATTTACCCCCCAATTTTTTTGACACTTCAGCTCATTTTGTACACCATTAGCAATTAATTTATTAATATATTTCCTCCTGTTTGAGTTCTTTAATATCTTATTTCAATGTGATATTTAGTGCAAATGTCCTAGTCTTGAAACTTGATTTCTAAATATTAAGTTGATTTAAGGAAATTGAAACTGGGGTCTAAGAGAAAAAGGCCATCCAAGTAGCTCTATGTATCATATTAGGCTTTTTGCAATTTTCTTTTTCATCTTACTAAAACTTCTTTTACAGTTAAACTTCTGATTCAGTATATCTAATGCCAGTTTGTTGAATGCCATGGATTTGTTGAAGTCCCAATGATTATTTCTTAAATCCTTATATTAACATTACAGTTACCAGCCTGGAAATCTAGACCAGACGTCCATGAATGTATTAGACCACCAGATGAAGGAACTGGAGAATTACCGTACAGCTGTCCACAAAATGGGTCAGGATATCCTGGCCCTGAGGCAGCAGATCCGCGAGTTGGAGGCGAATAACAGTCAGCTGCGGAGGGATTTGGCAAATTACAATGATGCGGGTAAACTGATGATCGAATCCGCGGAGCTTGACAATCTCACAAAACCAGAGGTCATGTCCAGATATGGTAAATGTCAGAATTTGCTATCCTGTAGATACATTGGTTGTTACTCAAACAAAAATCTGAAAGACCCTGATAATTCTTTTCTGAAGTCAAAAATTCTTGGAGAAATTAAACATTTACCCAGAAAATGTCTCGGCATCAAGTTTTTTCTCCCAGTTCTAGAAAAATTAAAAAAAGTAATCTAAGCAAGAAATTTCTACATCAGTTGTTGGAAAATCAATTAAGAATTGCTTAGTAATGCTAAATTCAGGTGATATCATCAGAGAAGCGTATTGATTATTTTTGCATCTTGAGTTTCACTTCCATTTATGGTGCATTTAATTACATTGTATTTTCAGCCATCTTGAAACAAACTCTAGTTATTAGTAGCAATGATCTGAAAAGCTACAAAGAGAGAGTTCAACGGCTACAAAATGAACTCATCAAAGTAAGCTCGCTTGAGCTCTGTTAAGGACAGACGAGACGTTCCTTAATAATAGATAAATTTTTCTAAGAGTTTGTCATTGAAGTATTGCTACTTAAACATGTTTACTCACAAAAAATTGAGGTACCTTACCAGGCATTTCTGCAAGATACCAGGGGTAGTTTTTCTTATATAATCCTTTGAGGAAGAAAAACAAATTTCCAATTTCAAATGTTTAAGTGTTTGGATCCTTTAAAAACATTTAGAAACTGGTTTAGAAATCAGAATGTTATTAAAATTTTTAATAGTTTTCATACATTACAAAGATATACAAAACAGATTTTGAGGAACGTCTCGTCTGACCTTAAGTTTTAGTAGGATTTTTAGTGGGTAATTGGGATTTTGCACACCATTTGCTTTTTTCAGCTGCACTAAAACAAACGCTGCAGTCAAACTCGGGTGACATACAAGCTTACAAAGACAAAGTTCAGAAACTACAGAACGAACTCATTAAGGTACAATATCTAACACTCACAGGCTTCTTTGCAATATCTTCACTCAAGTGTGATAGTATATTATTGGCACTGTTTCCATATTATATTATTTAATTTCATAATGTAAATCTATATAAATATGATGATGTGATACATGTATAAATATGAATTCCCCCCCGGTAAGCTTTTAAAAAACTTCTTTCTTTGTTTTTTTACATTTGACCAAGTCTTAAAGAAAACAACTGCACACTTTTCCTAAGATTAATTTAAAAGAGTTCTGTTAAATCTAGAAATGAACTTAAATAAAATTTGTTTTCTTTAGAAAAATGACCAAGAAAAGAGGTATATAAAGATTGCTCAGAACTACAAACAACAGAACGAGGCGATCACCAAACTCCAGGAGAAACTGAAGAAGATGAGGACTGTGGAGGAGGCGTGTAAAAAACAGGAGAAGGTCATAGAGAAGATGGAGAAGATACTAGAAAAACAGCACAGAGACCGGGGCAAAAAGTCAACAGGTGAGTCAAACAGAGATCGGGGCAAAAAGTCTACGGGTAAGTCACTCAGAGAGACCGGGGCAAAAAGTCAACTGGTACGTCACCCTATAACCGGGGCAAAAAGTCAAGGGGTAAGTCAAACAGAGATTGGGGCAAAAAGTCAACAGGTAAGTCACACAGTGAACGGGGAAAAAAATCAACAGGTAAGTCACAGAGAGACAGGGGCAAAAATTCTACAGGTAAGATACAGAGAGACAGGGGCAAAAATTCTACAGGTAAGATACAGAGAGACTGGGGCAAAAAATCAACAAGTAAGTCACAGAGAGAGTGGGGCAAAAATTCTACAGTTAAGATACAGAGAGAGTGGGGCAAAAAATCAACAGGTTAGTCACACAGTTACCGGGGCAAAAAGTCTACAGGTAAGATACAGAGAGACAGGGGCAAAAAGTCTACAGGTAAGTCACAATATGACTGGGACAAAAAAGTCAACAGGAAAGTCAAACAAAGAGACCAGGGCAAAAAGTCAACAGGTAAGTCACATGCTTTGTACCTTGGTCTGAAGTAAGCATTTGGCATTCATCTGATTTTGAATTCTAAATAATACAAGTAATTAAATTCTCTGCCAGTAGATGCTGCCCAAGAAGCCAATGAAGCCCTGCTAGAGGAGAACAAGAGACTAAGACAACAGGCTGATGATTTACGGGTAAGGATAAAAAATAAACAATTTTTAGGGCAAAGAATAGGAAAGGATCACTTAGAATAATTTTTTTTTTTTCAAATCTCTGTCTTTATTTGGAAATTATCAATTTCAGGATCAGCTGAGATTAAGTAACAAAGGATCCTCCACCTCTGAAACAGATAAACTGGAGCTCTATCAGGCTCTGGAGAAAGCCGAGGCCAGGATACAGTCTCTAGAAACCCAGGTATAATCTTATTTATTGAAAAACATTCAAATTTTTATCTTCACATGGGGTTATTTAAAATATTTATTCTAAATTGTGAAAAATTATAAATATTTATTTAAATACGACAAGCATTCAAAATATTTATTTAGATTAGTGAAACATTTAACATGCATGCTTATTTATTCAAACATTATCAGTATAAAAAACTATTGAAAGTTTTGTTAAGATAAAAATAAGGTTTAAAAAGACAGGCATCAAAACATTACAAAATTTTAAAAATATTTTTGATTGTTACAGCTTTTAGAGAATTCCAGAAGTTGGGGTAAAGAGAGAGCCGATATGTTGTTAAAGTTAAATGAAGCGGAACACGGGTTTGGACGTTCAGCGGGCATGGTTCTACATGATTACCCTGTCTATGTAAGTTCTAATGAATTTCATAGTTACCTAAAGAGTTCTTGATAGTTAAAACCCCAATCAAAAAGACTAACATGACTTTAAGATGTTGAGTAAATATTAGGTTACCTCCCTTATTATGCTCTTCCTATTTCAGATTTTGTAATAAATAATCCAACTTTACTCTAAAAACTCTCTCTAGATAAAAAATGCTCTTTCTGTAATCAGGACATTATTTTTTGTCTGTTCTGTGCTTAACATGTCTTGATAAATAACCAGGATTCTCCGAGAGTCTATATAACTAACCAGGAGTCTCCGAGAGAAGTGCGACAATCACGGAGACACACCTACCTAAGTGCCCCTCCTCCCTGTCGATGTGCCTGTCAGGTACAGAGTAATCCACCGACTTCCCTCTCAGAGTTATCCACCTTGATAAAATCACACTGAGTTCCTTTCCAGTTATCTACCTTAGTACAATCCCACTGAGTTACTTTCAGAGTAAATCCCACCAAGTGCCTTGCCAGAGTTATCACCCCTGATAATCACCACTAGATATTGTGTATTATTCTAACAGTATTGTGATATCCCTAAATTGTCCTCACTTATTAGTTTGTGATATCTGATGCACTATATATAGTGATATCTAATGCACTTTAACATTCACTTCTGGTGTATTATTGTACCAAACACTAGATTAGCATAATACATGTATATCTTTCCTTTCAAACTTAAAAAAATTTCACACACAGGAGCCTTTGCTGAATTCAGAGATGTTGATTTTTTTCTAACTGTTTGAACAATTTGTGGTACACTGCCAGTGATAGAATTGTGAATGTGATTGTCTATAATTTTTCAGAATGACAAACTTGCCCGAAACAGCCCTCGGCGATTGTCTCCCCTGTACCGCTGATACGACTCGGGACCCCCTCCAGGTGCTTTCAATATGGCTGCCAGTAGGAGCTCATAAGACTGTAAACGTCACCTTTATTTATTAGTCACACATCACACAGGACCATGACAGACAGATCGAAAGGTGCTGGCTCTTGTGAATGCCAGAATTGTACAACTGTGTTTAACTGAGATTAGCAACTGAATGAGTGCAAAGCACAAATATTACTGCTTAAACCTGAGGCTGATGATGAAACAAGTGTCTTTTATTATTTCACATTCTTTATCAAATTTTCTTTTAAATGTAACATACATAATGTGCTTCTTCTTAAAATGTTTTGACTTTCATACATATTTTTCTGAATTGTTCATGACTGTGATAGCAGACACCAAAGTATACCATGCCTACTTGTTCATCTTTTATGTTGTACAGTAAATCTCTATATTGTTATCAGTTTTCTTTGTATAATTATGTATTGTTAGAGATATATTGCATTTTGTTGGAAATAAATTATTTATAACTAGTTATAAAATTTGTGTGTGCTATCAAAAAAATATTGGTTTCCGGGGATTTGATTTCATGATTGGAGAATGTTAAGTGGTAATGTATATGAAATTTTACATATCATGTAAATGCATACAAACTTATAATGCATACAAATTTTACATTCCGTGGTCATTAATTTGTGGGTCTCTCCATGCCTTGAAAACAATGAAAATTAAACCCTCACGAAAATTCATAAATTCAAAGTACATAATCAACTGGAACAACCTCTGTTCCTTGAACTCTAATTATAAAGAACACCTCTGTAGAGATTTTAAGCCCATTTATTTCTTTGAAATGAAGAGTGATTGACGTCAATGTCATGTACTATATTGTCAGAATGAGGCTAATAGGTAGAACCACCATCCAAGTGCTGAAGAATGCAGTGTTTGATCAAATCATTCCAAGACTTGGAAACTTGTCACTTTTTTCCTGAAAAACAAGAACAAGAAGCATCAACAAATATTCCGATAATAAATGTACGGCTGAAGCAATTCATATTTAAGACATCTCAGATAGGCTTTTCACAAAGAACTAACATGCTTCATGAAATATGCTTGGTTTTTTTGGAATTCTAGGGCCATACTTCATAATAAAAATTTTCAATGAAAAAGGCATTTCTGAGGAATTTTTCAATTTTGGTGGTTCAAGGACTAATTTCCTAAAACAAGGGTCATAATTCTATGAAACTCAAACTAATTCTGTTTTCTGGTATGCACAGTAATTTCCCAACTTTTGATTTCTAAGACCTACAGATTCTAAATCTATATGGAAAACAAAAATTTTAATCAACTTGTTAATAGACAACAATATATGGACATTTTTTACATGAGAAATAAATGAAAATCTTTGAAACTTGAAGGTGATTGCAACTTTAGTATCAAAGTTAAATTTTTAAAAGTTTTGGAAACAATATTCAATTATTTTTAGTTGAAAAAGGGTGATAACTTCTAGTTATCAGGATTTTCACATTATCAATAGAAGAGGCAAGTAAAGGCAGAAGATTTGACACTACCTGCAGTAAACCACTTTGGGACGCCCGGTTTTTTGGAATCGGATGAGGAGTCAGAGTCTGGTTTGCTTGGTTTTGGTTTAGATGGGCCTGATTTAGAAGGGCCAGGTACTTGATCTTTTCTTGATGAACTTGGAGTCTCATCCTTAGGCAAGCTGTAAAACAAATAGAGGAAACTTAAAAGATTTACAAAATCAAGATACCTCTATGTATCTGCATGTCTTCCAACACACCATCCATTTATCTTTCAACCCCACAGCAGAAGTTTTTGAGATTTTCTGACAAGAAGGTTATGATAATATATATTATAAATTTTTTTCAAAACAATTTCTCAAAAAACCCTGCCTTTTTTCCACAATCTCCTCTGCTTTAGTCTTTGGACTGATTTCCTTCATCACAGCCTCAGAGAGATAATGATCTGAAAGTTTGACAGAAATTGTGTAAATTAAGAATGAACGGTACACATTACCGGAGTAAAATCTCTAGTTTAACTGTGTCTATGTTTTAAAAGTGACAAACCTTTAGTCGCCTCTGATCCAAAATACACAACAGATGCTGGTGCTAGTTTTGCCTGTAAAATACACCCACATATACAGCTTCATCTTGGTACTTTGTTGCATTTAACTTGCATGCACATGTTCATGTATGTATTCTAGCATCAAGACTATAAAATTACAGAGGTTATAAAACGCATACAATACCTGAATCAAATTCAGTGTTTGGTCCTTTAACACCTGTTTTGGAGGAGCAGTGTCTGAAATATAATTCAGAAAATTAACATTAATCATGACACATGTACAGCTTTCTGTTGGTAAATATAATTCAATGTGATCAGTTTATCCCTCTCCATGACATATGCCTGGTTATAGTTCTGAATGTCCTACTTACAAAGATAAAATCCTTGACTTTTGTCTTCCAGATATTCTTTCACAAATTTATGCAAAGCATGAACTGAAAAATCAATCAATCAGTCAGTAATGGATTAACGACAGAAATAAATTATGCACTTCAAAATATCATCATTATTCCCTGTAACAAGTGAAGAAACCACATTTAAATGAAAACCAGTCGTAGCTCTCTCTCTCACCTGTCTCTTTAGGTCGGAACAGTCCCTGGAGCACCACTTTATCTGGGAACTGGACTCTGATGACCACGTGCTGGTACTTAGAATACTGGGACTCCAGCCTGTCCTGGACCATGCTCCGTGTTAACAGGGGCTGATCCGTCTCACTTTTTCTGTGTAGATAAATTATAAAGCTTTGTGTGATCTTTTAATATAAACTGTATTCAAGTGCAAAATGTTACATTCAATTGAACAAATGAACCTCAAAATACTCCCTTACACCCCCCCCTTCCAATTTAAAACAGTTAGAATTCATATTAAAATTAACAGGGATCTCACGAATAACTTCAAACTTATTTTGAAATCAATCAACAATTCTACTTACATGTACTACAAAATAAGTGATAAGTGTTTTACTGTTAGCATTTTGATAATACATCTGAGTTTAGTAGAGAACTGAAGTACTCACGCTTTCTTCTGAAGGTCCACCATCATTTTCCTGATATCATTTTCTGTTATTTCAAAGAATTCATCCGGCAGATCTACAATCCAGAATAAATAGAAAATTTACTGAAATACAGGCTTAATAACTAGAATATGTTTTGTACATCTCTTATCTGATTATAATGAGAAAAATTTATGTTTCCTTCACTGATACATGTATATAATGTAATTGTAAAAACTTCTTCATTTTAAACCAGATTATACATTTTCTATCATCTTTCTGGTGTATAGCAGTCAACTGACCTTCATTTGAAGCAGTAGATCTGATGACTTCCTCTGCATTAAATAAAACAGCTTCTCTATCACAGGGCTAAAGTGAAATAGAATTTACTCACATTGACAAAAAATATATGTTGTATGGAGAAAAACAGCATAAGAAAAGTTGGCAAAAGATGGCATTTGCAAAATAACAGAAAGATTTCTGGGTTTACCTTGTATTCCTCTCTATTGACTTCACTACAAGGTAAAAAAAACATTACGTGATCTTTGGAAGTCTTTTCTAAATCACACAGTTATTCTAATATTTTACTGGTATATAAGAAAGAGTTGAACATTGACTTTTACAAACTAATGTATTGATTTCCCTTCTTCTCAAAGATATAAATTAACCCACCTTAGTTCATTTTTATAAACATCTTTTCCCTTTGTGTCCTCTGGAAACTGTGTAAATGTAAAAACATATAAATTATAAGTATCACAAAAGAAAACTGTTGTGGGTATTCATCAGATTTTTTGTTCGCAAACAAGATAAATACACAACAATAATAAAATGACCTTGAACTCTGTGAACTGGACAGTCTCCTGAGGTCGGCCTCTCTTTGGTTTTGATGCCCCTGCTGCTTGCCGACTGGGTGCTGGCTGTAAACCCATTTGTGGCATGTAATGTGCTGCCAGACGTCTTGCAATCTACAATTTAGTATAAAAGTATAACTGGGTTCCATTTTACTTAGAATAAATGCTGTATATTTAATATCATGGCTGCTCTTTAGGTTATTAGTTTGTGGTACATCTACTTCACACTACCTCTTGTTCTTGTGGTGATAATTCATCAAAATCTCCAGGAGCAAACACTTGAACCCCTGGAATATTCATCTGCCTGATTGTTTCTACAAACTCCTGCTGCCGATTACCATGACTATGACCTCTAGCCTCATTTGCTGCCCTATGACCTGGGGTTTCAATCCTGTCCTCTACTTCCATTGGTTGCTGTGATGTGCTTGGTACTGATGTACTGGGTTTTGGGTCTACCTCCATGGCTTCTGATGTCTGACTTGTTGACTGGGTCAGGGCTTCAGATTTGTCTTCAGCTGATTTTGACTTGTCTTCAGACTTTAACTCTTCAGTTTTAGGAGGCAGAGATTTATCCTCCTGTTGCGAAAGCTGTCTTTGAGCTAATGAGTCTAGCTTCTCCAGCTTTGTTTTCTCTCTTTCTATTTTATCTAAAATTTCTGCCATCACTGCATCATCTACTGGTCTGTGAACAAGTCTGAAAAAAAAAAACATTCTGAATGTGTTTACTACCACCAACATCCAATTTTTTTTTAATTCTAAAATGAAATCATATGTTTGACTTTGATTAAATAGAAAATATCTAAAAAAAAAATTCTTCAATAGTTTGTTGCTGGGTTGTATTCACATACTGTATACCTTATGACAGCTTTTCCACCAGTTAAACCCAGCTTTCTAAGTGTCATGGCCTGTAGGGCAATCTCGCCTATTACCTGGGAATAAAATAAATCTTCATTGTTTCATACTTTTATACATGATACAGCAGGTCTTCAAACTCAATACAATGAATTTTTATTATGTTAATTTGGGACCAGCAGATCTAGTTTATAACCACCTATGTATGTACATTTGAAACATAAACTTACCTCCTCTCTCATGTAGATACAAGTAGTCTGGATGGGGGGTTTATGTGTCGGATCCACCTTACATAGGTTTCCTGTGTGAGCACTATATCAAAATAAAAATTACTACTACTCTTTAAAGACTGTTTTTCATAAAAATTCATTTTCAGTAAAGCTCTACATACTCTGTCTCAGTAAGACCTGACATTTCAACACTTTTCAGAGTAAAACATGCTCTATTTGTGGAACTAACAGATGCACCGGTGACTTATTGATGGAAGAAAACTATCTAAGACACTATTCACTGTCACATTACTCTACAACCAAAAGAACTAATTATCAGTACATGCTTGCTGGAGCCTGACCTGTCCGCTTTCTCCCAGTGCTGTAACATGTCCCACAGTGAGGTGGCGGGGGGAAATGTGTGCTGTAGTCTCTGTCCGTCCTCCAACTGTAGGGCAATCAGGACGTCCTGTTCCGCTCGGCTGGACTCACTCTTCACCAGCTCCAGTTTAACATTGTTGGGGAGATTGGAATATCTTATGGAGAGGGTAACATCTACAGTCTTTCTTCCATGTCTGTAATACAATAAAATAATGATATAGGTCATTTCTATTACACATGCACTCACCCCCCATTCCCACCTCCAAAACATGCCCGGGCTGTTGCTATATTCCCTCCAACTTTGTTGTGGAAAAAAGAAAATTCAGAGAATACTTATCCCCCAGTTTGGGGGCAAATTTATTCAATTCCAATGGCCTATTGCATATTGTAACACTCTTGTTTGTTCACCATGCTAAAAGAAGTTTTGCATATTTGAAGTACATGCAAAGTGTTCTTAAGAAAGAGTTCTAATTTTTTCTCATTTAAAAGCACTGAAGTTTAAGAACATTAAAGCTTTTTGTAAGACATAGAGACAAATGAGATTTGATGTCCCTCCACTTTTGTATTCACACAAGACAATAATGTACACATCATACTTAAGTGAGTAGTCCTCGGGAGGAAGGAATCCCTGCTTTTTACACACTTCTTCTAGTACCTGAAATAGAATATATATGATGTAATTGTGATACATTAAAAAAAACTTTCAGTACATAAAATAACAAGAAGTGACACTTGACAACTAGAGGGGATTAAAAGTTACCTACAATTTGATAGAATTTTTCAATGAATATTAAAACCATACGACTAAAAAAATAGAATTTTAAGGACTTTATCATGCATTTACCCCTTTACTTTATGTGTTTCATTCTTTTACAATTCATGGGCTGACAAACAGATTTTTAAGGCACTTGTCCAAGGGCAAGTACATGGTCAAAATTCACTTGCCCTACCAGAATTTTTGCTTGCGCTACCATAAACTAATTTAGTTTATGGTAGCGCAAGCAAGTAATAATGTATTTATTAAAACATTTCAAAACCAGAAGTCTCTGTCAAGACTGTAGCTCTATTGGTTTGTACTTAACAAACTTAAGGATGAGAAAAGAAGCCAATGCCATTAGACCAAAACTATAGAAGGAGTAGCGTTTTAAAGGAATTTTACAGAAAATTCTATTTTTAGAAACCATGGCAACACCGTTCATCAAAATCGAAAACCAATGCACTATATTATCATCTTAGTGTAGTCTACTTGTGTGTCAAGTAATATTGAAATCAGCCCAAAACTGTAGAAGGAGTAGCGTTTTAAAGGAATTTTGCAGAAAATTCTATTTTTAGTAACCATGGCAACACCGTTCATCGAAATCAAAAACCGATGCACCATTTTATGTATCTTGGTGTAGTCTACTTGTGTGCCAAGTTATATTCCAAAACTGTAGGAGGAGTAGCGTTTTGAAAAATTGTTTACAGACAGACAGACAGACAGACGGACGGATGACGGACACCTTACTATCGCATAAGCTCTTCTGGTCGCTGACCAGTAGAGCTAAAAAGAGGAAGACAAATATTAAGTAGGTCATGCAAGTCCCTATGCCCAGCTTTAATCCACAGCTTACAGATTGATTTTAGTTTTGATAAGTCACTTGCCCATGTGGTTGATAAAAGTTCACTTGCCCATTCTTAAAAATCACTGGCCCCCGGCGTCGGGTAATGGGATTTGTGATCCCCTGCTTTTATTTATTTTTAATTGCAACACGTGTATTCAAATACCTAGTGATGTCATAGAAAGAATTGGATATTAAAGGAATTATTATTTTGCAGCCAACTAAGTATATTTTAAAAGTACATAAACCCCTGATTATGATTTCATTTCATTAATTAAAATATAATTTATGCCATGAAAATATAATAATGTCAAGTACATATGTGACGCGCCAAGCAAAAACCTCCCTTATCTTTATTATGACGTAACGTCAGAAGACGCGTCTAAAGTCAACAAGGTAAATTCGACGTAAAAACGTCTCCTTGAGAGAAACTCTCGATCCCGGTAGAAAAAGGGGATGTTGTTATATTTATATACTAAGACAGATTCTTGGGTGTAATTTGATGTAGTTTATTCATTACAAACCTAGTCTCCATCAAGTGTCTGTGTGATCTTTCCTTTTCACAATTAATTAAGTGTGTATTTTTTAAAGATTTCCAGTGGTGGCTGAAAAATTTCCGTAAGGCCATTTTAAAATGAAGTTTGTTTGCCCTCTCCCTATTAGTGTTAAAAAATTGCATCGGTAGGTAATTCAAATTTTTTTTTTTTTTTTTTTTTTTGTCAGACATTTTCGGTGTTGAAAAAGATTGAAGGCATTTCTGAAATAAAAAAGAAAGTTGTTGATAGGATGAAAAAATTCCGGGATAAATAATTTGGAAGTCTTAAAAAGATTTTGGTCGATTAATTTTAAAAGGTCAAACAAACGAATTTTTAAAGATAGTTTTTATTAAATTTAATGTCCAGCTGTTTCATCTTGATGCACATGCAAGAAAAATTTAACAGGAGCATTAAATTAAGTTATTTTTTTTTTTAAATAACGATGCAATGAAAATTTTCCTGAATAACTTCTCTTTTATTTATGGAATGAATTAAATAGCTACCCAATTTATACGGTATAAACTGAGTTGGGACAGTTAACGCTGCCGTTTATATAAATAAAACGTGAACTATTATTGATAAATAGTTAAGTTTAATTTAAAAAAAAAACATAGATACGACACAGAGTATTTGATTTGGACACTTCTTCCGGAATTGGTTTTAGCTGTTGATTTAAAATGAATATTTTGAAGAAAGACCTGTTGAGCTTCTCAATTCATTTTATTGTTGGACACCTCATGTTGTACAAAAATGTAGAACCCCCACCCCCACCCCCTTTCTCCTGTGTCACGTGTCTGCTCTATTTCTTTGGATACTTCTTGAAATATTTGTCTTGAATATATGGATGCTCGCATACGTTGTAAGTTACAGTCCCACTATCTAAAATATTTTATGATTGAAAATTAAACAGATTGATCATGTGTTTATCGACCTTTTCATAATTTGTTACATGAAGTTATACACAATACACCGAATGTAAAAATCGCAAACATGATACATCGCTTAAAATGTTATGATTATAATAGAAATTGTTACAAATTCATACGAATCGTTTGAACACTTTTAAAACATTCCAACTTATTATCATTTTGTGCATGGTTTATCGACATGTACTAAAGAAGATTCTGGTGTTCTGGATTCCTGAAAACAATTTATTATAATTTCGATCATTTATAAAATTGCTGAATCAGGCTGTTGCATGTACATGTAGTAACGTCTCCAGTGCTCATTCAGCCTTCTTAACTTAAAACATCAATGCAGTATGAAAGTATACATTAAACGTTTTAGAGGTTAAAGACTTTCTTTTTAATGATTTTATTTTAACCGTTAGTGTTAAGGATTTTTTAACCTGTAATAAATATTTCCCCGACAAAGACTTTACTACAAACATTTCATAATTTAACATCTATACCTTGGAAAATAATAAACTTGTTTTCTTCAGATGAATCGCAATTAAATGAATATGTATACATTTTATGCGTTTCAAATTATGAAAATTTGCTACCAATTACACGTAATTTATTAAATGTATACATGTAAAAAAAACTTAAACAATGTCAATAAGATTTTCCTGCAAAAGTTGTATTGAATATGCGTACATGTACATGTATGGGCAGTTTAGTGCAAAATTAGTACGGTACAAATCTGCACAAAATATGTTAATCCGTGGTAATATGCCTATATTTGTTCAAGATATATGGAAGTTGGAGGATATAAATATCTGAATATATTTTACATAAGTCAATGATCAAAACGCTCTATATTCTAAGATAAAGAATTTATCGAACATAAAAAATACATGTTGGTCGCCTTGAATATTGCGTGCTTGATCAACTAACCCATTCATACAGCTTCTCGTGTATAAAAAAAATGTATATAAATTACAACAATTAGTTAATATTTAAAAAAAAATAACAAAAGTTACAGCTAAAGATTGTACATGTGTGCTTTGTTCTTGTTTAATTAATTCAGGTAATCAATTAAGCGTAAATGTCCATAGCTAGACCCCCCCCCCCATCCCGTTTACGATGATCGAAGAATATTAAGAATGTTTTACCCGTTTTCTTACTTTCTATTGCTATTTTTAACATGCGTGTTTTAACCTATGCTAAAATGCAACTAGCATTTAATATGATTAAAATAAATCATAATGTGTGCATGTACTTTCTCAGGAAGGTAACAGTGAAGCTTAGTATATGCCTTCAGTCTTCACAAAATCTTTTTCTCAGTACATGTCCTTCGGGCATTTGTAACCTCTAATTACACTAGCCCGAACAAATATTTACATGCCCAGAATTGTATTTAGTAATTTTATTCTTATTTGCCGTTTCACACCAAGGAGATGATACAAAACCAATTTCTATCAATCTATTGTATTGCCCTTAATATTGTTTTTCATTCCTGTAGAACTGTATCTAAAACTTTCTTCTGTGCTTGAAGCTGTTTAGAAGGAAAATCAAAGACTTCTAAGTACAAGTATATTTAATGTTATTGGTATTATTTAATTTGATAATACGGAGGCTTATGTCTCAGAATTTACATGCCCTTTGGGCTTGTTAGTGTGCCATTTCCACATGCCCGCTACCAATTTTACCAGGCGCGGGCTTCAGGCTCCCAGGATTTGGTGAAGACTGTGCCTTATATTCTATGTCTAGAAATGAAGTTGTGGAGTGTACCGGTGGTACGTGTGTGTGTGATCACTTGTGGGATTCATATTTATTCTGGTATTGTGATTTATTATTCGGCTTATATACAATGACCGGTTCAAAATTAATTCATGATTAACTTCATACATATAAATTGCGGATTTTTTTTTCATTTAACAAGATTTAAAAAAACATATATTTTATAGAGTGGGGATGGTGTTACATTCTGATTCACTAAAAAGTATGCAGACGCATTTACGAAAATAATTATAAATACTAGTATATAAATATATTTATTTTTAAGAATTTAAACATAAATATACAATAGAAAACGGAAGGCCAGGAAAAATGAATCAAATGTTAAAAAATTACCAGGAAAAAATGATTGAACACTTTAACATTTGATGCACGTAATATTTACTGATTTGATTTAAACACGCATTTATTGAATTATACAAACGGATCGGAAACAAGTTTGACAACTTTCAAGTTCTTCTTGTGAAACTTAAGACTCATTTCATAACCACACCTGAAGAAAAAAGGATCAAACTCTACTAGAAGAAACAAATATAATTTATTCTTGGGTGGAGAATATCTTTTCAATAAGCCAAAAAGTCTTCAGTATTAAAACATTCGAAACTAAAACATGTAAATAGTTAACTTGTGGGACAAGAAATGTTATTTTTCCTTTAGATAGAAAAAAACCTGTTAAACTCTTTAAAATTTCAGGTATTTAAAACATGAACTATGACAATACTTTCTATCTATTCTGTGTATTGTATAGACTTTCAATGTCCGGGGGGGAGGGGGTGTTAATGGCTGTCTCAAACTTTTTAAAAAATATATACTTTGTTAGAATAACAGTGACAAATAGGTGCATCTGCTTAATTGGGATTGAACCCGAGGCCTCTGTGCTTTACCGAATAAGCTTAAGGGTTAACCCACTAGCCCAAGCTACTAGGAAGTCGTACGTGTGTCGTTTGTACTACCACAATAGCATTTTTTTTTATCCAAATGTTGCTTTCTTTTACTATTGCAGTGATGTAGATTTCTGCCATTTTACTGCATTGAAAAGCCGTAAATTGAAAACTCTCCCAGAGGAAGAGGAGATTTTTGATGTTGTCTTGAGTTTTGTTTTTTTTTCCTTGACGATCATTTCGACCCCCCACCCCCCACTCGTCTTTCGTTTCTCAATTACTCAAAGATATACTTCAGAATGTTTATTTTCTATAATCAAGATGAAAAATCTTAATTGTTGATACTTTTAAGGGAATCAAATCAAAAGTTTGATAATCTAAATATCATCAAATTATTATATAGCTTTACGTCATTTACGATTTTTTACGTTATGAAAATTCATGCAGTTACACACGCGTACACTGCAAGTCATATAAATATTCCGTCTTTGTCCTGTGATATTTTATACATTTATACACAGAAATATATGTCATGTTATACATCAAATGAAAGAGAAAGAAAAACTCTACAAGAATCAATGAAAAACTGAAAATGTCAAAATTCTTCGTTAAGGGAGGTTTTTGCTTGGCGCGTCACATATATAAAACTGATAACTTGATTAACTCAAACATCACTAAAGATACCTTAATATTGAGTTCAAAATCTTTTTAATTTTAACATAGTCTGAAGTAGGATGTCAAATGCTAATGAAATGAGTGGATTGTCCAAGGATGACATGCAAATTTGAAACTTCAAAAAGAACACAGTTTGACATGTCATTAAAAATGTCAACCATTTGCTTGAAATTAGTTTAACAAAAATGTCGTTTTGTTTTTCACCTGAAGGAGTTTCGTATTTGGTGTAACTTTTACGTTCTGTCGCCGGCCGTTGGGGCATAGGACTTGAACAGTCGACATTTCTCTCAACTTTTTGTTTACACCGGAAGTAAATCTTAGTCGCTTACGTTTCATAAGATAAATAATTTATACACAAATTTATCATTTATCTTAAAAATAATCTTGACAAAAGTATTTTGAATAAGTCGATTTGTAAGACAACTAATTAAGTCTAATAGGACATAAGATATTATTTAAAAAAAAATTATTTTCTTCATGTGCATAAGCGACATTACTGAGAAGGTTTGTTATGAAATCTTTCTTGTTGAAGAAGCAGTGTTTCTACATGCTGTGAATTGGACGTATAATATTATAGAAAGAATGGAAAAGTAGATCTTCATAGTGAAACTCCACATTGATTAACTTATTTCCATTAAGCTGGAAGTCAAAAAAGGCGTTTAAAATGAGTGAAATACAACCAACCTCATACATCCCGGGTGAGATGGATGGCTGCAGTGGTTCAGTGAAAGGGGAATGTCCCCCAGAATCTGGTCAGGAGGAATCTAATGCCCAGGAGGAGGACTCCAAGACTAGATTCCATGTCGACAGGACACTAATTCCTTCTGCGGAACTCGCAGAAATGAATGAAGACAGTGAACTGGGGGATCTCGGCCTGACTGTCTTCAATCAAGAAGAATTTGAGGAAGGTATGTATAAAATGAGGGGGTTGGGTAGGAATAAAACTAGGGGTAGGGATATTTCCTTCTATATGATCAAAATCAACTATCAATAAAAACCCTCTAAGAATATACACCTTTTCAAAAATGTAATTCACATGTTCATCCTTTGTATTAGAACAAAAATGCCATTACATGTACTTTAATGAGGAATCAATGGATTTTTGTCAAACAGGTGTGATGGCTCAGGTAGATATGGCTTTGGCTAAAGAAGAGGAAGAACAGCAGAAAAGGAAGCTTCAGAAGGAAGAGACAGACATCAAATATGATATAGCGTGAGTAGAAAACAAATATTTTATACATATTTATGTGATTTAATTTATGTGGTCGTGATTTATCTCATTTAAATTATTTTATTTATGTTTAAAGTAAAGTTAAGAAGGAAGTCGAAACTATGGACAAAGTTTTGTCAACTCTGGGAAATGCAGCAGGAAACAGTCATGTGAGAAACAGACTGGTCTCTGTCCAGAATCAGAAGGAAATTAAGGTAAATCTCACATGTTGACATCTATATTTAATTAAAATATCCTGATTATATTCATTGTTTAAAATATGCTAAATTAACTTGAATTACTTTACAGCTAAGTCAACTGAAAACTTTGTATGCAAGACAGCGAGCAATACAGATCAAAATGAATGGGACATCAGATATTCCACAGGATGTTTTTAAACAAGGTAACTTTTTCACCTATTAAAATAATTATGATTATGATATATAGCAACCTATGTTTACTACAAGAAAATTATATTTTACTCATTAAATTTAGATGGAGCTGCTCTGAACAAGCTATTAGGACTGAATTCTAAATCTGAGACAGAAAAGGAAAAGATGATTCGACTGGGACAGATGACTCCTTTTGGAACTGTTGTCTCATCATCAACAGACAAGGATCCAAAATCTGCAGAGGTAGTGGCTGAATGTGGTAGAAATTAGAACACTTGTGTACTTTTCTCTTTTATTTAAAAGAAGAAAAAGTAGTAAATCAACTATCTGCTATGCCGAAAAGAAATTTTGCATACCGGTAATTTTCTGTCAGGAAGCTTTTGCACATACATTTAACATAAGTAACAAACATTTACAGAGTGTTTCATCAAAGGAAACAGTAAGAAGTAAAGAATCTCCTGAAAGATCAAATTCTTCTGTCAGCCATGGAATGAAGGCTCAGGTAAATTCAGCAGCTTCAACATCACAAAGTACCGACAGATCAGAAAACTTTTTTGACTCGAGAGACAAGAAAAATTACCGGAATGATGTGGAGGGAGCATTTTACAAACACAATTACAGAAGTAAGAGGAGATACTCTAGGATATCCAGTAATTTCCGTGAAGATTCGGCCATGAGTGATGAGGAGAACTGTTACTATGACGACCCAGAGGGTGACTTGTCGGACGGGGAGGAGTACCGACCAGAGGAGGGGGAGCTCACAAGACAGAGCTCCGAGGACTCGGGACTAGAGGACGAACCAGAGATATCAAGTAAGGATACACCTAATTATTTTAATGGGTGGGTATAGCAGCATATGATAAAAGCAGGGGATCTCAGGCTATATACATGTAATTAATTAAATCATTTTGGATTTTAAACCATTAATAGAAGAGAAGAAGGGAAAGAAAAAGAGGTCATTAATAAAACCAAAGAAACCGCCAAAATATATGGTGTCAAGTGAGGAGGAGGATTTTGCTGTGGCAAGCAAAAGGAAAATTAATCGGGACATTGCAGAGCGAAAAGGCAAAGACGATGGTGATGAGGATTTCTATCACAGCCGTATTGAGTAAGATATGAGAAGTCCTGGAAGAATTTTCTTTTAGAAAAACAGCTTAATTTGACATCAAATTTTTGAATAAATACATGTAATGTTACATCATAATTTCATAAAATTCACTGTTTCTGATTAATATGAAGGCAGAAAATTAAATTGATTTCACTGATTGCCATTACTGTATATGCCTTAAATTTGCATTAAGTTGTTTGTGTTTAATATTTTTAACTACAAACATGGTTCAAATTAATCTCACACAGCCTACAGTATTAATTAATTTTACAGGGAATTTAACAAGCTTGAGAGGAAGAGGTTAAAGAAAGTGGAGATGGGTGAGATTGAGGAGGAGCTTGATGAAGAACTAGAGGGAGGTCTGCGAGTACCAGGCAGGATCTGGTCCAAGTTATTCAAGTAAGTAACAGTGGTCAAGTACAGAGAGAAAAAACAACACTTGTCAATAAAAGTATTCATTCTGATTTCAGTGTAATATTTGAAAGATAGATCAGAATAGTCAGTAAATAAGATACATGTATTTGTCATACCTGATTTTTACAGTATTACACTTCATTTAAGGAGGCAAGGAATTCAGTTTCAAATAATTAATCAAAGATCTCGGGCTGCAAATGTATCAGTGATCAATTTTATATATGTGTACATGTTCTAACTAATGCCAAATAAATACTTATCAATTTTCATGTAGTTATCAGAGAGTGGGTGTGAGTTGGCTATGGGAGCTACACTGTCAGTCAGCGGGGGGCATAATTGGAGACGAGATGGGGCTGGGCAAGACCATCCAGATGATTGCGTTCCTGGCGGCCCTGAGACAGAGCAAAATTGTCTCAAAACACTTCAAGTAGGTTAAAGTATTCACAATTGTTTTGCACTTATTGTTTTAAAACAATTATTTCAAAAAGTGCAGGAAATATTTTTTTTGTACACAAATTCACAGGTTTAAACAGGTTTAATATAGGATTAAACGTTCTTTTTGAAAAATTTATCGATGTGTAAACTGCATTTTAAAAAGTGCGAAGCACTTTTATTTAGTTTGTGATAAAATGTCAAGAGTTTATATATGTAAATTTTTCAAAAAGAACGTTTAATCCTTATAATTCCAATATCGAATTTTTAAAAATATTTAAATTATTTCTCTTTGAGGCCTCCATACAATCCGTTATTTCAGAGAGTTTTACCGTGTGACGTAATCGAGATGAATTTCGGAGTTCAACTTAAATTGTCAAAACAATCGTTAAATAAACTTATAACAACTAATCGAATGTTGTTTAAGTCAACAAATATCGTAATTACGAGTTTACTTCAGAATAGTTCGTCTTTGACCATGGCCATGTTGACATAAACAACAACTCTCATAGTAGACCGACGACGCCTTCAATTTGCACTTGTTTATTCAAATATTGAGGAACAATATAGAAAGTAAATATGAATTTGATGCTAATAGGGCAAGAGTTTGAGGTACGTTTCTTTTCCCTGTCAAAACGATACAGACTTTATTTTCTACGTATGAACGTTGAGACAGCGATTTTTAAAATTCACACTCGTGATCGGACAGTGACATAAACATTTTCACGGCGTCCATCAGTTGGGCAGTCTTATATGTTGCCAGTTTTGTTTAAGCCCTAATTAGTTAAAGTTTGTAAAATAAAACAGAAATAACTGCTTTCATTGTTTATACGATAACCTAGTAGTGTCATCAAGAAAGTAGTAACTGTTCTGATTGAAAGAATTTATCGATGTGTAAAAATTTTCTGGAACGTGTTCTCGTCCAATCAAAACACAGGAAATCGATAGATAAAATGAAGATTGGAATTATCATGGATTGTCTCACTTTACAGATACCGTGGTTTAGGGCCTACAGTCATTGTGACACCAACAACAGTGATGTCTCAGTGGGTTAAAGAGTTTCACAAGTGGTGGCCATTGTTCAGGGTGGCCATTCTGCACTCCTCTGGATCCTTCACTGGGAATGAGGTAAGTCTGACATTTCAGAACCTCTGGTATTTTCTCTGCTGTTATTTAAGTTGAGTCATTCTACACTTATGGATTGTGTATTGGAATCAAGCCTTAAATTCAGATGAATCTGTACAGAGAATGTTTCAATGGGAGGAAATTGCAATAAACAGATATTTAAATAACATTTACGTGTACTGAAAGCTGATGAGCTAACTGTCTTAGTTGGTATTTTGTAGGAGGAGTTGATCTGGAGCATTGTGAAGGATAAGGGGGTCCTCATAACTTCCTTCAGTACCCTGGTTATCCACCAGGACAAGATCCTGCCGTACGACTGGCATTACGTGGTGCTCGACGAGGGCCACAAAATTAGGAACCCCGACGCTCAAGTAACACAGGCATGCAAACAGGTAAATAGGACTTCAGTATGAAGTTAGGCACTTGTTGGGGTTGGGGTAAGTGATATAGAGTTCAGATTTAGCAAATATTCACCCTAGTCTTTCTGTACACAATTAATTAAGAATTAAAAATATGAATCAAATGAAAGCAATATAAAGTTTTGGTCATCATCTATTCCCATTGACAGTATTGGGGTATGTTTCAGGATATGGAAACATTAATTTTATTCTGATTTTTTGACTTTCAGTTTCGGACTCCACATCGAATCATCTTGTCTGGTTCCCCTATCCAAAACAACCTGAAGGAGTTATGGTCCTTGTTTGACTTTGTATTTCCTGGAAAACTTGGCACATTGCCAGACTTCATGCAGCACTTTTCAATTCCAATAGTTCAGGGAGGATATGCCAATGCCACAGAAATGCAGGTAAGCAATGTTCAACATCAGAAGCTGTTTTAACAACTTTGATAGTTACAAGATAGGTGTCTAATATTTAAGCAATGTTTGAGCAGGTTCAGACAGCGTACAAGTGTGCCTGTGTGTTGAGAGACACCATCAATCCATATTTACTGAGGAGAATGAAAGCTGATGTCAAAATTAACCTCCCAAGTAAAAATGAACAAGTAAGTACACTGTATAAGTGTTTGTGTACAGAATTTTTCAAGGAGGACTGGTATAGCATTTTATTTTCCAGTTGGTGTAGTTTGGTTTGATTTTCGTCTGTTACGTGAAGGAGGTTGTTTTTCAGGTACTGTTCTGCAGACTGACTGATGAACAGAGAGACGTGTACCTAGAGTATCTCCAGTCTAGGGAGTGTCAGGCTATTCTGGCCGGGAAATACCAGGTAATGGAGACCAAGAATGTTGAAGAATTCATACAATATACTGTTATAATCACAGGAAAAGTAATGAATTAATTTTATATCTTGTAAATTTCAATCAATTCATAATGACTTAGTTTAAGTTTACTTTGCTGCCTTGCAGATCTTTGCTGGCCTGATCACCCTGAGGAAGATTTGTAATCACCCCGACATTTGTACGGGTGGACCTAAGCTTTTCATTGGTGAGGACACACAGGGTGACCCGTCCCTGGAGTATGGCTACTGGAAGCGGTCAGGGAAGATGATAGTGGTGGAGGCACTTCTGAAATTATGGAAACAACAGGGACACAGAGTTCTACTGTTTAGTCAGAGCAGAGCTGTAAGTAGCAGAGATTTATTAACTCTCTCAGTTTACTTTCCTTTTAAACCATTGAAGAATTATTTCAGCTTACAAGAATTCTGTTTATGATATACAGCTATGCTTTCATTAGAACTAGTATTTGTGTTTTATCCATAGATTATGTGTATTGCAGATGTTGGACATTTTAGAGTCTTTCACACAAAGTCGTAACTACAGCTATCTTAGGATGGATGGTGGTACACCTATCTCTTCACGGCAGGCCATGATAACCACTTATAACCAGGTACTGTACAAATTTTATTGAAGCTTAGCCATTCATTAAACAAAATTCATTTTCAAAAAAATTGAATTGTAAGTACAATGTGTAATTTTATGCTATAGATTTATTCATTGGGAAACTTGTACAAGTATCACTTGAAGAAGTTTCTATGAATTTATTCTACCTGATTTATATACATAATTGTATAGTTTATAAATCCCTCACTACTCTAGGATCCCTCCATCTACCTGTTCCTGCTGACGACCCGCGTGGGAGGGTTGGGTGTTAACCTGACGGGGGCCAACAGGGTGATTATCTTTGACCCTGACTGGAACCCCAGCACAGACACACAGGCCAGAGAGAGGACCTGGAGGATTGGTCAAACCAAGCAAGTTACTATATATAGATTACTGACCTCCGGCACCATAGAGGAGAAAATCTACCACAGGTAGGATTTGTGTAAATGACTACTCTGTCAGTGTTCCTTTTACACAAACTTTTTTTTCCTTTGTCTCTATTTAACAAAATAATTTCTTATTATTACTAGACAAATCTTCAAGCAGTTTCTGACCAACAGAGTCCTAAAGGATCCAAAACAGAGGAGATTCTTCAAATCCAATGACCTTTATGAATTGTTTGAACTTGGAAGTAAAGGCAACAAAGAAGGAACAGAAACAGGGGCCATCTTTGCTGGAACAGGGTCAGAGGTCAAGAGATCAGAGGTCAAAGAGAGAGCCAATCGGTTTGATGTTCTGCAAGACAAGAAGAAGGCTGAAGCAATGAAAGAAGAAGTGAAAGAAGAAGAGGAGGATCCTTATTTTGATGAGAGTGAGATCAAACGAATGAGGGAGCTGGCAAAAATGCTCAGTTGTAAACTAATGAAATCAAAGTCTTCTGAAAAAGTGCCAAGCAGTGGTAGTGCCATAGCAAACAATGCTGTGAGAAATGGTTCATTGGAATCTAGGAATCTTGATCAGATGAAGAGTGACAGTTCAGCTCATGGATCTGAGGATTCAAAGGATTCTGTTCATAGTAGCATAATGGAGAGTGACAATTCACAGTTACCATCCACGAGTCAAGGGTGTTCCCAGAAATCAGTCAGGCATGACTCTAATGACAGGGACTGTCATGATAAACAAAGTGATAAAACCACATCTAGTCTTCATCATCAAAACAAATCATCATCTCATCACAGACACTCCCACCATAAGAAACATCACAAGCATCATAAGCACAAGCATCGGAAGAAGGTCCGAGACGCCGGTAATATGAGATTCTTACATCGCTGCTGTTTTCTTTTCAAGGTGCCATCTCTCTTTGAAGGGAATTATTTATTTGTATCTGACATATTTGCAGAATTTGAGGGTAAGAAGATCCCTCATCTTGTGAAGCAGGACGTGTACAAACAGAACCAGGAGAAGGAAGAGGAAGAGAAGAAGATCATGGATGATTACGTTCTCCACAAACTCTTCAAAAAAGGTCAGTATAAAGACACACAGATATGCAAATACAGTGTGTAACAATTTGTACGTCGAAGGCCTTTTAAAATTACTTTTCACAGGTAAAACAAGATACAGTTGTATGTTGTGACCTCAGAAGTGGCTTTTGTTTAATACATGTAGTAACAGATTCATCATTGAATTTTTTACTCTTTGACCTTTATATATATGATATTGATCTCAGTCAGTATTGCTTTTGCCTATACTTTGACCAAGGCCCTATTTTCATGAGATAGTGATGAAAAACAAAGTGAAAGACATGCAGGAACATGGATCAAAAACAAAATGCTTAAAACCTGTAATTTTGGGGCTAAGAAATAGTTTTTTCCATATTGTAATATTTTTTTCACAACTGCACATACAGGTATAGACACTGCCATGAAGCATGATGTAATTATGGACCCTTCCAAGCACGACTACATGATCGTGGAGAATGAGGCGGCTAGGGTTGCCAAGGAAGCTGCTCGAGCTCTGAAGAGGTCAAGGTCAGGGTGTAACTTAGCGATTACAGGACTGCCTACCTGGACTGGCCAATCAGGGGTCAAAAAGTAAGGCGCTTGTATTTATTATAGTGAAGAACATCAAGTATTTAAATATCCAACAACAATCCAAGCATTTATTTAATTCTATTTTCAGGCCAAGGTTTGGACAGAAGAAGAACAGCATTTTGGTAGACTCCACAAAGAAACAGGAGACACAACCTGCTCCTTCAGTGTCCACTGTAAGATTCCAGATCACATGCTAAGTCTATATACAATAAATCTATACCTGGAGTAAAGTTCATTGTACTCAAAATATATTATAAAATCATTTTTATTAAACAATAGTCAATAGCAATAATTCATGTACCAGAATTAACAATAGAAAATATGTCTTAATAAAATGATTACTTTGCATTTTGCAGCTGAAGAAATCTAATTCAGAGCCACCTGTGAAGCATTTTGATGGTTCTCTGGTAGGCAACGTGGTGAAAGATCTAAAAACAGGACAAACTTCATCCAGTTCCATGACCTCTGACCTCTTATTAAGCCAGATGAAGAAGAGAAATGAACTAGTGGCGACACCCGGTGAGGAGGAGGAGGATGAGGGAGATAACTCTTCGAGCACTGTGATTGACTCAGACTCGTACAAACTCATCTCAGAAATTAAGAACTTCATTCTGTTTGGGTGTAGTATGATCGGGAAGGCTTCCACTCAGGAAATTCTGGATGAGTTTGGTCCCAAACTTCCTCCGTCCAACTCTTCTCTGTTCAAAGCTATGTTAAACAAAATATGTGTGTTTGAAAGAAACAATGGCATTGGGTTCTGGAAACTGAGAAATGAATTCCGTTGAAGATTCATGTACGACTACTTTAGTCGAAATGCACAAATTTGTTTTAAACCAGATTTACATAATTAATTTCAGGGAGCTCTTTTGCAATAATTCTTTATTTTAAAGTTTGTATTTTAAGGGTGCTTTGAAACATTTGATAAATGTTTTTGCAAACTTAACTGATATGCATACACTGCATTTATTTGGTGAAGTGTAACACAGCTATCAGTAAAGGATATGAGGTTGTTTATTTTTCCTAAATGTGAGCAAAAACCAGTTTGACTTAATTTTTATACAGAATTCCATTGTCAAATCAGGGAAAAAGTGTATGTGTTCATGATTTGATAAAATCTAAATGTACATGTATATTAAAGGATGTCATGATCATAAAGATGATACAACTTAACAAGTGTCCTGTGTTTTGTGTAGAATAAAAGAGAGAGAGAATGCCAAGGATCACAGATTTGGAGGAGATAACAATGTATCAATCACCAAAGCCATGTGTTACTGTCTAATCCGACACCTGTGTAATCCATCACACTGTGAATTCCGACATAAAATTTCTTTCCCATTTTTAGCTCTTCTGAGCCAAAGGCTCAAAGAGCTAATGCTATGGCCATTTGTTCGGTGTGCGGTGTGTGGTGTGCGGTGTGCGTAAACTTTTTAGAATATGGGCCATAACTCAAGAATCCCTTGGCCAATCAGTACAAAATTTGTCACAGGGTATCCTTGGCCCAAGGGCTACCATTTATACTAAAATAAGGGTTGGGACCCTTAAACAAGGTGAGATAATCAGAAAAAACAAAACCAAAAGTACTGGTTGCAAAAAAATCTTCTTCTCCATAACCACCAGGCAGATTTTCACCAAACTTACAAACAAGGATCAGGATATGTCGAAGATTAAAATTTGCACGGGGAATTACCCTGGGGCAAAGGGCGTGGTCTCAAGGTCATTTCAAAGTTGACCTAAATTTACAATTAATAAAAACGTGTATATTTTGCTTACTATAAGGACTAGGATCATCAATTCTTGTAAGTTGATGCATCTTACAACTTCACATCATGTTAACTCAAAAGTAGGTCATGGTGACCTACTTTTTAAATTTTGCGGGGATTTGTTTTCAAATTGATTTGAAGACATATTTTGGACACTTTAAGGCCTATGATCATCAAACTTTGTCAGTTGATGCATCTTAGGTCCTCGAACAATGTCAACTTAAAAGTAGGTCACCATGACCTACTTTTTGAACTTTATGACTTATCCTTTTCAAAACATTAAATCCCATTATTTCAGACACTGGGAGGTTTAGAATCATCAAATCTTGTACTTTGATGCATCTTGGGACCTTAAAACATATTTATGAAAAAGTAGGTCACTGTGACCTACTTTTTGAATATTGCCGACATTTGTTTTCAAATTGTTTAAAACGCATATTTTGATTACCTTCAGACCTACGATCATCAAACTTGGTCAGTAGATGAATCTTGGGTTTTTGAAAATGTCGACCAAAATGTAAGTCACGATGACCTACTTTTGACATTTTATGGCTATATTTAAGTATCTTAGGTATTTATTGGCTTAGAATCATCAAACTTTGTGAGTCCATGCATATTTGCTTTTCGGAGAGTGATGACCTAAAAGTAGGTCACGGTGACCTACTTTTGACATTTTATGGCTTTATTTAAGTATCTCCGGTGCTTATTGGCTTAGAATCATCAAACTATGTGAGATGATGCATCTTGGGTTTTCGGAGAGTGACGACCAAAAAGTAGGTAATGGTGACCTACTTTTGACATTTTGTGACTATAATCAAGTATCTCTGGTAGTTATTGATCTAAAATCATCAAACTTTGTCAGTTGATGCATCTTGGGTTTTCGGAGAACGTCGACCAAAAAGTAGGTCACAGTGACCTACTTTTGACATTTTATGGCTATATTTAATTATCTCAGGCACTTATTGGCTAAGAATCATCAAACTTTGTCAGTTGAGGTCACAGTGACCTACTTTTGAATATCTCAGGTACGTATAAGTTTAGAATCATCAAACTTTGTCAGTTTAGGCATCTTAGGTTTTCGGAGAAGGTCGACCAAAAAGTAGGTCACTGTGACCTACTTTTGACATTTTTAGCTCACCTGAGCCGAAGGCTCAAGTGAGCTTTTCTGATCAAAATTTGTCCGTCGTCTGTCGTTGTCGTCGTCGTTGTTGTTGTCGTCGTTGTAAACTTTTCACATTTTCATCTTCTCCTCAAAAACCACTGGGCCAATTTCAACCAAACTTGGCATAGAGTATCCTTGGGTGAAGGGGATTCAAGTTTGTTCAAATGAAGGGCCACGCCCTTTTCCAAGGGGAGATAATCATGAATTTGTTAAAAATTAATGGCATTTTTAACAAATCTTCTTCTCCAGAACCGCTGGGCCAGGAAAGATGAAACTTATGTGGAATCATCCTCAGGTAGTGTAGATTCAAGTTTGTTCAAATCATGACCCCCGTGGCAAGGGTGGGGCCAAAATGGCCGACCCTTGTTTTACATAGGAATATATAGGAAAAATCTTTAAAAATCTTCTTCTCGAGAACCACTGGGCCAGGAAAGATGAAACTCATGTGGAATCATCCTCAGGTAGTGTAGATTCAAGTTTGTTCAAATCATGACCCCCGTGGCAAGGGTGGGGCCAAAATGGCCGACCCTTGTTTTACATAGGAATATATCAGGAAAAATCTTTAAAAATCTTCTTCTCGAGAACCACTGGGCCAGGAAAGATGAAACTCATGTGGAATCATCCTCAGGTAGTGTAGATTCAAGTTTGTTCAAATCATGACCCCCGGGGCAAGGGTGGGGCCAAAATGGCTGACCCTTGTTTTACATAGGAATATATAGGAAAAATCTTTAAAAATCTTCTTCTCGAGAACCACTGGGCCAGGAAAGATGAAACTCATGTGGAATCATCCTCAGGTAGTGTAGATTCAAGTTTGTTCAAATCATGACCCCCGTGGCAAGGGTGGGGCCAAAATGGCCGACCCTTGTTTTACATAGGAATATATAGGAAAAATCTTTAAAAATCTTCTTCTCGAGAACCACTGGGCCAGGAAAGATGAAACTCATGTGGAATCATCCGCAGGTAGTGTAGATTCAAGTTTGTTCAAATCATGACCCCCGGGGCAAGGGTGGGGCCAAAATGGCCGACCCTTGTTTTACATAGGAATATATATTAGGAAAATCTTTAAAAATCTTCTTCTCGAGAACCACTGGGCCAGGAAAGATGAAACTCATGTGGAATCATCCTCAGGTAGTGTAGATTCAAGTTTGTTCAAATCATGACCCCCGGGGCTAGGGTGGGGCCAAAATGGCCAACCCAAGTTTTACATAGGGATATATAGGGAAACCTTTTAAAATCTTCTTTTCAAGTACTTCAAAGCTATGATTAGTGATATTTATATGGAATCATCCTCAGGTAGTGTAGATTCTAATCTGTTCAAATGATGAACGCCTGGAGGGGGGGGGGGATAAATTCAAGCCCGATGTGCTCAGGTGAGCGCTGTGGCCCCTGGGCCTCTTGTATGGCTATATTTAATTATATCTGGTACTTATTAATGGCTCGAAATTATCAAACATTGTCAGTTGAGGCATCTTAGGGTTTCAATGAATGTCCAACAAGAAGTAGGTCACGATTTTGATTTTGGACCTAATTTTGAATATTTCAGGTACTTATCGGCTTAGTCATCAAATTTTGTCAATTTAGGCATTATGGGTTTTTGAATAACCAGCACCGTGACCTACTTTTGACATTTGATGGCTGTATTTAATTATCTCTGGTACTAATTGGCTTAGAATCCTCAAACTTTGTCAGATGATGCATCTTGGGTTTTCAGAGAATGTTGACCAAAAAGTAGGTCATGGTGACCTACTTTTGAATATCTCAGGTACTTATTTAATTTGAATCATCAGTCTTTGTCAATTAATGTATCTTGAGTCCTCAGAAAATTTCAATCAAAAGGCAGGTCACTGTGACCTACTTATGGTATTTTATAATTTTATTATAATATCTTCAGTCTTAACTGGCTAAATATTACCAAACTTTGTAAGTTGATGCATTTTGGGTCTTATGATTCTAATAGAGTTGGAGGCTTCTAATAGAAGTGATAGATTGTACAATTTATCAGAAGAGCGATTCAAGGCCCTTGGGCCTCTTGTACTAATTTTAATGTTATTTTACACTTTTCAATTCGGCACACTGTCTTTTCTGACACAAAATTCATCTCTCAGTGCATGTCAGATTAGACAGGTTTCAGCGTATATACTAACGTGTTTACCAAACATATTCTTTTACTTGTTCCACAACAATTTACTACTTCCACAAGAAAACTGTTTTTACAAGCAGGGATCGACACTAACTTTAAAACCATAGTTGTCAGCAGGGCTAGCCATTTCTAATTTCCTCCTGCTGGTGGGGGTACGGGGGGCCTCCCCCATGAAATTTTGAAAATAGAGACGCAAAATCCTGCATTCTGGATGTATTTTGGGTAAAATTATATGTCACTCTATGATTGTACCTAAGACATTTTTTTCTATTCGAAAAATTCCATATTTATATTCATTTAGAGTATTTTGAATCACCTTTAAAGTTTACATTTTGACTTACAAAAATAATAATTATGTGATAAAACATGTTTGAAAATAAATTTAACAATAATCAGTTATATTGTGTGTAAATATAATTATTTTCTTGCTCTTGGTGAGTAATTGGTAAAATTTACTGTAGCCCTGCAGGGTAAGTTTAAAGTCATGTTTGGTAGCCCGACCTCAGTATTCAGTTGTCCCTGGCCAGCGGGCTAGCGTTAGTGTCGAACCCTGACAAGTCATGCACATTTGTGTGAAATAAGTATACACTTTTTTCACAGAGTGGCATTCTGGTATTCCATCTTAATTTGGACATGTTGCAGCTTTTTAGAAAAGAAAATGTGATGATATATCAAGAAAAGTAATTAGGATATTCAGAATGGGTATTCCATTAACACATGCTTTAATATTTCAATTTATTGTCAACAAATAATTTTGGTTATTGGGTATAAAATTTAACAACTGTATAATCATAAAGTCAATTAACAAAGTGAAAATCATGAATAAGTTATGTTATTATACACATCAATAAACATACGCTGTTTAAAAATATGGTCAATATGCTTCTATAAAGGTACATTGTATAAAAAAGGTAAACCTTTTACAATATTTTTTTCAGCTGTCCCTGAGAAAATTGCTTCCCAAGGCTGTACATATTTATATCCTTTAGCCTCTCTTAGAACAGATTTAAAAACATAATGGAATACATGTAGATAGAGAAACCAAAACAATCACATTTTGCTGGACCCCTGGGCTTTCTTGTAATCCTCATACAAATATAAAGTTTTCCTTGGGACTCGGATATTCTCGATCTGATATATACACTTGTATAATGTGTTGTACATAGAAGGCCAGCGTTTGTCTGCGTCGGCCCCAGCACGCGATGTGGGGTCAAGGTGACTGGTGGCGTACGCTAGCCCCACTCTGTAGGTGGTGTCCGCCAGCCCCATCTGACCTCCATATCCACCATGGCCAAACATAAACATTGTCTACAAAGAGGTCAACATTTTTTATAAGTAGATAGAAAAAAATATCGTAATGTTTATGTAGGTTGTTCTATGCATGAAGTAATGCATCTCTTTTATTGAAAAAAAGGAAATCTTGTAAGTATCAGTACATGTACCATAGATACTCTCCTGTAAGTAAGATTTTTGGGAGTTAAACTTTGGTCCTAAACTATATGTCCGACTTATAGGCAAGATATAGAAAGATTGGTATTTTAGAACATTAATCCTTCTAACATCAGCTTAAAAAATACAACCGACTTATAGGCCGACAAACTTATAGGCGAGTATATACAGTACACATACTTTTATACAATTCTTCCCTTTATACACTGTCATGACACAGGGGATTTAAATCAAGTTTTAATGTACATTTCTTTTATAAATAAATTTTCATCTACATTATATTTTCACAAACATTAAATTCACTACAGTTAATTTGCTAGTACATGTAATCTGAAGCAGCCACTCACTGGCTTTCCTTGTTCCATGACTGGGAATATCATCATTCCGTAGCTCCACATCCCGTCCATACTGAAGGCCAGATCATACCCCCCACTCTTAATCTGCTGGAATCTGTCCACCGAGTCCTGGGAGAGGAGTCGCTTCCCCTGCCATACCCCACCCTCCCCCAGAATAGCGTGGAACTTAGCCATGGACTCCGCTGTACCGTGACCACAAACAGACCCCACCGGGAGCACTTGGATATCTGGGTCATTCATCCTCCGAACCTGAAAAAAAATTATGCTAGTAATGATCGCAAATCTGTCAAACCTTTTCCTCAGTAATACCCATCCATCTTGAAAAAATTAAACTAATATAAATTTTGAAGAAAATAATTGCTAAATATAAGAATTTTCAAAATATATCTTGCTGGGGAGAAAATTTTTACTCTCAAAATTATGAAATGAAATGGTGTAGAATTTCTTGTACTCATATAAATATATATCTCAGTAAAGTTTACGCCCCTCCCTAATGTTTGCTCCTCTTACCCCGATGAAGTCTGTGGGGTTTCCTCCTGTGAGTTGTAGAATACTGAGGTCACCTTTGAAGTTTCTGATGTACTCCTCCTGATCAAAGCTTTTCATCATCACTATACGAGGAGCCCTGTACTGCTTCTCATACGGAAGACCAATGTGGAAGTCAAGACCTATAGGATGTTTGATAAATAAAGGAATCTATTTTACTTTCTATAATTGTGAAGCAAAATTAATTTCTCTTTAATTAATCTGCATGAAAGAGAAATTTGCTCAGTATTTATGAAACAACTGCCATCCAAGCAAAAAAAAAAACCCTTCCCAAGACATCAATTTATCAAGACTTCTTCCTATAAAATTCAAATTTGGTACAAGACAAATGACATCCCCTCCTTATGAATCAATTCTTATGATTTTAAGCATTATAAAAATGTCACACACCAAAGGGTACTGCCATTTCTTCATGGAAATACTGTGACAGGCTCCTCTTTTGGGGGTCCACCCTTCTAACAATTTGATCCAAGTACAGAGCAAAGGTGATAGGGTGGTACCCATGGTTAGAGCCTGGAATGAAGACAGATAGTTTTTATCTCAATTTTGAACAAAAATAATACTTGTTACTGAACTTATCATGTCTTTGTGCTATAATTATCTTCACCAGGAGTCCACAGTGGTTTCTGATTGGCCAGTATCCTCCCGAGCCTGTCAGGGTCATCTTTAGACATGGCCATCGTGAACTTCTCCTCTGTACAAGATAACCCAGCCTGCATGTAAGATATTAAAGTATTGTGTACAGTCGAGTTAGATAGTTACCAGTAGGTATAGTTATAGAGGGTGCTAATACTGTCTGCTTCCTACCCTATTTGTGACTAGTGTTTCTAACGTGATGCCCTCTTTCCCATTGGCTGCGAACTCTGGCCAATATTTACAAACCCTCTCAGAATAATCCAGGAATCCCCTGAAAATGACAATTGGCAAAAAATCTGTAAACAACACTACCTATACAGAGATCTACAACTTTTACAGTTACCTCCCCTTAAACAGCAATTTATAATTACTATCACCTCCGTGCCCTCAAAAATATGTTTTATTGCAAACTTCAGTATTGTAAAACAATTTTTATTCATGTCTGAGAACTTTGTTTTTTGAGCAATTACACAAGATCTTTAGCTTGCAAAAATTTCATTTTCAAATTTAATTACAGTGTATATATAATGTAATATTCAGCAGTAACCAGAGTTGTGAAAATTTTGTCTCGGTTATGAATTATAGCAAATAACTTTCTCATGAAAATAAGGTGTCATGCTAATTTTGTAACCTACAGTGAGTACTTTTACTTCACTTTATCTTACCTGTCCACCAGGTGGCTAATTTTGGGACATACAGTGAGTACTTTTACAGACTTTAACTTACCTGTAGTGGCTAATTTTGTGACTAATTTTGTGCCATACAGTGAGTACTTTTACTTCACTTTATCTTACCTGTCCACCGGGTGGCTAATTTTGTGCCGTACAGTGAGTACTTTTAAAGACTTTAACTTACCTGTGGTGGCTAATTTTGTGACATACAGTGAGTACTTTTACAGATGTTAACTTACCTGTCCACCAGGTGAGCAATTACAGCTGCTGAGGGAGATTTTGTTGTGGAATAAAAACATGGCATCAGATCCTTCTTCCACTTGACCCTGGACTTACGATCCGCGTATCCTCCCCAGATATTCACCACGAGTTCCCCCCTGTAGTATGCCGCAAAAGTCCCTCCTCTCTCAATATCATTCTCTAGATTATACCTGTTTTAAACAATAAATCTAATAAAAGATGAACATTGCTATTTATATTTACATGTGTATATAAATTACAGAATCTCATGATCAATTTTGCATATTATATTGCCGATCAAGGCACAGAATCATACAGTGATGTATATATATTAGTGGGAAAGTCAACTTCTTCAATGTTATGTTTTTTTTTTTCCCAGATATGTTGAAGTTTCATAATCTCAACAAACCTGAATACTTCGAAGACTTTCTCAAATCCTGGTTTGACAAATCCATCAATGTGGATAGGTTGTTTTCTGCTTGATTGTGACATCGTTTTCAATAATGTTTGTCTTCCACCCATACAAAGTTCCTGTACATTCTTTTATTCTATGACAACACACAAGACACATATACTCTGCCAGTTAGTTCAAGACAGCAATTAAAATGCTTTCCCAACATGTTCAGAACATTCAATGGGTTAAAAATAGAAATGCAACCTATAATTTAATCTCCAATTTTGTGTGTCTCTAAAGTTTGTTTAATCAAATTGACTTACCCCTGATGTATCTAAATTGAACTACATATACATGTACTTTCTGTGGAACTTTTTATTTGATGGCCTGGTTTCTGAACTTTGGATTCTGCATTAAACACATCACTTATAAGAGTTATCTTTCTTGTTTTCTCCTTCCTTTATATTCATCTAGCTTGGTCGACTTTTCCAAAATGAAAAAATAAAATAATAAAACTACCATGTTATACACTGTACTTCTGTCAAAGATCATTAATTTACTGACATTTAAAACAGCAATGCTCTTCAAGCAATATACTAAATGTAAAATATTAAGGAAAAAAATTATCTGGATATGGAATGGAGAAAGAGAGCAGAGCATACTATATTGCTAAATAAGAAATAAAGGAACCATATTTCTTAAGCTGTTAGGCGTATCTCAAAATGAATGTCCTGACTCCACATACATAAATATATAGGGTAAAAGTTAGCCTTCATCAGATATTAGTGAGTTGTTCAGTGTTTGTAGTCAACATAAAATAGGTCGGGCTCGATATTCCACAATTACTAGAGGTCGCAGAACAGCGAAACCCGGCAGCCATGGCAAACCTCATTCGACGTTCTGCGAGAATTCCATCGCTAATTGGTCAATGTTGCCGAGTTTCTACCCTCCAGAATCAACAGAAAAGGGGATATGCAGATGCCTCTAGCTTAACGTTCACAATGGCCTCACCAAATAAGGTATGATAAAGAGTTCACCTTGTAGCTAATATAGCCCAACTTTCCTCGGTCATTCTGATTAGAAAAGGCAGTAGTTAAAACTCAAAATATTTGTTTTTGATTCCATATCTATTTTTAAGCTACCTGTTCACCATGAACATTGTAGAAAGCTAGTTAGAATGTCAGTGTTTTCAGTTTGTGAATTGACAGCTATTTAAAACTTGCATTGGCACCCTGTCCATTTTACTCTATTAACATTTTTACAATGACAAAAATGATTAAATGTTGACGGTGCTGCCGTCGACAAGCCGCACCTGCCACTTTGATGCGGCTAGACTCTGATGTCACATACGTTGTTTGTAAGTTTCAATTACCAAGAAGAAGCCTGAACAGTGCTGAAAGTAAATGAAGAACATTTTGTTTACTGTTTATTTTCAATATATTTGTCGATTAAATCTAGGCGTGTCAACTTTTAGTTGAACTTTTGCTACTACGTAGCTTTAACAAGCAATACAAAGTGGGTCCAGAAATACTGAGGAAAAAAAGTCAGACGAATGTGCAATAGTCCAAATTTTTCTCTTCGCCCAGGCTTTGCTCTAAGAGCTCGCAGTGACGAGCGTCGCAAAGTGACGCTCGCTGTGCTCAGTATAATCTATTAGTAATTAAGACTGTTTGCAATATTTCGTAACTGTTTTTCAGGTATTTTTCAAAGACGAAGCCGTAAAACAAGTTAACGTCCCCACAACAAATGGAGTCTTTGGTATTCTACCTCAGCACGTACCAACACTTGCTGTTTTACAACCAGGTGTCGTCACAGTGGTTGTTAATGACTCTGACACTAGGAACATATTTGGTAAGTCTGAAAGACCTGTTATCATAGCAAAGATTTTTTAGTTATTTTGAAAGTTACGAGAATTGTGTTAAAAATATACTCTAATTCATCAAGCACCATTTTTTTTTTATAAATGAATGAAACACAAGTTATGTTATTCCCCTTTGGTTAATGTTTACAGCCAGCAGTGGATCCCTGACAGTAAACCCTGATGGATCTGTCCATGTTTTAGCTGAGGAGGCTTGTGAACTCTCAGACCTGGACCCCTCAGTAAGTACAGTGTTACCAGGAAAAAGAAGTACATCAGATATGTTATATCTTTGAATCAAAACTAAAAACGCAAGATATTTGGTATAATTGAACGTCTCTGCAAACATTGAAAATACTGGATCAGTCAAACCTATGTAGAAGCATTTATATTTCGAGTCCATAATCAGGGAATCCTCTGTAACAGTTAATTGACCTTTGATTTTCCCCTTGACAGGAGGCCCGTGACGCAATGCACAAGGCCCAGACCGCCAGAGACGCCGCAGTGGAGGCGGTAGACAAGGCCGAGTTCCAGATTGAGGTGGATGCTTACGAGGCCATTCTCAAGTCAGCAGAGTCCAAGAGTTGAAGTGTTAATTAATTAGTGACTGACATTTAAAAGTTTGTACAAAACTATTTTCAAGGATAGTTTGTGATCATTTCAGTGATATTTAAATAAATAACATCACATTTAATGCAATTTGTTTTTGTTTTTGTATGTGCATGTGTACCTAATGCAGAGCAGGAAAAAAGAAGAATCCTGACTAGCCCCAAGCTTGGATGTTGTTTCTTATACAGTGGAGCCTCATTTATCTGGACGCTTTGGTTCCCAGTAAATTTGTCCGGATAAGTGAAGCGTCCGGATATATGAATTACCAGTTTAATGAGACAAAATAATGTTAAAAAATTCTGTTCCCATGAATAATCGTCCAGAAACTGAAGCATCCGGATATCTGGCGTCCGGATATCTGAGGGTCCACTGTATTTACATGTCTAAAGGCACCTAAAATATTCTCTTATGCTTGAATTTCTCGCTGCCGTACATCATTTTGTTTAAATTACTTTCGTCTCTGTAGCCTCATTGTGACGTCACGTTAGTGCATGTTTCTCCATGTATAATTCTATATTTTTCAAGTATACACGAAAATGGTATTCAAATCAATTTCAAACTTGGCTTTCTAGAAAAACAGCGAATTTATATATTTCACATTTTTGAATCAATACCTGTATCGTTATTTCAAGTATAAACATAACTTATCTTCATGTGAAGTGAAAGACAGACAAAGTTTTTAATGCCTGTAGCACTAATTTTTTAACAAATTTCAGTCAGAGACATCCTCTGACCTTAACCCAAATATGGACAAGTTCAAGAATCTACAGTTTATCATATTCAAAGTAAAAGAGATGGGCAAGAACTTTTAAAAAATACAATCCTCTGAGGTTGTGACATACCCTCTGATCATAAGCTTTTCTTGTGCAAGGATGAGACAAAAATGTTTCTTTCAAAATTTCTGAGTAAATGGCAAACTAAGAATAGTATTTTTAATTGTAACTATATTATCACTTCAGAAATTTCGGTCATTCCTCCAATATAAGGAAACCTTAACTTCTTATCGGACACCAGAAAGGAATACTAATAAATCGGTATGGTAGATTGGTTTATTTTTCAATTTTCCATCAATAACAAATATCTTGTGATCACAATATGTAAATTATAGTAATGTGAATACAATTGGTGTTCCAAAATACATAGGAAAAATAAAGGTTAAACAATGCCAACATTGGACAGTGGTAAAAATGACAGATGTTATAACTCTCTCTCCTGATTATTTATTAACTTTGAAACGTAAAGTGGGAAAACAACAATCTTGGACTGAACATTTTTATTGGGTTTAGTGGAGAGTTGCATAGTGAATTCATGAATTATGTATTTTGGGATTCATTTTTCCATGAAAAAAAATTACAAAGAACATGGTGCCCAAAAACTTCTCTCTTTGTTACCCGAGGCTAAAACAATCACCCCAAAACTTGATTAAGATTCTATTAAGCAGTGTTATGTACCAGCATCTGTAGATGAAATATCTCCGGGTTTGGCCAGTCCATGGATTTGCATTTTGCCCTAGATTTAACAATAACTGTATAACAGTCACAAAATAACATCAAGCACTTCTTAAGCACTTATTTATACATGTACCTCAATAAACACTCATTCAAAGAAAAACATCTCTGTCATTCCAAAAGTCAGACAAAAGGCATAAACATTACAGCAAGTTATCATTATAGTGTTATCAATTACAGAGATCAAGAAGAATGTAGAATAGTCACATGTCGTACAACAACCTTTTAATTGTACAAAATACTCCAGACAAAATGTCAATAATTCCAGTGCTGTGAAGCCAGCACAGACAACAGTGGAGTATTTCTCTATCAGGAACACTCAATACATTAACAATATTTTACTGGAATAGAGAATCATATCTTGTCTATGAGGAATGAATACCTATACATCAACTATTAAACAGTTTTCAGGAACATAGCAAAATAAATTCTTTTTCAAATTAAGTTTAAAAATCATTTACTGATTCACAAACAATAAAATGTAATCCTCCACAGATAAGAAGAGAAAATCCACAAACTGTCAAGCTTCACCTGCAAATTATTGGGTCTTTTCATTCAATGGAAATCTACATATCCATGACCTACAAACAGATCTGTTCATTACTTCTAAATATTAAGTAACACTCTCTGAGAAATCTAAACAGTTTGAAGTGTGAGTTGCAGCATTTCTAGGCTTGGTTAGAATTGGTTGTATTCTGAGAGGCTGTCCAGGTTGTCATGTTTATTTCCTTGGATCACATTCTTCTCTGATCCTTCAGCCGTACTAGTTAAAGAGTAAGGCTCTGCTATCAGCTACAAAAAAAGAATTCTTAACATACATCCAGTGCAGAAATAGTAAACATCCTTAACGCTCTTTTATCAATCTGAAATCAGTTTAATTTCTTTGAACATTCGAATCAACTTCAGTGTACTTGGTATTTAATTAAATAATGTAACACATGTAAATGTACCTTATTTATTTTGAAATCTTCGAAAAGTTCCTGTACAAATCTCCTGGCATTCAGTCGGAATGAACATATAGATAAAAGATGACAAACTTCAGAGTAAAAACAAACATCCTTGAACACTGCAGGGAACTTTTGCTTCAACCTGATTCAAAATGGAAAGAAAAAAATCTGAGAACCAATTCCATCTTCTTTGAAATAGCATTCTTACAGCTTTCAGAACAAAGTCTAAGTACATGTAACTAAACTTTTCTGTATAAAACTTTATTTTCATTTCAAGTATCTTGAATTTCATGAAACAATAAATTACTGACCTAAAATTTTAGCAATTCAGAAAGTTATTTCAATCAAATTAAGTCATTCATAACTACAAGTATGTGTATTACTAGAGTCCAATATTAAGGAAAACAAAGCTTACATAAGGAGTCCCTGCTCCGAGCCCTTCAGTCCCACAGAACTACTCAGGTTAATCACCAGTTTTCTCAGTTCTTTTCTGATCAGCCCTTTCCCATGAACATTGTCATAAGACATCTTTACAGTCACTGCAAGAAAACATGGTTTAAAAAAATCATGAAAACATTCTAATCCAAATTAAAATCTGTCAAAAAATTCAATGATTACTAGTATTCAATTTTATTTTTATTGTATCTGTAAGGAAGATTGCTAGAATTTTTAATGTAGTTTGTTTTGTAAGGCAATATTTGATTGGCTTACGAGAGTCTGAGCTTGTACAGCTTGTAACACTTCCTGGGGTGGCTGAGGATGGCTCGTTAATACTGCTGTACCGGGGTCGTGACCCCTTCTGAAGTTTGATGGCAGCGTTCAGACTCCCAGGGTCCTTATCCAGGGACACGGACTCGAGATCTCCATCCTCTTGTAAAGCTTTGAAGATTTATGAGAGAATATAATACAATAACAGCAAAAACAAACAAAAAGGTATCAGGGCATCTTAAAATCCCACCTTCTCACTTTCTTAACATTGACACCTTACTGTAAAGATTTCATGACCACTTTAACCTTATATCATTCAATCAATCATTCTTCATCAAAACAGGTGAACATGAAACAGGCAATGTCTTCATTACGGCGACCATTATTTATTACTATGGTACCTACCTTCCTCTATCTCTGCTTGACTGATATCTTGGCGTTTAAGCTGAGAACACAGCAGACAAATTGTTGAGTCGTGTTCAAAGCTTTCCAGAGCAGGCACAATCCTAGATGACTTCCGAGATCCTAAATTAATATAAAGAAATGTTTTGTAAATAAATATCTAAACATCAAAATTAAAATTATTCTCTATGTTCTGTATTTATATCATATATAAATGTACTCTAGCTTAAAAAAATCTCAAAATAAAAACTTTCCGTATGACAAAATTACATGTAAAATAATGATACTCCCTATCAAAAACTACTTGTAAAAAATAATGATTACGTAATGTCAAAAACTACAACTTAAATAAAGATTGCATCCTATCAGAATAGCTTGTAAAATAATAATTACTCCCTGTTTGAATTGCATGTAAAATAATGGTATCTCCCTGTCAGAATTGCATATATAAAATAATGAATACTCCCGTTAAATTACATGTAAAATAATAATTACTTGGCTTCTTTTTCTGTTCCATATTGTTCTCCTCTTTCTCTACTGGGGCAGCCTCAGATCTCTGATCCTCTCCTGCATGAACCTAAAAATTACACATTTTATCATTGTATATTGAAAAGTTTTCATTTTTTAAAATATTTGCATAATTTGAACAATTAAACCAAACTGATTTTCCCTTGCATACCTGGAACATCATGTTGATGTCTACTGGCAGGGTGAGACCCAGGAATTCTGCTTCCCCCGTGTGTGGCCTCCTCTGTAGTAGGATAGCTTTAGGGGCCACCCCATAGGGAGTCCCAGCCCTCTCCTGGTCAGATAGAGACACACTGCTGGCGTTACGTGGAATCCCAGAACTAAATAAAAACAGGCACATGGATATTATGTATGTATTAACAACCAATTCAAATACTAAATATTCTATAACTATAAAAAAAACATTAACAAGAGTTCACAGCAAACAAACTACTTTGCCTTTGGCTCAGATGGGCTTTAAGGAAAGCTACAACTTTTTTTTAATGCATTATTGGAATGTATAAAGTGTATGCTTTCCAAATATAGATTTCAGATATGTACATTTGCTTGCTATATGACTTACCTTGAACGAAAAGTGAATGTGTCGGTGCTCATTTTGGACTCAATACTGTTTTTTCTAATCATCTCATTCCCCTCCTCCTCTCCGTAAAGAGAATTAAGACCCATGTCCGACTCCACATCAGAACTGATGCGACGCTGACGCTTGATGGATCGCCACGTGGCGTATCCCATGGCGTCACGTGATGTGGTGTACATTATAGCACTCTCTGTAGTCATCCCCTCAAGTAACTGAGCTGAAGGCAGGATACCATAGGCAGGACTGGCTTGTTTATTTCGTAGGCTTGGCACTCGTTTTAGATTTAAAGATTTTCGTCGGAATGAAGACGGATGAATGAGGTCCCTGGCATCTGATGTACCAGTGACCCCCAATGTGTCTATAGAACTAGTACTGGCTATAGGACTAAGGGACATAAACTCAGATGAAAGACAGGTGTGTGGGCCAGATTCACAAGAACTGACCCCACTAGTAGTGGAATCTGTGTTAAAACTGTCCGCGCGACTTTTGTTACTGGTCCGCGAGCTATCACTACTGCTACATCTCCCGTCCCGCAGGTTTGGTGATTTCTTTAACGACTGATTGGTCAGAGTCTTTGTCTCTGAGCTGTCAGATTTCTCATCACTATCTTTGACACTAAAAGAAATCCCTTCCCCCTCGTCGTCCATTGCACTAAAATTATCACAGATAGGAGGCTTCCCGTCCACGTCCTCCGTCATGGAACCCTCAAACGTTCCAGAATCCATGTCTGATAAACATATCACAGGAATATTTTTTGGACTTTCCTTTCTTTCACTTGCCCTTGACAACTGTGACTTGTCTGATAACACATCCTCAGTCTGCCGGGAGGGTGAATTCAATCGTCTTGTCATCAGTCTAGGATCATCGCGAATAATTCTGTCCCGATCATGATGCCCTAAAGAGTAACTTCTTATATTAGCAGTCCTACTTGGTAGGGACTTGTACCTCTTATGAAAAGCCATTTCATTGGGTAATGTTTTACTCCTCTTTGGAATGAACATTGAAGCCTCAATGTTAGAGTTTTGATCACAGCTGTGTATAAGTCCTGACTCACAACCTTGGTCTAAAGCTGAATTCTCCTCCTCAATAAAGAAGAGACTGGATGATAAGATGCCGGGAGAACTGGCTCCACGTGACTCGAGGTCGCAGCGTCCGTTATCACTGTCCTGGAGCTCCGTCAGAAGTTCCGACCGGTCCTCCACCACCGGCCAGCGATCCTCACGGGTGTGCCAGCACGACTCCCAGCCCAGCTGGGTCAGGTACTCCGCCCCCTCCCTTGTACTGGTCAGAAGTCCCAGCACGTAGAAAGCCGTTCTGTTGAAGGGGAAAAAAGATTAATCTTAATGATTTTATTAAATTAGAAATAATTTTAGCAAAATTTAATTTTTCTGCAAAATCTAGAGTCTTTTATCACGTACTACTTGCTGTAATACATCTGGGGTAACAAAAATACAAATCAGCTTATCATCCGATTCATAATTACCCTCGTATAGAAAAGACTCCACTCTCCTCAGCAAGTTTGATGATTTCTGGTAAGAGTCTTTCTTCTTCCAACCAATTTACACCCCAGGTAGATGTCCCAATATGGCCCTAAATAATGACTCCAAAACATGACTAGATGTCCAATTATAACATTACTAGATGAAAATATTTGCTGTCAACTCTAGATTTAAATTAAAATCCTTTCACTAATTTTGAAGTTTTATACAGTTACAGCTATACACATTTTCATTAATTCTTTTTCTACAGCAAGAAATTCTCTATGCCAGAGAAAATTGAAAATTATCTGTAAACATACCACAGCCCACAATGCTGTCTTCATTTTCAGAACATCCTCATCAGAATGCAGCTCCAGGCATTTAATACACTTAAAAAACTCCCCAATACAGTCCTGTAAAGAATTTACACTTAAATTAAACCTAAATGCACATGTTGCACTATAAAATTATTGTGTTAAATGGTACAAAATTGTTTGATTGTAGGATAGGGTAAAAACAACACTCTATAAAATAAAATCAACTATTTTGCTCAAAACTGGGAAAACAAACATGACATATATATTGTTGATATGCGTTATGAGTTTGTAATTTAATGTTCATATCCCTATACAGTGAAGTGGATTAAGCTTCAATATTTTATCTTATAGTCAGTAACCTGCTGTTGTAGAAGGCTGAATCCTTCCTTGTGTTGAGTCAGCTGGCCATACAAGTGGACTGGCACATATGCATCCTTGTTAGATCTCCTGGTAAAATAAAAGTAACACAATGAAATGCAGCCCAAAATGTATATAACCTAAGACATCACTGTATCAGTAATATTATTATGTAGCTAAAGCAGTTTTACGGGACTTACTTCCTGCTGGACCTGCGAGTAAAGGATCCTTCGTACGTTTTCTCGTATGTAGTTAGGGCCTCATTCAGCAAGTCCTCCACAATGTGAATATATCTTACATTATAGGTCTACGAAAATAATCATACATTTTTAATGTACACCAAACAATCAAAAATACAAATTATTTTAAACTACTTTTCATAATTTAGCTAACATATAAATCTTGTGTTTACCGTATAAGCGGAATTTTTAGCGAGGATTTAATTTTGGCATCATTAGTGAGGGTTCTGAGATCGCTAAAATTAAATATCACTAAAAATAAACTGTTTTTAATTTGTAATAGCTTTTCTAGTGAGCATTTTAAAATCCCTAAAATTACTTCTCTCTAAAAAGAAATTACCATATTTTAAGGACAAATCGCTAAATTTGCGTCTCGCTAAAATTTCCACTTATACGGTATTTTGTTACCTTTTCCCACTTTTGGACCTCGTTGTGTATGAAGTTGGCATCGCTGAGCATTTTGAATCCTTTGGACGTGGACATGAAGCGACACAGCAGGAGGACACCCCTCTCCCCCAGGTGGAGACACTGGGGCCTCAACTTAATGACGGAATTCAGACACGGCTGCAAATGTACAACTTAGTATTATATACTGTATTGGAATGTTTTATAACTTCATTTGTTTTTTTTTTGGGTGCATAGTACTGTAAACCAAGTATTATACAAAATATCCGCGAGTTCCGCGAGTAACCTCTGCTCGCGGATATTTATTAGCATTGTTCATTATATCATGATTTATTTAATTTGCCCCTTTTTCAATACCGATCCCGACAGTTCAACAAGTAATCACGGAAGAACTTTACTGTTTGTGTACAAGAAGCAGTTGAAAAATTTAATTACAAACATTCAGAATAAATAAAAACGAATGGCAAATCTAAAACTATTTGTCTAAAAGATTAAAATGTCAATAATCATTTCAGCTTGTATTATTATTGTTCATTTATTGTTACAGACGAGTCAGAGATAGCCTGGTTAATTAAGACTAATTACGGCCCAGTCCTGCTCTGTCTCAACCATTTATAATAATTGCCCCTTGGCTGTGTAGATCTTAGTGTTATTACCCAATTAGTATGAGGCACTTTTACAATTGAGAGTTTTAAATCAATTTTAATCTCCTTCATTTTTCCCCGATTTTCGTTTGAGCGTTGTGAAATGCGTATGGAGTATACTCATGGTAAACATTTTACCTACTCTAGGGGCGGATATAAGATTTTTAAACGGACGCAATGATCAGAATGTCTTGAATAATGCGTAAGCAGACCTCACGCTACCATTTTACCTAGTTTGTGGGCGGATATAAAATTTTTATTTGCCTTAAAAAAAATGTTACCACTCGTTCGCGGAAATAAATCGTTAAGTACCATATGTGTATATGCATGAATTTCATGCAGTCTGTGTTATCTAATAAAGCTTAATGCTGGCTCTTTAAAACCAAAGATTAAGATATTTGTGCCTTATAAACTTTTACCCAGTATTGACAATGATTCAATACTTAAGTGATAAAACTTACATGTACATCACACGCCTCCTCCAGGAAATGTAGAGCTGTCTTTACCCTGGTATTAGTGATACGATACTCAGGTGATAAAACTTACCTGTACATCACATGCCTCCTCCAGGACATGTAGAGCTGCCTGAGCCACCTGGTTACTTTGGTCATACAGCTGATTCACCAGAAGCTCCATACCCCAGGTACTGAACCCAGCTACTCTGGTCCGCAGCAGCGTACGCAGAAACTTGGTGCAGTATAGCCGGGCAGACTGTTCAAACAGAGAAACTACTCAGTGAATTTATCAATAAGCAAGTAAATGAATGATTAATGTTATAATATGTTAATCAATGTTAATAATGTGGACTTTAAGCTTACCTCAGTGGCAGAACACAGGGCTTTGGCCAGCACAGGTCTGGTATTACCGTCTTTACTGTAGTTAAGACTGGACACAGACAACTTTACAAAGCTGTCCTGGGGGGCTATGGAAACTATATCCAGCAAACTGAAAAAAAAGGATTGTTCAGTGTGGATATTAGGACTACAATTTTGCCTCATATATATACAGCAAACTTACTTGGTCTCTAGAGTACTGGTACAAGTATCATATGATTTTGTTAACTTCTTCACAGATTAACAATACTTGCAGCAAACATGTATTCAGACTTGAATACTTACAAATAAAGGACATAATTATTTCAATTTCATTTAGCTTCACTAGTTGGCAAATAGTTTACACTGCTAATTTGGTTACTTACTACTGATATACACCAGTTTTTTCTAGATATTTGTCCCCCAGAACCGTCCCTGAGAATCGGCCCACAAACAGAAAGTAGAACTGACTGCATGTGTTAATGACATTCCCTGGACTCAGTACCGACTCTGGCACCAAACGCTGCTGTGCAATCTAAACAAAACAATAGAGCAAACGCTTTAATATGCTACTGGGAATTCTATGCAAAATTATGTCATTCTCTGTACTGAATTGAATGTACATATGAAGGGTCTAAAATCCAAAATGACAATAAAATTAAGATGAAGTACATGTATTAACAACTAACCTCAGACATGCATCCCCCTATATCTCCTATAAAATCTAGAGCCAGTTTCTGGACCTCGTCCTGCAAAAAACAAATATGTCATGTAAATAAAATGACATTTCTCTCAAAAATAATAATGTACAGATCATTATTATGTGACGCTTATGTCTCTCTACTGATTTGATACAACAGTACCATGGCAGATCGTACCTCTGGTGTTTTTATGGGTCTGTGTATTTGCCTTGTTCCAAATTCCTTTTGTTTACTGGGTTTATGACACTGATCACTGTTCGTCATCTTCACATTTTACTGTTTAGTTCTGGTAATACTTGTAGATTCTGTATCAGCTGTTTAGATAAGGTAACTTTCATGCCAAGTATCCACTGTTTATCTGATATACTGACAGACCTAGTTCCACCTGTGTACTGAATAGTCTCACCTGTTCTGTTGACACGAGGAAGTCCACCAGCAGACAACCGGAATGTACCATCATCTGAGCCAGTTTGTGGTTGACCTCTAGTCTCGAAAACCGGTGATTGGTTGGTTTGTAAAAATGTACAAGCCTCTTGAAAAACCTGAAAATAGAAATTTAAACATTCATCAGATTCCTGTTAAACTTTCCATCTTTGGTCCGAAATGAAAGAAATAGAAAGAATGGCAATTTACAAGTACATATGTATTTCCATGTGTGTCAAGTGCATAAGTTAAAGTGTCCCACTACTTGCAATCAATCACTTACTTCAAAGTAACCTGGTCATCTAGTCTCTTTAATTTCTCCTCTGGCCACTGTAATTTGAAAATAGGAAAAATGAGATCTGTAGTCATAAACAAGATCTGAATTAATAAAAAATTCATACAGATCTATAGTCACATACAAAGATATCTGAATTAAACATAATTATAAAATTCTTATTATCCTTAGTAAAGTTTTACATTTCCCTGTATGTGCATCCATTACCTTCAGTATAGCTGGTACTAGTCATATTCCCTCTTACCTTCAGTATAGCTGATACTAATTCTTGAGTGTGTGTCCCTTACCTTCAGTATAGCTGGCACTAATTCCCAGTCCCAGTTCTGGATATCCTTGGTGTTGACAACATTGGAATCTTTAATGGCCTGTCCTATCATATCCTCCGTAGGAGACTGCAATTAGCAAAAGAAATTTTCTTGACGTGCTAAACATACTTAAACTGGGAACTATTTCAATAATCAAATCATCTCAATCCAATTTGCTTGTGTTTCTTTGCCTTATTCTGTTCGTCATTTTCAAGAGAATGTGACTATCTTTAAAAGCATATAATTAACTTTAAATGGTCAGAATGGGACTTTTTTAAAGAGGCATTCCATTTTTTCTAACTCTTGCTTTCAACATGAACTTTATCTAAAACAACATTAATTCAGAAACCTAAAATCTGACAAGTCTGGATTATAGCACCTACTTTATTGATGTAAAGGTCATATTTCTTCCTCAGGTAGAATTTGGTCTGTCCTACAGGTCGACCTCCGTTCCTCTGAATCAGCTGATCCAGGTACAGACTACTGGGTACAGGACCTCGCTTCTTCATGGCGTGGAGGCGCTCTAAGTAATATATAGCTTCTCGGGCTTGACTGGAAAAAAATTACAGGTCATAAATGTGAGAAAGAAACAGCTCTGTTTGATTCAGTTTATGTTCTAAAAATAGGCACAATTTCTACTACTTCAATCAAGGTATAATGATTAGAACATACTTAGAAACTCTCAATTGAAAGTGAAGCATAAAAAAATTGTAAAATACAATTTAATTGAAAGATTATCACTTACAATTAAGTAAGTCTGAGCTAATGTGAGATCACAAGATAAAATGTCTAAGCTGAGGTGAGATAAACACTTACAATGTCTGAGATAAACACTTACAATGTCTTAGCTGACATAAACACTTACAATGTCTTAAGGTAGGATTCTTCTCTGGTTTCTGACTAGATGAAACATTCAAAGTATATTTGCTTATATGTCTTATATATTAAGGTGTGAGGAATTTAAAAGACCATATTTTTCTTTCCTCATCACAATTGTACAACTTTAAATAGAAACGGTAAACTGCGTTTGAAAACTAGCAGGGACTATATTTTTGGCGGAATGGTGGCGTATGAAAATATCTTCTTTTCTGCCTCTCAAAATTATAATAGAACAATGAATTTAGTTATAATTTTTACACAATCTAAGACTTGGAGAAATTTTCAAATGTAAGTTACATTAATAATGAGGGACTAAACTTTCAAAATATATCAAATAAATATGATTTTTCAAACAAACTAGAACTTTAGTAGCTTTTAAACGCTTCCTATCAAAGTGCAGATTTGAGCCAAAAATCCATAAAAAGTATTTTTTCTCTCCTAGTAAACGATCAAAACTTTTTGTTTTTGTATCATTTTGTACATTTTTAAGACTACTTTATTATATGTAAAAATAAGAATGATATATTTCTATGTAAAACTTTGATTCCCCAAAGTTAAATATAGGAAGCATATGAAAATAACTAATATATCCTAAAAAATTAAGAAAAACAGAGAAAATTCGGATTAGCCAATATCCAGTTAAGTTAAATTATTTGTGTAAATTTGGTAATATCACGATATAGACCCGATATAGTAATATGTTTTTATGCAAAAAGAACAATCATTAAACTTTTGAAATAGAAGTAGGTATCACATAATTGGCAACAGTTATTTTTTATTCTTAATGTCAAGGAAAACGATAATGACCTTGACCTGACCTTGCCTCTAATATAAAACGGTCAAATTTAATTTCACTGATATTATCACTTACTGATATTGTCTTCTTGATTCTGTGAAAATTTCATTAATTTTTAAATATTAGAAATATGAGAAGAATCCTACCTTAAGTGAGATAAACACTTACAATGTCTGAGATAAACACTTACAATGTCTGAGCTGAGATAAACACTTACAATGTCTGAGCTGAGCTGAGATAAACACTTACAATGTCTGAGATAAACACTTACAATGTCTGAGATAATTACTTACAATGTCTGAGCTGAGATAAACACTTACAATGTCTGAGCTGAGCTGAGATAAACACTTACAATGTCTGAGCTGAGCTGAGATAAACACTTACAATGTCTGAGGTAAGTCAAACACTTACAATGTCTGAGCTGAGCTGAGATAAACACTTACAATGTCTGAGCACAGGTGAAATAAACACTTACAATGTCTGAGATAAACACTTACAATGTCTGAGCCAAGGTGAGATAAACATTTACAATGTCTGAGCTGAGGTGAGATAAACACTAACAATGTCTGAGATAAAAACTTACAATGTCTGAGCCGAGGTGAGATAAACACTTACAATGTCTGAGATAAACACTTACAATGTCTGAGATAAAAACTTACAATGTCTGAGCCGAGTTGAGATCAGGTGAGGAGGCCAGGGCCAGGAGAGATGGCAGACAGTGGTTGTGATGGGAGCACTCGGGGGGAAGCATGGTACTGGCCTGTAAACAATCAACATTACTTAAACACATCCAGTAATTATTATCAAATTGAAATTTTTCTTTAACAATCCACTTATATTTTTAGCTGAATATATAATCACATTTTTCTTTTTTTAACATCTCCATTTATGTTGTAACAGTAACTTACTAAATGAAGTAGGTCACCGAGGAGGATTGTGGCACGAACAAAGAGTTGACGGTCACTGCTGATTATCACTTCTACTAATGCCTGAAAATCAGTGTTAAAATAATCCAATTAAAAATAATACACGCTTTGCAATGATTCTTACACAAAATAGCAATATTCCAGACTTCAATTTACCACATGATTAAATATTTTAGTTTCAAAAATGAGGACATATCTGTTCCATCAATGGTTTACACATGCTAAAACCCTATTCCATGTTGAAATGTACTTCTACATTTTGATATAAAATATGTTCTACTAATGTTACCTCTAGAATTCCAGCTCCAATCCATGCAGACAGAAGTAATGCTATATGGTTTTCAATTAAATTTGGTCTAAAATGAAAGAAAGACATTAAAAGTATAAGTATGTTCAGTGGAATTTTTGGGAGTTTGAAAAAATCCTTTAGAAATAAATACTGAGTACATGTTTGATAGAATAAATGAGGAATGTGTATTATAGCACACCTGATTTTAGCCATGTGGGGCAGAATACACTTCCCCTCCTCAGCTACAAATCCATCTGTTATCTTCCAGTTTTCCTGCATCTCAGACGGATCTACAGAAAAACAACAGATATCACTGACAATTGATAAATATATTCTTATCCATGACTGTAAACACATAAAAATAGGTACACTGTATCAATCTGTGAATATTTAAGCTAATTCACTTCCTTTCATCTTAAGCTGTAACTTTGGACAGAGTATGAGTTTAACAGCTGAGCTGGAGTACATACCCACACTTAATAAAGCTGTGTCGAAATCATCTGTTGACTCGGGAATTTTCAACCGAAATAAATCAAATAAAATCTCTAGTATTCCATGCTGAAATCATCAAATAACCATTATTTACATGTATATTAATGCTTACATTAGAAATGAAGAAGTAAGATTATTATAATTGTATCATTTGAGCAATTCAAAACAAGTAAACTACATCAGGTACCCTAATTTCTTTGTATGGTAGGTATAGAATGCCAACAAGTGACTGTAAACCGCTGCCATCGGGTCGACAAAAACGAATAATTCCTGTAATTAAAACAGAATTCAGTTGCTTGTATGGCTCTTCCAATGCATTATCTGATTGACAGTGTAGGTAAGGTCTCAAAATTAACACTTTTTGTCTTTTTTAATTTAATACTGTACCAGTATTTTACAATTTTTATAATGATCAGAAATTCAGAACCCTAAATTGGCAATACAACATATAAAATACCTACCCGACCAAGTTCGCATGATGGAGACGACAGCCATTTTACTGGCTGCAAATCGATTCTCCTTCTCCTCACTACAAAATCAAAACAGTGTACACTTAATGTTGTGGGCAAAGATTAACAAGAGCTCTAACTGTACTGTGTTAAGTCCTATAGGTACAAAACTTCATATGTACATTCTTAGAGTCAAAATTTTAAGACAAAACAATTTCTAAGAGATCAAAACTTGTGATAAAACTCGAACTAACCCTGAGGATTGCTCTGATGACTCAGCACTGAATCTGTAATGGCAGTCTGTGAACGGGGCTAACAGTTGCTAAAAATAGATTTAAAAATTGTAAACACATAAAGGAGGAACTGCTGACAAAATTAAACTGGATCTACAGTACTTTAAAGTCACATGACTATTAGATTATATCCACACTATAACCCTTACCTCTAGATCTGTGTTAAACTTGATGAAATGTCTGGTCCTGGGATGGTTCAGTAGATGTAGAACGGTGGACACCAGCGATTCGTTAATTCTGGGATATTGGTGGCAGTCCAGAGCAGCTCTTAAAATAGCACCAATTCCTCCACATCTTGCCAATAACTCAGGATTCACAAATGCTACAATAAACATAAACTTGTGCTGCATTACGAAACCAATCATATAAGTGGAATATAAAGCATCCATACCTAAAATGTATGGTAAAAAGAAGTTAATTTCAAAATCTGCATTACTCAGTATTTTTTATGTTTAGGTTTTCTAGGGAAAGAAATACTTGTACTACCCAGCTATAATTGAATTTATTTTCCATTTTATGCAATATTTACCTGTTTTACATTGTGCTCCCAGAATCACCTGCTCCACTTATATGTGAACTTGTTTCACATACTATAAATACCTCTCTGTACCAAACCTACCTGTTTCACATATTGTTCTATAAATACCCTCTCTGAACCAATCCTACCTGTTTCACATATTGTTCTATAAATACCCTCTCTGTACCAAACCTACCTGTTTCACATATTGTTCTATAAATACCTCTCTGTACCAAACCTATCTGTTTCACATATTGCTCTATAAATACCTCTCTGTACCAAACTTACCTGTTTCACATATTGATCTATAAATACCTCTCTTTACCAAACTTACCTGTTTCACATATCGTTTCTAGAGCTATCCTGACCATTCGGTCTCTCTCGGCTGTTCCATCATTACTAATGGCAACCAATGGATAAAATAAGAGATCGGACAATTTCTTGGGTGCAATCTGCAGAATTTTTCTGACTAGTTTAATCCCATGTATTCTCTCTACTTCATTGTCTAAACATAAATCTATTGACCTGCAATACAAGTAGACATAATGTAATAAAATTGAATTGTGTTATTCATTTTCATCAGTGAGAAAAATTTATTAGATTATGAAAACTATCGGTAGTCAAATATCTGTACTGTATGTCAAGTATCATTAAAAAGAAATAGGACAAATGAAATGAATATTAATAAATGAAGTGGGTTACAGACCTGACAATTAAGTAATCTATGTGGAGAGTGTAAAATAAATCGACGGTCTCTTGGTCCTGGAGAAAGTATCGCAGCACTCGCAACACTGCCGCTCGTACTTCTTTTGCCTCATGGAATAATCCTACTCTTAAACTGTAAAATACCACATAGTTCAGCTAAAATAAACTGTAAAATACCACATAGTTCAGCTAAACTAAACTGTAAAATACCACAAAGTTCAGCTAAAATACAATAGGACCTGATTGTTAAACTGTAAAATACCACATAGTTCAACTAAAATACAATAGGACCTAATTGTTAACATTCAGTGGGATAGGAATTGACAAGGGGAATGAAAACTTATGTAATTATCTGTAAAGTTTCCCACAAAAATATTTTAATTTTCACATTTTTAAATTGTTGAGTTCACTGATGAACTGTTTAAATGAGGAAATTTAAAACTGTTTTTTTGTTGTTGTAATTTTGGATAACCTTATGACAATACACATTGTATATACACAGTGATTGGGATAAGCACGCGCCCTGCGCCATAGTCGCATTAAATTTTAAAATGTCACATTCAAATTAAAAATGCTGCGCCATCATGGCGCATATATAATCATGCACTAGCAGCATTACATACTTTTAAACTTTGAGTTTTCCCCCAAGCGCTTGTAATCTTTCCCAAAACAATCGCTGTCAATTTACGCTTGAAAAAACAGTATTTAATGTTGTTGATTTAAAGCGTTCTTATGACTTTCTTTTCTCCAGTATCTAATCAAACAGTTACGTGTTTTCTGATTGGCTAACGCACACGAAATAAACTGGTGTCAGGAGTGCAGCATGCTGCCTACGAAAATACCTTGTACCGATAAAGGGCAGACTTTTCATAATTTTAACAATCCTAACGAACAGAATTCAAGAAAATTGGTAGAAATTGACTCGGAAGAAGTATAACATGCTGACAGAACAAATAGAGATAAATCTGATGGTAAGACTGATGATGTATCTCGAAGGAAAAACAAAAATGAGAAAATTTAACATGAATTGGAGAGAAGCAGTATAGATCTAAACCAGGCTTTAATAAATCATTTTAAAGATGTCAAACATCGGAGACAAAAAATAAAGAACTGAAATTAAATTGCAGTGTTTATTTATTTTCTGACACTTGTGAATTTTGTATCTTCAATAATTTGACAATTTCAAATAAGTAAAGTCAACTGAAATTCTAACAGCAACTAATCAATTGCCAGTTTGTAACTAGAAAATGTCCCATTAAAAAGTCTGTTTGGCGCATTGAATTTTGAAATGTCACATTGACACTGACTTGGCGTGTGCCATTGTCACATTTACTCCCTAGCTTATCCCAATCACTGTATACATTACTTTCTGATTAATATCTCAGCTATTACTCACCAACACAAAATATCTCTCTTTGTGAAGCCTGAGTATTTGTCATTTCCATATTTAAGTATAAGTTTGACTAAAGCATTCAGGTATGCTAGCTTCTTAGATTTTGGTATACTACTTTGGGAAACTATGACAGCTAAAATCTCTTTCAAATTTTCATTTGGGTCTGAAAAAGATGTAAAAAATCTATGAATATGGTGCAATATAGTATATTCTAGTAAACAAAAATGTAAGTATCAATACAAAATAATGAAAATACATGTATTAATATCAACTGCAGTGGACTTTTGTACCAAAACTCTAATACAATATTAATGGAAATCAATCTATTTTCATTAACACCTTAAACTTTATCTCTATATACGAAAAACAAATTATCTATTAATTTGTGAAAATACAATTGTAAAATTTTCTGAAATTCTGATATTGCTTTTGTTTATAAGTTAATGTACAATGTTATTAGATGATAAAAGTAAGGCAATATCTTGTCATTAAAGCTCATTACATGTCATGGAAAATCCCCACTTGGAAAAAGTTTTTATATTGTCTGATTGTTTAACTTCAAACAAAACAATATACAAATACCCTAACATTTTGAAGTGGAATTTCCACCAAAAGTCTATGTACCTTGCGTTTGTTTTTAACTTGCCTACTTCTTTATTCCTTGGTATTTAATTACTGTAATTTTATGTCACTTCATTGTTTTCATATAAATATGTGCTTATTACATTTCACTTGGAACCTTGTTCATTCTTCATTACTTCTATGTTGCTTTTTTCTTGTAAATATGTTCTTCTTTCTTTTAAATTCATCATTTTTTTTTAAAAAAAACATACCCAGTGTCATTACCGTAATAACGATTATCTGTATTTAAAGCATCCAAACAATAAAATCATTCAACAAAGTCAAGAAAAATACAAGTTGTGTGAATTTAAAGCCGCATTATAATGCCAGGTGGCAGGGTGCTACCTACGACTGTTGGTAAAATTGTGTAGGCAAACTCATATCTACTATTCGTTCCTATAGAAATTAATGTAGTGTGAAGTAGCAGATTATTGCTGGAACTCTTCAGCAATGAAAGTTTAAATGAATGGAACATTGCAATGAAAAATCATCAACTGATATTTTGTTGGATTTTATCCTTTTAACAAGCACAGCTTGTCACTGCGAGCTTTTAAAGCAACACCTGGGCAAAGAGAAAATTCAGACTACTGCACATTCGTTCATCAGATTTGTTTTCCTCAGTAACTCTAGACCCGCAATGCATCACTCGTTAAAGATACGTTCTCGCGAGAATAGCAGCAAAGGTTTAACTAAAAGTTAAGACATTGTGATTCAATGAATAAATATTGAAGATAAAGAGTAAACGAAACGTTCTTCATTTAATTTCAGCACCATTCAGGCTTCATTTTGGTAATGTAATTTACATTAGACGTCATAATCTAGACGCATCAAATGGCACATGTGGCTTAACGAGCCCAATCTAACTATTAATTACAAAAGAAATATCTGCGCTCGCTAGAACGATCACACCATCAACATATTAAAGGTAAGAAACACTGTCAACATATTAAAGGTAAGAAACGGATTCAAAGATTTATAGTGATAGGGAATTAAAAGGATGCCTATGTAAAAAATTGTGGGTCAGTAATTCATTTCAATCCATATTGATCGAAACAAAATGTAGAAGTAAGGTCAAGATTTCCCGAATCAATTTGTGTGACACTTGTCTGTGATTCGCAGAGATGTCACACCAAAATTTTTAGACTCGACGAATCTAGCCAAGATATTCTGTATCAACTAAAAAGAGGTTATATCATGGTCACTTAAAAAGATCTGATACTGTATAAGTTAAATTACGTTTTATTTTTAAGAACTGTTCTGCATAAACAATTAGGAGAAATAAAAATTAAGCACTGTAGAGTTAAAAATGGACTTTATGGAGTACACACCTCTCGAAAAATCAAGCTTCAAATTTTCGTCTGCACTTTCATGTCGAGCTGAAATGAACAAAATATGCAATTATTCTGAAGATCCAGTGATTTATTTCTATGAATTACTGCTGGCTTAGGAAATTGTTCTCGTTTTTACCTCTGAATCGGCCACTTTTAACGAAAGGTCGACCGCCGTGGCGACCACTGGCCGCCATCTTTTTTCTGTTACTTCCTACTTTTTGTTAAGTCGTAGATAATTAATTCTTTATATTTATATATTACACTGTGTTGAAAAGTGCAAAGTTGAAATGAATACACATTGAATGATATATTTCAACATTACTTCTAATGCTAAAAAAATAAGCAGAAAAATATTTATCTTCAGATTACGACAACTGCCGAAAGCTGAAAAGATAAACATGGACACGATGGAGGTGGTTGAGCCAAAGTTTACAAAACTTGTAGATGGCATGATGGGGGCTGAAGGCCCTGTATTTGACAAGGACGATAATTTCTACATGGTTGCACCTGAAGTAGAGAAAAATGGCAGTTTTGCGGGCCAGGTTCTTCGCATTGATCTGAAGAATAGCAAGGTATTGAGAGATCGAGGCATAATTAAGTGTCACTTGATCCACAGGTGCTTGAGGACAGGACCCCCCCCCCCTTCGATATAGACCCCTGGGCTTTTTCGATTTTTTTCTCATAAAAAATCTTTCATTGCCATATTTGTGATAAGATCTATACCAGCAAATCGAAAAATTACCTAAAACAAACGTTCTATTAAATCTACACTACATTCTCTCTATAAAAATCAACAAGGTTGCCAACTCCGTAAAAAGCTTATTGAACGGAAGTAATGAGGAGAGAACTAATTCCCGATGTTCCCCATATGGCAGACAGACTACTCGGCCCAACGACACCTCGGCCCATGCTGGTTGACACCTCGGCCCTGACAAATCATTGACACCTCGGCCCATACTGAAGACTGCTCGGCCCAAGGAATAAAATTAAATTTATTTTGTTTAAATTAGTTTAATTTTTATTTATTCTCTCATTTTTTTTTTTTTTTGTATTTTCTATGGTAATGTAAATGTATACTATGTATACGTTTACAATAGATATATGATAATTTCAGTATTTCGATCAGTATTTTGTAACAAACCACAGCACAACATCAAATTACAATCCGTTGTTTGGGTAACAGGTCTATTTATTTTTTGCTTTGTTGTTTATTATAATGCAACATTATATTCAATTCAATTCAATTCATTATTTATGTATTTATTAGCCATTTAAAAAAAAAATGTTTGGTTGCCCTCTCCCGACTGACTGATGAATTTACTAATAATTATGTGTAAACCAATAGGTCTACATAGAAGTTTATGTCCTTGTCCACAAGATTTATTGCATGATTTGTTTATTTTTTATATATATATATATTTTACTGTTTTATTTTAAAAACTTTTTCTAATCAATTCAGTAAAATAGGTCTACACAGAAGTTTATGTCCTTGTCCACAAGATTTATTGCATGATTTGTTTATTTTTGATATATATATATTTTACTGTTTTATTTTAAAAACTTTTTCTAATCAATTCAGTAAAATATCAACAATGGTTTCTTAAAGGAACTTTTCATTAACATGATTAAGTCTCGCAATTATGGCTTCTCATAATTAACTCCCCATAGTCACCACCCCCTATGTCACGCGCTCGAGACTCGAAAAGGATGCACTGCGTCTTCTTGTTTGTTTAATGATTAGCACTTATAATTAATGAAGTTACTAATGGATTGTCTTTCTTTAATGACCGTCAAATTGCCGTCTTGGAAGATTGCAAATGTATCAAATTAATTTTCTTTTGCATTTCATAGATATGTAACAGCATAAATAAATAAAATAATAGATATATTTAATATTAAAATGATATATTTTTGTTTGGGCCGAGCAGACTTTAATGTGAGCCGAGGTGTCTTTAATTTTGGGCCGAGCCGTCGAAGCCGAGGTGTCAATGGGCCGAGGTATCGTTGGGCCGAGGTGTCGTTGGGCCGAGCAGTCTGACATTCCCCCATATACCCAAATATGCGTGTAAAATATCAACAATAGATAATTATATTCTTGTTTTTTTGTACGAATTCTTCATTCAAATTTTATTTTCAAACGTTTTGTCGATTTACACAAATATTTAAGTAAAAGAAGATATTTTTATAAATTGCATTTTTAAAAGGGCATAACTCTCACATGCAAATCAGGTATTTGAAAAATAATTAGAGACATTTCATTTGCATCAGCGGTTTAGAAGTGAAAAAAAGTCTAACAGGCCCGGGGGTCTATATTAAGGGGGGGGGGGGGTCCTGTCCTCAAGCACCTGTGACTTGATCATGTGATTTTAAAGTCCAGCACAATCCCTTTATGTTTGACTGGCAAAAAGAGAGCTACAGATCCAAGCATTGTAAAAACCTTTGATATACGCCAACATTTTTTTGTCACATACTTTTGAGTATTTCTTGTCGTATTCCACGTTTTCCTGCTTTAATTTAATCATCAGTACTTTACTTTGTGTTTCTGATACTTTATTTAGCTTCATTCAACATTGACAAACAGATCCTATATGACATTAGATTGTCAGTTTAAAAAAAAATTGCATTCCAACGTCTAGCTGCGATAATGTACGTAGCCTTTTCCGATATTTTAAATCTGATATTTTCTGGAGATGGCTACAATTCTACTGCATCTTCGTAATGGTGCAAATATATTTTTTAAATACAGGTGGCTGCAGACAAATGAATTGTTTTTCAACTTACTTCTAGAAAGATGAAATTTTTATTCACCGTCAACAACAATGTCTGTAAAATTCGGAAACCTAATAAAACTAGAGGTACTGTGAGCAATGAGCTCACTAAATGATACCCCCGCCTCCCATATGAATATAATGGCAGTGTCCATGTTTTGCTCTGGAAAATCAAAAATATGTGTCAGATCAAAAAGTAAAATAGGAGGTGCACAATGGCAATATGTAATAAAGATTCTGTGAAAGTTTCATTAAATTTCCTTCAGTGGTATGAGAGGAGTTGCGGATAAGAGATGGGTACCCCAAAGCGTAACAGACGGACGGACAGACGGACGGACGGACAGACGGACGGAAATACCGATTACTATATACCCTCCCACTTTTCAAGCGGGGGGTATAAAAATACTGAACGTAAGAAGGCCTTTAAAGGCTTGTTGGAAAGGAAATTTTCTCTACTTTTACCAGCTTTATTTTGTTTTCCCTATTTCAACACAGAAACTAGAGGTACTGTGAGCGATGAGCTCACTAAATGATACCCCCCGCCTCCCATATGGTTATCATTGGTGAAAAAGTCCATGTTTTCCTGTGGCCGGGAAACCCAAAATATGTGTCAGATCAAAAAGTTAAATAGGAGGTGCACAATGGCAATATGTAATAAAGATTCTGTGAAAGTTGCATCAAATTTCATTCAGTGGTATGAGAGGAGTTGCGGATAAGAGATGGGTACCCCAAAGCGTAACAGACGGACGGACGGACAGACGGAAGGACATACGGACAGACGGACGGACGGACAGACGTACAGACGGACGCAATTAACGATTATTATATACCCTCCCGCTTTTCAAGCGGGGGGTATAATAAATCTGTTTTTTAACCAGTCACTCTCTTCAGAAGTCAAGACAGACTTCTCGCGTGATGCAATGAGACTTGCTCTTGAAGTTAAGAATAACTTGATGAAGCAAATGTTAGGGTAACTAAATGATTGTGCTGTATAGCATCACTAAACATCAATAATTAAACCATTCCATGTGATATTTTTTCATAAACAGCAATTACATGTACTGGGTATTATGCCTTAAAAAAGGTAATTCCTGTAGAGAATCAGATCCTCTCTCTATAGATCCCTAATTTCATTGGCTGTCCCGAAATAAAATTGATCAACGTTGGTAAACATAGTGGATAAATTCAAGTTGTGATGTTGACATACACGAAAAATAACCGATATATGGATTGTTGTGTGTATTTTTGGATTGATTTATGTCTTGCATAACTACATTTTTGGAGTTAAAGTAAGAAACATTAATTAAATAGCCATTTACTGATAATTTTAGCTGAAATCTTTGCGGAAGTGAATCACTCTCGTCTTGCACTTGCACCATTACAGAGATCCTAAGGAGCTGTAGCTCTCTCCCAAATAAAAAAAGGAGGGGAGGGCAACATTATTGCAGCTATCCAGTGGGGGTCTTGTTAAAACTAGAGGTACTGTGAGCGATGAGCTCACTAAATGATACCCCCCGCCCTCCCATATGATTATAACTGGTGAAACAGTCCATGTTTTCCTGTGGCCGGGAAACCCAAAATATGTGTCGGATCAAAAAGTAAAATAGGAGGTGCACAATGGCAATATGTAATAAAGATTCTGTGAAAGTTTCATCAAATTTCATTCAGTGGTATGAGAGGAGTTACGGATAAGAGATGGGTACCCCAAAGTGTAACAGACGGACGGACGGACAGACAGAAGGACGGACGGACGGACGGATGGAATTAACGATTACTATATACCCTCCCGCTTTTCAAGCGGGGGGTATAATAAAGCACCCTAAAGGAAAACAAAGTATCAGAAAACTTAAGAAATAAAATATCTGGTACATTAACAGTTAGCGTAAACCTAGTGTTGGGCTAAATGTACATTATATATACATGTATGTTAAGTGCAGTGGCAGGTATTTATCATCTGTGTTTAACCTTAATCCTGTTCATAATAAAGATAATAGCATTTAGAAGGACCAATAAATTAAATAGGAGTCTAGTGAAAACAGCAATGTAGATTCTGATAGGCCTTTAAATAAAAAAAAAATAGGATGACATACAGTTTTTCATATACATTAACATACTAAAAAAAACTTAAGTATGATAAGATAGCAAACTAAAGCTTTTTTGAACAGCCAGTCACCCTGTTTAGCCAATTCAAGCTACATGTATATAACTATATCAAGAGATTGTACTCAATCTAAAAAAAGAATGATAAATGTTTCTACTGTAAAATTATTCCAAGTTATAACATGTTAACCTCATGCATTCAGTTGAAAAAGTCTACTAGAAAACAGTAGAATGGCAAGGGATGTGAGAGCGAATGCTGAATTAAATAAACTTTCTGATCACTAAAATAAAAGATAGTAGCAGTTTTGTAGGTCCATGTATCCTTGAATGATATGCTTTTATCATGTTTATAGTACTATGTAGGGAAACAAGTGATAATGAACTTAATCATACCATGTGTTCAATTAACCTAAATATCTGACTAGCAGCTAGGCTAGGCGCTATGATCTTGAATTGTCTAAGAAACAATGACGTAAAGCGACAGAAAAGCAGTACCCCACAGGGAGCACAATATAAACTTTTCAAAGGAGAAAAATGTGGGTCATTAACAAGTATTTATAAAGAATCAAGACTCCTCAAGGAAGCATGAAATGAAATCAAATTTTAACCCCCCCCCCCCCCCCCCCCCCGAAAACCCTACAAACAAACAAAGAGGAGAGTTAAACATTTTAAACATATCTTGTTCAGCATGATTATCAAAATAA